CTCTTTGTCAAAACAATCGATTGTCGATGCTTACCTTCAGCGTTTTTCGGATTTTGCGCGCTGCATGCGGTTCCACTTCTGTTTCCAAGCTGCGCAGCAGGTGCTCATAATACTCCACGCGATGTCCGAGAAGCTGCAACTCCTTCTGTTCTCTCACCCGCTTGACATCTTCATAGGAGCATTGATTATTGTGGTAGTTGCATTGCCCGCACGTTGGCTTTACCCCGTCGCACTTGATTTTTCGTTGTCGGCACGCTTCACAGGCTCGAGCTGAACGTCGACGTGCTCGATTGATATTCGGTCCGGTGATGCGAGGTATAGCGACCTTGCTGCCATGCATATTGTTATGCTCTACGTGATTCCGGATAGGAGGGGAGGGTAAGTGTGGTTGCAGCATGTTCAAGTCCATGGACCGCGTGGGCGCTGTAGACATTTCATCAAGAGGCATTGATGAATTGGGATTAATAGCCAAAGGAGGCGTCCAGTTTGGATGATTCGTGTTATTGACAGGGATGTCGTACCCCTGACTGCTCCGACGAGACATGATGGCAGGGGTGGTGGTGGTATAGAGGTGTAGGGCGACATGCGTCGGTTGAGTCGATCAAGGAGATTAATTTACAGAATTTGACAGCCGACCGATAGATGAAGGAGCGATGATGAAATGAGGTATGTGTTCATTTATAAGTCAAGTCAAGAAGTTCCACTCACCCCACTCCAACATCTCCTCGGCCAGGGACAATCCTTCATCTGATTTGGCGAAGTCGGTCTACCTCTCGTGGGGAGGTAGTCATAGCTCCCGGCTGTGTGGAGTGGGTCATGAGCGGGCACTATGAGTGGCTAGAAAGGCCAGTGCGGGCGCAAACAAGAGGGCGCAAATGAGAAGGCGGATAAGTTAAATAAAAAAAAGATCATCAAATGCAGATTTTGCTGGTTAATCGTCCAACACTCCCTGGTTCCAGGCGAGATTTCTGGAAATGACTGGATCTGAGCGGTAATGTATCAGGTTTTGTGGAGAGGCAACGGATGACCGAATGATATCATGTCCGAAGTATCCAACAAATCAAGGGTCTGGTCGTACCAGGATTAATGTTCCCCAGTTCCGCATAGGAGAGGGGACACGCACGCCACCCGTGATCGACAGATACTAATTACTATTAGCATGGAGCCGGATATTGTCGTGCAGGTAAAATGCTGTCCTTTCCCAGACTGAGGCTCTCATATCGATCCAACATGTCGGAAAGACCCAAGCCGGGATAATCCTGGAGGCTCTGGCCTTCACCAATGCCGTGGTACTTTTCATCTCGGTTGAGCTTCTCCAACCCCTCTGCGTAATCATCAAAACGAGTGTGGCCCTGGTTGGTCGGTTCCTCGTCAAAAAGGTCTTTCAAGTCGTCGGGGACGGAACTGGCGTCGCGAATGCGGTCGCCTTGCGCCTTAGCTCGTACTGATTGTCGGAAGATATGGAAGAGATTGCGACCCAAGGCGGAACGACTAGCCACAATCGACAATGCGCTAGCAAGGGATAGGAAGTCCTGATCGAGGACATTGAAGGATTGATGCTCCATCATCGTGAAAAGGGCCAAAGTGATCGCGTAGAGAGCGAACGGGTGGGCCCGACTCATTCCGTACTCGCGACGATGGAGACGAGTTAGTGCTGCAATACCCTGTGCGGCGGTTTGCGTTACATTCCAAGCAGTGTATTTGGGCTCTGGTGAAAATCGTGGACTCTCTGGTGTCTTCGGTGCGTCAGAGGAGTTGGAGACGTCGTAGTAGGGGACGCAGCTGAACAGATTGACAGCGAGAGTATGGAATCGCATTCTTTAATGAGTCGTGTGAGCCACATGCAGAAGAAGGATACATAGGAATATAGAACCCTCCAGGGCTACTCACAATAGCAATATCAAATGCGGCGGCATCCCACCATCGAATTCATCCGGCAACAACTCCTTCCACCGCATCAACCGCTCATATAAGTCCTCGCGATTCAATTGCTCAGATATTTCCTCACCGAACATACTCCTTGAAATATCACGCGCAATAGTCGACAAATTACACGCCTCATCAAAGTACAAACTGATCTCAGACGGTCGTGACTGCCGATGCGTCGGATACGGTCTCCAGAGAAGCTGATCTTGACCAACATCGCGGCCAACACGAGGCATATTGACATGGGAAATGAGACAAGGGCGAAGAAAGCCCGTATGAACCATCCTGTACCTTGTTAGCCTTTCAATCCTGAGCGCAGTGGGTTTTATTCACCCACGTATCGATATTGAACAGTCCCCACGCCGTCCGCCGACACGAAGCATCCATGTCCCTGGACAATTGCTCGCTAGTAATATGCGGACCGGAACTGCCGATAAGTCCGAGCGATTCTCCCATACGAATGGCCTCATGAAGCATGATGTATCCCAGATCATCGTCGCGAGACATCGCATACCGCTCATACATCAGAAGCGTTCCCTGCAGCGTAGCCAGACTGGGTCTGGAGGGAGTATCCGCTTTGAGGCGTTCTGCTTCAGCGAGAAAGTCACATCCTTTGGAGGAAATGTCGCCGGGGATGACATATGCTTCAGAGAATTCAGAGAAATACTGAAAGCATCGCACCGATCAGCCTCAGCATCATCCAAGCATTGGAGGCTCGGAAACAATGTGAACAACCCCTAAAGCAAAACATCCAACCAAAGACCAAATTGGAATCAAGATGGAATCAAGAAACGAAGTGACAAAAGAAAAGAATCAATTTGAACTCACACAGGCATTACTCAAAAGCGCATTCACCAAAAATGCACTACAAAATTCCCCCTCCCTCGGCTCAGGCCCAGCCCCATTCCCACCGGAAGCACCCATATACTTCAAAAACACATCTTGATCCAAAAACGTATGTACAGGATAATCCCAAGTAAAATACAACGAGACAAGATGCGAAACAAGATCATCATCATCCGTTACATTCGTCCAAGGTTTCGCGGGGACTTTGATCGGTGCCTCATCGCAGATATAATGGAGATCCATGACTTTACTGCGAAATGACGGCTCGGATCCCTCGATATTGATGACATCTTTAACATCTTCCAGTTTGGAAATGGTGGATTGGATATTTTCTTCGTCCGTTCTGGCTGTGTCGCTTGCTGCTAGACTCGCGCCTGAACCCGAGCCCGAGCTCGAGCCTGAAGCACGAGATGCCGAAGTCGATATCGAAGTCGAAGTCGAAGTCGAAGTCGAAACTGAGCCCGTTTTCATTGCGGAAAGTAAAGAATCGGAAATATGTCCCCCTCCTCCTCCTCCTCCTTCTCCTCCTTCTTCTATCCCCTCAACCCTCAACCTCCCACTCAACCCAGAAAGCGTCTCATGAATAAACTCCCTAACATCCTCAGGACCCGCACTATCCCTTATAAGCTCCAAAAGTCTCTGCGCAGCGCACGAATCCGCCTCCCTCACCAGCGTAAAAAGATCATTCAACAAATCACGATGATAGGATAATTCATCAGCGGTTCGCTTGGCAGCGACTCGCCGGCGCTGATCGAGTGATTCATCGAATACACATGTTCGATCGAAAGTGAGACAATTGGAGCACGGTGGTGTGCCGGAGCATTTCCTTTTGGACTTTTTGCATGCTAGGCATGCTGTTGAGACTCGCTTTTTCCATGGTGTGTTTGTACTGCCACTGGCAGTTTCCAGTGTGTCACGGTCTATTGCTGTAGAACTGCTAGAGGAATTTGAACACATACCTCCGGCAGCTGGTGCAGTGGTCGAGCTGGATGCTAGTGCTTGGGTTGATGTGGAATTTTTGAACGGTGGGGGACTGCTTTGGTCTGAGATTGGCGAGGGACCTGTTGTGATGTGGCGTTGATCGGAGGTCATATCGATTGGATCCGTGGTATTGGTATTTTAATACTATACTGCAGGTAGACACCAACAATGTATACTAGTAGTAGGACCAGTGAGATAAATTCGACTTGAACTTGTTTTGGGTGATTGTTTAAGAGGTTGTAGAGTGGTTGTAGTATACGCCGCAGTACACTTTAATGTAACAACAGTCGCCATTGTCTAATTCTTGCCTTTGCCGCGGAAATGACGACGGGGGCGAGGAGAAGAGAGGCGATTGAAAGGGAATTATAACCCAGTGAGGCGAAAGGGAACTGGAATGGGATGAGAGGGTCTTAATTGGTTGTTCACATGGCAAGGGGGATCTAACTATCTCTCGCCAAAGACAGCCGCAGCAGAAAACGAGGAAGAGTAGAATGAAACTTGTAAAGCCCTGTGCATTTTTATAACCCTGCAAGGATGTCCAAGATCAAGACCAAGTTCACCAGGACTTAAATGAACAGTTGGGAGGTAACTACAGCCGCCGAGACCGCATCGAATGAACTTTCCACCAACAATATCGCAGAATCAAGTACCCGGCTGTTAAATCCTTGTCTCATTTTGACCAAACAGGGAAGACATCATTCTTGGAACGCCTAGGGGGCTTTGCTTTGGCTGGTGTCAAGATGACGTTTACTAGTGTCGTCGGGAACAACACCCCGCCAATCCGAGGACGGAAAAGAGAGCAGCAGCAGCAGCAACAACAACAACAAACACTTCTGGTGAGCAAAATAGCCAGTGCAGTGACATCGATGCACTAGTACAACCTCGGAATAGTCTGGGAAAGACATGACCTGCTACTAGTTAACCAGAAAGGAACTTGAAGTAATGGTACGGCTACTACTAGAGCACTCCAGCTGCCAGTGTCCATGTCAATACTACAACTACACAACTACAACTAATCAATTGAATAATGATGAGGAGATAGATGCAACTGCCGTACTTAAGAAAAGACCAGACCGCAAAGTGCAGCCCGAAAACAAGACGCTGGATTATTGTAATGTAGTACAAGGCACATCTTTAGCATACTCCATGATTCCATCGAATGCACCTCCCAAAACCAAATTAAAAAGTCGAATCGACGACAGCAAGAAAACTGAGACCGAGACCCGACCGGGGCTCAATTATTAAATCTAGTGCTCCAGAATACGGAGGGAACCCTGCACAACGCAGTTCTCCAGGACGGATCCAGGGGGGATATCAATAGTGCTGCCCTCGGTGGCGACGATGATCACTGTGCCCTTGAGAGTGACGTTGCGGCCCAGGTTGACGGCACCGGTGATGGTCAGGTGGTCCAGCTCGACGATGCGGGGGATACTGCCAATGCGCTTCTGGAAGTCGGAGACCTTCTTGAAGTCAGAGCCAAGCTTGATGACGGGAACACCGCCGAAGCGGTTGGGGTCCATGACGAGCTGGCCGTGCTCGAGGCGGTACAGGTCGGACTTGACGACCATCAGGTCGGAGCAGGTCTTGACGGGCAAGAAGCGGCGACGGGGCACGTTGACACCGTGGGCGTTCTTGAAGTGGCGGATGGCGGCACCGACGGCGGTCTCCAGCTGGTAGATGGCCTGGTCGGCTTCACCCTTCTTATCGGCGGGGATGGACTTCTCGTTGGCGATGATCTCCATCTCCAGCTCGTTCTCCTCGACAACGCGCTTGATGGCCTGGACGTTCATCCAGATGTTGTTGGTGTTGAAGTACTTGAACTTCTTGATGGACTTGAACTCGTTGACGTGCTCCTTGGGGACCTGGGCGATCTCCAGCAGGCGGACCTTGCCGTCCTGGTCAATGATGGTACCACCCTTGACATCGGCCTTGGTCTTGTCGGTCAACTCCATGATGTACTCCGCCTTGGAGTCAACCATGTGCTGCAGGATGCGGAGATCGACGACGGCGCCGAGGTTATCGGCGTTGGACAGGAAGATGTACTCAATGCCGCGCTCGATCAGCTTGTCGAGAGTGCCGGAGTTGTAGAGGGACTCGTAGACGTCACCGTGACCGGGAGGGTACCAGTCTTGGAGGGGAGCATCGAAGCTCTTGGGGGCGGGGAGGAGGGAGTCCTTGATGATACGGGGATAGCGGGACTGGTTGAAGGTAATGATATCGACGTTGTGGCCCTCGTACTTCTTGATAATGGACTGGGTGTCCTGGTCGGTGTTGAAGGAGTTCATGAGGACGAAGGGGACGTTGACGTTGAAGGTGCGGTTGAGGTGCTCAATCTGGCGGACCGACAGGTCGAGGAAAGACATGCCCTCACGGACCTCGATGACGGACTTGGGGCCGACGCAACCCATGGAGGTACCGAGACCACCGTTCAGCTTGACGACAGCCAGCTTGTTCAGGAACTCAACGGAGGCATCAGCACCGAGCTCGTCGTAGCCGACGACCTGCGAGGGCTGGGGAGGAGCGATGCGGTCCCAGTTGACAGCGTTACCCTTGGCCTTGTCATTGAGGAAACGACGGAAGAGGGCGAAGAAGTTGTCCATCTCGGTCTCGAAGCGCTTCTTGTCGGCGGGCTCAGTGACGGAGTCGGAGAGGGCGTTCAGGGCATTGCGCATCTGCGAGGCAGCCACGCTGGTGGAGGCATTCTCGAAAGCCTGGAGTGAGTGGGGCATTATTAGCATGAGGGGTACAAAAAGGCGAAAGGGGTGGTAGGAGGATGAATTAGGAAAATGTGTAGCAAGCCGATCGAGTAGAGGAGAGTAGATGGGGGAGGGGAGGGGAGAACAGAAGGTGGCGAGTAGATGAAGGAAGGAGTGAGGTATGGGAAGTAAACAGAGACCACCCTGGGGAGGGGCAGAAGTAGAAGCACTGCGATCCACGGGATGAATAGACAATGCGATGGTCCCGGCAAGAACGATCCAGTAAAAATGTGTGATGTCCGCAACGCAAATACAAAGGCATACAAAGTGCAACTCTTCTCTTTTCTCGACTCCTCAAGGAGGCAGCGGTGAGGCACTTACCATGTGGGACTGCGACTTGCCATGGTGCTTCCCGGAGAAAGAACCGGACGAAGCATCGGCCGCGGGGGGCAAGGTGAGTAGGCAGCGCCTTAGCAGCCATTGTGGAGGATTGTAGGGGGGGTTTTTTGGAGGCTGCGACTGTTGGGGATAGCAGTTAGTGGAGAGCTTAAGGTAGAGGAGATGCGACGGGCAGTGGATGGGGGTAGCGGACAACAACAAGATAAGAGATGGCGGGGCAGAAGAAAGAAAGGGACAAAAGGAATTGGGAAATTGGTGGAGAGGAGATTTTCAAGGCGAACACAGGAAACGTCCACGCCAACACAGAGGAGGGGTTAGTCGCCACGCATGTCGATCATGTCGACAGTGGCAGAGAGGAGAGAGCAGTAGTACCAACAACAGTGGCCCGATAAGGCGAATTGGGAGGTGGAAAGTACAGAGTACCAGGTACAAGTGACAGGGAGGGGGAATAGAAAGGAAATCAAGGAATACTCACGGATCAATGGAGAGAGGAAAGATGGAGAGAAAGAGAGACAGAGAGGAGGAGGAGGAGGAGGAGGGAAGCAAAGCAGAAGGAGGTGGGGGAGTAACGTGATATTTATTGTTCTTCACTTCTCCCCTTTACACTTCCACTTCCACTTCCACTCACCTATACTATTCTAGACTTACTCTGCTCTTGAGTTATTTATGGCTCTACTCTATCCATTCATTGCACTCTATCCTGTCTCTGCCATACTGATAGCTTCATAGGATGGCTTCATACTCCACTACTTCACCGCATCATCATTACCACCAATGCTTCACCACCACCACCACCACCACCACCACCACCACGGCTGAACAATCTCCCGCAAACCCTTTCCATGCTAATTCCAGAAGGACATCCAGATTCCAGATTCAGACAGATTCAGATTCCACAGTCCCGAATCCAGACCAGAGCCCCTTTTCCTTGCTCTCCTGTGGACTTCTCCACCCCGCCCGGGCCCACGCGTCCTGGCCGATCGTGAGCCCTCGTGCTGAAAGCAGCAGATGCCTCTCCGTTGAGGCGTCGACCCTGGAATGTACCACCTACAAAATCCCTTGTCCCTTGTACCTCGTACCACCAGGATGACGATCGCAATTGTCGTCATGATTGCAAGTGCAATTACAATTACAATTGCCACTGATATCCCAATGCCATCTCACTCCAAGCCATGTCACATTCAAGACAATCCCTTTCCAATGTCTCTCGCTGTCTCTCTTTTGTCTCGGTGCTAGCTCTGCAACTGGCTGTCCCTGTCCCTTACCCCCCGGAGTACATCCCTCCTGGGTCTTTCAAGGCCAGCCCGGCCCAAGTGGAGCGGCCGCAAATTAGCCTCCACCGAACCCAACCGCCCGCCAAAATTAGCGCCTACGTAATGCCAAATATCTGTCCAGGGGTGGTTGGGTGGGCCTTGGCAGGGCTGCAAAGCTGTCTGGGATATATTTTCCATCCTTTATCAGAAGCACTGGTAGCAAGCACTGGGTGCAGGGTTCAGTATCCGTTCTTTGCTCCGCTTCGTGCAATGCACGGTCACGGTGTGCTCGGACTATGGTACAGCTCTGACAGGTAGCTGTACAGAGTATCTCGCCCCAACCACCCTGAACGTGCATACTGTTTCTGCGCCACCGATCGTTGAGACTGGCTGCAATCCCAATCGCTATCGGCATCTTAGACCTGCCAAGTAGACTGCCCTGCGCAGCGCAACAATGCTTGGCTACATCCCACGTACCCAAGCCACCTCAAGTGATGTTCCAAGGTTTCTCTAATCTGTACACAGTACACCGTAAACTTTATAGTGTACTTATGTACTGCGCAATCAGCCACTGCTTTGCTTCACGCAAATTCTGCAATTTATCTTTGCGTGAGGTATCTCTCAACCAACACATCCATATTTCGCTTGCTCTGCAACCAACCGCTCATAACTACAGCTTCAGCTTATCCAACCGAACTGCATCTTACCCCTCCCCCCCCACCAACTGCAGCTCTTGAAGCTTTGGCCTGGCGACTCACTAGAATTTCAACTTGAAGTTCAAGTTCCAGCCAAGAAGGATAAGACAACAAATCTGCTCTACTACTACTACTAGTACTAGTAAATTCTACCATTCTCCCCTGGATCAGTCACCATACTACTAAATATAGTCAAACCAAAACCCAGCATCCATGGATGAATCACTTCTATGTAGATACCCATACGGAGTCCAAAATAGCTTATTCTCTAGCAACCCCCACTCTATTCGCCACATCCCGAACAAATATCCCACAAAGACCCGATATCTCGGAACACTCCGCGCAGCCCAAAAACCCAAGGAAATTTTGAACTTGAATATAACACATTAGCAAATACTAGTAGTAATTTCTTACTCCGTAAGGTAGGAACCCCCATCTCAACCAAATACCGACACCCCCAATCTAATCCACACTCCGCCACTGCCGACGGGGCCTAGCGCGCGCAAATCAAGCTTCTTCGCTGATCATCGAGGCAGTGCAGGCAACAGAGTTTCGGGAAGCCCCTGCTCAGATCAAGTCAGACCCAGTCCGATGCACCTTTGCAGACATGTGGGAAATTGGGGAAGACCACTGGAGTTGGGTAGGGGTTGGGGTTGACATTGACACCTGGGCCTATCAGTATGCGTGCGGACTAACTCTATGGAGTACATTTGTACGAATCGAAGTCTAGGCCTGTCCTGGTGGATCGGTCCCTGAAATTTGAACGGGTAGAGTACTCCGTAGTGAAGGGAGGATGCCATGGATCTTAATGAAATGAAATCTTGAGATTCGAATACGAGTATCCAATCCAATCCCCTGGTTAAGGAGTACGAGTACTCGTACTGTGCTTTGTTAATCGGATACTCCCTACACCATGCTGCATTAATTAATTCGTTAGTTTGAATACTAGTAGTTCGCATCTAAATAAAGACCCCCCCTCCCCTCCATCCTCCCCTCCCCCCTTCCCCTGAAACGTCTCCGTAACGCCTATCCACATCCATATCCACATCCACATTTTCCAGTGTTCGCGTCCACAAAAGGAGCATGGTAAAGCAGTTATCGTATTGATATCCCTTCCCTTATTCGCGCCAACTTTTGAAAACTCATACAAAATTTTGAACCCACCTTGCCATGAAATTCCGAACATTTCTGTAAAAGCCTTGATTTATTAGTCGACAGTTTGTTTCGTGGTAGCTTCCTTAACCCATCAAAGGAATATGACACGTGATTATTAAGTTGCTGCTTTCAAGCTTTAGACTGATCAAAGATTATTTGTACGTCGAAACTCTTGCTAGCATTTTCATGTCCTATGGTCGGGGCAAATGTGGTCCAAGGCCAACGGTCAACCACCACCACTACCGCTTTGGCCACTGCTACCTCCCCCAATAGCCTCAGTGCAAACGGTTAGAACATCGATGAGAAACTTGTCAAGTCAGCATCACTTCGCCGACGCAATCTACGCGACTTGTCTTCTCGGTATCACAGCAAGGGTTTGACCCTTGCACGAGCTGCCCACTATAAATTGATCAATGTAGCCCAAGTTAGAATGTGAGGTACCATACAGTTTACACATCCGACTCCAATATCAACAGTCTTCCCTAGTATATTGACAAGAACCACACTCTGGCAGCATTTTGGTGTCTGTTTGCCACTGGAACATGCAATAGAGGTTTCCCTCTTCGTAAATGGAGACGCAATAACGCCGCTGGCCACTATAGAAAGTATAAAGTGAGAGAGTAGCAGTTTGCCTAACTTGTCGTAAGTGTATATGAGAGTTGATTGTTATACAAAATATCTTTCCTGATCACCAGACATAATGAATACTTATATTCTGGGATAATTTGAAGGCCCAGTCCGGATCTCTGAGTAAAGTTCGCTATACTAACGGAACACGTTTCATGGTGTTGGTTCTTGGATTGAACCGGCGATCTACTCTTTGGCCTTGCGGCATTGTATAAGTAATCATACACCAGTACACCCTGGGTTAAAGTTTGGTACTTCTCTCATCCAATAGCCCTTGTAAGAGTCACACACCCTCTTGTCTGGTCGTGTTCCGGCTCCACTGAAATAAGCCTATAGCGGAAGGATTTTCACGCTGGCTCTTCCACCTTCTCAAGGCTGAATTCATTTTCCCTAGGACGATGACTCCGCCTCTGGAGCGGCTTAGAAAAATATCAGAAAGTCCATATGCTTGCTATACACGTGTGCCGGTCGATTTTGGATTCAACACCTACGGAACACCATCTGTCGATGATAAGCTGGACACCGACAACCTTACAAGGTGTCATTCTTCTGACATTGCCAAGTTTACCAACCTTAGATCTCTTCACTTCCAGGATCCACCCCCATCGCTCCCGCAGCCCCAATTGGCAGCGTTCATGGACACGGTCGTTTCCATGCTGCTTGATGTCCCGCTTGTTGATCTAGAAGACCTTGATATTTGGTTAGCTGAAAGAAAGGAATTTGAACGCTTCCCGGCCAAGGGCGAGAGTGGCTATTTCCATAAATCAATTGAAAGTCTTATGCCACGTCTTCGGCATCTCGGGTTGACGTCCGAGGATTTTCTCCCTCATTTTGAGACATAGCATCATCGTAATTTGTTAGCACTTGGTCATTTGCAACGGGAAGTCAATTCAAGAAGATTTTCGGTGGGATTAGAACCTTTCTCTGATGCGGAGTATCAATCTGAATTTGGAACTTGAACCCTAACGTAGGCTTGGAGGTCGATGCTTGAGCAAATATTTGTATTCTAGAGGCATTTTTATGATGCCAGTAAATAGATGTTCAAATTGGAATCAGTGCACGCATTGTCCTCTCGGGACGCAGAATGGGTTATTTTAAGACACCCGAAACACCCAAGCTAAATCATCAACTTTTTAATAAGAATAAATCAAAAATGCTTACTGAAATTGCATCTCCCAACCCCGCTCGGCAATATCAATCAACCATTCCCTATCTATGATAACGTCCTTTTCTCTTGGGGTCTGGGGGTCTCGTAGAAATAAGTGACGAAACGGAATTATCAAAGGACCTCCAGACAGCTCGACCTTGTCTGTCTGGTCTTCCGAAACCTCGATGTGTTGTGTCTGAACTGCGTTCCTGGTAGCTGGGTCCCACGTCCATTTATCTATGGTGATCATCGGTTTTTTGCAATTTATCTTAATTGCAATCGCTACTCCCACCATTCCACGTGTCGGATCGAGCCAAAGATTTACGTCTCGGCATAACTTACTTTGCGTCTCAGACACCCCAACCTCGACGACCACTGTGGGTCGTTTAGGACAGCCAGGAGGGGGCCTTCTTGGCCCCCAGCCTAGATCTGCCTGCTTCCTTCTTCCATTGACATCAATATCCACAGCTTCGTAGACGTAATTGAGGGCGTTATCAAGCCCCATAGGTTCAAGAACCCCATCGACGGCCTTTCTGAAAATGGCACCGACCTGGGTATGTTCGGCGGTAACCATCTTGATGATAAGTGTGTGCATTTTCGGATTGAATGATAGTCGGATGGAGAAGGTAAGGATCGGATTGTGTTCGAGGAAATCCCGTCGGAAGGTAAATGGATCAATATTGAAAATAAGGAATTCGGTGACCTCACAGGTTGCTGGCTCAGTGTTGGAGATATCGTCGGATGCAGTATTGAATTCGTTGTGTTCACGAGACTTTTGCATTGAGTTGAGTAGGCGTTCTCGTTCAACTGCGACGATTCGAGAGAAGTGATCTTGTCCTTCGTAAATGTACCGTCTCACAGATGGAGGCAGACCTTCTAAATCCTGGTCGGACTCATTTTGATTTGAATCGGACATTTCGCTTGATATCCTGAGGTCGAGGGTACCAATATAGGCAGGTGATGTGTCCAGATAACTTTATCCCAAGGTGGCTTATAAAATGTATTATTCCCACTGAGCAACTTTTGCTCTTTTCTTATCAAAGTTTAAATACCGTGACTGGATGTAAGCCCAAGGACTAAATCTCCTGCCGGCGTGCGGAGCTCCAAAAATCCCAAATTGGCTGCGTTGGCAGGCAGATATGACGTCCCTGTTACTCCGCTCCACAACAATGTACGTCAAAGGTTTTTAGAGTGGGTTTTCTGTTAAGCCTTCCAAGGTTGGTACTTGGAAATATCTAAATATTTGACACGCAGATACTGTAGTACTACCATTACGCCCTCCTTTTCAATATCCTTGATTCTCAAAAGTGCGAAGGGCCCGGGGTCCCGGAGTGACCCCTGAAGGGTACCCGCGTCCACACACTTTATTCGTCGAGATATACATAGTTAGTAGGTATCCTACTATTCAAGATCCTGCTCATCGTATTCAAATCCCGTAGACTCTAAGGCCACCGGACGAGCCGGAATCCAGCTCCGTGGCTTATGGTGATGAGGATATATAGGTTCTGTGACTATAGCATTGTAGGGAATTGGTTGCGGACCGGGAATTGGAGATATTCGTGTCGGTTCAGGTTCGGGTTGCCATGTGTAGTATGGTTGCGGGTAGAAGTTCGCCGATTGATCAAGGATCGAAGGATGACCCGCGATTTGATGTGACGATTGTAGATTTTGAAATGAAAAATAGGCCGGATGGCTTAGGTCTACCATTTGCAGAACCTGCGCAAGGTGCCGACTCATGATATTCTCGAGTTCTTCTTGATGTGGTGGTAGTGGAGCCAACGGAGTTCCATCAGGAATTGTGGTCGAGGGCAGGATATCGGATGAATTTCGTAGATCGTGGCCATGTTTTTCTATATCGGCCGGTGATATTCGGACAGGGAAGCATAATGGTTGAAGACGGTCAAGCTGTGAATGAAACCCGGTAAGCTATATGATCTCGGGTAGTATGTGAGGCAGTAAGAAATAAACTGGGATTACATACCAGTTCTTTACACGAGGACCAATAAGATTGGAGGTGCAGCAGCACAAGAAGGCTGGATAGGGCTCGTTTCCTCAATAAAGCCAACGCAGGTGGGCTAGTATAGGGTGGATTTCCGGTAGATCCCTGAAACATCTTTAAAGAAGCCAAATGGATCGACGCTGTCAAGAAAGCACAATATGCAATAAAAGGTGGATTTGCCGAGGCGTTAAATGGAGCAAGAGACATAAAGCAGGTAGCGACATCTGCAAAATTATTCAGGTGGGACATCGAGACACGGGCGCATAAGTTGACGTAATCGGGGGGTGCTGAGGCGTTTTGTCGTAGGAACATGAACATGGAAAGATGGAGCAGAGCTCGACACTGGTGGTAGACTGCGTGAAGTGATAGCAACAGTTCTGGGACCTCGCCTGAGTCACAGAGGCTACCCCCATAAACGTTGCGTAGTGTGGTGGGAAAGGATGAATAGCAGGAGATGATTTTACTATCCAACGCAAAGAGAGCTGCCCACCTCCCCGTCAGAGCCGCCTCGGGTGCAAGATTGTAAATGAACCTGAGATTTCGAATGAACGCTCTAGCCTCACGCCTAACAAAGTTATTTAATATGGTTCAAAATCCTCAGATAGCCCTCGAAAAAACATACCAGAGGCCCAATGCCTTGAACAAGGCTTCCTGCCCAGGAGTTGGCCGTGTCTCCAGTGAGACCGACAACGTGTTATCAACATCCTTGGTGATAAACCTGTTGTAGGGTTGGGTAATATCAGATATATCCATATCCTGATTTGAGTTGGCGAAACTATCATCAAGGACGAAACATCGACAGATTGTGTCGGCCCAGAAACAAGACCATCGCAGATCACGGGATTGAGGTTTCGGCAGATGTGAGCTTTGCATTTGTAAGTCGCGTGCTGCCTGTATAACTAAATCTATGTGCGCGTAAGCCTGAGCCTAAAACTAGTATAGATATTATCTGAAACCAGGATGGACTTACTCGCACCCGCCTGGGACCTTTCTCTCTGACCAATGCCAAACCAATAAGTAGTAAGATTGGAAAGCATTCGAACGGTGTCGACAGAAGGCACTTGCAATTGGAGGGAAGCGATGTGCCCAGCATTATTCGCCCAGTCCTGGCCGTGGTGAGGAGCGATTTGGGAGACGTCTGCCGAGTCATCGAGTCGACGCCACTTGCTTGGCGCCTGTGTGCGGCCCAAGAATAAAGAAGCCAAGGCGAACATGGCGTGCAAAACACCGGTACATAATTCGCCATTTAAATATAGTCGTTTGGTGCGTCCTTGTTGGGAAATAATACTGGAAGGAATGAACTGTGAAAAGTAGACATCCAGCAGGGTGAGCCCATTTGTTTGCGAGGCTAATTGAGTATCTGTCGCTAGTGCCATTATGAGATTTGACTGGACCCCCATAGGCCTAGTTTGATATACATTTTCGAGTGCGGTGCTATTGTCGTCTCTGGGCGTGGCCACGATACGTGCTTCTCGTTTTTTGCGCTGGGGGTAAGCACAATCGACTCCTAAATGACGACAGCGTTCACAAGTTGGCAGTTCGCGGGAGCATTTGCGCTATATCTGTTACTAAGTGACCGATTCAAGGCGTATATATGTAAATTACCTTGAACCTTCGACAGCGCCGACAGGAAAGACTGGTGGAACTCATTTTTTTGGCGGGAGTGGAATATGAAGGTGGCATGAAAGACCGCGGGCAACACAGGAATGTAACTACAACCGCGCTAACCTTGATAGGAAAGGACGGAATAAGCCTGCAGATCTCCCGAATTATATGAAAAAAGAAACAAAAGAAAACACAAAAGAAACCACTCATAAAAAGAGCAAAACATTCATTTCAATCAGAAATCTTCATCACTAACACATAATTCATGGAGACCCCAGAGTAGCAAATTATTCTCTCCTGGTTCGCAGACTACTCAGAAAATCGAAGCAAGACACGTGAATTCCACTATTTCAAAACAATGTCGTGAAACCAATCTAGCAGCCGTTGATTCATAATGACAGCGGCTCCAACGTGGCAATGATGACCTGCCCCGTCCACGGCAGTCAACGTATCAAGTGTCGCCTTTGCTCCGATATTTTCTTTCACTAAGCCCGGCTGTCCCTGAAAGAAATGATCATCGGCCGCATCACCGACATAAACTGGACATTCAATTTGGCCCTCGAGCCCCTCCAGTGTCATTTTCTTGATCCCATCAAGCAACCCGCTCACATCTTCGACGTTGAAAGACCACAGTCCTTGGTCAATTATCCAACGAAGTGTGGTGGATGTATCAGTCTGAGAGCGGAATTCATCGATCTGAGCATTCAAGCTCAACGCATCACCGGCTTCGAATGATTTTAGCCACTCAGGCGGCAAAAGATCATTCGCGAAGGATTTATAAATGTCCCAAAGCCCGTCCACGGCTATGACAGCTGCCAGGCGGTGTTCAAATGCTGCTGCCCGAACAGACAAGTATCCACCGAGCGAGTATCCCAGCAAGCCGATACGTGCAGTGTCAACTTCAGGCTGATGGAGCAGGTAGTCAACAACGGGTGTAACAGCTTTCTCCCAATCATGGATGAACCCTTGGTTCTGCCCTCGGCGAATCGTTGGCTGTCCAGGTCCCTCATAAACAATAACGTTGTAGCCTCTCTCCAGCGCAGCGAAGCCAGAAACATGAAGCATCTCCTCTTGCGCGCCGTCATACCCATTCCCGAGAATCAAAGTTGGTCTGGGATTAGTGAAATTGTCATCGGCGCGGAAGAAAATGCCATGGACGTTGAAACTGTCCGCTGGGAGGATAACACGCTCCCCGGGAATGGGCAAGAGTGCGATAGCCTTGTCGAATGCGAGTGTCTGTTGGGTCCAGAGACCATTGATTCGGGGGTCGTTTGGATTGCCGTGAATGAAGAAGTCTGCGGCGCGGAAATATGATGCAGCCCGAAAGTAAGCATCTCGTGCGGAAACAGGGTGGGCTTTAGCATTGATTCCGTCGGCCTGTGCTAGGACGCGTGAAGCGAGGTTGGCGAAGGCGTCGTGGAAGCTTTCCATGTTTCCTGGTTCGATATGCTCCGCTGCTTCCAAGACTTCACCGATGTCTGCACCTCTGTAGCGGGCAAGAGCTAGGGTGCGGAGTATCTCGAAATTAAATGCACCATCTGGGCTGAGAGGAAGCATGATGAAGAAATATTTGCTTTGCACCTATGTAGTATTACTGGTGTGACGTATGATTGTACCGATGTTCCTCGGCGGTGGACGTTCCAACTTGAAGGCTGTCGAGAATAGGATCTGGCCTGGATAAGGAGTTTCAAGGTGGCAAGATGCGGGGGAAGGATATATATGTTTTTCCGATGCATAAAGTAGTACACTAGTAACTACTAGTAGTTCAAATTACGTAGCCGGCTTTGTTCCCAAGTCCGAATCGCTTTTTTGGGGGCCGATTTCGCCGAATCTGCGCGTCAAAAGTCCGTCCGCCCCTCACAATTGCGGTCGATCACTGCGCAGATCTATGATTTTGGGCCTTATGTGACCTGAATCAGAGTTATCATTTCTTTGATCAGTGTTCGCCAGTAGAATTCCTCTCTCACAAGTAGAGCATAATGGATTTTGACTGGTTGTAATTTTAAATTGTTTTGCAACTCACTGAAGTCCAATCCATCGAACTTCCAAGAGGTTGGTTTATTCATTCCTAGCTGTAACTAAAGGTAGGGATAGTATCTTGATGAAACCCTAAGGTCACAATTTGAGTCCAAATCCTTTAAGTCAAGCCATCGCAAGCTTTACCTTTTTTACACTTTGCCCAGGTGATAGATGCAATTTGAAGGTTCAAGTTCCAACCTTGGAAGGTTCTTGTCCGAGTTAGATGCCCACTGGCAGGTGGGTGGTTCCTGGGCAGTGGGTCCCGAGGTCTACAAGTAGTTACTAGTACCTAGTACCACCAAAATATGTTTCGCGACCTCGCGGGCGAGTGGAATTGCAAATTTGTGATCCATACCTAGTAGCTTTGTGTAACATTTTCGACTACCGAGACAATTGACGAGAACTTAAATCTGCTACCTGATATATATATACTAGTATATTTGAATTACATCGAAATCGTCCTTTTTACAAAACAGCCCACTTGAATCCGCCTTTCACAACACGAGTCAGCACGACCAGGGCGGCACCAGCACACATTGTGGCCCCGGCAAAAATCTCCAAATAGCCATATTTACCCTTGTCAACAGCAACCAAGGCCCCGGCAATCGGACTCCCTGTAAGCACGGCGATTGACACAAAAAAATATAGAGCTCCTGTACGAATGCCGATCTCCTGGATAGGAGACAACTGGGCAATAAGAGCTGGTGTCAAAGAGACATAAGCGCCAGAAAAGAAACCAAAGAATGCGGCATATAGAATAATTGCGACGTTCGAGCGGCCAGTGAGCCATATCGCAAAGGTTAGAATACCCGAAACCAGGGTTGCCACAGACATGACATTGAAGCGACCGACCCGGTCAGCGATCAGACCGGGAATGATACGACCAAAGACACTAAACGAATTAGTATAGACTTCCTTAATCGCGAGGTTTAGTTGAAAAACATACCTGGTTGCGTTAAGAATCGCGACGAGATAATTCGCCAAATTGGGGGACATGCCGAGGGTCTGCGCTTGAGCAGTAATAAAGTTGAAGGGTAGGAACAGTCCAAACGAAAAAAGCGATAGCGATATGACCAAAAGCAGAAATGGGATTTCCGTGAAAGGCTTGATGTACTGTCGAATATGAACTGGCTTCGGTTCGTGAATCAGCCGCGATTTCACAGTAAGATTGACGATAACAAGACCCCCGAGGATGAGGAAGGCAACCGCGCGCATAGTCCAACCGAAGCCAACTTGGTCGATGAGACGGTCAACCATTACAGGGAATATAACACCGCCAATAGAGGCACCAGAGGCGGCAATTCCAAAAGCAGTTGCGCGTTTCGCCCGAAACCAGCTAGCAAGTGAGCCCAGACAGGCATAGTAGATGGCGCTGGCACCTATAGCACTGCAAATTGCCTGCGACAGGAATATCTGATAATACTCCTTGGAAATAGAGGTCATCATTAGGCCGAACACATGAGCGAATCCACCGACAAGCAACAGCCACCGAGGTCCGTAGTGATCGAACACTTTGCCCAAGACAATGCCGCCACCATACATCATGAATATTTGAGTGGATGCGATCCAAGCAATTGTGGATGCAGAGTAAGCGCGCAGTAGTTCTTTTTCGTAATAATTCTGAAACACACCAAGGGAGTTCGTCCAGCCGAAGGCTATGAAGAGAGCCCACCAGCTGCCAAAGGTGACCAACCAAGCATCACGGCCTCCATCGGGAGGATCATTGGTGGCAACCTCTGCGGCCGATGGTGGTGAAGTGTGATCATCTTTTTCGACATCTGGCCCTGGACGAGCTTCGGCCAGAGTTGACTCGCTAGTCGAATTCGTTTGGTGCGTTGGCATCGCACGTAAGGATTTCTTGATATCAATCTATGGGAGAAAAATAAAATAAACAAGAAACGGAATGATCAAATGGAATGTAGGAGAAGGTAACAAGAAATGCAATTGCATGAAAAGCTAACTCGTGAGGTGATAGCCATGGCATTTCCACGGGCTTTTTAAGGAGATGCCGAGCTCGGTGGCTTCTAAGGGCGAGGACCGAGTGCAAAGCTTGGTGGAATATGCAGGTGCGGACTTTCGCTTCGTACTTTGGCGCTGCAAATGTCCGCTTGACGCTGATTGGTGCACGTAAAATAGTAACACGCCGAAGTGTGCGCACTGTGGAAAATGATGTGATAAAACTCTTCGCATCCCATTCCCATGTCCATTCAATTAACCTTAAGATCCGACAATAAGTTTCTGTAAGATTAGTACGACAAATTCGCCTAGAATAAAGAATGCTTTCAGAGGTACCGTACGCGGTGAGAGCGATCTTGCCAAGCGTGTGGATCGCCGCTTTCAGCCACAGCCAAGCCGCCCTGAAGAAACGTTAGGCATCCTGGCGCTTTCTCCACCGTTTGGCCCATATAAATCACTTTTTTTGTTTGAAAATTCCGCCCCAGTTTCGACAATTCTTCACATAAGGAGTCCTTGTGTAGCCTCTCTAATCGTTGTTATCGAAAGGTTATGGAAGAAGAAGACACGAGCAAACGGACACGAAATGACAGAATGGACACACTGGAAAGAATGGAGTTATCCAAAGGCCCACTTAGTAAATAGAGTAATACAGAACGTAAATTAAAAAAAAAATTCTACGTGCAACCTCGGAAAAAGAAATCGGGAGCCTCCCATATTGGCTGCCCGCGGGCCGTCGGGAATCGGATATACCCGAAGTCCCGTATTAGGCAGTCTATGAGAGGACTGACTGTACCCGCTGGCTTGAGAGAAAAAGCCAAATTATAGCCAATTAACCGAAGGAATACGATCTTCATAGGATTGCAGCATTGTGAGTGGAGAATGTCAGATCTGAGCACGCAAACATTCAGCCTCGCTAAAGTACGATACGAGAATGTAGTTACCTGATGCGTGTTCGCTTTTTGTGATCGGGGCATGAACCTCAATAAGGCATCCTGTACTCAAAAGTTGCAGGGTTTCAACTACTGGCACGGGGATGCTTCCGGTACTGACCGATTGACGCTACTTGATGATCCGATCCATGCTCGTGTTCCTTCAATGGAGGCTATGTCAAACAGTACCACGTGTTTTTTTGCGAAATTTAGTTACCAGATTTACATATTGTCAATTCAAATTAAACCATACCGCGCAACTTCTGCACTTCTTGTCGCAAAGATTCAAAGTACCATATTCTCCCGTCCAGATGCCACGGATAGAGAGCCCACCGCTCTCATTAACCATACAGACCAAGCGTATATGGTGGGTTGCGGAATGATTGAACGAAGACTAGGCACGTGCAGCAAGTGCTTCATCGTAAGCTTGGCTTTTTTTTTTAGATTGGGTTTCTATTGCGCGATGTACCGTTAAGGATGGGTAAGCCTTCAAATCTTGGGTTCGAAGTTTGATTGTGGCTTGAATAGAAGTCGCCATTCGTCGATAATAATGCAATGCTGACTGGCCCCGCTACTTGGCCCCTTCATAGTCCCATCGATTTCGTATTCAGCATTTCGCTGCAACAATGCTCCAAACCTCGTAGGCCGATGCAGCTCTAGACTGGATATTCGTGGTGGGGAGCCTCTGATGCAGATGAGATTTTAGTTCAATTCGTAGATAGAGAGCGATATAATCACGTAAGAGGGATCAATATCAGGGCTATATAACAGCACCAGGAAGCCAGTAACTTGCAAAACCATAGAAAAATACACCAAGAATATAGACCGAGCTTTATAAAATCATGGCTCCCATCATTGCCACTTACTCTAGTCCATCATCTGGAACAGAGTCGGATGACATAGAGACTTCGTCTAGTTATAGCTCGACTGTCATCTCGGAAGTCAGTGATGATGACATTCGGCCGGGAATCCGGACGAACCATTCTGCCATCACGGGTATGGCGTGCCGGGTTGCCGGTGCTACAAATGCGCGTGAGCTTTGGGACGTGCTGGAAAAACGAGAGGATCTCCAGCGTAAGATGCCGGAGGATCGATACAATGTAGACGCATTCTTTCATCCACAGGGAACAAACAAAGGAACGGTAAGTTGCTTATTCCTGTCTGAAAAGGCCCCAGTGATATCCGATACTGATGGAAGTTGTAAACCGACAGACAAATGCGCGCTATGGTTATTTCTTGGACCAAGGGCTCGATAAATTTGATGCCCAATTCTTCAATATCTCTGGAAAGGAAGCACAGGCGATGGACCCGCAGCAAAGGTTGCTATTAGAGGTCGTTTATGAGGCTGTCGAGGATGGTAAGTCTACAAAAGGCGCCATGACCTCAAAGAAAATGAACTGACATGGCATAGCTGGGATCACCCTTGATGAGCTCAGTGGCTCTCGGACCGGTGTTTTTGTCGGTTCATTCACCAACGATTATTCAGTCCAGGCACAGAGGAACCTTGAGCACTATCCCAAGTACAGTATCACGGGTCTGACAAACTCTATCCTCGCCAATCGTATCTCCTTTTTTTTCAACCTTCATGGACCTAGCTACCAGCTAGACACGGCCTGCTCATCATCCTTGACATGTCTTCATCTGGCCAACCAGAGTCTGCAAAGTGGAGAGAGTGATGTTGCTATTGTATGCGGGTCTGCAATCCATTTTGACCCGTACATGTATATCACGATGACCGATTTTGGAATGTTGTCAACTGATGGCCGCTGCCGTGCATTCGACGTTGATGGCTCTGGTTATGTCCGTGGCGAAGGTGTCTGTGTCGTTGTTCTCAAGCGCGTCCGGGATGCGGAGACTGGAGGCGATACCATCAAGGCAATTATTCGTGGAAGCGGTATCAACCATGACGGACTCAAGGAGGGGTTGACTATGCCCAACCCGAAGTCGCAGGCCGCACTGATCCGAGAGACATATAAGGCTGCCGGGCTATCCACCGCTGACACTCAGTACTTTGAAGCACACGGAACCGGTACTGCAGCAGGGGACCCGCGCGAGTCCAACGCCATCGGATCTGTGTTTGGCCCAGAGCGTTCCAAGCCCTTGTATATCGGCTCTCTCAAGACCAACCTGGGTCATTTGGAGGGTGCATCTGGAATTGCCAGCATAATCAAGACAAGCTTGATGCTGCAAAAGGGAAAGATCGCACCAAATTTGCTGTTCAAGAACCCCAACCCGCAGATTGATTTTGAGCGTGGGAAGCTCAAGGTCGCCACTGAAATGATTGACTGGCCCGCCACTAACGGCCCCCGACGTGCCAGTATTAATTCCTTCGGATTTGGTGGCAGTAATGCTCATATCATTCTTGACGCTTACTCGCCATTGAGGCAACCGGGCATCATCTCCACTGTTTCCGACGAAGAATTGAAGAACCGCCCTTTCCTGCTTCCATTATCCTCACACTCGGAAAATGCTGGCCGGCGCCATATCACCAACCTCATGGCTTATGTGGAGCAGCGGCCAGAGATCGCAGTGGCTGATCTGGCGTATAGCCACAGTGTTCGTCGCACATTGCATCCCTACCGTTCCTTTGCTATCGGCCAGACCCTGTCAAGCCTGGTGACCGACCTTGCTTCTCCCAAGCCAGTGGCCGCGTGGATGCGTAAAGCTTCCTCACCTCCACGTGTTGGCTTTGTCTTCACTGGACAGGGAGCTCAGTGGTATGCCATGGGTAGACAGCTGATAAATCAGTGTCCGCTATTCCGCCAAACATTGGAGAAATGTGACCGGGTGTTGCAGCGTCTCCCAGACGCTCCTCGTTGGTCCTGCGTTGATGAACTTCTCAAGCCAGCCGAGGAGTCGCGTGTCATGGAGAGCCAATTTTCTCAGCCCCTGTGTACTGCACTCCAGCTCGCACTGGTCGATCTTCTCCGTTCTTGGGGAATTAAAGCATCGGCTGTCGTTGGCCACTCTTCGGGAGAAGTTGGCGCTTCTTATGCAGCAGGTATCCTCTCATTCCAGAATGCCATCACCTGCGCCTTTTACCGCGGGCTTTACATGTCAAAGGGCGTCGGTTCCGCATCAGGAGCAATGATGGCGGTGACAATGACGGAGTCTGAGGCGAAGACTGCATTGGAGCCGTTCAATGGCCGTATTACATTGGCAGCCATAAACAGCTCGTCTAGTCTCACTCTTTCTGGGGACGAGAGTGCTATCCTGGAACTGAAGGCCACTCTTGACGAACAAAATATCTTCGCCCGGAGACTGCAAGTTGAACAAGCTTTCCACTCCCATCACATGTTCCCTCTCGCACCAGGCTTCAGACAAGCTCTATCCACATTGTCCACCTTTCAGCCTCGGGTAGGCAAAGTCCCGATGTTCTCCAGCGTCACAGGCAGACCGTCAGGAGCACGCGCTATGGATGCCGAATATTGGGCGGCCAATATGACAGGAGTGGTGCGGTTCTCCGATGCGCTGGCCGGTGTGCTGATCGGCGAAGACGAAGAGCCCGCTCTTGACGTGTTGGTTGAGATCGGTCCCCATCCTGCGCTGAGAGGACCGTCCAAGCAGATCATGAAGGGGCTAGGGGTTGACTTGCCATACATTGGCTCGCTGGACCGCAAAGTGGACGCGTATGAGAGTCTGCTTGCTACAGCCGGGCAGCTGTTTACCTTGGGCTATGACGTCGATCTCGCCGCAGTGAATGCCGGGCATGTGATGGGTCCGTTTGGAAAACAAGAACAACACCAACTTGGAAGAGCTTTGGATGACTTGCCCAGTTATGCATGGGATCATCAGAGCTATTGGTCTGAGACCAGAGTTGCCCAGGAGTACCGTCAGCGAAAGGCCCGTCACGGGGTTTTGGGAGCCCTAGTCCCAGGCACACCTGCGGCCCATCGCCGTTGGCAGAGATACCTTCGACCGACCGAGCTTCCATGGCTCACAGAGCATGCAATTGATGGCAAGATTATTTTTCCCGGCGCAGGATACTTGTCGATGGCCCTTGAGGCTATCACCTCCGATCTGGAGCCCAACGCGGTGGATGAGATCATCATTCGGGATGTCACTATCAAAGCGGCGCTGTCTATTCCCGAGTCAGACGCCGGAACAGAGACAATGCTAGACCTTGTTGATCTCACTGGAGAACAGCAGACCCAGTCTACTCATTCCTGGAGCCGATTCACAATCTACTCATTTGATGATGGCAAGACCACGGAGCATTGCACAGGACTCATCTCCGCAATTGTCCGAGACCCTGCGATTGCTTCAACGGCCAAGAGTGAGGGCTGGGAGTCCGAATCTTCCTTTGCCGATCTTCAGGCACTGACCACACGCTCGCAGCTTCCTTCGAAGTTCTACGACCGACTTTATAATGTGGGCCTGCAGTATGGGGACAATTTCCGTCTCATGCGTGGCCCCATCGAGAGCGGCCCCGGTTTTGCTATTGCTCCAATGGTATACCGTCCTAAGAATGTGACGACAATACCGGAGGACGAGTGCATCCTGCATCCCAGCTTCTTCGACTGCACTCTGCACACGCTCTTCGCGGCCCTTGAGACTCACCTCCAGAGGCCCTTGGACGATTCCTATATCCCAACTTCCATTCACACGGTTCGTGTGTCGGGCACTCTTGTTCGTCGGAAGCACGACGCGGAAGACCAGGAGTTTTGGGTCAGGGCAGATAATGAACGTCTGAGTCCCCGTGTCAGCAGAAGCGACATCTTCATTCACGACAGAGACTCCAATACTCAGCTTGTCACGCTGAAAGGGTTGGAAGTTACTGGACTGGGAATTGGAGACAAGAGCCTGGATGAGGACAGGAATTTGTTTTTCCGAATTCATTGGCAAGAGGCGTTTAGTCTTCAAGGACTCGTCGATAAGAAGTCGCTTTCGTCTGACATTGGTGATCTGCTGGGGATTTACGCGCACCAGTTTCCGGCGGCAAAGCTTCTCCATGTCACCCCTGGCTTGCTACAGACCCAAAGGTTGCTTACCCGAGTTGTAACCCCTGAGGATCGCCGGATCCAGAGTTTCTCGGTACTTGCCGCGAATGAGACAATGCCTGCTTTGAACGAGCAGCTGGATGCTCTTCTCCCAGGTTTGCGGCAGGAGGTTGACCTCGCCAATGACCAATTCGACATTGTCGTGCTGGAAGAGCGCACAGAATCAGATCCGCTGTCCCTGGTGAAAGACGATGGCTTCCTGGTAACCTTGACAGATATCGCTGAACAGGGCCTGCAAAAGCGTTTCTCGGCCGGACAATGGACGGTCTGGCAGAAGATTGCAGCGGAGCGTGAACAGCCAGTCAAGGAAAATCTGCATCTTATTATTTCCTCGCAGCCATCACCAGAGACACTGGCTATTGCCGCTGCCATCGAAACTCGGAACCCCAGCACTCAGACAAGCACTTTGGAAGCAGTCCCTAAGGAGGCCACCCACATCATCTCACTCGTCAACCTGGATGAAGATTTGTTGTACGATGCGTCTTCAGATCACCCCACTCAGTTTGATGCTGTTCGAGCTCTGTTTGTATCGGAATCTCTGAAGATCGTTTGGCTTCTGAGAGGCGCCACCCAAGAGCCCGTTCGCCCTGCACAGGCCTTGTTTACGGGTCTTGCCCGTGCGGCGCGCAGTGAGAACGAAGATCTGCATCTCGTGACGCTGGATGTGTCCGATACGTCCGACGCGAAAGCAATTGGGAATTTTGCAGTGCATGTTCTAGATCCTTCTGTGGCAGAAGATGAGCTACGTGTCAGCAACAGCAGGCTTTATATTCCTCGTGTGCTCACTGACGATCAGCTCAACCGCAAGCTGCCAAATGGTCCTGGTCGCCAGCCTATTCGACAGGCGTTCACCCAAGATAAAGTGCTAGCCTTGGAAGTTCTCCGCACCCCAGGACAAGCAGACTCTATCGTGTATACGGATGGCCATGGTTTAATTACCGATAAACTCGATGACCATGAGGTTGAATTTCGAGTGTCTGCATCAGCCATCAGCGATCGAGATGCCGCCATTGTCGCCGGAACCTTACACGATAGCCACCTGGGAGAAACTGCTGTCGGATTCGTTACTCGTGTCGGCGCTCATGCGGATGGCTCCCAGATCCGTGTTGGTGATCGCATTTTCGCGTACTCGCCTCAAGGGGGCGCTCACCGGTCGCTTCTCCGTTTGCCAGAGAAACTCACGTTTGCTATCCCGGGCGAGATCAGTGACACTGATGCTGTTGCTCTTGGGCACAACCTCATAATTTCACACTACGCGTTGCTCGATATCGCTCACCTGAGGGCAGACGAGCAATGTCTTGTACTCGGTGGTGCTTCTGGCCTTGCCCAGGTCGCGGTGCAATTGGCAGAGGCGGTGGGTGCACACGCGTTGACTGCTGTCCCCACTTCGAAGGCGACCAAGGCCAATGTCATTCTTCGTACGGATGCTTCTACTCCTTTCACTCACGAATTATGGGACGTGTTGGCTATTGGTGGCCGGATTATCGACCTTGCTGCCACCTCCGCCCCTTGGAATGCCGGCGCCTTCCTTCCTGGATATTCTTATACTGCGGTCGATCTGGCAGCGGCCAGTCGCCAAGATGATCGCCTGGGGCCCCGACTAGTCCAGAGTGTCCTTCAACTGTTCCAGCAGCAAAAGTTTTCTATTCCCAGCCCGGTGACAAAGTTTGGATATGGAGAGGCCAGTCAAGCTCTCCGACACTCACGTTCGAATGGCGGTGGTGGCCAGCTAGTGCTCTTTGAAAGCGCAGGCGAGCAAGTAGCAGTTGCACCACCCACCTATAGCAGCATGCAACCGCTGTTCCAATCTCACAAGACCTACCTGATCGTTGGTGGACTTGGTGGTATTGGTCGTGCTCTGTCTCAGTGGATGTTCCGCCGTGGTGCTCGCCAATTTGCCTTCCTCTCGCGCTCGGGTGCCCGCAAGGCCGAGGCCAAGGAGACTGTGAACTGGCTCGAGCATCGCAAGGCGACAGTTACTGTTTACTCGGGGGATGTCACCTCCGAGAAAGATGTCCGTGACTGTGTCCAGCTCATTGGAGATAGTCTCCGCGGTGTGATTCAGGCCGCCATGGTTCTAGAGAGTGGACCCCTATCTGAAATGACAGCTGCACAATGGGCATCGGTTATTCGACCCAAGGTGTATGGCGCTGAAAACCTTCATCACGCGACGAAAGAGCTCCCGCTTGACTTCTTCATCTGCTTCTCGTCCATCTCAGCCATTATCGGGTTTATGGCAGAGGCCAACTACTCCGCTTCAAATGCTTATCTCGATGCCTTTGTCCGGTGGCGCCATGCACAAGGTTTGCCGGCCTTCGCAATGAACGTTGGAGTAGTTGCCGATGCTGGCGCCATCGCCGAGGATGCGCATCTGCGGGCTATCATCGATCGCATTGGCATGGATGTTCTCACAGAGGAGGAACTATTCTATCAAATTGAAGAAGCGATAAATGGCCAGCTGGTATTCTCGCAGCAGCCCCTGGAAGGATGGGTTGGAGATCGCCACCAGCTTCTCAGCGGTATCAACACTCGTCGGACCGATCTTTTCTGGTCCAAGAAACCTTTATTCCGCAACCTGTATGCCGGACGCAGCCAGAAGTCGACAGTCTCAGGCAACTCGGAAGAGCAGCAGCTTTCCGAGCTCCTGCAACAAGCAGGAGAATCCGATAAAATGTTTCCTGTGCTGTTAAATGCTTTTTCCGATCGCATTGCTAGCTCCTTGGCTGTTTCCCGTTCCATTGTTCAGGCCGGCGTGCCTCTGGCTGCATATGGAATGGATTCTCTTGTGGCAGTCGAGTTCCGCAAGTGGTTCTCGAAGGAGGTTGGGGTCAACCTTGCTCTGTTTGATATCCTAGGTTCAAGGTCGACTGGTGACCTTGTGGCCAAAGTTTGCGACCTGGTGGTTGCGAATGATTCTCTGAAGGGACCTGGTGCCAATGACACGCAGGCTGCCTCATCTGAAAGTCCCCAGGCCTCGACTGTGGCCAAAACTTCGGATGTGATTTCCATAGTGAACCCACGCCCGGCTCAGATCCCTATGTCGACCTTCCAGCGCCGTCTCTGGTTCATGCATAACCTTACCGCTGACAGTGCCTCGCTAAATGTTTCAGTTTCCTTGATAATCGATGGAACACCAAAACTGTCCGTCTTGGAAAAGGTTTGGCAAGAACTTGGCCGTCGCAATGAAAGTTTGCGAACCTCTTTCTTTGAAGGTGATGATTTTGCAGAGCAGGAGATCGTTGAGAATGGCCTGATTCCAATTGAACAAGCCGATGTTAGCAACACATCAGACCCCGAAGAGTCTCTTCGCTCTTTTGCTACTGCTCTTCGCCAACGGGCTCTCGATGTCGACGTTGGACAGCTCATCCGTTCTGCCTTGGTGAAGTTTGCAGACTCCCGGTATGCTTGGGTTCTCAGCATCCACCACATGGCCATTGATGGCGGCAGCAAGGCCTCACTCATGGGTAAGTATATTTGGATTTCCCCCTCGCACATCAGCTCTAATCTAATTTTATTGTAGAACAAATCAGCACGTTATACAATGCCATTGCGAGCGGTACCAACCTCAATACAGTAACCCAGCCCAAACTGTCATATGTTGATTTCACTTTATGGCACGATCAGAGGCTGCAAATGTCTGAAATTCAGGATGAACTGAAGTGGTGGCGCAAAACGCTGGCTGGTTCTCCTGCCGCTAGCAAACTGTTGCCATTTGCTCAGAATGATCGTCCTGCTAGCTCCAGTCGGGAGCGTGATATCGTGCGAGAAGAGCTCAACAAGCAGCTTTTCAAGCGCATGAAGCGCATTTGCAGTCGTCTCGAGGCCACTTCATTCCATTTTGTTACCGCTGCTTTGCGGGCTTTCCTGCACCGATACACTGGTGAAAATGACCTGACGATTTTAGTGGTGAGTGGTGAAAGACCACATACCGAACTTGATCAAGTGCTTGGATTTTTTGTCAATATGATCCCACTTCGTTCTGAGATGACGGGTGACGAGACTTTTGATGAGCTAGTCACGCAGATCAAGACACAGGCGGTTGACGCCCTAGGCCGGTCGCAAGCTCCATTTGATGCTATTGTGGAGGCCATGAACATCGGGTGGAGTCCTAGTCATTTTCCTCTTGGGCAGATCGCTGTCAACTACCAAACATACGCCAAAGCACCAACCTATCCTACAGTCGACTTCGATATTCCAGAGGTCTGGGTTGAGGATATGCCCACTGCATTTGAGATGCAGCTCGAGATTACGGAAGACGAACAGGGTGGATTGAAACTCCGCCTTGAGTTTGATTCATTCCTTTACAGCAAGCCAGACATGGAGCGGCTGTTCCAAAATTTCAGCACATTCCTCACGAGCGTGGTTCAGGATTATCGCCAGCCCATCGAGGAGATTGAGATGGTTGGAAATCTTGAATTGACGCGACTCCGCGCGCTGTTCTGGACTGAGGAAATCAGTGCTGGTGTTGATGATGGCCGGTCTCTCTGGGGATCATTCGCAGAAAGCGCTCGTGTCTACCCTGGCTCAAATGCAATTACCACCTCCAGGGGCGAATCGATCACATATAAAGAACTTCTTGCTCTAGCAGAGAAGCTTGCAGCCACTCTGCACAACTCAGGCATTACCCCAGGTGATCGGGTCGGCATCTTGTCTTGCGCTTCTATTCACACCATTGCAGCTATGCTCGCCGTATCACGTCTGAGCGGTACGTATGTGGCCCTGGACCCCGACTTCGCTGAGTCAAGACTTGTACACATGATCCAGGACTCCTCTAGCGTGATTGTTCTTGTTGATCAACCTTATGAGTCTTTGGTAGGTGGGATCAAAGAACAGACGACAGCACGCTTTATGTCTCTTCACACATCTGACTTGAGCGACGAGACTTTGCCTCCTATGGAGCAACATCCAGATCCGTATGCCACATATGTGACTTATACATCGGTAAGTGGTCTTTGTTGTTGATGCTAGAGATTATTATTGACACATCCTAGGGCAGCACCGGAGCGCCGAAGGGCGTCGTGGTCACCCACGAGAATACAAGAGTAATGCTCGACAACTATACGCGGGCACATCGCCTCGCCAATCAGGATATTGTTCTGAGTGCAACGTCCATTTGCTTCGATATCTCCGTCGCTCAAATATGGGCACCTCTGACTACAGGAGCAACTCTCGCTCTGGCTCTTTACCCAGTCCGAAAAGACCCCGGTGAATTAGCTAAGTTCATGCAAAATGCCGGTGTTACAATGGGTTCTTACACGCCAACTCAATTTGCACTCCTGATCGAGCATGGTGATTCTTATCTTCGACAATGCACTGCGCTCCGAGCAGTCAATTTGATAGGAGAAGCTCTTCCAGCCCGTTTAGCGAAAGCGATCTACGACCTGGGTTTGTCCACCACAGTTTATAACGAGTATGGACCCTCCGAGGCGACCTCACAAGTCACTTCTCATCCCGTTCCCCGATCACTCAAGACAGAATCCTCTGTATCTATCGGTCGTTCATTGCCAGACTCAACCCTTTATATCGTCAATTCACGCCTGCGCCCGGTTCCTGTCGGAGTTCGCGGTGAGCTCTGCATCGGCGGTGGCCAATTGAGTCCTGGGTATCTCGGTCACCCGAAAAAGACGCAACAAGCCTTCGTGAAGAACCCCTTTGTACAGGGTCAGTTCCGAGCCCGCGGATGGACTCAATTGTACCGAACAGGCGATCAAGCATGCCATCTTGAGGATGGCACGGTTGACTTTCTCGGGAGAATCGCGGGTGACAAGCAAATCAAGTTACGAGGCTACCGGATCGACCTTGCAGAAATCGAAAATCAGCTGAACAATAACTTCAGCAAGAACAACGCTATCTTTCACGCCCGAGCTGTCGTTTTGGTGCGCGAACCTCAGTCACCAAACGGCCTGACTGACGATCGCCAGCTAGTCGCGTTCTTGATTCCCCGGGTACCCGGAGAAAAGCAGCAACTGTACCAGGATTCTATCAATTCTGCTCATAAATCCATAGCCCAGTCGCTAAACAGCTACATGCTGCCAAGCTCCTACCAGGTCCTGGATGTGTTCCCAAGTCTGATTAGTGGAAAAGTCGATCGAGCTGCGCTGAGTCGTATTGATGTTGAGCCATTTTTTCCCGGTGCTACGAACGCGAAATCCGAAGTCGCCACGACCGACGCCCCCCTCTAGCCAAACCCTGGATACAATTATCACTATCTTCCGATCAGTTTTGAAGTTGGGATCCGACCGGGAGATCAAGAGTACAGACACCTTCTTCGAACTCGGAGGCCAAAGTGTTCTCGCACTGCGGCTTCAGGGGATTCTGAAGCGCAAGCTGAAACAAGAGATCACGCTCTTGCAATTGTTCGACAATCCCAGTCCTGCAAAGCTGTCTACATTGCTTGACTCTAGGGCCAATCCAACGCAAGCTAGTGTCGCAAAATCAGCCGGCGATCTCAATGTCATCGATTGGGACCGTGAAATTCACTTACCAGACGATTACCAACATCGTCCTACATCTCGAGCAGGTGCAGATGAGAATCAGAATCCCACTGGAATCTTGGTTCTAGGTGCCGACTCTTTCATCGGTGTTTTCCTGGTGAAGGCGTTGCTCACAGCAAATCCCGATGCTACAATTTATGTTCTCGGTATCGGAAGCTCCTTGGACTCGGCTGGAGTGTTGCAGCTATTCCAGCAGAATCAGCTCCTGAGACACGATCGTGACACCGGAGTGGCTATCTAGTCACGTTCGTCCTGTTCCTGGGCTCATGGTTCAACCGAACTTTGGCTTGGGACAGAACGAGTTTCAAGCGCTTGCTGGACAAGTCCAGCAGATTTTCCATACTGGTGGCCATGTGTCCCTCCTACAGACTTACTCCGATCTCCGCCAATGCAACGTGGAAAGCGTATATTCTATGATCCGCCTTGCTGCCTTGGGTTCCAGCACTTCCCTGCACTATATCTCGACCTGGAGTGCAGTACACATGCAGAGCTGGAATACTTCGACACGCAAGACAGGTATTGTCTCAAACCGTGAGGTCAATCTGGGTTCCTTCGCCCCCCCCTACTTCCAACGCCTCGGGCTATTTCAAAACCCGCTGGGTAGGTGAGCAACTCCTTGAGACCGCATCTCAGCGCGGATTTCCGACCACAATCTACCGTTGCTCTGGCCACACCGCACCTCTGACTTCGTCAATTCCCACTCCTCGTGAGAACTTCACGCTCAACCTGTTCCTCGGCATGATTCGGGCAGGCGTTGTGCCAGATATTGCCTCTGCTGGTGCCGGGCTCGATGCAACAGTTAACCTCCTACCAATCGATAACCAGATGGACACGATTGCTCAACTTGCCACTCACCGAGCCACCGGCCAAGAGATCCAGCGATTCCACATCAATAACCCTGTCCCATTATCATGGGCGCAGCTGCCATCGGTGATCTCTGAAGTTCGTGAGGATGGCCAAGCAGGAATCCTCGTCGACATTGACACTTGGACTGAGCGCATGCTTGAGCATGCGACCACGGAACAAGAGCGCTTGGAGTGGTCAACTTTCAAGGAGTATTTGAGTCTCGGCCATGTGATGTTTGCGCTCGATGAAACCAACACTCGTGCCGCACTTGAAAGGCAGGGCCGCAGCAGACTGGAATGTCCCCCTGTTGATGCAAAGTACCTGCAGCATCTGAAGCTAAAACAGGCTCAATTTAGTTAGCTCTGGTGTCATTTGTTGGTGCATCCTTTCAACCTTCAAGTTGGCAACCGCTGAACCTTACGCTCATGCACTGAATGCTGTTGATCGATGTTCTTGTTCTCCAAAATGTTTCTTCCTGACATATATTATCATAGACTAGGTGTACTATTGGCAAAAATAAATATATTGTATTTGTTGATATTACTACATTACTAGTAATTAAACTATGGAATCATCCGAGACCTAGAAGAAGAAGATAACCAATGCTAGAAATCCAAGATAAAGACTACTAGAAAAAAACAGAAATAGAATAACGCGCATGCCCAGGTGGATTGTTGTTGAGTAGCATTCCAGTTTGAATTTTACACTTGACCTACACCGGGGCGGTCCACAGGTGTTTGGGGCCGGTTCGCTTGGCCGGTTCGCTGGTTACCCACCCACCCTCACCCCTTGTGCGGTATCTGCCCAGGTAGTCTATTCCTCTCACCTGCCCAATTGCCCAGTGGACAGTTTGTTCAACCGAATCAACTTGAACTGAACTGGTCCAGCAGATTCAAATTATTCCCCTCATTCTAGATAATATCGTACTCCTGGCTGTTCCGTCGCTTCATCAAATATTCTGCCCTCATCTCGCGGTCACGCTCCAGCCTCCAGGATGCTCATATTCTCTAGGGTTCTGTCTCCCTCTAACACAAGCGATTCAAGAGCTCTTTGGTTGATCATGTGCGTGCACGTGAGTTGAGCGACAACCGACTCGTCATTACACATTGAGACTTTTGGATTAACTCTCGATGGGGAGTTCCATCTTCCTCTAGCCGAAGAAAAGCGAAGGTTCACTCACTAATGCTCGATCGACCGACCTGTTCGCGCCAAGTATTCAAAACTACAACCCAAACTCAAACCTGCCCATCCAGGGCTCCCAGAGCAACCGCAGCGTCTTATCAGGGATGTCTATCTGCAGCCCACGCGCTTGGCATGTCAACACGGTCTGGCATCTCTCAACCCCAGCACGATCATATGTGCGAGACCTTCAATGGATGGGGCGAGTGAGATCCAGCGAATATTAGAGAATCATCCGCAGGAACGTGCCCATCAAGCAAACTATGACTAAGTCCGAGTCCCGTGGATAAGATGGGATTTGATGTGGAATTGGCTCCCATGTGAAAATCCGCCTTAAGTCTGTAGCCAAGACTTCTGCAAGATGCGATCCCCGACGGCATATATTCGGTCTCCGAGATGGGCTTCTGCCACACTGCCAGCGTTGCAGAAACGCTCCCGCTAGCCGCTTGGCTGCAGGTCCTACTCACTGGTTTGAGTATGCCGTCGCGAATTCTCCTCTCGGGGCCCTCGTCGTTTACCACTTAGGCCCCGGTGGCTCTACTCCTCTTTCTCTCACTCGTCAATGCCTTTCCTTTGATCGACATGTCCGAGCCTATCACTGTCCTCGGCTTGTCAACTCATACCCGCTGTCAAGAGCTCTACTAGCCCGCAGATCACACGAACCTCTCACCTCTTCCTCTCATACAGGAACATAATATAGCCAAGTGAACTGTAGCATCGCTTAGCTGGCTGGGTTAATATCGGGCTTGGGCTCTGCTAGCGTGCGAAAGGGGAAAGGGGAAGGGGGGGGTATAAGTCACGGCATGCCCAGGCAGAGCTCTCGTCCGAGTCCAGTAGCTTTTCAGCTTGAGCTTCGCCAAATCCAGTATAGGCAGATCTTTTCGTCCTACCAACTCGGCCAACCGGAAACGTATCAGTCCTCCAGTAAGGATGAAGTTGGCTGTTCTGCTGGTCGCTCTCGCGCCAGTAGCGACTACAGCTGCCCAGCAGAAGTCTGCCGATGACTGGATCACCACCATCTGGGATGACTTCAAAAATGCGGTAGACTGCTTCAGCTGCCAGGTAGAGTGACCAAGAACTCAGTTTGACAGCTTATAATTCCGCTTAACTAACAATGATCTGATCATATAGGCCCTCCTCGGCGGTCTCAAGCTTGTCTCCGGTCTTGGTGAATCCTTTATGGAGGATGTTATAACCGGTGTCTGCTCCATCAGTGGTGTAAGGTCCATCTCCTGTTCACTAGGTCAGAAAACTGATGCAAGATAGGCCGAAGACAGCGATGTGTGCGCTGGCGTGATTGCCAACGAAGGTCCCGCTGTATATTACTCGCTGAAGAACCTGAAGCCGGGCTCCCACACAGCCAAAACATTCTGCGCAAGCTTGGTCGGTCTATGCGAATTTCCCAAAGTCCGTCCATACGATATCTCCTTTCCTTCGCCCAAGCCACCAACCACCCGCCCTCTACCAAGCGATAAAGCCCCTATAAAAGTTGTCCACTTCAGCGATACTCATGTCGACCTCTCCTACGAAGAAGGATCTAACTACGAGTGCTCGAAACCTATCTGCTGCCGTGCATACACGGAGAAAGACGCCCCCCGGAAACACCACTTCTCCATGCGGACCCTGGGGAAATTCCAAGTGCGACCCGCCGCATCGCCTACAAGAGAGCATGATGGCCGCCATTGCAGATATCAATCCCGCCTTCTCAATATACACTGGAGATGTAGTAGCCCACGATGTCTGGCTCGTCAACAAAACAGAAGTACTCCAAGACTTGAACGCGACCTACAGCTCCATGGAAAATAACCTCGGACTTGTCTATGCCGCTCTTGGTAACCATGACGCTGCACCTCTCAACCTCTTTCCATCCGACAAAATCCCAAGCAAATATAACCCGCAATGGGCCTATGATGCCCTCGCCGAAGACTGGCTCACCCTGACTGGCATTTCCTCCGTGCAAAAGGCCAGCGAATATGGTTCTTACTCCGCCGTGCACCCAGACAGCAAACTGCGAATAATCTCCTATAACAGCATCTTCTACTACAAATACAACTTCTTCTCTTACACTGAGCCCATGGAATTCGACCCAAATAACCAGCTAGACTGGCTCATCAAGCAGCTACAGGAAGCCGAAGACGCGAAGCAGCGCGTCTGGCTTATATCACACATTCCAACTGGTAACTCGGACCATTTCCGCGACCACTCCCACTACTTCGACCAGATTATTCAGCGGTACGATGCGACAATTGCCGCGCTATTCTTTGGACACACCCATACAGATGAGTTTCAGGTGTCGTACTCCAATTACATGGATCGAAGTTGGGACACCGCGACGGCAATGGGCTATGTCGCGCCTTCGATGACACCTACCTCCGGCCCTCCTTCATTCCGGGTCTACGAAATCGACCCCGTTACCTTTGGCGTCATGGATTTCACGCAGTATATTGCCAACATCACTGATCCTTCACTCCAGACGGAACCTGAATGGAAACCTTACTACTCTGCCAAAGCAGACTACGGATCAAAGCTTTCACCAGCCGTGAAGGACGCCAGCATCGAGCTCACGCCAGCATTTTGGCATAATGTCACTGTGGCTATGGAAAAAGATACTACTGTCTTTCAAGACTTTTGGAGTCGACGAACTCGTGGGTTTAACGTCCCGGATTGTACTGGCGATTGCATCACGAATGAGATATGTGCTCTTCGCGGTGCAGACGCCCAGTACTCCTGTTATAAACAGGCGCCTGGTTTTAGCTTTGAGAAACGGGATGGATCGGGCATTTCGCATCTTTCGGAGGAAAGTTTCCAGCAGCCGGAGTGTAATCATGCAGGAATGGCGCCTCTCTTCGCGAAGATTTCGCATCGGGCGAAGCTTGCAAGGGAGAAGGGGGAGTAGAGCTTGCATCGATTCTAGATGTAAATCTAATAGTCACACCACCATATATTCACGGCAGGGTTATGCTTTGTTTGATTTCGACCGTCCGATCTAGTTCAGATTAATACAATCCTCAACATTGCATCGCTGTCAGAGTACATCAAACAAGTAAAAAGACTTGCTCAATACTAGTATTAGTATATGCCAACCATGCCGATAGCTATGCATACCGACGAAGCTAGGGCACTTTCATTAAAATATCATCATCTAACGGGCATTCTCGGAAAGGCACGAATACCGGGCTCAAGGGGCAACATCCATTTCTTCGCCCCCAAAGCACCGATCTGACACACCACACCGCCTGATGACTCTATCGTCTTACGTATTATCTGTGGAGCAATCTTGCTCTACTTTACTCATGAGTCATGACTGCATTAAGCGAGGACAGTTAGGATGTCTTTTACCGACCTTCCGAATGAGCTGATCTGCCTTGTGGGGGAATACCTGCCCCAGAAAAGTATCTCATCTCTAATGCAGATTAATCATAGGCAGTGTGATCTGCTCCAGAAAACACTATATGATAAAACGCCTGAGAGTGAAACCCATCTCATCCTTTATAAGGCATGCCAACAAGATCTGCATTTCACTCTCTCAACGGCGCTATAGACATTGTGGCTGCACAGCCACAGCGTGACTACTATGTCCTGTCTCGAAAGTCGGCGGTTTGGAGATGCACAGACACATTTGGCTGTATGGCTGTTCGGGAGAAAACTTGTATATATAATAGTCTGTTCCGGGAAAGGTTGTCTATGTGGTGTCAACTATCTCTAGCTCAGTCATCTCCAAGGCTCTGTTTCTGGGCGGCCGTTGAAGCGATGTTTTTTCCTCTCGATCAGTCCGCTACGCCATGTGAGTGGTGCTGTCGCCGTTTTGACTGGGGGTTAAGAAGGCAAGTAGAGGCACAAAGCCCTGATTTTGACGATATCATACTACTCTATTGGTGAAACAGGCGAATTTCGTCACCTACTCTTGGCAGCTTTCCGCATCCATTATGGTGAAAAAAAATGATATCGTGAAGGTTGTCCTGGCCCATGATATCCATGGATGCTAGCGGTGATTAATAACCTCCAGCCCTGAACGGGATGATATTTCTACCGTACTAGGATCAAAGTAAATTACATGTGAGTTCCCTTTACCTTTGAGACTAACCTACTAGTTGGAATCTATCGACGGGTAGCTGTCTGGATAGTCAATCAACATACAAATGCACTGCAATTAAGTATGTTTACCTATCACTGTGCACAGAATTTGGCAACTGAGTATCCGATGTTTTCGCGGGGGCGTTTACTTCTCGAATAAAGTAAAGTACCGCGCTACCATGTACTGCATTGGATCGCCTGAAAGCACATTTCGTGCGGGGTTTTTTACATACTTAACTGATGTCGTCATGTGAAGTAAGTGAGTGACTCGGAGTTAATCCAGGCTCAGACTCTGCTCACTTGATTTGGTATTGAAAAGTGTATAGCTTTATTTTCCAGGCCGACTCCTAAATATTACATGGGTATTTAATTGCAATTTGCGTCGTAGCTGACTAGCCAAAACCATTAATGACTGGTAATATTTTTGATATTCAGCAAGGATAGAGCCAGAGGTTTTACCAGACACCCCAAAGCCAATACATCGCTCTTCTCATTCCACGTGATACTCCAGTAGAAGTTAATTTTGTAAAGGGGCATGGGCCTGAATATTATGGCACTTGGAAAGATATGTAAATCGGAAGTGCTATTGTGTAGCCTAATAATCAAGAATCAATTTGTCTTCAACCCGGATTTTTGACCTGGACACGCTCGAATATTACCCGAAACGGTCAAGCGTAAACTCACCCAACAGCGGGCCCACCCGATCGGCATCACTATGTACTCCGTACATTTTACCTGGAATTAGTCCTTATGAGTAGAACCTATTTGCCGATACAGTGTTTCCGGAAATACCGTACAACGAGATGAAAGTTATATTTCCGTGGAACGAGGGCATTTTATTTTATCCTGGAAATTATGCAAGTTGATATTATTTATTTCATAGCATATTTCCAACGACGATCGCTGATATGCGGCTAGTATCAGGTCAACCTTGTTCTAAGTAGGGATTTCGACTCCATTATCCGATCGTACTAGAACCCAATTAGGTAATAAACGAGCGAAATTACAGCCCTCGATAGGCCCCATATAGTTTAAAGTCTTATAGCTTTGCTCATAAACGATAACCCTGTTTGCTGCCTAGCCTTGGTATCCGGAACTGGTAGCTATTGAGCGTTGCGAGCTCGGTCCGTCGACTCGATCGGCCTCGCAGACGCTCCTGTGTCCGCCTCGAGGAGCTATAAAGCTCCAGTGTCAAGGCCATCCAGAATCTTCAATTCCAGCCAGGTATCATCTTCCCGAGATTCTCTACGCTTATCAGCTATCATTTCTATTCGAACATCATGCGTTTCCTCCATCTACTTTACGCCTCACTTGCCACTTGCATACTGGAAGTGAGAGCTTCAAAGTGTTCTCCATTCCCTTCTTCAGTGGTCGAATTCTCTTTCGGATTCGAACAGCCAGAGCCTCCCTCCATCAAGGCTGAATATGGGACCAACTTCATCCAACACAAGTGGTAGGTCGCAATAAATAATGCCCGCTTTATCTTGCTAGTCATGCTGACGGAACTTCAGGAATCAAAACCTGTCGCACATTACGACTGGTTATATCAGAAATTCCCCATCTCAGCTTCTTGTCCGTGCTGATGAAGCCTACAATGGCACTTTGGCATCTTCCGTCTTCAATTACGCCAACTCTACCAAGGACGGCCTGGTGGATAACACGCTTACTAGTTATGATGAGTCTGGAAAGCCAACCATGTGGAGGGGGTTCGTTAACTCGAACTTTCCTTTGTTTCCTGAAAGCTTTCTTATCGACAATGATGCTGTTTTTGGTGGGCTAGTTGATCGACAATTCAACGATGGGCCTGTGGCAACGGTGAGTAATATAACCCAGACTTCTTTTATGGAATATAAGTGTAGATCTGAAGCTAATATTGCACGTCATCAGTGGAACATTATGTACCAGGGGGCAATCCCTGTCACAGTCTATGTGAACAACTGCAACATCATGGTTGGATATGACTATTTCTCCCCAGGACTACGTACAAGGGTCATCACCGAATACTTTAACATTCAGGCCTAAGAATCCCGTGCTCAGCAATGTGCCTTCGGATTAATTGGACCACACACTTGGGCCAAATCTTGTGTGGTAGTAAAGTTTCGCTACCAAAGAGTGTTCCGAGCCACCACCGTTGTCAGATAGATTTTATCCTAGGAACTCCAATATATATCAATTTCAAAGACTCAATGAATGCTCAACAATAATGAAAATTTGATTCAGGAGAAAATGTGCCTTGCATATCCCCGGCGAGTAGCTCGTCGATACCTGGAGGTTGGGTTTTCGACTTTTGAAAATCCTCCTCAAATCAGACACATTAAATGCATAATATTTCGGAGTACACAACAATTCCGGTTTCGTTTCGGCTCCATCGTATACTAACTGGATCTGCACTTTCAAGCGGCTGTGCTGGCCAATGATTGTGGCCAGGTGATACGAGTCACATGATTAAAAACCAACCGAACCCCGAGATTTGCCTTCATCCTTTTGCATGTTCTTGGAAATTCAATGATGACAGAAACTCAGTCTGTAGCGCCGATCGAACTGAGGAAGCGCGCCATTGGGCCTCTGGACAAGCGTAGAAACACAAGGCGCTGTCGGTCATGTGCGAAACTACGGGTAAAGGTTCGAACATTCCTCATTCCGCTTGATAAACCAGCGTGCTTATTTATGAGTAGTGCGAAGGGGGCCCAGCCTGTCAAAGATGCATTCGGATGAAGACTCCCTGCGAGTTGCAACGAGTGCAGCAGCGTTCGATTCAATTTATCCATGCCCCTAAGCACGGTTTACTTTCAGCAACTCCTTTGCAAATGCGAAGACATGATGACGATATATACTTGGACCATTTCGCATCTTTCCTTCAGCGATGCGACTTTAGCAGAGAATTTTCTGCCAGTACCAGAGAAATAATGGCAATCATTGGTCGTTATCCACTACTTTCGAATATCGCAATCGCGATCGGTGCTTTGGATACCAGTAGAAGAGGATCTATAAGATCATTCACTGGGACCAAATCGCCTCGAAATATTGCATTTCTTCGATGTGGTATATCATTGAAATATCTCGATGCGGAAATTTCAACGATAACCTCGGTCTTTAGAGAGGATGTGTTTTGGAGTACGTTTCTTCATGGACTTTTCGAGGTATGGAAATATCCGCTATATCAACCACTCCAGCTAAGTATTTCTATAGCTTATCGCTGAAAATTCCGGTGATTCATTTGCAACGCATATGACCTATGGCCTATCCAGGATGATCCTTCTATTGCAACCCGCAGATCCCCTTTCAATACCCACGAAGTCTTTGATCGATGTTTTCTGGCTTCTTGAAGCCAACAGGTTAATTATTTATGGAGATGACACCCTGATTTCTCCGTTGGAATGCCCATGGCGCTCATATCGGGATAATTGGCCAATTGCGATGAAAAATATTATCACACTGATGATACAGGCTGCCACATTTGCTCAGAGGTAAGTAAATTATAACCCGCTATCAGACGCCGCTAATGACCCCAGGCTTTTCACAAGAATTGAGAGCATTCCGGAGGAGGGTAGATGCTTTGATCCTAGTTTGGACTGTCTCGCAAAAGAAGGAATCGAAATCAAAGCAGCTATTCTCAACTGTAAAGAGATAAGCAATTTAGAGGAAATGCACAAAGACGACTATACGCGGTTGGCGGTCATCATGCATGGCGCTTTGCTTCTATACCATTGTCGGAATTTTACTTTCTATTCATGCTGGGAAATGCGCGAGACTCCTCAACTTGACCAACGTGAGATTGATACGGAGGTGACCATGATTCTGTCACAGTCTCAAATCCTTTTGTCGAACACAGAAATCCCCGGCGTCCTATTGTTGTTTCCACTGCGGATGGCCGGCACCCTCGTCAAATCCAGTACTTTACAGGGGAAGATACTGGACATTCTTTACCAGATCCGCCGAAAAGGATTTGTCATTTCAGATAGAATCGAGGCCGATCTGCAGGAGCTTTGGTATCATGAATGGACCACAACGCAGCCAAATGAAATGGAAATCTGATTAATCACCCCGGCAGAATTGAAGAAATAACTACAGCCTTCATGTTGATATATACTCGTTCAACTGGTAGTATATTTGTCTCATTCGGCTTTTTAGCAACGGCGTTACGTGCTCCGCGTGGATTGCAGTATCTTGGTATCTCGCATACAGATGACTTCAGACACCACAACCTCTACTCGGTAGCTGAGAATAATGCAACCGTGGAAGAATTCGTGGACGTGCTACTGCTGCACCGCGAGTCATTGGAGGGGATCAAAGTTGATTATGAAGATGTCTTTGACCAGCGGAACAATGACCCAAACCGGCCCCCAGAGATCAACGTTGCGACTTTCTTGCCGTATGCCAAGAGGTTTCCCAAGCTGAAGCGCAGGGAAGGATGTGGTAAAGGTGAGCTGATTTTGTTTATGGGTGATTATTCTGTCTATGACGAGTCGAAAGATGAAGCAGCGCCCGGAGAGGCCGCTGAAAGAGAAGGAGAAGAAAGAATTGACGTTTAGCACATGATTTCTAATGGACGGCCACCGTAGTCAACTGATAGTCGGTCTAGGCTTAGGGACGTAACATCGCATAATATTTACAGACGGGGCTGTGGCTGTTATGCCCAGCGATGGTTGTATTTTCCATACCCGAAGTTACATCATTGTTATCTTTCCATGTATTCCCCTTAGCAAGTTTGTTGATTTATGTACCTTTTCCTTGCCAAGAAATTTGCTCACACTGATATCTTCAAATTTAACATCATTTTGATGGCATAGAAAGATGACCATGGCGACCGGAGAAGTTGGATCATGCTCCATAGTCTTTTTCATCCTTCTCGGATATCTTAGTGAGTGATCTTGGCGTCGTAAAAGCTGAGAGCGTATTTCCAAGTAGTGTGTGACATCCTGTAATTCAGCATCTGAACAAACGATTTTCTTTGTTTCTGAAGAGCCGTGATATAACCGTTGAACAAATTGCACTTGTCATTATTCTTAGACAACAATTCCCACATGGATCGAGAGTAACGATGCTCGAATGTGTAGGTACCTGGCGGGTGTTTCATCACAAAAGGCATTTCATGTCGCCGGGATGGGGGTTAGTTGGCCAGCAGACAGGCCTTTCCGTCCGAGATGCGGCTGGCGATGACGGTCACGCGACTTCCCACGCCGCATGTTGTCTCTACATCGAATATTCGAAGATCTGGACATAAAGCAGCCTTCAGGGTTTCATCAAGCACATGATCGTCATACTTCCCATCTCGGATAAGACGCTCGACACCTTTGATCCAGGCCAGGCATTTGAGGGCCGGCTTAGCTGGCTGCTGGAAGATCTTTCGTGCGAGGTCCGGGAAGCGTTGAAAGCTATCGTCTACGGACGAGTGATTGAAGACCAGGTCTATGATGTTCAAAGCCCCTGCGGAGTGTCAGAACATTGCGATCTCCAGGTTGCTCAGGCTAGAGTCATCCTTATGGAAGCTTTTCACTGTGAACATACCCACACTGATGCCTACACATAGGTCGAAGATTGCCGTCCGAAGATCTCCTCCCAACCGCTCCTCCAACGACCGAAGCAAACTTAGTTGCCTAATCCCATGCACGCCGCCGCCGTCAAGGCTCAGGATATTGGGTCCCTTTGTTGGCGGTAGCTGTCGTACTGCGAGATGAACCTCGGAGTCGCAAAAGGGACACCGTGTGACATCGAGATAGTGTCCCACCGTCGGGCTACGGCACCCAAATACCACAACACAGTTATCACACATCGCATGCCGACATGACAGCACGTGCTCCGGCTCTCGGTTCAGGCAGAAGAAACAACTGGCCAAGGAGCGCAAAACCCCTCAGCACCGGTGAAATGTGCGGAGGATGCGCCGCCGAACAGCCGCCGACGGGTTCGTAGGATCTATTGATTTCATGAGGTCAGTGAAACAGCTCAGGATTTCGTTACAGAAGTCGGATCCGCTCATAACAGCGCTATCCTGCACGGCCCAAGCTTCGGTGCATTCCCTTCTATACAGCGTATTGAAAACATGTTCTGGATGGAACACTGGGGGTGTCAGTCAGCAAAGAGAAGATAGAGGAGCAAACTGCGGAGAGGTCAGACTGGGTGAATTAGCTAGGAATAGGTGGGCTCACAATGCATTCCAGAGGGTAAGCATCCACCAAGAGGGCCGAAGCGATAAACGAATAGACATCTTCCGCCTCGCAGCGGGCTTCGTTCGCTTGCCTCAAGAAGTCCACTAGGCATGCCACCCTTCTCAATGTCGATGGGAAACCACGTCGTGCGACGCAAAGGCAATCAAAGGCCGTACTATCTCGATTTCGCATTGCAGATCCCAAGTTGGCTTCCAAAGTGCGCCCAGGTGGTTAGCCGAGAACAAAACTCCACACTGTGCTTGTTCCTTTCGCACCGACAGAAGCTTGTCGAGTATGGCACTGCGCAGCGGCTCGAAGGCGGCCATGGGCGACAGTTCATACCGATCTCGCAGATCTACACAAGTGATTTCCGGAGCATCGGCATCGCCGAAATCTTCCTGTGATATCGGGGCAGCCTGTTCATGCGAGGGATGTTTTGGAGAGTTTGGATACTGCATATTCGACCTCAAGGGAAAGGAAAATTACTACGACCTCATCTTTGTACCGGTCAACAAGGTCTATAGGGTGTTCATCGCAATAATGTCGTCGGCATAGGTTCAATCTGTGTAAATGGGACCAAAAAATCGCTGCATCTTAACGAACTCCATACTTCAAGCAAATGTCGATAATAGGTTGATAGCCAGAATTCATAGCTCTTTCAGCGACAGATACTCTGCGATATTTCGCAGACAAGCTGGCACCCGTCTCCACGAGATACTCAAACTCCCTCGTCTTTCCATAGCGAATTGCAGTAATCAAAGCTTGGCTGTGATATTGAGCTACTGCCCCGTATTGTATTAGGAGATTAATTAGACAGTAGCTCTCGTCTCTCTGAAGTGCAAGATTGATTGTGGATTGCACCCGTTCAGATCTCCCAGCTGATTTATTTTTCGATGGTGATGCCTTTCCGTTCGGGTCTGCTCCATAATCTAATAAAAGCTGGGTGGTACTTCTTGGTCGTGGAGATAGAAGCGCACCACATAGAGGCGGATGACTTTCTATGGATAGCTGAAAATTCACATCCGCTCCCTGCGCCAGGAGGTACCGTATTCGGTCTTCATCGCCGTGCTCTGCGGCGTATTTCAACATCCAGTAGAGGTCTAAGCGGGGGTTTGGTTTGCTGTAAGGGTATTGGCGAAGCTGATCGAAGAGATAGTCTTCAACATTGTGGTGGCCATTTAATGCGGCTTGCACAAGTGGATATCTTTCCTCTTTGTCGTGTGATAGTTGCTTTGCGCCCAGCGATATGAATTTCCGAGTCAGATTCAAATGGCCTTCGCGAGCAGCGAGAGCGAGGGGCGTTAAACCGTCCCGATCTCGATAATTAATATCGGCTCCTAGATCGAGGAGATATTCCACGATTCTTGTATGACCCTGAGCTGCTGCATGGGATATTGGATGCTCTTTCATCATCTCTATTTGAAGTGGACATCGGAAGCGTCTTCCATGGTATTGTACCGAGTGGGCGAGGTACTGAGATTCCCATTGAACATTTGCCCCAGCATCAATGAAATGTCTGAAAGTAGATTCAGAACCCTGAGCCGCTGCCCAGCATAATGCAGAGGTGTTGTGAATATTACGTTGAAAAAGGAGGTTGTTTAGAATGCCGTAAAGATGAGAATGACATCGAAGAAAACGATTCAGATCGGGGCATTCCACATCTTTCCCGATTTGAATCAAAAGCTCGGGGGGTACTTTGAGAATAGACATGGTGAACAAATAGACGAAAGAAAAAGAACGCACCTGGCAGAAAAGGATTCTTGGTAGATCTGCGCTCGTCTATGCCGATGAGGTCAGCGGTGGACACAGGTTACTACGGTGTATTGTACTAGTCATGCCTCACATGACTGGGGTGATTCGATTACTGAGCCTGAGCCTGAGCGCCCTCATAAAAGCGGCGGCAGCCGAGAAAGGAAAGCCCCACCTGGAAGACAAAATCCGGTGTATATAGCTGCATATAACTATTCAATTTTGAAAGTCTTTTTCAACGGGGACGCATGATAAATTTGCTGTAGCCGCCCTGCTTCAGATATTCAACATATAACATGTTGCAGTTTGAAAGGATCTGGTTTGAAAAATAATTTCGAAAGTTCCAACGGTTTTTTTTTAAAAAAAACAATAATAATTCCAGCCCTCGCATCAGCAACCACGACTCATCCTGATTCGCCCCATCCTCCATGGATCTCAGTCACGTGGGATGTATCTAAGCCGATCTCACGCCTCGGCCCTCTTCCTATCCCGCCGAAAACACCTATTACGATATTCGGAACCTTGGAAGTTGAATGCCTCGGGATAACTGCGAATCCACGAATATATTAGAATGGCACACAGCCGGTTCACACCCGCACCATGCCCCCTCGCCGCTCCCATCAAAAGTCTCACACCGGCTGCATAACATGCAAGCGTCGCCATGTCAAATGCGACGAATCAGGTCCACCCTGCAAGCGTTGCAAAACAAGAGATGTAAACTGCGAATACGCAGAGATCACAACCCGTCCACAAATATCGCCAAATCCGAGTCAGGATACGGCAGAAGCAGCATCGCCAGACTACCTCAACTCTTGCCCGACATTTCCCGCCAATCCCCACCACCTGGATCTCCAACTCATGCATCGATGGTCTACTGGTACTTATAAAAGTTGCTGTACTCCTGGTTCCGGCGACGAAAAGCTTTGGCAATTAACCGTGCCCGCACTGGCGCTTCAATACGACTTCCTCCTAAACGGGATACTAGCATTATCGGCCTTTGAGAGCGCCAATGCTCTACTATTACATCAAAACGACGAAAAATCAAATTCCAATCGCGAAAAGTATATAAATTCCGCGATTGAGCGCCATGTTCTCGCACTGTCCAATTTCCGCACCCAATTGTCTTCGTCTAGTCCATGTGCGGACCACAGAGCTGCAATTTGCTTTTCGCTTATGATGATGGTGCTCACATTTGCAACCGTGCGCTTCGGAAAACCACTAGAGAAAAACATCGTTAAAACGGCCATTGCTCATTTCGAACTTGTTCGTGGCGCCGTTCAGATTGCAGAAAGTGATGAGGAACACAGGGTTAGTCAGAATGAATACGCGCAAAAACTGACGCCGTTTCAAGATCTTCCCCTCACGACCTTGGATCCAGCTATCGCAAATATAATGGCCGATGTGAGAGAGTTGAATGATGAAAGGATCGTCCACACTGTCTGGGATACACCCGAGCGGCGAATAGAGCAGGTCGCCCTCTGGGAGGCTTGTAAGAAGGCATTGAGTTTGTTGCAGGACTGCTTTGAGAGATGTGTTGGTCCTGTTTATCGAGGGTATGCCCTTGGGTGGTTGAATATGGCGGGCGAGGAATATGTCCGAGCACTGAAAGGCAATGACAACGTTGCGCTGCTGATATTGATGATGTGGGGTGTTCTTGTCGAGAGGTTGGGTAATGATGTATGGTGGGCGCAGGAATTTGGAAACTCGTTGGTTGATGAAATTTCGAATGAATATCTTCGGGATGATTCAGATCCATCCATCCAAGATGTAATGATAAGAGTTCAAAAGTTAACATGAAAAACGATCCATTGTCTTGATGAGTATTATAGAGGATGGTGAGTGATGAAGTCAAATGATGACTTAGAGTGTTTTCCATAAGGTCCACTGAGTCAAGACAATAGGAGCCAATGGGCCAGGCTTGACCCTCTTACGTAGTATTGCATCTACATCATGGTTTAGTTCAAAGAATTTGAATAATGGGTGGGGCGACCTTGTCTTTCCAGCGAAAACCAATCGCACTCACTAGTCAAACTCATGTTTCGGCTCGTGTTAAGTATTGATCGTGCTCGTATTTTACGAACACGAGCTCACTCGACCTCCGAACACCAGCGAACGCCACGCCATGGCTAGGGACTATAAAACAGAGCAAAAGGGCCCAACAAGTTGAATAATAACCAATTCCTCTCCTGATCCGACAAAATTCACACTTGCTCAAAAAAATGCAAACTTCAGCATCACCCTTTATCCGCAAAATGGCAACAACTCCCACAAGTATACAAACAGCATGCCTAAAATCACGCTCTTGCTCCGCATCATCAAGACCAAAACCTTCATTCAAACGAGCCCACACAACTCAATCCTCGCCAGAACCCCCACCACCACATCTACTCCACGAAAAACTCACCCTCCCCTCCGGCCGAACCCTAGGCTACGCAATCTACAACTCCCAACTGGCACCACCGCAATCCACATCATCCTCTGCCAAACTTGAAACAAACCCGCCCAAAACCATAATTTACTTCCACGGCTACCCCTCCTCCCGCCTGGAAGGCCTAAGCTTCACCACCTGGCCAAAAAAGCATAACTTCACCCTAATCGTGCCGGATAGACCAGGCTTCGGCCTCTCAACTCCAGACCCATCCCGAACAATCCTCTCCTGGGCAAATGATATCCGCGCCCTAGGTCACCACCTACGTCTACCCAGTTTCTACATTTTGGGTTGTTCGGGTGGAGGTCCGTACGCGATTTCTTGTGCGCATGCGCTGTCTGGAGATATGCTTTTGGGCGTTGGTGTTATTGCGGGATCGCCGCCTTGGTATGGTGTTGGAGGAAAGTTTAATGCAAAAGATGTTACGTTGAGTAGGCGGATTTTGGCTTGGGGGAGTGTTTCTTATCCGGGGGTTATTAGGTGGGTGGCGGATGGTATACTTGGGGGTCTGAGGTGGGTTGTTAAGACGGAGTTTGTGGGTGGGTTGATTGATAGGTGGATTGAGGGTGTGAAAGGACTTGAACAGCAACGACAAAGCAGCAAAGGAGAAAATACAGGTTCAATTGCATCCGAAAAAGCAAATGCCAGTTCAAGTTCAAGCCCAGAGGAAAGAGACTACGAAAAGCAAGATTCTCTCGAAACAGATGAACTATCAATCACACGCGCACGAAACCACCTCCTATCATCCTCCCTCGAAGCCTTCACTCAGGGTTCACACGCCGCAATACAAGAAGCTCGACTGCTCTCTCAACCCTGGGGTTTTGAACTCGAAGATGTACGGTATGAGGGGATTAAGATCTGGCATGGTGTTCGGGATATAAATGCGCCGATAAGTATGGTGCGGGCTATGGTCGAGCGGTTGCCAGCGAGTACTGTCTTTAAGGACATAGACGCAGATCATTATTCTATGGGTCATTTTTTTGAAGACGCTTTGGTTGGGTTGTTGGACTCGGGCTGGAGGACCTCAGAGGAGGAAGATAGGGAGTCAAAGACGTCTAAGGGGATGCGAGTTGAGTACGAGAGTATAAGGATATGAGTAAAACCCAAGCCGGGCTGGAGGTGGTTAGATAGTTTCAGGGCTAAACGAATCAGGTGTGCATGCTACTTAATTCTATCAATAGATTCACCAAAAACCATGCCCTCCAGGGCTAAAGGGCACAAAAAATGTGCAAAACCGACAGCTGGCGGATTTGAACCGCCGCCTCCGAAGAGAATTGATTTCTAGTCAATCGCCTTAGACCACTCGGCCAAACTGCCTTGGGATGAGTTGAGGCCAAAAGGTATGCATCAGGAATATAAAGGCAGGAATTTAAAGGTTTTACTGCTTTTCTTGCTGCCTTTTCAATCTACCGGTCCATTCCATCCGACCTTGGAAGCATAACTCATTGTCATTTCAGAACTGATCACGTAGTATAAAAACAGCATGCTTGCGAGGTTCCGGAGTTAAATAGCTTCATGATGAATAATATAATTCGAAAAATTGTTAGCTTGCGCTGTGGCATCTCTGCTCAGTAGGTTGTACATTATTTTGATCTTGGTAGTTAATGATTATCCTCCGTCGCATGTAATTAGCAGGCACGCACTACAAACCCGACACGAATTTAGTTCGAACCATCCAGAAGCCCAAGCATAAAGTCTACAAGAATTAGAAATGATAGGAGTAGAATCCAATGAAATGGAAATCCATTAACAGCGCTAACCGGAAGAAATAAATCAAAACAACGAGCCTTTGCACAAGAGATAAGGAAATGAAAAAGAAATAAGGATATCACAATACTCGTCCAATCCATCCCAATCAAAGCAAACCTAGACCGTAGTCCCAAGCTAAACCCAAGAAAACTACCAACGTGTCATGTATCAAGGTAATTTCCCAGGTCAAGTTAAGTACTCTCTCCACATCCACTCCGTAACCAACACATACCAGCACATCACATCACTTAAATCACCTCCTCACTGCCCACCGGTACTAGGCTGACGCTTACTCAAAAAGCTACGCCTGGGCAATTTCCTCGAATCAGGACTCTCAGACCCATCCTCCAATCCTGCACCAGTCGTAGAATGACTAGTCGTAGGCCTAAGGTTCCCCGCGCCAACATCCGCAGGAACAAAACTCGACCGCAGGGTAACAGACCCCTCACCAACCGGGAAAGCCTTTTCAACATTCTCCTCGGAGCCCTGGTTCGCGACGAAATAAGGCGCGTCACCGAGGACAGTATCCGAGCCGAAAGTCGAGTGGTCCACGACTCGGATTTGATACTGCGTGTCCGCGGTGGTGTGGGTGATTTTGAACGTTTCCTGGTACTGGACGATACCGGAGGAAGTCTTTACGGCCTTTGTCTTGAATTCTTTGCCGTTCTTGCTGCCTTGGGCTTTGATGATTACCCGGACGTGGGCGTTGCCTGGGAAGCCTGTTGCGTTGGCGACTGTTATATTTGCTGTGCCGGTGTCACCGCTGCCACCTGTCGTGCTGCCGCCGATGATGCTGAGACGGTCGCCGAAGGCGGATGCTGTGCTGCGGTTGCGGCTGTGTTCTTTTTGAGGGGTTGAGGGGGGTCGGCGAGTGGGTGCCATTGGAGGCTTGATTGTTGTCTGTGAGGGCGGTGGCGGGGCTGAGACCGCGATCGGTGGGAGTTTCGTCTTCGTCAAGGGTGCTGTTTATGATTGAGGCGTCATCGTCACCTTTGTCTTTGTGGCCGAATCGTGACATTACACCGTGCTTGAGGAAGGATGCACCGCGGACAACGTTGCCGCCGACGAAGCCTACGCCCTTGACTGGGGCGCCGACAATCTTGCCGGGTACGGCGAAGGTACCGGAGAAGGTTGAGGAGCCTTGGCGGGAGCGGACAACGTAGCTTGGCTTGAAGAGGAGGTTTAGGTGGATTGCGCCTGATTTGCCGTTCAAAGGGAGGTGCATGTCGGCGGGCTCGAAGGGCGTTAGGCTTTCGAGATCGATATGTGCAGCGCCGAGGAAATCGGCCTTGTCACCAAAGTCCCAGTCGTACACGTCGACGTGGAAGTCGGCGCCGATGCGAGTCTTGATCGGAGTCTCGAAGTATTCGTTCCAGGCGGGATGGAGTGTCTTCTTCTGGACTTTGGTCTTGTAAATTACCTCACCATCATCGCCGATGCGGAACTTGCAGTACGGGTCACTGAAGCCGTTGCGGTCGGCTGAGGGGAGGTCGGCGGCATCCATGACCTTGACGCGGAGGGTGCCCATGTTGTTGATGCTCTCCCTGGGGTCAAGCTTCATCTGAACTGGGATGTACCGAGCGCTAACAGTGACCTTGCTAGACTCGCCATTTGTAGCGGGAAGAACAAGCTCGGTGGGATTGTACTGGTGGGGGTTAGCATGAGACCTTATAAATGGCGAGAGAAGTGATGTGGGAAAAAGAAACTTACCAGGATGCGCTGAAGCGTGGGCAGAGTATCACCAGTCAACTTAGCAACAGTGTGCTCCTCGCTCGAATCCTTCGGATCATCCTTATTGACCAAACGCAGGGTAATCTTCGAGAACTCAAGCTCTCGCACAAAGGCCTCGCCGATATCAGAAGACGTGAGAGTATTGGAGTGGATCTTGGGAGAGACATAGGCAGGGAACATGTAGTCGTCCATAACGACCTCCAGCTGCACATTGGAATGCGCAAGCTTGCCCTCGTGGAACTTGAACACAATGAAACCGGACTCGTAGGTGGCAAGGTCTTCCGCAGCAATGTAAGTCCTGGGGATGCTCTTGATCGATCGGACAGAGGCGGTCTCTGAGGTGGTTGTCACGGGCCGAGAGTTGTTAGTCTCAAGACTGGGACGGCCGTTGGCAGTCGCCTCACCATTGGTGGCGGCACCATTGGTCGCAACGCCATTTGACTTGGAAATCTTAGAAGCCTTCGAGTCCACGCTTGCAGACTTCGAGTGCATGCTCTTGCGGATCGGGGTACCGGGGGTGTCAAGGTTAGCAACGTCCTCACCCTCTGCTGCTTCCTCCTCAACCTCATCGTCAGGGTTGACGACAGGCACAGCAGGGAAGAAAGAGACGGTGTAGTTGATGTGGCCCTTAACACCACCCTTGCCCATGCGCAGACCGCTGCTGATGAGCTGCTTCTCGTTGTCGATTTCGTACTCGCCCGCGGTCTCAGTCTCACGAACAAAGTCGGAGGCCTTGAGCTCTACCCAGCCAAGACTTCGGTCCTTGTTGATGGTCTCCTCGTCCATAACCTCAATCGAGAGCTTCTCGCGAGGGCTGCGAATGGGGACGTACACGACCTCGTCCCAGTCGGGGTTCAGGTTGTTGCGGAAGGTCACAGTGCGACCCCGGGTAATACCAGAAAGCAAAATACGAGCGTAGGGATCCGACTTGCCCATGGCCTCCAGGTTGCGAAGATCGGTGGCATTCTTGAAGTGGAAACGCATGACACCGATGGGATCAACGTATCCAGCACCTCCCGCGACGGCGCCGAGGGCGACGGGCTTCCACTGTAGTTGCAGCTTGGCACGTCCGCCGCCAGCACCGTGCAGGTGAAACCAATCCTTGCCCTGCTCCATCATCTTGATCATATCGTTCATCTTGATCTGGTAGCGGCCAATGATGGGGTCTGCCATGAGGTCGCGGTCATCCTTGATGATGAGACCCAGGCGAGCGGTCTTGCGATCAGTAACGAGGAACTCCTTAGAAGCGTTCTGGAAAATAGGGTTGTTGGTTCGCTTCAGCTTGTTGGTGATGTGAATTTCCTTTCCGTTCAGAAGCAGCACACCGTATGGGTTCAGCTTGCCGACCAGACTCTTGCTGCCATCCAGATCCTTGGCCTGCTCGACGGTAAATTGAGCAATACCGGTGTTCACCTCTGGTGGGGGCTCCAGCTCTCCAGACTCGAGCTTGCGACCCTCCAAAACAGGGAAGAATCGAATATCGGCCTGAACCGCGCCGCGGTGACGACCACTGGCCGTAACCTCGAGGTAGATACCTTCGTGAGAGGGCTCTTGTTCAAGCTTGTCCAATCCAAAGGACGCGGTTCCAAGTTCCTTGTCCTTGCGGTACTCGTTCCAATCGTACGGGGTGATGGTGAGGGCATCGGAGAAAGAAGTGATGATGACGTAGATAGTCTCGTTCCAGCGCGGGCTGTCGGTATCGTGGATAATCTTGGTGCGACCCAATTCCTTGCGGTTGTTCAATGAGACGACGGCGTACGGGTCGGGGGTACCGGAGAACTTGTCGGGGTTCTTCAGTTGTTGAGCACCGTGCAGCGTAACCGCAACAACACCAATGGCTTGATCGACGGGGTTTCCTGCCAGCATCTTGGCGATTTCGATGGGGAAAACGTTGGGGTCGTACATCATGGGCTGAAGGTTGTTGTGAATCTGCTCCTTGATGAAGGTCTCGAGGCCGGGGATGAAGTTGATATCAAATCCAAGGTGGTCACCACCGAGGGGCTTGCAAACGTAGTCGAGCTCGGGCTTATCCAGGAAGCAGACATCAACACGTTCAATGTGGGGGAAGGGAATCTGCAGCTTGACCTTGACGCGCATTAAACCGGAGCAAGCCATGTCCTCGACAATGACGTCCAGACCTTTGCTAACAAGACCCTTTCCGAGACGGACTTCGAGGACAATCTTGGGGTTGATCTTGTCCTTCAGCTGACGAGCGGTCAAATCCATCACATCGTTTGGAGTGAAGCTAAACTTCCAATCCATGATGACGGTGTCGGGCTCAGTCTTGGGGTAAGTCTTGACATGCTCCAAACGCGGGGGCTTCGTACCCAGGACAAAGGTCTTCAGGCGCAGGCTATCGAGAAAAGCGGGGGTCGAGGTACTCAGAACCTGATCAACAGAGTTGATGATAGTATCACAGAGAACAGGAGCATAGATGGGCCAAAATTTCACCAGGAAGCTGTTGATCCACTCGAGACTCTCGTTATCGGTCTCGAGACGAGCCTTGGACATCTCGCGGCTGATATCGTCGCGGAAATTGCGGCGCACTCGACGGATGGAAGTGCGATAGTAGGTACTGCAAGCAGCCATGACCAGTAGCACCCAGCCAACACCACCGCCCAAGGCCGCGATCAGCCAGGAGCTCAGACAGGCAAAGATGATGATTCCGGCATTGTGATACCAATCGCCGAAGAACTTTTCGGGGAGTCGGCCCTCGAGGAAGGTTTGGTGGTCTAGTAGTGTGCCCTCGGCATCTTCTTCTTCCGTTCGCTCTTTGTGGAACTTGGGTTCCCAACCGGTGCGGTCGCGCGCCCATCGCATGTCGTCATCGGCACCGGGTTTGGCGTCGGTAGCATTGGCATCTTCGGCGATGAGTGCGGTCGCAGATTTTGGGGGAGGAAGGTCGTAATCTGCTTTGCCGTCATCCTATGAGAGGTCAGTAAACCGATCGTGAAGGGGTGGTGTCTCGCGCAGGAAGGTGGTGAGGCGACTCACTCTGTCTGTAATTACTGAGATTCCCTTGGGCTTTTTAGTGTGGTGGAATCCGGGTGGTACCCTCTATGAGTGTGTATTAGCGTGTGCGCGCAAAGGAATGGAATAGGAGGAGCTGGGAGGAGCTCGGAGGGAGCTCGGGAAGCTCTCTAGGTTGAACGTACAGCCTCGGCGGCAGCCGCTTTATCGTCTGGAGAGGCATCCGGATCGAATTGATATGCAGCGGCGCCAGCCTTACGCGACTCATCGACTAGAGTCTGCTCGACGGTGTCGGGGTTGACCTTGGACTCGGGGTCTTGCTGCAGCTCGGTTGCGGCCTGGATAACCCCCTCCTCCCTCAGCTCGGTCTTCTCCGCCTCCAGGGACGCCATCGCGGCGATCGGATCAAGTGTGTTAAGTACAGGCGAGTGGTCAAGGTGGTGATGGAGTGGTAGTCTGGGGAGAAAATGGTGGTTAGGATGTGCACTATGTAGGCTTCAAAGTTCCCATGGGCTGATGGTGGGACGAATCCCAATCGGACCAATCCGATTGATCAATGCGAGTCCGAATCCGGGGATTGGAATGTTGTGAGGGGAGGGGGAGAGTGGTAGAGGTAGGCGCTTACAATAAGCCCTGTGGATGGAAGGGAGAGTGAGAGTGAGGGTCGTAAGTTGGCAAAGTGAAGAAGAGAAGAGAAGAAGAGGAGAGTCGGAAGTGCCTTGGGGAGAAAGAGGAAAGAGGAAAGAGGAAAGAGGGGAGGAAGCCAATTGGAATTGTGGCAGGAACCACCCAGCCGCTTGCGTCAAGTTGTACTCTCGTACTGTACTGCTCTAGTGGCTGGGTATTACTGATACGAGAATATCAAGGCAGACCGTAGGGTGCTAATTAATTAGTACTAACTAAATTAATTAGTTTCGAAATTGCCTGCCCTGTAAACAAATTGAATTGGTAATTACACGATGCGATCGACTGGGGCGATCGGAGATGAAGATCAGTGACGTATTAGCTAGTTGATCGGGTATAGTACGAGTACAGAGTAAGGCTGTAGATATGGCAATAGTATTTATTATAGTATATACAACTTGATACAGGGTTACTGCCTAGTATACTATAGTATACTGTCTACTCTGTAGGTATACCCCTATCCAAACAATAGTAATATAGTAATAATACTCCTAATAATACTTGTACCCAGAAATGTGAGCTCCAGCCAAACTATTGGTGCACCGCCACAAGTCTTTCCATTTTGGGTAGGCCCACTCTCTTCCTTAACCAATGCTATTCTTGTGGATCTCTGTGGCTGGGGACAGCCCTGCCCTGTCCTTCTCTGCGCATAGGCAACCAGATATCCCCCTTCCCCTATACTCCGTCCCTATAATAACATATCCATAATATAGCCATTTATACTATTTCCTCTACGCCCCCTACTCCCACTCATCATACCTACCATCAATTATTCCCTTAAGACCCTACCTCCTGTAGTACACGTGGCACCCCCACCGATCACACTCCTCATCCTCCATAATCCAAACCCCACCCAACTCGATAGCTGCCAGCAAGGTTTTCTAGCGCCAGTCCGATCGCCATCCCATCACCACTTGCATAGAACTGGGGCAAGCGCCTAGTCCTCACCAATCCCGAGTTCCCTAGGGAGTACGAGTACATATCCATGCGGAATCTGCACTGCAAGATGCATGCAGTCTGCACAATCGGGATCCGAGTCGGAGTCAATTCTAATCGATACATCACTTTCGCTGAGGGGGCTGGGTTCAGGAACGTGTCAGTATCCATATCTATTCCGCGGCCTGCAGTAACAGTACGAGTACTCGGTACTTAGGTTAGCATAGATGTATATGGGTTAGATGACCACTGAGTAGTAGTACTACATACTATAGTACGTAGCCCTATCCAACATTACAGTATGTAGCTGTCCCTGAACCCACATCGGCTCTACCTAGTGGAGTTCGATCGGCGAGAGTTCACCGAGGTTGGCATGTGTGATACCAATGTGGGGATGTGGTGTGGCACAGCTGAAATCTCTGCTTCAAGTTGGACATTGGTGTTTACTGTATTCCGTACTCTGTAGTCTACTCCGAGTCGGTAGTATATTTTATTTATCATTTTTTTTTCCTCGTCTAGCTTTCCCGTGTTCAGCTCCCTGCGCTATCTGTGTTTGACTTTGGCTTGTCTCCACTGTGATCTGTGGTTCTTGTTCCGAGATCTGCGTCAGTATTATATGCTAGTACGACCTGGGAAAAGGAAATACTCGGACTGGCACTAGTTAGTCCTAGCAAAGGAGGTGTTACCTGTGCCTACATCTGTGCCATAGCTACGGAGTAACTAAATTGGCCTTTTCTTGTTTCAGACATCGGTCTAGCCCAACACATGACCAGGCACCGGCCACGAGGTTGAGCTTATTTCATCGACTGTGCGGGGAATACCACTCAAGCCACACTACTAGTATTGTACGGAGTACGCACTGGTTACTACAGTAGTATGCACCACTTCCTCAATAATATCAAATCATCAATCAATACATGAAGCTAAGCTATAGGTAAGCATAGATGAACCAATGAGTAAACTAAGGTGAACAAAGAATGATATCTGCAAACAGCTCGTCACATCTTAAATTCGTCGCGGGCAACTCTTTACCGGCCCATGCGGATCACACCCGCCGCCATCAGCTTCTGCACGCTGATCCGCACCTGTGGGTTCTTCATGTGCTCCTGCAGAGCCGCCGGGTCGCTCTTCGCCTGCTGCAGGATGCTCTGCATGACGGGGTCCTGGAGGATAGACATGATCTAGTAGGGTCTCAGTTAGCACACACACACACACACACACACACATCTCACACTAAGCTAGGGTTGAGTAGAAGGGAGGGCTTGCTTACCTCAGGATCATTCTGGATACGCTCAGAAGTCTGCTGCTCAGTCTCATCAGCACGAGCACTGAACTGCGCGTCCAGACACTTCTGCTGCTGCTGCTCAATTTCGCGAGCGTGGCTTCCATCATCCTTCTCCGCGGCCTCGGTGAAAGCATCCAGGGCACGGTTATACTCCTTCATCGCGACAAGAGCCTGGCCCTTGCGCATATAAGCACGGAAGAACTTGGGGTCGCGCTTAATAGCCTCGTCGCAGTCGGTCACAGCCTGGGGGGAAGGCCATCAGCTTAACCAGCGCCGCGGCACGGTTCGAGTATCCGCGGGGGTCGGCGGGGGCACGCTTGGTCATCTCGGTGAAAGCGTCGACCGCACCGGGCCAGTCGGCTTCCTGGAACTTCTTCTGACCGAGCTCGCGGGCCTCTTCGGCCTTGGCGGGGTCCATGTATGAGTCCTTTTCGAGAGTGTCGCGGGCCTTCTCGGCGGCGCGCATCTTGGTCAGAGCCTCGGGGGTGCGGTGCTCCATCAGGGACTTATTGTAGGACTCGATAGCCTGGGTGAGGTCACCCAACTTCTCGTAGGCGGAACCAATACGGGTGAAGGACCTGTGGATGTTAACTTCCGGATATATATTCCAGCCCGGGCAAGACTTACTTGGCGACAGTCTTGAAGTCAGCGCGCAGGTCACGGCCCTCCTCGACGGCCTTCTTGCACGTCTCAATGGTGCCTTCGTAGTCTCCCTTCTCGAACTTGGCGGCGCCGATGTTATTCAGATAAGTGATGTCCTTGTTCAGCTCCCAAGCCTTCTCGTAGTGCTCAATGGCCTTGTCGTGCTCCTTCTTCTTATAGAAGTCGTTACCAATCTTCTTCTCGGCATCACCAGCCTCCTGGGCCTTGCGCTTGGCGACAGCCTCCTCATCCTCGGGCTCGGGGGTGGGCTCCTTGGGGGGGAGGAGCGGGCTTAGACTGGGGCGCAGGAGGTGCCTCAGAAGGACCACCCTCGCCACCGAAGTTCATGTCGATGCCGAGCAGAACACTCATGACCTGGAGGAAGCGAGGGTCACGCATCTCCTCGCCAATGGCGTTGGGGTTGGACTTGAGGCGCTCCAGCTTGGCCATGAACTCACTATCAGCTAGCAGGGCAGAGGTCTTGGGGTTGTTGGCCAGCTTCTCGATCATCTGGGGGTCGTTGAACATGCCGCCCAGACCACCGAGAGGGTCTCCCTGGACACCGTCGGCGGTGGCCTCGGCCTGAATAGCACGCTGGGTGGCATCGAGACCGGACTTGGCCTGGGCGTTACCGGGCTCCAGTTTCAGAGCCTCCTCGTAGGAGTCGTAGGCGGCCACTGTGAAAGTCAGCCATGGTCACGTACAGCAATGTTCAAAGCTGGTATCCACAACTTACAGAGGTCTCCGAGACCGCGGTAGGCGGCACCCTTGCGGAGGTGGCCCTTTGACCAATCGCCCTTAATGCCGATCGCCTTCTCGGCATCGTCGAGGGCTTTTTGGTATTCGCTCTGGGCGTTGTAGACAGCGGAACGGTTGGAGTAGAGGATGTGGTTCTCGGGTTCGATCTCCAGGGCCTGGGTGAATTTCTCACTGTCGACTCCCAGCAGACTCGTTAGCGCCCCAGATTTTCACGATACGCGGGGTAGTTTGGATGAAGATGAAGCATGTCTGAGACTTACATGGCCGTGGGGTAGTCCTTGGCCGAGAAGGCCTTGTTACCTTCAGATTTCAATGCGTCCGCCATGTTGGGAATAGAAGTGCAGTTATGCAGATGATTGAAGGTGGCCGGGGTTAAAGGCTGGGCATGGGCATAGCTTGGAGCTCCAACCATGAAGGTTCTCGAAATTTCTGTGATGCCTTGATGCCTGAATGGAGCTTGTCACCGCTTTGCAGGACTGCTGACTACTCGGATTATCTGCCCGAATATCAGCTGCTTCTTCACCGCCTGCTGTCGAGGCCTGATGACTCAACTTAACACCTCACTTTCCAGGCAGGAAGCTCCCCGCACTAAACCTAGTTTGGAGCGGTGATGTCAGCAGTTTTTGCGACGATCGCCCAGTTTTTGGGTGGTTGCACCTCTAAACAATTTCGGCTTCATTCATCACCAGACAAAGAACTGGTTTTGGCTGTTTCAAACCAGTCAATCTGGTTTAATTTATTTCCACTCAGTGAAAGAGACCAAAAAAACCCCCATTCAAAACCTCTTCGGGAGTCCGCCTCTGATCTCATCTCGAGTCAAAACGGCCGCAGTGACGCAGTGACGAAATAAACTCCCCACTTCTTATTTGTCTCACCGGAATTGGCTTCGACCCCTCCACTAGGTCCTTTGAGTCTTTGAGCTTGACGACCGTTGTGTTTAATTCCACTAGTTCACCCATTTTTCTCCCCTCAATTCACATCTCCAGTGGTTGCTATTCGACTGGTTGTGGTTGATACCAATTTATCACACCATGGAGCCCGTTAAGATCTCCGACTCGACCAAGAAGCGTCGCATCGGAGTGCTCACCTCCGGAGGTGATGCCCCCGGTATGAACGGCGCCGTGCGGGCCGTTGTCCGAATGGCCATTCACAGCGACTGCGAGGCCTACGCCGTGTTCGAAGGATATGAGGGTCTGGTCAATGGCGGCAATATGATCCGCCAGCTGCACTGGGAGGATGTTCGTGGCTGGTTGTCCCGCGGTGGTACTCTGATCGGCTCCGCCCGGTGTATGGCTTTCCGTGAGCGTGCTGGTCGCCTGCGTGCGGCGAAGAACATGGTGCTGCGCGGTATCGATGCTCTCGTCGTCTGTGGTGGTGATGGCAGTTTGACCGGTGCCGATGTCTTTCGTGCCGAGTGGCCCGGTCTGTTGGAGGAGCTGATCAAGGTCGGCGAATTGACTGCGGAACAGGTCGAGCCCTACAAGCAGCTGAACATTGTCGGTCTGGTTGGATCGATCGATAACGACATGTCCGGCACCGACGCGACAATCGGTTGCTACTCCTCGCTGACTCGCATTTGTGACGCCATTGACGATGTTTTTGATACCGCCTTCTCACACCAGCGTGGATTCGTTGTCGAGGTCATGGGTCGTCACTGTGGATGGCTTGCCCTGATGTCCGCCATTAGTACTGGCGCTGACTGGCTTTTCATTCCGGAGATGCCTCCCAAGGACGGATGGGAGGATGAGATGTGCAATGTCATTACCAAGGTGAGTCGAGTCCAATTGACTTTGGAAGGCGAGATCTGATCCCGTATCTAACTTTCCTCGAACAATAGAACCGCAAGGAGCGAGGCAAGCGCCGTACCATTGTCATTGTCGCTGAGGGAGCGCAGGACCGCCAACTCAACAAGATCTCGAGTTCGACCATCAAGGACATCCTCACACAGCGTCTGGGTCTGGATACCCGAACCACCGTCTTGGGTCACACCCAGCGTGGTGGTGCAGCCTGCGCCTATGACCGCTGGCTTTCCACCCTGCAGGGTGTTGAGGCCGTTCGCGCCGTGCTGGAAATGAACGCTGACTCGCCCTCGCCTGTTATCACGATTCGCGAGAACAAGATCATGCGCACTCCCCTCATGGATGCCGTGAAGGAAACCCAAGAGGTCACCCAGAAGATTCATGACAGGGACTTCGCCGGCGCCATGGTTCGCCGTGATGCTGAATTCAAGGAATACTACCACGCATACCTGAACACCTCTACCCCAGACCACCCGAAGTTGCATCTTCCCGAGGGCAAGGTAGACCAGCCCTGTATACCCTTTGTGAAGTGACAACCTTTGCTAACCAATTACAGAGAATGCGAATTGCCATCATTCATGTCGGTGCCCCCGCCGGTGGTATGAACCCGGCCACTCGAGCTGCGGTGGCATACTGTCTGACTCGTGGACATACCCCCATTGCTATTCACAACGGTTTCCCCGGTCTCTGTCGCCACCACGCCGATAAGCCCATCAGCTCCGTTCGTGAGGTTAAGTGGCTGGAATCCGATTCTTGGGTCAACGAAGGTGGTTCGGACATCGGTACTAACCGTAGTCTGCCCTCCGAGGATATGGAAGGTACCGCCAAGTGCTTCGAGATGTACAAGTTCGACGCTCTTTTCGTCGTTGGTGGCTTCGAGGCTTTCACTGCCGTCAGTGAGCTGCGCCAGGCTCGCGAGAAGTACGACGCCTTCAAGATTCCCATGGTCGTTCTGCCCGCCACCATCTCGAACAATGTTCCCGGTACCGAGTACTCCCTTGGCAGCGACACTTGCCTGAACACGTTGATCGACTTTTGTGATGCCATCCGCCAGTCCGCCTCTTCCTCTCGTCGCCGTGTCTTCGTCATTGAGACCCAGGGTGGTAAGTCTGGCTACATCGCGACCACTGCTGGTCTGGCCGTCGGAGCCGTGGCTGTCTATATCCCCGAAGAGGGAATTGACATCAAGACGTTATCGCGCGACATCGACTTCCTGCGCGATAACTTCATTCGCGACAAGGGTGCCAATCGTGCTGGAAAGATCATTCTTCGCAACGAATGTGCCTCCAACACCTACACCACTCAATTTATCGCAGATATGATCAAGGAGGAAGCCAAGGGCAAGTTTGAATCTCGATCTGCTGTCCCCGGTCACTTCCAACAGGGTGGTAAGCCCTCGCCAATGGACCGTGTGCGCGCACTACGCATGGCCATCAGGTGTGTGCAGCACATTGAGTCATTTACCGGCAAAGATCGCGACACCATCGCCGCCGACCATCTCTCCACCTCCGTCATCGGTGTCAAGGGCTCACAGGTCCTGTTTTCGCCGATGGGTGGCGAGGATGGCCTTGAAGCGACTGAGACTGACTGGAAGCGCCGCCGCCCCAAGTCCGAGTTCTGGCTTGAACTGCAGGACGTCGTGAACGTTCTATCCGGCCGCTCTGCGTCGCGTACTCAAGAAGGCTGGTTCTGCTACGAGAGTACGTAATTCGTCAACACGACACTACCTATACCCCCCTGGATTTTCTGTTTTCGTTTCTGCCATTCTGGACGCTGCTCCTTCCTGGCTGGCTGGCTTTACGACTGACTGCCCGCCGTTCGCGCCCTCCCGAATCCCATTCTTGCGTGGTTTTTCCGTCTTCTATTTCCTAGGTGCTGGATGTTAACATTTTCCTTCTTCTCCCTCTCCAGGACCCTCCACCGTTCAATCTATCCCGTCTATCCCTTCGGTGCCGAACTCTCCATGAAGGAACTACCCGGCACCCCATCCCATTCCATCTCACTCCAACCTCCGGAACACATCCCCACATCCTCCAATGGCTTCCAATGAATGATCAGAAGAGACAGTCCATATCCCCAAGACAGGGCTGTCATTCTACTTCTGCTGATCTGATCTGTCCTACTCCGCTTGATTTCGAGTTCGAGTGACAGCCGCCGCCCCCTCATGTTTGTATGATGCTACGCAACGCAACGCATGCCCGACATGCCATCTCGGCACAACATTAAACTCGCGAGCAAGGGAGCTCTTATTACCCTTTTTTTCTTCCGTTTCATATGATACAATGCTATGTGCTAGATAACAGATAGATCTGTCAATCGCATTTTAGCCTAATATTTCCCAAATTTGAACGTAGTTGCATTATTAATTGAAGTAAAAAACGCGAGATCGATAATACTAGTATGTTGCCGAAATGTGTAATGTCGCTAGGAAGGAGATGAACCCCTTTCGACGTGATGAATGATCGAGTGTTTTCCAATGGGTAATCCAAACGAATACTATGTCCAATCAATGCAACCATGAAATAACGACAAGTTTACTTCGAATTGTTCCCAACAGCAGCCTCCAACTCATCTAGCAGATCGACGGTCTCTGCGGGACTGGCGATCCACGCCGTGGTTGAAGCAAGACGAGCCTAGAAAAGCGACGAATACGTTAGAATCAAGTTGGAAGGTGAGAATTTCTCATCCCTAAAGAACGTTGGAAACTTGAATCTAACCTTGAAGTCATTCGCACCAGCCGACAAGAACTGATCGCCGATATGCAGTGTCTTGCCCGGATCGATGCCATTGAAGTATCGTTGACAGGCACGTACACCCCAAGATTTATCGCCGATATCCACGAAGACATCGTTTCCGCCTGGAAAAATGTGATTTAGAATTAAGTGACATGGAATGGGATATGCATAGCACAACGAGAGAAGGGGAGGGAGAAAATAACACACCGTTAAAAGCACAGAAAGGCAACCTAGCCCCAACAGCAGATCTCTCAACTGTATTCTGCACAACAAGGACAGTCTCCTCCAAGAGCTCACGATTGATCCTCACCCCGTTAACCGGATAAACACCCACAGCCCGATCCTTCCTCAGCACAGCAGCAGGTAAACTCAGCGCATCCTTACATGTCCGCAAAGCGTTCTCGGCCAAATCAAGTAACTCCTTGATATCATCCTCTTTCCACGCGTTCATTTCATCGAGTAGCCACTCTTCACGAGGGACGTAGGAAAGCTTACACTCTTGAGTTCTGTCGTACCGGAAGAGGAAATTGCTTTCACCACCCATGACGATAATCCCTTCTTTCTGAGATTCGGTAAGATCCGAGCTGCTGTGAACAGCGTCAAGAAGTCCGTATAATCGCTCATAATACTTTGGAGCCTCCTCATACCCGGCTGCCGTGACGATACCGACTTTCCGGTTTTGAGCGAGGAGGCGCAGGATGCGTGAGATGACCGGGTTGGACGGTGTTAGATTTTTGCCATCGTCGTAGAGAGTTACATCTCCATCAAAGGTGACTAGCTTGACGGAGCTGGTTCGAACTGAGACCCAATAATTGGGCTGAATTGAGGGTTAGACGAATGTCATTGAAGGACGGGGCGACAAAGCGTCTTCGGCTTATGCAGCGCCGCTCGTCTTGGTAGTTGAAGGCTTCTTGAAGATGCAGCGCCGTGAAGAATGTTCCTACGGTTGGCACGAGAAGTTTCAATTTTGACTTTCCGGGAAGTGCGGCCGCTTCGTGGTGGACTTAGTTTATTTGTGTTAGTATTGCGGTGCGTGATGTCTTTGATATTGGGTCAGTTGGACGTGGTCCCTACTGTGGTCGGAGATCAAGTTCTCCACATCCAGCATGATCTCTGCATAGCGCTGGTGTGTGTCGGCTGCGACAGTCTTCAGGCCTTCGCTATGATTTTGGTAGATGACGGTGGGCTGGGAGTGCAGGACGAAAGGCACAGCTAGGAGACCCTATTGCGGCTCTTAGCATTGCGCGATATTCGTTCGGAGCTCCCTCCAGGCAGGAATTTGGAAGCCTACCTTGATCCATTCGATCTATGGCGTGTTGATTTTAGTGTTGTATTGGACATGGGTTGTGTTCTGTGAAGCTGCTTACCAGTTGATCGCGGCGGTGTGTCTACTTGCGGGGTTAATGAGGGGCAAACAAGGGCATCGTATCACATCTACAGATAGGGGGTTGGGTTGGGTACCTTAAGCGCATCTGGATATGATCAGCAAGGCTCTTGGAATTAAGGCAGACGGATTGCGTTGGCTTGCTTACATTCGACGCGATATCGAGTGGTCATGTTGATCGTGGGGAGTGGCTATAATCGAGGTCGTTGAGTGGTGAAGATGACAACAACTCCGAACTCCGCGTGCACGTCCCTTTTGGCTTATGTACGAGGGAGAACGAGTATTTCCTGTGACTCACGTTGTGCAATCAAGGGAGGGGGAGGAGAGGGGGGGTTGGTTGCCGATTGGATTTGAGATCCATTTCTGATTGGCCCGGCCTTCGGACTAAAATGTCAAGCATGACTTTCTTTCATTTATTTTCTTTCTCTTCAAACTGATCAAGGCTGCACCTTTCCGACCGCCCGGAATCACTCCTGGTCAGTTCTTATTGGCTATCGTTACAGTTCGGCGTGGTTATGGGCGGTGACGTGGGAACTGAGGCTTGAGGCTTGTCCTGAAGAAGTAATTGAGTTACTCGTTTTATGGATCCCCTGGGTCTAGATCGGCTGTACACCAAGCTTGATTGAGCTTAGATGGACATTTAATATGATGTGGGCACACTTTTACCTTTGTGAGGCATGATGACTCTGAGTCCCAGGCAGCACTGCCACTCGGCCCTGATTCGTATATTTCGTATACTTCGTATGATAAGAGGAAATCATTGGTAGAGAAGAAGGTGACGTGATGACCGGGTGATGTCTCACTCCGAGTCTGAGTACCTCTGCGGCTCTCCATGCCGGACTTTATATTCGGGCAAAATTCCATTGAAAGTTGGATATCTACTACATGAACAAAGACTTTGACTTCTCTCGCATTGGAACCAAGATCGACACTGGCAACTTGAAACATTTGAATATCTTACATTTGTATGATATGATAGCTACGCTACCAACGATTTTCGAAACATCAAAAATGGAGACTAGTCGCTGGCCAGAGGCCTTACCACCCTATGAACCCTCTCCGGACTATAGTCCGACAGACGAAAAGAAAGACCAAATCCTTCTCGAGCCCGACTCTTCCGAGCCAGGCTTCGCCAATTCATCAACTCTCAGTCGCGGCCTACAAGTACCGTCCCGCAATGCAGCCACAAGTTCCGGCTTCGCCTACCCAGAGGAGCTATCTAGGCACGAAATCTCTCAAGAAAGATGGACAGAATTCACAGCAGCGATCTGTGAAGAAGCCAAACTCTCCCGCCAACAGTGGACCACTGTCATCGGCAAAGGTCTAGGGACACTCGCGCTGGGAGGCGTGATGATCGGAATTCTTGGTGCGATACCTGCAGTCCTGGTCGCGAAGCACGCTAGGAGACGACAGGAACAGCGGAATTTAATCGCTTCGATGGCTGGTGCTCGTGGTGAGCAGCTATCAAGGCATCTGGCGCATTGGAATGAGACATTTTTCCGACCTAGAGGCGTACTCATTCGCGTGGATCTACCGGATGAGTACCTGGATGATATGGATATCATGGATCTGCACAGCGGGGGATCGAAAAAGAGCGAAAATCGTGCCAGGGAAGACGCAGCCCTTAAAGCCAGAATTGTTATTATTCCCCTGGACAGATCGGCTTCTGGGAGATCAAGTAGCGACGATGGAAGGAGTCAGTCGCGTTGAACTTAAAATAATCGCATACGAGAAATAGGTGGCTGTCTGTTTTTTTTATGAGTTGATTTGAACCAAAATTACCAGCAAGGCGTTAGAAAATGTTTTGTGGAAGGGTAGAATTAATTTAGCATTTTGGGATTTTTCTAAACATCGCAACGATCTAATATATCTTGTATTCGAAATTAAACTCGGTGTTTAGCTATTGACTTGGCTCGTTTTAAGAAGTGTCATGCGGATATCGAGTTGATTGCCTAGTAGCTTTGGGAAATTTAGCAATCGTACTATGCATCAACAGAACCCAGTTGCTGAATAACGTTATCCAAGCAGAGTGAGTAAGCCCCTGTCGACCTTTTATTTGGCCCCAATCACCAATAGAAAAGGGGTTAAAACAATGCGCCTTAAAAATTCACCACGTTGACAACATCTGCTTCTGTTCCACACGAGCCCCAATTCCCTTTTATGCATGAATTATAGCAAGGAGAAAAAGCCTTGACGACCTGGGGGTGGTAAAATCCATAAAAAAAGCGATCGACAGGTCTGTCAGGTGTGGGGGCCATCTACTTCTGCCCCAAAAATTTCCGCTAATCGTTAGCGTGGTAAATAATTGTGATCAAATAGCACTTAAAGGGGCTAGCGAGAATCATCAATGAGTGACAAAAAAAGAATTCCATGATCAAACTCCACAGAGGTTTCTCCCCCTCGCACCAATATGGGGAGCGCCCCGAGTTTCTTCCCACAACCACAACGCAGGAGGTTACTCTTCCTTCTGCTTGGTGCCGGTATCGCATTCTACCTGCTGAGATTGAGTTACGCAGCTCCACGCCCATTTGATCGACATCCCGAGTCATATCTGGACACACAGCCTGCCGTTTCCAACACTCTTTCGACCCACAGCGCGCCCACCACTCCAGACACGACGATTCCGGTCGCAAAAGCTCTGACACCCTCTCGTGCGAAGAGTCCATACTGCGTCGCTGTCTTTCTTGGTGCATATCGTGATTACCAGAATGGCGACGATGACTATGACGACGACACATATTTTGTCGGCGCACGAACACTAGTGTATCAGCTGCTCCATGCGCCCACTACCAGATTTACGGATCCCATTGAGACAGATCCAATTCCAGTGATATTGCTGGTGACAAAAGATGTCAGCGAAAGCAAGCGCAAGCGGCTTGAAGCAGATGGAGCAACCGTGATCGAGATTGAAGCAATAGATGCGTCTTGGGCAAATGGACGTTATAAACAGGTGCTCACGAAACTGCGTCTATTTGATCCTGAACTGCTCCCATACGAAAAGGTCTTTGTAATGGATACAGACATGGTGATTACGCGACCAATTGATGCGATCTTCCAGGACGAGGGTTCTCAGCTTAGGACTATTGACTATAATCGCGCAGGCCCCGACACTGAAATCGGTCGCCTACCTCAAAAATACATGTTCGCTGCCTCGCCAGAGTCTTACGATTTAGATCATCCATACCCGTTCTTGGATCTGGATCCTGAGAACCAAGACTTCAATGCCGGATGCATGTTATTTTCACCATCGAAGGAGATTTATAACTATTATCTAGAAACTCTGAGACATCCTAATCTGTTCGGGCATGAATTCCCCGAGCAAGATCTTCTGAACTATGTTCATCGATTGGGTGGACCGATGCCATGGAGCAGTTTACATTACTCGTGGCATATAAGTGGTCCGAACGAGAACGATATCGAAGGAAAAATGGCGATCATCCATGCCAAGTTTTGGTCTGATGGAGAAAGGGCGATAGCTAGGCAACTGGCAATCAGCTGCATGTCAGAAATGAAGGCATATTGGATTGGAAAGGAAGGGGCTTAACATATCAATAGCAATCAATTCAATACTATAATTCAAACACTACATTTAACAAGCAATTTTATGCTTAAACGTAATCTAATACGAATTTTCTACCTGCGATCTAAGAGTAAGAAATGTCGTATCTTGGTTTCATTTGTTGACGTATAATGGCTGAAATGAATTGGAAGCCCTGGTCGACAATCAATCAATCATCATCGTCTTCGATCACATAATATGCTTCGACTTCAGCAATGCATGTTTTCGCTGGAATTGTAACTGCAATCGGGAATCCTCCATAATCAGGCTCATCATTAGGCATGATCAAGAACTCTCCACTTGTCGCCTCATCGCCATTGAGTATTCTCAAGGTTTGCAATTGCCCTTTATAATTAACTTCCTTTTCCACTGCGTGGAGAATTCCACAAAAAGTAGATTCCTTAGGCACAGGCCTGAACCTGACCTGGAAACCTCGCCCTACCGCAAGCAACTTAGCATCGCCAAGATGAAAAACCATTCCGGCCCCTGGACCAGGTTTTCCGAATACAAATGCCCTCTCAATGATGACTTCAATGTCTCCGAAAACTCGTACCCACCTTTCGGGAAGCTTTTCAGAAGGTTCTTCGTCGAAGAAGAAACCCATACGATCCTCCGGAGCGGCGCCCAAGAGATACGGAGAAACCTGAGCAAGAAGTCGAAATTCGCGACCCGAAATCTCGGCTCCAGTATCAATTCCAAAAGGGCTTGTACCAAGAGCTCCATATGTAGCATGAGCCAGCCACATTCTCCGAGCCCCCTTTTCGTCACGTCGCTGTTCAGGATTGAAAAGCGGGTTTCTTTGTTCGGTGTAATAATGGCATATAGTTGTGTAGTCGTGTAGGTAGAGGTCCGGAGCGAGAAAGTCTAGGTTTTGGGTATTGCGCCGCCATACATCGAATAGGTGAGGGCATGGACCACCGGATGGATATACACCTGGTTCCGCACCACCCCCAACCACAATTGGAACCCCTTTCATATCCAATTGAGATGCATCGTCGAAATTCAACCACATATTTGTGCATAGTGGTATCGGATACTCCTTTTTCCCAGCGACGGCAACACGTCCGACGTAAGACGAAATGTGGTAGGCCATAAAAGCCTCAACATGGTGAGGACGAGGGGAAACCGGAAACGATGTGCCTTGGTTATTGCCTCAATGCAGCGGCAACGGGCTTGTTTCTTACTATGCAAGTCTTGCTGAATATCGCCCAAGAATACGAAAAACATCATGAATACTAACTGCTTCCACAGCTTGTGGCCATCCTGAAGACTGTCGGGATTACCGAGTAAGCTGCGACTCTCGATTCTCTTGAAAATTCTTTGCGGCAGCTACTAAATCTAGCAGCTCAGTTACACAGTCATATATTAACGGTTGCCTTACTATATGGTGTTGGCTTGTCTCCTTGGGAGCTTCCTTTCTCGTTGATCGAGCCGGTCGCCGGGTGCTTCTCCTCTTTGCCGTGTTGAGATGCTAATAGCTTTTAGCATTTGGACGTGTTACAGTGCAGTCTACGCAAAGACGGAATCAAATGCTTCTGGTACTGCGGTTATTGCGATGATATTTCTTTTCTACGGTGTCGCGGGAGCAGTGTGGCCTGGGCTCACAGTGTCGTACACCGTTGAGATATTACCATATAATATTCGCGCCAAAGGCCACACCTTGTGTTTTTTTTCACAGCTCTCAGTGGCGTTTTTAATCAGTGGGTCAATCCACTAGGCCTTGAAAGCCTGCACTGGAGATTTTATTTAGTTTATATTGTTGTATGAGTATTGATCAAGTCTTCGCTTTTTCTCACATTGATACTGACGATCTGCTTCCCTAGTCTCGTGTTGGAGTGTTTGATCATATTCTACTTCTTCCCTGAAACCAAAGGACCGACACTAGAAGAAATTGGAGCGATGTTTGATGGCGAGCAATCCGCGACTGGGATTGCGCAGGCCAAGGCATTTGAGAAGGTTATCGCTCATTGGGATACCAAGCGGGACGCATGATATAATTGCCAGTATGTCGTAACGGGAAGGGAATCTCAATCCTGTATTTCTATAATGTGATCGAATATTCAAAGTAATTTCTCCCGTGATAGATTGCTAGCGAAGAGTCTATTTACAAGAGGTATTGCCGTTTTGACAGGAGTACACATGTCGCACGGTCGGGGAAAAAGAAAAGAGCGGGAGTTGTCAAAAGATGAACTCTGGTCAAGATAAAAGAATGATTGGTTGCGCTCAACCGGTCAAGAGATGAAGCTCTGCAGCTTGACCTTATCCAGAATCTGTCCCTCAATCAAGCGCCCGGTTTCGACAACCTCTCCGTTGACGCGTTGATAGCGGACGAGCGCCGGCACATTGTTGACATTCCACAGCGAACGATAAACATTCTTTGGCTCTTTCCACCTAGAAGTTAACGAGTCAGTTAGCTCAGGGTACTCATATATTCAAAAAGATATGCCAGCTTCAAGTTTGGGATTTGACAGGACACCTACTCTGGCTTCTGCCCCACTGAGACCATGGCTACCGTCGGCGCATCGGGTGTCGCGAACGCAGTATCGATGTGAGGGAGGGCGGCGCGTACATCGGGGCACCAGGGCTGTTTCGTAATAGCGTCATCGCCCGAGATAAAGGCCAGGAACAGCTTTGAGGTGGATGCCTCCGGGAGTTCGAGCAGCTTCGCAGAAGCCGGCAGGCTGAAATTCCTGATGACGGGCATGGTGGTGGTGGTGGGTCGGGTAGTTTGAAAGGGGGGAAGAGATGCTTCGCAGGTAATCAAAGTGATGGGAACTCCTTGTCGGACTTTTCAAGGGGATCTCCGAAGGATTCGAGGTGATATCGGGGTGGAGGTGGTGAGTCGCCGATTGAGAGGTTTTACGGAAATTCTGCGTCCCCCGCGTTTGCTGAGGCCCACTTCGCCCCACGAAGTCATGAAATACTTCACTTTTTGCATATTTTTATTGTTTCAACTGGGAGTTCTTACAGGCCAGTGTGTCATACGAGAAGAATTAATCTTCATGATTTAAATAATAAAATTATAATCAGCCTAAGTGATAATTGGACTGCTATATTACACTGACATTGCCATCATCCGCCTGCGGCGACAGTAAGTGATAAGAAATACCCCATTCATCAGCCAAATCTCTGACACGATATTCAGTAGCCAGGCCAATAGAGGCCTCAATATGGCGCAAAAGACCCACAACATGTCGTCTTTCCTCTTCCAAAGACAAACATCGTCCAGCGATGTAGAGTGGTTGGAGCATATACTTTTGTACCGTCATCCCGGTCATCCCACCCGCTATGGAGAGAATCTCAGTTGAATGATAATTCAAGCCGCGTTGAAGTGCATTATATATGCTGAGTAGATCATGCGGCTTCTGGGATGGCACCGGGTCTGATTTTGGGGGTTCATTGACCAGTTGGAGGATTCGTGCCATATGGTAAAACGCCATGGCGATGGCACAGGTGTCGGAGCCGAACCATGTCTCCGGTGTCTCGCGGGAGTGTTGTGTAGTTGCTGAAGAGCGCTGTGTGATCGAGAAGAGAAATTCCGGTGGTAAGGCGTTATACCACTTGTTTAGATCTATATCAACACTGTCCCAAAGCGTGTTGTTCATTTTGACCTTATCCACTATCTCGCATAAGATATAGACAAGAGTGTTAAAAAATATAATTTCTTGAGTAGACTCATCGATCAGATCAAGTGCTAGCTCTCCAAAGTCTCCGAGCGGCACACCCATTCTTTGCCAAAGAGAGACATTGTGGACATTAACGCGACATTCTTGGCGGAGGGTCACTGTTGCAAATTGGTAAGAAATGATGCTTCTCGACACTTATCTCATAGATTACTCACAGCTATTCAGCATATCATTTAAAGCAAAGTACCAGAACGATGCCTTCAATGCCCGTAGCGATTGAGGTACCCGGTAAAAGTTATTCGGGGAAATCGGGAGATCCAAGTGTGGACGTAGTAATTTGTTGATGCCATCTAGGTGGCTTGTCCAGGCTCGCATTGTTGCATTCAGTTCCTCGTAGGAACTGAGGATACAGGCTGCGAGGATTCGGAATGCCGATGAGGTCGTTTCATGATCGTCAAAGTGATTACTATCGCTTCCAGGGGAGCGGTAGATGTCACCAGGTGACAGATGATTTTCGATGATGGAATGCCCATGTGAGATTTGACGGGCCATCAGTAGAATTGCCTTCTCGTAATACTTTGCTCCATACCACTCAAAATCGATGCTCGGCTGAACCATACTAGATGCCAAAATGCTGAACCGACGGCTTGCCTCTGTCGCCTGACTCGAATGCTTCATTTGACCGAGTTGTTTGGCAGCTATCGCACAGGCAGAGTAGCGGATAAGAGGGCTTTGGCTTGACAGCTGGATGATATATTGACTGAAATAAGACCGTTGCCCGGTACAAATGTCAATCCATTGCCCGCCTAGGTCCGCAAATTGACGAAGGAAAAATGCAACCTCGACGCGATCATTGTGGCTTTCCTCTATTATTGGACCGAGGATGGTGGGATTCGGTTCAGAAGCATTTCCGGCGACCGTTGGATAATTCTGTGTAACCGCGGGACTGGCAATGACGGGCAAATTTGGAGAGTGCAATAATGAGATTGGGGGGGTATCAACGATCGCATGGAATGTGCCTGGTGGTGAACTTTGCGACAGTAAGCCTCCAATGGGAACCAATCTCCTCTCCTTCTCCGGCGAGACTATCGATGCGTGATCGTAGGTAGATGCTGGTGTTGTGGGACCGTCCGTGCTGCGATTGACTTCTGCGCGTGGAGTTGCTGGAAACGGGTAATCAGAGAGCTTCCTATGGAAAAAGGCAGAGAAAACTGCTGTTCTCGAGACATACCATTGATCGGGGACGAATTGTCTTCCTGCGTCGGCCTTGGAGACTTTTTTAAACGGGATGTCGACTCGGTTTTGGTTGGAATGGAAAGAGAATGCGCCCGGAAGAGTCCATCGATGATACGACAGGCACGCCCACTTTTGAGGCATTGCTTGCACTCGGGCCGAGTTTCGTCACATTTGATTTTGCGTTCTCGGCATTCCGGACTGCATCGTTTTTAGCAATTAAGCTGATTGCAATGCCGATCTCAGACTCGACCACTTACCACCCCTTACGCGACCGGGCCGGACTCTTTCTCGGACGGGACTCGGGCATGACAGTGCGTTCACCGTGGCTGTTGCGGAGGCATGTGACCCCAATAGAATGTAACAAATTTGCGAGGTGTCAATCTGTTGATGTTGACTATCGTAAGTGGGGGATGGAGAAGAAGACCGCGTAATTTAACAAAAGCGGAGAATTTGCCGACTTCCAAGGTTTCTTCTCTCCGCACGACTCTCACCCCAGTAATTTCTTTCGTTCTCCACTTTTTATGTCTATGCAATCATGGAGGGGCAGCGAGGGACCACGAGGCTCAAGAGTCTCTGAAGATTAATGGTTAAACCCCGCCCCCTCATCGAAGTCTTCAAAAACACACATCTCCAACATGCCTCTTTATAAACCACCCAATGTCAACGCCCCGGTCCTGTCCCAGTTCTCACTGGAAGGCAAAATCGTCGCCGTAACAGGCGGCGCACGTGGAATCGGCCTTGAGGTCGTACGTGGAATGGCCGAAGCTGGCGCAGACGTTGCCCTTCTATACACAGCCAGCACCGATGCCTCTGAGTCCGCGGCAAAGATCGCCGCGGAGACCGGTCGCCGTATCCAAGCTTTCCAGTCCGATGTGACCAGTCGCAGTGAGATAGACGCCACTCTAAACAAGGTCGCCAATGAGTTCGGAAACGGTCGCCTGGATGTCGTCGTCGCAAATGCGGGAACTTGCACCAATCGGCCAAGTCTGGAATATGACGAGGAAAGTTGGGCTCGAGATAATCGTGTCAACTATGACGGCGTGATGTGGACTGCTCAAGCAGCGGGAAAGATCTTCAAGCGTCAGGGCAAAGGTAATCTTATAATTACGGCCTCTGTCAGTGCTATCCTGGTCAATATCCCCCAGACACAGTGCGCGTATAATGCCTCGAAGGCAGCGGCCGTGCATTTAGCCAAGAGCTTGGCTGTTGAGTGGACGGAATTTGCGAGAGTCAACTGTATCTCGCCTGGTTTCATCATGACGGAGAGTAGGTTCTTCAACTAACTCTGATCTTATGTCAATAATAATAATGCTAAGACAAACTGCAGTGCTTACCCAGCAGCCAAAGGAGCTTTTTGATAAGTGGCTATCCATGGTGCCCGGAGGTCGTATTTGTGATCCAGCTGAATTAAAATCGGTCTGTCTTCTCCCACCGTGCTGTGTCTTGCCCACTTTATACTGACCCGCATAGGCCTATGTTTTTCTTGCTAGCGATGCCTGTTGCTACATGACCGGCGCAAATATGGTTATTGACGGTGGCTACACTCTGCCCTGATGGAAATTCGTCAGAAATATAAAGTGGCGATATACAAGAGTCCCTTCTAGAATAGCAGTTTCGGATGAAGTACTATTATTAACAACTGTGATATGACCCCTCTTACGAAAGCCTCACCAATCAAGGTTGTGTGTTACGGAGGCCTTGCTTTATAAGGCACTGTACAGTCCCTCTTGTTTGAGAGCGCCGTTATAATTAGGTTTGATACCATCGGCTTCACTTCCGACGCATCGGGTCGATCGCCGTAGCTCACCCGAGGCTGGTGTGATTAAACACGAATTATGACCATACATGTCAAGCGCTAGTACATTTATGGGTATTCTTACCGCCATCCAATATATCCCTTATCTGACCCATGCTTGTAAGGTAAAATCCTTCCCATAATCGGCATCTCGTCATCAGCATAGTTCGCGCAACCCCGCACACATCAGGCTTCCTTGGTATAAAGGTAGACCGGCCACTCCACATTTTTCACTCTCACGGAGGGACCCTGCAGTTTTCATGATTAAATCACTGCAAACCAAAATCTACTTCCCTTTTTAAAAGACTCTTACGAATACAGTACATCTTCACCATGCATGAGCCAACAACCTACAATATCACCCCCACAAAACTAATCCCCAACTCCCCCAAACCACTTCTTCATTACAAAAACGCCTTCGTCCGGGACGGCAAGCTCGACATAGGACTTGCATATGATACCTTTGTGAAGAACGGGTGGGAAGTACAATGGGTCACACAATACGCCCGGTGTCAACGGTCGCACTACCATCCTAAAACCCACGAAGCGATGGTTGTCGTATCAGGACCGGGTCAAATTCGCTGGGGTGTGGCAGATCTCGACGAAGACGAAGAAAGACATACTTACGGCGATGCACGTGAAGAAGGTGGGTTTCTGTTGGATGTTAATGTCGGTGACCTATTCGTTATCCCGGCTGGTGTCGCGCATAAGAATTATGACCCCTTTGCTTCACATCCGCACGTCAACTGTCTGACTGGAAATGCGCGGGGGATCGAGTCCGATGATCCACGGGCCATGGTACAGGGGTTAGAGATGAAAGGGTTCATGATGATGGGTGCTTATCCGCATGGAGAAAATTGGAGTTGGGGAGATGGTGGGGATTCTCCGGACTTTGATGCCGTTTGGAACGTGGAAAATCCCCAGTTTGATCCTTTTGTTGGGAGTGACGGGGGAATTGGAAAGTATTGGAAGTGATTCTTGGTAGCGGAGAATGAATTGTTTGATTTTTAGTGTAACTATAATCTCGTGTTGAATTGCAATAGAATTTTACGGTGAGCCTCCTCCCATTTCCCTTTTCTGACAATTATTCTCCTTGCGAAAGGAATTGCTTCTATCGCTTCTTGATTTCAGTACTAGCCATGAGCTCGATAAATCGCACAATCTGACCCTGGCTCTTGTTCAAGCTTAAAATAAAAATATACTCTCCTTTACTCCCAATGGATATACTTACTGCCACTCCGAGGGATCATCGTCATTACTAACCTCGCCTTTTCCATGGCCACGCCAGTGTATGGAGTGATCCCTCCTTGGATTCAAGTTATTTTGTTTGTTTGTTTTACTTCGAAGTAATCACTTGCTGTATGTTTAGACTTGGAGCGAGAGAGAAAAATGAGCCTCGGGGACTTGAAAAGGCGGTTATAGTCGGCTAGAAACGCTGGTATTTATGCAGAGGTAGAGGCGGAAAGGGGTGGTAAATGCAAGTAGTTGCAGAGTATCAACACGACCCCGCAGTCATATAGATTGCAAGAAATCTAATTTGGGACTGCCTAGTGAGATAATAATTCTAGGAAATTTCACTATGCGAGCTGCATCCATTTGAGATGATCAGACTTGAAGCTATTAATAAGATCTACAACGTATATATATAGGGCATTTCGGTTTGAAGGAGTACTATTTCGGGACTATCCTTTGACTAAGAAGAGTCGACGCGTAATTAAGCATCGAGTTTTAAGCCCTGGACTCCCTAGTACAGGATAAGAGGCTCCAGTTACTGATCTGACAGGAGGAGACGGCAAATTGGCAATATTAGTATTGCCGTTTTCTATTTATCCGGCGACTAGTACAACGTACGAGGTTATAGTCAGCATGCGGCTCAAAAGAATATGACGGCTTGACCAATCCAGATACAACAGAGCGAAGGCATCCGAATCGGAAGGCTACATCAATTCCAGATATTATTTCAGTATGTGGACAATTATACCGTTCCCGCCGGTAGAAAATCACAAATTAAAGCCTGCCGATGTGTTTCTAAGCTCCAAGGTTTTACTAGAAACCTTATCTGGTCTCAACCCCCGAATAAAAATGCTGCGAAAAAAATGATGCCTGAATGCAACGACATGATTGTTTCTCGTAAGTGCTCCCACGAGAGAAAGCCCTCCTCAGTTAAAGTCCTATTCCTCATCCTCTTACCCACGCTGCTCTTGATACCAGTTCGATCTATTTAAACTTGATTTATCTGTCTATAACTCTCCATATTGAACAGGATTCTGCAAAAGATTCACTTGGCAACCCGAATACAAAGCTGATGAGACCGGATTTATTTCTTTGTTTTTATCTCCGCCAGCAGAAAATGACTTCGATTCCAATAGCACATTCTGACCCCGAAAGAACTTGCTGGAACACTGACCTACACAAAAGCCCTGCGCTCAACTTGGTTACCACTACGATTCCGATCTCACCCACGTCAGCCATCCTCCAAAATGGCAGTCCCCGAAGCAGGCTTCCATCCCAGTCCAATGAGTTCCGTAGGGCCGCAGTCAAAAGGCAAGGCTGGTCAGCTGCTAGGCCTAGCCCTTGAAGGACTCAACACCCCAAGTTCACAATTGGCTGCCAGCAAGTTTCATGCACTCATAAACCGGATTTCCCCTGCCAGGTGGGGCCACTTTTTCAGGATGGGGCTCAAGCACAGCCTGGGAAATGTCTGATCACCCCAGGGCTATAGCGCTTGGACGAAAAATGAAAGTAGTCCTTGTGCGAGAACTATTCGTCGACACTGGGCTGAGGTCAGGAAGGCTGATTGATCCCCACATGCTCCATTCACGCGTTAGTGCTGTCTCCATTCCCCGATTTAGCCCCAGGGAGCTGTCTGATGTGTATGATGCCCGCAGCCCCGCCTGAACCCCACTCAATCCGACTTTGTTGGGAGATTGACGGGGTGCCGTCCCACCCCCGCTTCCCACCCTCCTAAACTCAATCGTCGAGACGCCTACCGTAGCCCCTTATTTTCCTTTCGTAGTCATGAAGATTTGGCCACGGTATGTGGGCAGCTCGGGATAGTTGCTAGAAACTAGACAGGCTTGTTTCTCCTGGAAAATGCAAGCCACTCAAAATAATGATGGTTAGAATCCATCTGAAGAAGAGAGTCAGGGTTTTCAATGTTCGAGACTCAAATTGTGAGCAGAAAATGCAGATTAATCCAATTGTACAGCTTCCGATCCTTTTTTTTCTTAGAACATACTGTTGTTTAGTCTTGATTAAAAGGTATCCCCATTTGAGAAAATACCACACTGATTCAGGAGAGCAGTATTCGTCATATCGGCAGAGAGACTATTGTGAATAAAATCATTCATGTAATGAGAATTAGCTTGCAGCAATATCGATCGACTGCTATACGTAGGTCATATGTGACACACGGCTACTGCACAAAATAGCACTCAGGCGCACAGGGAACTAACGCATCTGCACCTGCACGCCAGAAGCAACGTCTTAGGTCGGAAGACACTCATCCGATTTTCATGTGCTTCGCCACCGCTGACGCACAGGACTACCGACCCCGCACTGTGGGTAAGAAGGGGAAATCGTGTTCTAGACTGACCCCCTTCGAATCTAGTTCCTGCGTAAAAGGATACTATCTTTATCTTCTTCCTGCCGGGACATTCGGACCGAAGCTGTCTAATCGATAAGCATTCCACGCATGACTAAGTAGATCTATATCAGTTCATCTTCATTCATCTTCATTCTCGCGCCAAAAGATTATGCCATGGGTGTTCCCAGATATTAAAACGAGAGGATTATTAGCTTTGGTAATGCTTTCATAATTACCGCTAAACATGTACATGCCAACCAAATGGCCATGTTCAAAGAGGTATAGCTTACTTTTCGATACCTGTCTTCTATTGATCAATATCAAAGCTAGAGGGGCGCGTGGAACCATTACGACACTACGGTAGGTGATTGACAGAAGCGGGGGTCTACGCGAGGCGCGTGGAAACACGCTAGGACACAGAAACCAGTGGGACCCTCGACATCTCCATGCATAGAAGTGAACCTAAGTATACAGGCCAAGAGAAGTTGGCTGGCTGCGTATTTCCTAGAATCAACTAATTAAAGCGAGTCTCAGGTTATTTATACCATGTCTTACAATACCATTGGCACGTCAGAGCTTTGCTCGTATCTGTATGAGTGGATAGTTGAAATTCAGCAGAGCAACTGGGTATCGATGAAAAATCTAGGGTTTCAGAGAAAATCATAAATGAGGGAAATAGAAGCTATCCAATTATACCTGGAGAAGTCTTGATTTATAGTAATTATTCGACCATGGTCTTCATATGTGGCCAGTATTGGGCTATCCTAGAGCGTCGTGGAACATCTCGGGATCGTAATCCACCGACATCATCGATCGCCGAAACATCATCCCATTGGGGTCTTTCTCTCTCGACCCCGCATCTTATGGTATCACGCCATACTCGATATGAATATAAGAGGTAATTGAATTATATAAGGGCCGCAATTGTTATAAGAACGCGGGATCCTCGCCCGTGGGATCAGGTCAGAACCAAACCTAACTCAACTCCGCAGAAAACCGAACCTTCTCTCCTACGAATCCCTACAACTCAATAAAAGGTCTTCAAATATTTCAAAAATAAAGACCTAAACAACATCCTCTCACAATGTCTGCCTCCGTGCCACCCTCTCAGCTTTACCTTCACCAGGCTCGCGATAGCCCGAGCTCCAAGGAATGCATGGATATCTATGACAAATGGGCCGCAACATATAATGCCGAAGTTGGAGACTCTGCTCAGTCATACGTTGCTCCTGTTCTTGCCGCTCAAGCTGCTATCAAATACAAGGCTGCTAAATCACCTGCTGATAGCGTGATCCTTGATGCCGGATGTGGAACTGGCCTTGTTGGACAAGCCCTTGCTATCTCAGGCGCACGAGCAATCGATGGTATTGATTTGTCTCAGCCTATGCTGGATATTGCACGCGATACTGGTGCCTACCGAGACTTGGCCCAGGCTGATATGAACCAGCCAATTGCACAGAAGGACGACACTTACGATATTGTATCATGCGTTGGTACTTTCACTCTTGGTCATGTTGGACCCGACCCTGCCCTCAGGGAACTCGTCCGCGTTACCAAGCCAAAGGGTATTGTTGTCGCCACAATTCTTCAGCAGATCTGGGCCCCCGGTGGGTTCGAAGCTGAGGTAGAGAAGTTGAGGGCAGAGGGTGTGGTGGATGTTCTTTCCAAGGACTTGATAGATTATGTAAAGGGACACGGCGACAAAGCAGTGCTGCTTATCATTCAAAAATCCCAGCGCGCCTGAACGAAAGAATCGCCAAACACCTCCCTGCCTACCCATGAAATAATGATGATCCAAGCAAAGCTCTTTTCAACAATCCCCTGTTTGGATCCGACCCAAAGCGACAGGTTTCAACATACCTCCCCCTACCCACAACCGAATGCAACATTAACGATAAACTACCGGCCGGCTGCGTGAAAGCGACTTTATGACCCTTAGAAATACCCATACTAAATGAAATACCATGGAAATATATCACGTAAACGAACGAAAATAGCTAGAATCCTTAACTAATCATAACGAGCGAGTACCTAGATTGTATTAATATTTAGAGGCGAATAACTTCCATTATAGATAATCGGCATCTGCAATCTTTTTTTTTTTCCTACGCTCAAAAGGCTGAATTTATTCGTCAGAACTTTTTATCAACCTATGAATTATTTGCTCTCTGTTGTTCCTCACCGAGTGGCAAATAGATTTGCCGAGTAAGATCCTCGAGATACGCTTTTTCAGGATAGTTCAAAGCATTCCTTTTTTTCTTCTGTGCCTCTTAAATAGTTCTTAATGGCACTCCAGGTTGATAATATCCTTTGAAATTACCAAATTAAAGCCTTTCCTTGGAGAAATCTTTCTGTTATTCGGTCACAGTGATCAGTATCCAGTGGTCCAAACACTAAACCTCCAGTAAGATCCATTTTCAATGACCATTTAATGACATTTTACTTTTGACGATTTTGAGAAAAAATAGTGGCTCCCAATAAGATATTATTTCAATTCAAGGTCTATGAATTGAGAGTCATGAACGACTTGAGATTTTCATTGATTAATACTAGTAGTAGATGAACTCCGCCATCAGTCGATATACCCCACGACTGGTACCTTGTTTAAAACTGAGTGAAATATGCCACGAATTTTCAGGAGGTCGATTATTACCGTAACTGTGGAACGGAAGCTTGCATTGTATCAATTAACTAACACCAGTGCCAAGGCTGATACCAAGGTCCTCTGCACCCTCATCGCGCTTGTTAACCAACACCAGCGCCAGGTAGAATACTCACATACTCAGAAACCAAGATACGAAGTAGCGATCAAGCAATGAAGTAGTAGCGGTTCGGCGAAAGTAAATAGCTTGAGGAGGAAGGAAGCAGAGACGGAGGCTAGATACAAGTGTAGGCAGTGGATGCCCAAGTGGATGCATCTGCGTCAGACATCAACAATGGTAACAACTCGAGTTCGTTACAAGCCAACGCTAATAAGCAGGTCCTCTGCATCCTCATCGCGCTTCTTAGCGTCAACATCAGCGGCAAGGCCAATACTCAAATTGTCTACATCGTCATTGCGCTTTTTAGCGTCGATGCCAAGATCAAGATTGATATCTGAGTCCTCCGAAATCTTCGCTGCAATTTATCACCTGAGCAGCAATAGTTGCGACGGCCAAGGATGTCGTCAATGCTATCAGAGACAGACGCATTTTGTCACGAGCCCCTGAATGCAAGTTGAGAATATGATCATCACGATCTAGGAAGTAGCAAAGCCGTACCGATTTCCCTGCTTCCGGAAGAAAATGAATGGTGTTTGGAAAGAGGTGTTGAGCTATAGTCACCGTTCCAGCGTACTTTGGCGATGAACAAAAAAGCCTAGACAGGACGGAAATGACCTCTAATTTATAGCGCAAATTGTTGTGATCTTGTCTAAGCGTTTATTTTGAACCTGGAATAGAGCATCATCTTACTCGTTATGTGGGTATAGTAGATCATTGGTCTCGCATGTGTTTGTGTGGAAAGTCCTCATGAACAGAGGCTTTCCATGGTTGTGTTTCACAGGTGAAGTCTTGAGCTCATGTTTTGCCACTCCGCTAAACAAGTGCAACTACCACCATGGATTTTACTAGCAGATATTCTTTCAGATTATGAAATCCTTGGCATATTATAAAATTGAAAGCAACATATTCGCAATGAGGACCTGACATTTATCTTATCATGTCTTGCGAGTTTAGTGTGGGTGGTGGGATCGTTAATGGACGGAAGTGGAAATTGATTAAGATCAGAACTTAATTTAGTGGGATCGTTCCAGGCGGCTTAATGCGCCACTTCTGCCTCCCCGGAAGGTAGCTAGGCAACCTTCCTATGACAAGGCTCCACATTGTATGGTTGTTCTGCTATCTCAAGCGAGGACTTTCCGCAAGCGGCAAGTCTGTATCCTACTACCGCACAGTCGGTAGAGCATTTCTCTGTTTTCGGTGGCTTAAATTTCGGTGGCCACGCGATTGAGCTAGTAGGTTCAGAACCTTGTTTTGTTGCTAGTTTGTTTGCAGGTTTTCAAAAATGTAGTCCTTCCAAGGTTGGTTTGGACATGGCGTTCTAGTACTGATGAACAGAACTGGTAACCTGACTGAGATATTCACCGCTACAGTTTGTTCAGATTGGATCACCCAGATACCTAGGTATAGTAATAATGAATGACGGTTATATCTAGCCCGGGATGATTGAATAGCTGCCGCAATCGCAGTTTCAATAACTTGTTTTGCGGCTACTTCGAGTTCTAGCTTCAGTTCAACGGATTCTACCATTTCTCAGCCATCTCTGTTGATGCCAAAGAACATAGTAAATTCACTTTTGTTTTAAATCTAAGAATATGCAAAGAAAACTGAGTTTGCGCCCAAAGAAACTTTGAAACTTGAATTACAATCATCCTCGTACCGGCAAACAAGCATGGTGGTACATATAGTTACGTCTATCCATGTAATCTGGGACGACCTCTCATTAAATTCACTAGGCGAGGATGATCTGCCATATTTCTATTCACATCTGTATCTACAGTAGTTGGAAATCGCAGACGCCCAGTAATATAACTTGCTCGCTTGTTTGTGACTCCTTTACACATTAAAATTTGATATAACTCTCAACCTTGACCAAGCCCGGTCCTTCCAACCCCAAACAGACCTTTGTTGCCTAGGAATGAAGCTCAACCTGTGTCGTGATTGCCTTCTCGCTATCCCCACCCACGTGTCCTGCGTTATCGGCAATAAGCTGATTGGCCTTATCTGTTGCAGCAGCTCCGCCGAGAATCGCTCGATCTCCATCGAACATCTTCACAATTTCTTCCAGCGGAATCTCCTTTGTCTCAATGTAATATTTCCAGACAACAAAAATCTCAAACACTAGGAAGACACAATAAACAATATAGTACTTCCACTCGATGTCCAACAAGGCGATAGGGTTCACATATTGGTTGAACCAGAGACTCAAATCAACACAGAAAAACATGATCGTCAGGCCCTTGGCACGAAGGCGATAAGGCAGAATTTCGGATGAGTAGGAAACCAGCAAACCGCTGAATCCAATATTGTAGGCAATGTAGTAAAGGAAGATGAAGACGAGCACGGTTCGTGCAGAAGCATCGTTAGACTCAATAGAGAACCTTGCAAGCGCGATAGTCATTGCGATGTAGCATAGCAACATGCTGATACTGGATGTGAGGAAAAGTTTGCGTCGTCCGAAGTAATCGACCCAAAAGCAAATACCAGTAGCAGAAACAACATTTACCGCACTGAGAATGAGATTGATTGTCAGGACTGTGTTACTGTTGGTGATCCCAATGAGTTTCAAGACCTATTATTGTTAGATTTAATCGCTGGTAAATTTGATTTGGCTTTTATGATGTACCTGAGGTAAGAAGTATGAAACGATTCCATTGCCAGACCACTGGGAGAAAAACCCAATCGAAATGAGGATAATCGAACGATGTCGGTTACCCGGTGTGGACCAAAATTCGGACCAGCTATTACCTTCAAACTGTTTCTCCAGTTCAATTGTCTGCTGGATCTCTTCAAACTCCACATTGACTAGAGCATCATCCTCGTCACCTTGTGCGTGGACATATGCCAGAACCTTCTTGGCCTGTTCGAGTCTTCCTTTGGAAATCAGCCATCTAGGAGATTCGGGGACAGTCCTAAATTAATGTCAGCATGCAAGACAACAGGCTGTGTATCCCTCCTTTCATTTCTTACCAGATGAAAACCAGTTGACAGATAGAAGGGATTCCTTGCAAGAGGCATGGAACACGCCACGACCATTCACTCCCATGGATATGATTTGTGCCTTGACCAACGTAAGCTATATTGTATATGAAACTGGGAATAATAAAGACATACCCAATGCAACGCATGCACCGATCAAGCTACCCACATACCAAAGCGAGTTGTAAATAGTACTGTAGATAGCTCGGTGCTGGGGATGTACCAGCTCAGTGACCAGAAGTGGTGCGCATTCCTATATTTAAAGTCAGTTCTCTGTGGTGGGTTAATATAATATAGTATTCAAGTTCTCACCTGTGCAATACCAAGACCGAATCCAAGAATTATACGACCGACCACAAATAAGGCGATTTTGTAGCCAATGGAAACCATTGCAACACCAAAAAGCATGATGATGCAGCCAATCACAACACCGGCTCGGCGACCCATAATATCTGCGACATATGGCACAACGGGGATAGAAAGCATTGAGCCAATCGACATAGAAGCGGCAAGAAGACCAAGAGTGGATCCGGTGGGATGACTGTAGGCTGCATTTTTGTTAATTATCAAAGCGCATGTTTTAACCGTCAAGTTATGCCTTACATTCATTCCAGGAATCCATAGCTTCCAGGCCATTCATAAGAGAGCCATCGTATCCTGGGAGTACTATGTCAGCGACGTTAAAACACGATTATCTGAGGCGGACAGACCATTGGTTGCAGAAGTGATCATTGCGGCCCACAAAGTGAGGTAAACAAAGCGCATCCCCTTCATTTTCCACCAAGTCACCTTGGGCCATTGCTGGCCGGCCAGCTCGAAGGTATCTTTGCCCATTGTATTTCCGCCTCGCAGGTTGAATATCTCAGAATTGGAATATCTTCCAGTACAGGAGCAAAATGTGTATGCGAGATTCACAGCTTCCCATCACTACTGGCAAGGGGAGAGTATTTAAGAGTCAAGGGTCTCCCAATCGATAGTCAGCCTATTTCGCCTAACATCCCGCGGCAGAATAGGATAAAGACAAGCCGGTTCTTGCTATGGCATTCCGGTCGCGTGGTTTTAGAAGCGGGGGATCAGCCGAGGTGTATGAGCAAATCAGACACACAGTAAGATTGTACTATTTTCGATCTTGCCATCAGCTCGATCAATAGCAAGGTCATTGCGCCTAATATCCAGTGGCAAAATAGGATAAACCCCAATCTTTGCCTCCTAATATCCCGGTCGCGAGCTTGAGCTTTGCGAAAACGGGGATAAGCGTTAGAAGGCTTCACTAAGCTTTCTCACTCCGTCGCCAAAAGCAGACGTGTAGAAACGGACACGGACTTGAAAGATGACACTGGGAATGTTTTAGGCTAAATTAATCGGATGTATCTCCCACAAGAGGAGATTCCGAGGGTCGCGTTGGTGTTCGTGAGGTCGAGCCTCGTGAAGCCGAAAGGATCTTACAAAATTGACCAGGATTGAAGTGGGCATTTGAAGCGATTGGCTTTGAACCGGAGAATAGTCCTTGGCCAGACGGGAAGATGGCCCTAATCCCGGTCGGCACAGGTGGCCAGCCTCACTATTGGCTTAAAGGAACAAGCTTGCAAACGGCACCTCGTACCACTGAGACGCTAAGTGACTAGTGCCCCACAAGATATTAGGCTTCCCCAGATTCTCCACGACTCAGGGGGGGCCGGTGACAGCTGGGGCTTTTCATCCATGGGTGCAAGGCTGGGCTGCGACAGGGATGGCAAGAATCCGGGCTTGGGGATTTAAAACTGTAATTTCTCATTTTTCTAACCCTGAGCGTTTTGTCGATGCGTTTTTGAAATCAGCCTAATTTAGCTATAACATGAAGCGACCTGCTTTGAACTTTGGTTTCTTGAAAGGGCATTTCATTGTTAGAAATGGGATCTCACACAAGTTGGCGCCCCTTTCGCATTTTAATGCGATTTTCTTTGAGGCTGGGAGACCCCTAGGATCAGATGATCGGCTACCCCCCCGGCGCGCGGCAGCGTCCAAACATCACTGAATCATGCTGTCTATGAAGATGCCCCATTCTTCTCCCTTACCTCTAATTTGTGAGACATCTTTCTCAGCCAAGACATGGGAAACTTGAAGGACCAATGCTCTTTATATGGGCGAGGTAAAGGAGCAATTGGCATGAACATCTCCAACGAACGTGGTGGTCGTAAACATTTGATGTTTTGAACGTATATACTCACCATTCTCGTGATAACTACTCAAATTCTATGACCACCCTTCAGATAAACTGGTAGAAACTGAGTCCACTAAGGGCTCGAATTACTTATAGTAGCCTTGACATCCATGGAGCGCATGGCCAAGACCCCTATTCTAAATCAAGGGTTGTTCATAACCAGCAGAATGCAACGGAAAACATGGCAAGATAAATCTATCTCCTGCTGTCATTGTCATGTGGGATTCTATAAAGTTTTTGGTGCTGCACGCGCTCGACGCAAGCCTTCCACGATTTAGGCGATTAAAAGTCTCTTCGGTTAGTCAGTCCCATGCACAGAGACTGATTCTTATTGGGCCCGTTTCAAAGATGAGGTAATACAATCAAATCACGGGCTACATATACTTGTCCGCAGGAATTATGATCAATGCCCCTTGCAGAATAAGGATCGGCATTAACGTACAGTCGATCCAGTACGACCTCAATCTCACCGCCCTCTTCCTATCGGAGTCTGAGGGAGTGAGTGATAAAAAGAATACTCTGACTTACATGGATCTAGTTTGAGGCAATTAGGTACAATTCAAATGATCGCAGCTTGCATATCCAGATACTTTAGGTCAATCTACGTATCTAAGCATTGACCATCCCATTTTAGCATGGCTATTTTCCTTCATCTGAAGATCTCTGGAGAGCGAAACTGAATTATAACGAGAGATTGCAATAACTATGCTAATTCGTGCTTAATAAAAAAGGTATGCTATTTGAAAATGGATTCTCGCGTTGTATGTCATGTCAATATCCATAGACACATGCAGGATGATCTCAAGGCCCTGATGCCGATTGTAAAATACTCTCGGGCAGGTGAAGGGCTCTAAGTAAGGAGAAACCGGACCTCCAAGGTCCCTTGCAATTGCATGCATCAAGTCTATGTCATCGGTATATGGTAAGAGAACTACTTGTTTCTCACCACGCTTTGTCTACCGAACGAAATATAAATAGTAGGAGAGCGCCTGAAGTCCACTCCATTCAGAGCCAGTTCAAAAACCATTCACTTACAGACCAGTAGCCTCCACAACACCCCGCCAGTATGCAGTTCTTCATGAAATGTCTCGCTCTTCTTCCTCTTTTAACTGTTGCGGTTTCTGGTGCATCCAAGTTCGCCGACACTTGCCAGAATATTGAGGGAAGGGGAACCCAAATTCGCGCGGACTGCCGTGAAAATGAGCATGGTCAATACCGAACCAGTACACTCGACCTAAACCGTTGTCTCAAGAACAATAAGGGGAACCTCAAGTGTGGAAAGAAGTGAGTTCAGAATGAAAGAGTTTCAGCCTACAAAAACTAATATTGGGACAAGTGGTGACTTTACCGCCTCTTGCATCAACTGCAGTCTTCGAGGGCACACTGAACTGGAATGCATGTGCCGCAATGTTAAGGAGGGACACCCATACGCTTCGGCCCACATTGATTTGAGTAAGTCTATTCTTATGAAATATGAGGTATTATGACTCTTCGGCTGATCATCAAAAGACAAATGCATCAGCAACAACCACGGCGAACTCGGCTGCTAGTCCATAACTAGAACCCACGGGATTGGAGTATGAAGGGAAATGAACCCCACCTTGAAACGGGGAAGATGAGGGGGAATGACATCTGCCGAACTTTATGTGAACACGCTCTTTTATGACTATATCATGTCCGATTTTACGGAAACATTTCGCAACGTTATTACAATTATTCAAGAAGTTCGAAGATCTTTCGCAATTCGTGAACAAACTCCGTGTTTACGAGTTCCTCGAAAACAGAAGAAAACCCAGGTAAAAACAATAGATCTTTTTTCACATTTTGAAATTAGACATTAAATTTGTTCGTATCTTCATCTAGACTAGTTGTTAGTAATTCAAACTCGCGAAATATTTCTTTTGGCTCATTCAGAACATCTTGTCTCTCCTGAGATGTCAATAAACGTTCGGCACTAAGTATGCGATCGCGAAGTTTGGCTCGCACGGCCATATTATCGTCTATATTCCAGAAAGATAAAGGAGATGGTGTTCGCTCAGAGGCAAAGTCTGTCACCGACAAGCCCCAAAATTCGGGCCCGGCTTTCAACAGCTGAGCGCGAATTTCACGTCCGCCAAAGAGAATAGCCGAGTACATGACCCAGATATAAGCAACGAGGAGGTGTGGTTTTTCCATAATCCGTTGGTATAAATCATTTCTTATTTCGCCCCCGAAGTGTTGTGACTGAGTCAACAGCTGATCGTATGGACCCATTGATCGTAATAGGCAAAGATCGGCTTCGAGGAGCCTCGTCCGTGGAAGTTCCGGAATGTAAAGGAGGCGTAGGAGGTGTCGAACTCGCTCTTTGTCACTGGGAATCGAGGCGTCTTGAACGACCTTATCCGACCACTCGCAGATCCAATCCGCGGGATCACCAATGCATGAGAGCCATGCTTCTTCAAGGCCAAAGTATAACTCCGCGTAGCGTGAAATTCCGAGGGTATATAGGGAAGGATTGCTCGTGCGAGGAGGCAGACAGAATGGAATTCGAGACAAGTTTAATCGGTGTATAGCTGCGTGGGGTTCTCTAGTATCCAGTCAGAATGCACGATGTGAACATGGGTGCGTGTATTTACTTTATCACCAGGCGAAGCGCCACCAGCAGGTTATCTGCAGTCATGGTTTTAATCCGACTACTTTCCTTTCAACTAGCCTATCTGGCCCGATCGATTCTGTGGCGATTCATGGGTATCTGCATGATCGACAAGGGTAAAAATTCCACGAAAAAAGCAATTTTGAACAAGCAGGTTTTCGGTTCCCGAGGCCCGCGTTTTTGTTAGTCCGAGGCCCCAGACCGAGCACGAAACCTGGAAGAACAAGGAATGCTGTCAACGTAAGAATAATTCTTGTATATTCAAGATTTTGAACCCAATTTATTCAGTTATAGTCTCTATAACTAACTGATTTATATCGTCCTAGTCGCGTACTGTGGGCAAAATTTTGCCTTGCAAAAAGTTTTCGCGCACGCACTGATTTCCATTAGCTCTGTTTGTCTGTATTCAATCCCCAGGGCTGCCTTACACTTAGACCAGATATCGCAGATATACATCTAAACTTGAAACCACCAAGTGGAAAGTGTATATATTTTCCTATTATCTCGAACCCTGGAGGTGGTCAACTTCAAGTTCCTTCGAACCTCCAGGGCTTGGGCCTTGGAAGGTTGCAAACCTTCAAGTTGGAATATATATTCCACCGGCCTATCCGTTTAAGTACCGGTACCTACCTAGTGTACTAGGGGAAATAGTCCGCAGAGTATCAAAATAGCAGTATAACTAAGGATCTATGTAATATAAGACTACTACAATGCGTACAGAAGCAGACAATCAGATACCCTCTTCTTCTTCTATCCCTAGGTCTCCTCTCATATACTCCCTCTACCCCCAGTGGCCTAGACCTGTTTCGCAGATAGGCTCCCCGCTACACTATGTAGATATTAGTACTAGGAGGACCGGGCATGGACTTCCGAGGTCCTCGGAAACTATCTCTTTTTGAGAGGTCTAAGGATAACCTGCCCACCTGGGCATCCATATTCACCCATGGATGGCACTAGTTAATCGACCTCGGGATCATTATTCTACAGGTAGTAATTGATGGCACATTTTCCCGCCACGTCATTAGAAGGTTTTATGGTAATTCAATAACTACATTTATTTGACCCGTTTCGAAAGTCTAGAAGGTTAGTCGTTGATTGAAAAGACTCGAAGGATATTTAGGAGATACCAAAGAAATATCGGCAGTACAACCTCGGGATGAAAGCCATAATAAGTCGGTATACTTTTTGACTAGGCTTGCACAGTAGCAAATATCGAAGAAAGATAATCAGGTTCTAATAAAATAAACCACAAAGTGCATACATAAATATAAAACTGATAATATATGATTTCGACAATGCTAAATGTGTTTAATTGGGACGATCTATTATGTCCAAAAACGCGGCAAGGGAGAATAATTTAGGCAGGGAACCCCAGAACTGTAGGCATAAAATTAAATATCACTTTTCTATTCAAAGCTCCGAAGTTCTATCACCATCGAGAATGAGAAATACGTCGCGAAGGATCCTTAGGTGGTTTCGGCTAACATGTGTACCCAAGCCGACTTTTCAGCTCTGGCGTACTCGGAATCATCTATAAGGCTTTAGATGAATGTAACCTTACTTCTTACTTGGAAACTCTCCCATGATGTTGCTCATAATAGCATTGGTTGATTCTTCCGTTCGGCGTTTGATTACGTTAAAAGTGATAAGCCACTTTCCTATCAACCTTGGGTCTCCCCGCATATCGGAGGACGCCGTTATGGGGGATTTTCTCAAGATCCCCTCACTCATATTCTAGACCGGACAAAGAAAAGCCATAACTCTCAACCTTGATCTTTTTGGGACTGGAAGGAAGAATGAAATCTCCCACTGGCCCACGAACGCCGAAGCCTCCGATTAGGCGACTGCGCCCGTCTTATTCGTGCACTGAATGCACTAGAAGAAAATTGCGATGCTCGAAACATATCCCTTGTTTTTCCTGTATTGAGAGAGGAATTGAATCCCAATGCCGACTTCGCCATCGGGTTAATGAAGGACGGAGGGGAAAGGATTCAAGAAACCAGCCAGAGAATTCAATCCCAGAGACGCAGCCCGTCTCGAGCGAGGGGCTCCGACCCTGTGAAACTGAACACCATCTACGCTATAATAACGTTTCCGACACCTCTCTGCCGGGCGCACTATCGGTGACACCCGAAGCCTCAACCGAAAGTAAAAGCCATCCTACATGTTCTCAGAAGCGACACAAAATATTGGACACAGTCTCTCAAGATGCTGCTGTTACGCTAGAGTTCCTGGCGTTTAGCCGTCAGCAAATTCTGAATACTGCTGATTTTAATCATTCCAACCAACAAACAGAAGATGGATATGTATCTCAAGCTATTGATTTCCTTTTTACAGCAGCCCAAGTTGAAAAATTGATGGCCTATCACGAAGAGTACATTGCTTGGATTCACAATGTTGTTCACATGCCGACGTTTCGTGAGCAGTGCAAAGATATGTTTCAGCTTTCTAGCACGTCAAATACTAAGCAGTCGTGGCTTTCTTTATACTATTCGATGCTTTCTGTGCGTCTTGCCTAGGTGTCTATCCATTTGATACCAGAGCAGACTGATTGACAAGAGATCAGGTCACTCTGTATCACACCCATCCTTCAAAACTACAAGACTTCGAGATTTACTCCGGTGGTAAGTCTATAGTTCAAATAAACTGGTGAGAAATACTGCGTTAACTTCCTCATTAGTTGAGCTGTCATTGCTGTGCTATCAAAAGAGTATAGACAGCCTCAATGCCGTGGATTTTATGAAGAATCATAGCATATACAGCGTCCAGGCCATTTGCCTCCTTATTTACATCGGGCACAATTCTGGACAGTCAGATAGGATTTCCGTTCTACTTGCGAGCGCAAGTCGAATTGCACAATGCCTCGGTATTCATCGTCTAGGTTCCGAAACGCCCTTCAGCATTCCCAGATGCGATGACTCAGATACCAGAAGCAAGCTTTTAATTGATCGTGAAGTCTCTAAGAGAGCGTGGTGGTTTTTAGTGCGACAGGATTGGCTACAAATCCCATTCAACAACACCTACAACATCCACCCTTCTCAATTCGACACCGAGATGCCCAAAAACTGCGACGAGGACGTTTCAAAAATGGGGTTGCCAACGGATATTGTTGAGCAAAGCAAGGATTACTACACACAAGGAAGCTATACGTCTGTTCTCAATAAAGGTATCGTCTATCAAAAAGAATTCTTAGCACATGGCTAATAATTTCTGTTTTTAGGATCGGTTATAATTTGGAAACTACAAGACAGAATGTGCAAGCAAACAAAATCAGGGAGTGGTCACAGTGGCGATGATCTGAGGAATCTTTATTCAGAGGTTCTACAGTCCGACCGTGAGCTCAAGCAGCTGGTTGACGGAATGCCGCGCTTCTTCAGACTCAAAGAAAATCTTGATGGTGAAACCCCGAGAAATATCGTCCAGCAAAATCGCGTTCTCTCTATATCGATCGCACACAAGGTATGGCATTGTTACCGAAATCCGATGAATTGCAGTCCTTTGCTGAATCTCAGAGACCAGTTCTACTGTATTCATCGTCATTTTCAAATAATGAGCTTGAAAGACCCATGGTTCGCATATACTAAAGTATGTCAAGATTATTTCGATATCGCATTCGATCTAACACAAAAGCTTTCGATCCAGGTCTCTTGCCTTCCACTCATGCGTCGTTACCTTATGGACTTCCTTTCGCTGCCCGATCATCCTGACACACATATCGTTAGCAATCTATGGACCGTGAATGCACAGGTCTTGACAGCAGCGGTTTGGCTGCTATTTGAACTGATATTTTCAAAGGACGAGAATGAACAAATTTTTGAAACGCATGAAATTCGAGATCTGGCTTTGCGGAGCTTGCAGTTCTTGCAAGTTAACCAAAGCAAAAGCACTATTGCTAAAAGAGGGGTCGGGCTCATTGAAAGTTTACTGGATACTGAGCAAGCCATCAAGGCAGGTACTAGAAAGCAGTTCTCATTAAAAGAGATAATATCTCGGGTAGAAGTTGAGTCGGACTCGGGATCGAATGTGGCTATGGAGCTTTCATCTGATCCATGTGTTTCGCATGTGTCAGATCTTCTTTTGGGAGATAACATGGCCTGGGAAGACATCTTCAGTGTATTTGACATGTGAAAAGAATAAGGTCTTCCTTCATCTTGCTATTGAAAATCTTAAACTTCGGTTCGGAGTAGAATAGAAATGATCTGCAACTGGCACAGCCGCTCATTTCGTATGATCACCATCTCCACATAAAGTCACCCCGTTAAACTCTACTAGCATCCATTCCAGCAACAACATCTTGACGGAGGTCTCCGAATGCCATACTCTTCGATGATCCGTAGGTATCCGCAAAGCGTCCGCTCATCCAGTCATGCACCTTGACTGGGGGATACTTCGCTCCTACCCGCGGATCTGCGCAGCTAGGCAAACACTTGACTGTATAGTTCGGGTTCCCGGAAAAGAAGAACGGAACACTAAAGCGTTCATTGCCTCCCTTGTTAATCACCCGGTGCAAGTTTGACAAATAGCGATCATTTGTCCAGCGCATCATCATGTTTCCCAGATTCACTACGTAAGCTCCGGCAATCGGAGTGACGTCCACCCACTCCGAGGAAAGGTTATTCCAAACTTGCAGACCACCTGTCTCATCTTGGAGGAGCATTGTTATGGCGCCAAAGTCCGTGTGAGCGCCAATTCCTAAGGATTGATTTAGTAAAAGTTAAAAATTTGAGGGATTCAAGCACGGCGACCTGCCTTTCTCGACCTCGGTTGCTGCTGGGTCTTGGGGCGGATAGTGCAAAAGCCGAAGAGCAGCTACTGGATGTTCGCAGAAATCATCAAAAAAGTTCGTGCTCAGGTTCAGTGTACATGCCAAGACCTGGAGAAGATTTACTGCTAGTGCAGTCATTGTTTTGTGATACTCTTCCATCACACGTTGGAACTCCTTCGGGTCGCGGAGTTCCGCGGGATATTTGTTGGGCCCCTGGCCGAATCGTTTATCGATTACATATTGATCGCTGAGCGGAAGATTCTTCCCCATGTAGAATCCCTCTTTCAGGTCTCCTTTCCCCTGCTTCTCAAAATTTTGGGATCGTAGACATTCATATCCTCTGTTGTACCCTCCAATGTCTTTTCAATTTTAGTAAATTAGAACGACCGAGAATAGGGATTAAAAAGGGAAAATTGAAGACTTTACCTTTCCCGTATTTTTCCTTTACTTCTAGACGTAGATCAAAAAGCTCTTTGCTTTGTTTGATCACTTGCTGTTGAAGAGTCAGCGGGACATCATGGTTGATCAGTTGAAAGAACCCGAAGCGTTCGCAGGCTTGTCGAATTTGCTCTACAAGCGCCAATTTCTTCGACTTGTCGGAGCCATGAAATGCTGCCCGTTCAATTGATTCTTAGCGGATATTCGTAGAAGCAAGGAAAATAGATTATCCGCCTAGACTTACGACTGAAATCAATGACTGGTGGTTCTTCAGATGTCATTTTGTAACAAGGCTCTTTACTTTGTAGATGCGACTGGTTTCTTGTATTGTTGATGACCAGAACATTCATTCAAACTATACTAGTTATATAGCTGGGATACAGAACTCTCCCTTAACTTCTCGGCCGTGGATCTATAGACTCGAACATTTTCACGGGTAGTTTTTTCTGAGGCCCGCGGCCGAGGCTGGCCTGTATTTTGAAGTGGATCTCACAAATGCAGCTGTGTCAAAGCATTATCTAATTATCATCATCCGTCGATAACCAGACCCACCGTGGCACTTCGCCCCATGAGATAGATAGGAAGCGGCGGCAATTACGATAGTTAATTTAGAAAAATAGTACATAAAAGAATTAAGTATTTACCAAAATAGATCTCTGTTGGGTATTGTATGCTCCTAGATCTTTCGCAATGCATCCTATGTACAATTCATTCACTACTTCTCAGTTTCCAGTCTCGGTCTAGCCCGGCTTGTCCCCGAGTGGCCTGTGCCCTGGGAATGTGCCATTGCTAAATAAACCTTTGGTTAATTCCATAACCATCCAATGGCCAAAAACAAATGAAAATATCACTCATGTTGAGTGTTCGAACCCAGTTCGATTAAAATATCATATCTCGTAGCTTATGCCTTGAGGTCGTGCTTGATCTCATCGTCATTAGAGCCTGTATTCTCGCCGCTCTCAGAACCAGCAGCCTCAGTGGTCTGCATTCTAAGCATGCGACGTGCGACACGCGGGGGGTCAAAGATGCTATTTGACTGCGCGAAGATCTCGTCGATCTCCTCGAGCGAGCGACCCTTGGTCTGGGGAAGAAAAAGTAGACGGAGGGCACAATGGCCGCGTTGACAACGGCAAACACGATATAGTAACGGCTTCCGATCGTAGCGAAACCGACCGGGGTAATTTCTGCCAGCAGGAAGTTGAAGACCCAGACGGTTGCAGTCGCCACAGCACTGACGGTCGCACGGATCTGAAGAGGTGCCATCTCGGCGGCATAGAGGAAGGTCAAACCGGAGTAACCGACAGTGAAGATAAACTGGAAGCAATATAGAGCAATGACGGCCACAACGAGGGCGCCGGTGTTATTCTTTGCACCGTCCGAGGTGCAACCAGCCAGAAGAGCCATGCAGACGGACATGGCACCAGCACTGTAGAGCATCAGTGGTCGGCGGCCAAGGCGATCGATGGTAAAGTAGGCAAGGTAACCACCAAAGGGTTGCATAAGACCCATAGCGGCAGCGAGGATGCGAGCGCGGACGGGGTCCATGCTGAGGTATTGTTGGAAAATAGTTGTGGCGTAGTAGGTGATCAGATTAACACCGCACATCTGCTGGAACATTTGACCGGTCGCAGCGAGATAGGTGCGGTGGAAAAGACGCTGCTTGCCATTTGTAAACATATCCTTCCAAGAAGAGGAGCCGCAGACAAGGAGGGCTGTCTCAATAGAAACGATGCTATCTTCGACAGCGGGAGCATCTTCATCGACATCCATTAGGGCTGCAAGAACCACGCGGGCTTCGTCACGGCGGCCAACCTTAATGAGCCAACGAGGAGATTCAGGGAGGAAGACGATGCTGATCATAGCCATAAGAGATAGAACGATCTGGAAGGCAAAAGGGAAACGCCACGAAACAGAGCTGTCCTCAACGAAGAAAAGGCCAAAGTCGATCCACAGGGCAAGCGTGACACCGGCACCAACGAAGATACCATCTGTCACGACATTCGAGCCTCGTTTGTGCGCAGGGGAAATTTCAGATTGCCAGACAGGGACGGTGGCAACATAGCCACCGATGCCCAGGCCGAGGATGAGTCGGGCAACGATGAAATGAGCGAATTGGAAGGCGGATGCCATAAGAACCGCGCCGATGATGGTGATAAAATTAGTGAAGAAGATGACCTTTCGTCGTCCAAGAAGATCACCCAGATAAACGCAAGAAAGCGCGCCGAAGATACCGCCGACAGTGTAGAGTGCAATAACCGTGCCTAGTAAACATGACCTTTTAGAGATGATCACCATTGAAATTATATGATGTCATGTATAGAGCCGTTCACGAACCTTGAATAGTCGAATTTTCCTTTTGAGTAGCGCCCGTGGTGTTGATTGTGTCCATCTGTGGGAATTGGCGATTGAACGCGTCCAGGGTCAAAAGACCACCAGCCACACTCATATTATAACCGTAGCAAGTAAATGTCGGGAAGACAACGAGCCAGACTGCGGCTCTGAGGAGGCCATTGCCCCGGAAGCCCATGAATGGTTTCCCCATGATGGCGATGAAATGCGGCAAGCGGGTCGATTGGAATGTGAAGATGGTGTAAATGTTGGGGATGGATGATTCGAGATAGACCACCGTTGCCGAACTCTTCTGTTATATCATATAGATGTGATATAGAAGGCTGGATCGTGCTATACAAAGCGCTAGGGTGCTGCGCGAACTCAACACTAAGTACGAGGGTGCAGTTTCGGTGCTCGCCGGTCCCCGGTGATCGACGACAGTGCCGACTTGGTGCATTTTTCCCCACAATTCCAATTGTGGAGGCGGCGGGATGCGACCGACCTCGGTAGAATATCATAGGAATGCCTTTACTATGCCCCGGGTCGCCCCATCCCGGCCTCAAAAGAGGTTGGTATACGGGGTAGAGTCCGGGGTAGTGGCTGCGTGTGCTGCTCGTGTTGCTCTGTAATTTCCGCAATAGGTGTTGGTGTGCATTAGGGGCTTGGTTTATGGCGGACTCGATGGGTCTACGCCGAGACTTTTTAGTAACAGATCGGATGGAGAAGAGAGAAGAAAGAAAAAAGTGGAAGACGAATGAAATCTGGGGTTAGAAGATCGATTCTCTTTACGAAGTACATAGGTGGAAACGATGATCGCGCATGTATGTTCTAGTTATCAACTCCACGCGGTTCATATTTCAAGTTGATGTCATGGCCTCCGCTGCTTGCACGAACCCGCAACATCCCCTGTCTTACCGTTGCAGTTCCGGTCGCAGCTCCGGTCGCCCTTTAGCGTATTCAGCCGCCTTCCTTGCCATAATAGATTGAGAATGCATCCTAATTCTCGCTCATGTTGGCAATGCACTGTTACCTAACAAGAAGTGTTGTTAAGGCGGCAGTTGTCAAACTAGGTTTTCCTATAGTTCTTGGAAAGGTCATATCCCTGCCGCCATCCACGTGTTTAGTGCAAAGTATCACAAGTGCCGGAGGATTGCGAGCGGCGGTATCGGCGGTAGGGGGCGTTGGCCGGGCCTCAAGAGCTGGAATCGATCACATCTCAACAATTCTCCTCAACTCGCGAAATATTAACTTCCCTAGTCAACAGCAGAGAAGAGAATTTCGGTATGATCAGGAGAATCCTTGTCTTAGAAGATCCCCTTACCGAAGGAGTACGGAGTTTGGAGTGTCGAATCATTGAATGCCGAGAAGCTAGCGGTCAATGTGACAGACAGCATTGGGGCCGTGCCAATTTGAGTTGCGATCGCGTCCTTCTCTCGTACAATTGACATTCACCATAGCGACCCAACTTCATGTCGATTCCAGATATATATAGACCTCAGACCTTAGATCTCAGATCCCACTTAGTGAGTTTTCTTCCCATCTCACAATCAATCGCATTGTGGCAAGACATGTCACCCGTGGACAATCCGCCACCGAAAATCAAGAAGAGAAACAAAATGTGGGGCCCCAGATCCGAGCCCCTACGCTGGGAAGGCAACTGTCTCAGTGTGTTCTGGAATAATTAATCTATTTATGATGATCTTGACAGTATCGTCAGAATAGCCACTGCTCATATGTGCTTATTCGCACATGTATCATGTCGAAGTCTGGAGGACGGCCGCGCTTGAGCCTCGTCTCGCCTCGCCTCGACTCGCACGGTCGCAGTCGATTAGCTCAATTCGACTCAAACTCAAGGTTCAGCGTGGCGGCTGCAACCTTACAAAGTCCCACTTCCAGTGCCGGCAAAATGTTAAACCTCTTTCATAGTTTTCATATGAGCTTGGCTACTCGAGATCAACGTACTTCGTCACTGCTTCTATGTTTCGAGCCAAATCCAGATCTGTTTACGTAGGCCTCGCGTGCAAAGGCCAGAATTCCATGTCTCCGACTTCCCCCGCCTTCTGGTGACCCACGGGAATGCAGTGGAGCACCTCCAAGCGAACTGCAACGAGGCGTAGCATGCAGCCCGAGCTCCGGCCTCGGGCGTCGTAACCGCGACCGAGTGGCCTTTAGTTCCGGGATCGCCGGATTCGTATGATTATGTAGGAGGAACCCTGAAGCGCTGCGTCTGCTCAAAATAAGCTCAGTCGCTGAACTTAAGGATTAGCATTTTACTTTAAGGTCAATTCTAACTCCATTCTCCACTGCTTCCTTTGCATACAAGCGCCTCACAACTGGCGATTTTGGCCCATACAAGATCTAAGCTCGTACAAGGCCTAGAATTGGGGGTTCCGCTCATCGCAATTAAGATGTTGTAATTATTATGGGGCATCGCCCCTCAGTCCTTCTAGCCTAGCACGGAAACGCCTCAAGATCAGGAAGCCGAGGTAATCTCCATCGTAGCTCTTGTCGCCGATTTCCCTAGTCGTGACCACAGGGAAATAAGAGATGACACTATTCACAACTTTTAATCCTCTTTCCAACTCACACCCCAATGGACTTTTCGCCACTCTCTCCCGATGTCAGCGACGCCTTTCCCACGATCCCATTACCCAGATTTGCATGTATCTCATATCGATGATGCTCAGAAATCGTTGAAGAATAGATTCTGCATGAGTGTTCCGTCGTCGCACAGGGTCGCTCGAAATCAGCTTCACCTTTGATTTGTTTTCTTTTCTTCTCTGAACTTTATTCTTTACATATAATAGCGCTTAAGTTCACCTGTTTAACTCATGAGTAGTGTAAACGAGAATATACATCGTCTCTGAAGGCAAATACGGGGTATAAGATCAAAGCAGGTAATTTCTTCTGTCTCTAATCAGATCACCTGCCGCAGTCTACTTCTAAGTCATGTGACTTATTGAGGCTTTACCGAATTAGGAAGTCTGGACGCCACGATGGGAGCCTAGGGCTAAGAAAAAGGGGACTTTCGACTGATCAATTTGCGAATTCTACGCCTAGATGTCACGCCTTCTCAATCTGCCCAGCGAACTACTCGCTCGCACATCTTTTAATGTGGATCGTTCATCATTAAAGTCGCTGCGACAATCCTGCCGTTTCATATCACAGCTGGCCACCGATCAGCTCTTCAGGACCTAGGTAGTGGAAATTATGCAGACGGTTTGTAAGTCGGCTGGGGGTTAGTGGCATTTGCTAAGTGATTGCTCAATATTTAAAATGATGTTACATATGAGAATACAGGAATATTAGTATATACCTCCAGGGCTATCTACGCAATATCCTTCATCCTTCAAATGCTGGTGAATGGACACCTAGGACTAGACGTAGACCACCTGGTTATCCTCTGGCACTATGATTGATTGATCCAGATATTGTAAGGTTCCATTTCTAATGGGCAATCCATGACTTGGACTGGAGCCACCCCGGGGTCGCAGGAAATTTAGCCTGCGTAGGATTGTCAATAAAGAGGTTCTTGATCAGAATCCACATTTTAAAACTTCTTCAACATCTCTGGCTTTGCAAATAGAAGACTCCTGTGGAGCTGTGGAGGATGAGATGTTGAGAGGAAGCGAATTCGTATTCTGGCCAAATAACCACTGACAAAGCGGATTTCCCTTTTGTTTGCTTTGTTTGCTTTGTGTCCTCTTCTCCTACCAACACATACCAAGCCGTCTTCATTGCGACATCGACTAGCTTTTTCTCCTTTTGTCGAAAAGTAAGCTTCTGTCCAAGATGCGAGTTAATCAAAACATACGATATTGTCTGCAAAGTTGTCGTAGGCCGCGATGAAGGATGAATTGTCCTTGTTCTCATCAACCAAGATTGTGCTGTCTGCGAAAAAGCAGGAAGTGCCATGCTCATAAGTAGTATACGTATAGATTGGAAGCGTCGTAGAGTCGCCGTTTCCAGTCGCATTTTGCAGGATACTGGAGACATAGTTCCCTGCAGTCCAACGATATTCTTCAGCGTATTCTCCACTGAAGTTACATCAACACTATCACCTCTGGTGTTGGTCAGACTAACGTCTGTCAGTCCAGCAGCAGCGAATCCGACCATTCCACGAAGAGACTTGCTCAGCGGTCGCAATCCTGCCTGCCATACTGAAAGCTGCGGAAATCCACTTCGCCCATGTTTGATCTGGAGAGACTGAGGAAAAGTCCTTGGCAATCTGGTCAATCGACAGTCCAACTAGCCAGCCAGTCCAAAGAAGCTTGTCATGGACGACATTGACCTTGCTATGCAGAAGGGAAACTGATAGAAAGACCCAGTATGCCATTGAGAGGAATATGCAGAGCACATCGAAGATGGATCACAGTCACAGCCAATGTCTCCGCAGCCAGTCTAGGGAGAGGTGCCCTCGCCGGGGAAAACAATTTCCCAAAGGGAGTTGACCCAGTCGCTTTCACCGTTTGGCATGCTGTCGAGCATAAGTATCTAGCCAGTCAAGGGCACCGGTAGAATCAAGAATTGCCTGCACGCCATTGGTGGAAGAGGTGTCACCAGCCGTGCAAGTCGAGGAAGTGGAAGTTGTTGTGGCAGTGGTAGTGGTACTAGTAGCGGCTGCGGCTGCGACGACAGCAAGCGACGTCACACTGCGTGCATGGACACGAGCTGCTGGGATATTCTGGGGATGTGCTGCACTTGTTGCTATAAGAGCGCACAGGATAAGTCCACCGAGCTTCAACATCATATTAAATTCAAGTTAACGGTCAAGATGATGTGAGGATTAACCTGAAATTATACCGAGGAAGATTAACCCGGCTTTATTCTATAGATTTATGCAAACTAGATGTGTACCAGAGTATTTATACATAATGATCTGAGTCTTTTGTTGCCGACATTTACATCGTCGTCGGGAATACTATTACACAAAGTTAGTCGAAAAGAACATTCTCCGTTCCGGATCCTGTCAGCTTATGGTCGTAATAAATATTGATAGTACAGAAATTTCATCTTTTTGTTATTCTTTTGGGGGCTTCTTTTGACCTTGGGGCCAATTTCAAGGAATTAGTTCCGTAAAGTACAGATTGGGGGCTATCATGACAAAAGGGTGAACGCCACGATTTGGGATAAGAGTTCAAATTTTCCTTTCGGTCTATTGAACGAAGGTTTTCGATTTCTCACGAGATTTTACAGTTGGACAGTTCGTGTCTATTAGTTCGAAACGGCGATCAGCGGGACATGGCTTGTATAGTCAGCACTAACAGGGCCGCAGCGCAAATATCCGCTTGGAATATTAGACTTGTCGCCCCTAATAAACCCAATCGCCTATCATAGCTTGTCCTTCACCCACATGGTCCCTTGTCGATTAGGTATGCTTGTCGGAAAATGAGAAGCGAAGCCTCGCCAACTTGAAGATCGCCAACTGGGCGTATATTTTGATATAAGCACTAGGGTCAGGGGCTGAAGAAATCTAAATTCCTTCCAAATGACAGCATTGTAATTTTTCTCTGACAAATTGATGACGCTCCTCTTTCCCTTGCAGATTCAGAAAGTCCCGATCAAGGCGAAGCTTGCTCAGTTCCCACAAATATAGTCAATAATGAAATACCTTTCAGATGTTGAGCCTTCTTGGGTGACCGTATTGTGATGTCTTGTTCCCTTTAGTTGGAATCATTGTGGGGATCAGGAATCGTACTACTAGTAGGCTTTACTGTGGTCAGTAACCTGTACAGATTATGGGCGTGCAATTCCCCTGGCGTACGGTCGCTCATGGAATTTTTGAGCCAGCATTTAAGTTATATTACTAGATCTTACGGGCCAAAAGTCTCTCACCCTCGCCGATGACTAGCCACTGTTTAGGGTATGCATGATGTGGAATATACAACTTGAAGTGTATACAGATATTTTTACACCTTTGTGGAAAGTAGCCCCTGGATGTGTGGGGATGTCGGTCGTGAATAATGATCGTATGCATCACTTCTTTGGAATGGATATTTATGTAATTTATATTGAATTCAAAGTCAAATCGAAGCCACTTGCAATATATTACGTGACAAGCGGCTCTGTTCAGTAGAATCGGATGCTGTCAATAAACACAAACTATCAAACAAATTTGTAGAACAATCCATCAACAATTGATATGTAACAGTTCCCGTATCCGTATATAGTCAACAAATACCAACCTAAAATTGGCTCTTCGGGGCGTAAGGCACGGTTCCAAAATCTTTCTCCTCGTCGGCAGACTCCACCGAAAGGCATTCCTTGCTTTCGAAAATGCGGGCGACCTCTTCCAGTGTTCTGTCTTGGGTTTTGGGGAATAAGAAGTATACAACTGCCATAAAAAAAGCAAGGCAACCCAAGTAAAGAGAAAAGTACCGCCAATGAAGAACGGAAAATGCCACGGGATTGACGTATTGATTGAAGAAGCAGGCAAGTGAGTCGGTTGTGAGAGTGATGGCGAGTCCTTTCGCTCTGAGCTGGAACGGAAGGATCTCGGCGGGGTATGCGATGAAAAGGGGCATGTAGGCGAAGTCGTAAGAGGCGCAAAAGAGAAAAAGCATTGGAACTACCGCGATTCCAGCTTCGATTATCTGTAGCTCCGCGAAAAGACCAGTCATGAGGGTTATTGTTGCCAGGAAAATCATCATCAAAGTTGTCGAGCTCAGCCAGAGGACCCGTCGCCCATAGCGATCAGAGGTGCTTGCACCACCAACAGCAAAAATCAGATTCCAAACTTGCAGGCTCAGATTGACGGCTGACTGGTGGACAGAGTCTTTTATTCCAACAGAGGAGAGGATTGGGGCAAGGTAATAGGAGATGATGCCTAGATGAGCTAGTCAGAAATTGAATCATAGTAAGAAGAATAAAAAGCCATTCTTACCGTTTCCAGTCCATTCTTGCATAAACCCCAAAAGAATGCAAATGGCTAGTCGGTGTGCGTCGCCCTTTGTTCTCAAAAATGCGCTCCATTGAGAAGCCGACTTGAGATCCTCCTCCGCACTGATGCTGCTGCAGATCTGGTCATACTGCTCCTGTACCACCACATCTTCTCGATTTCCATTTCCATGATATCTTGTGAGCATTGCCAATGCTTGCCCTCTCCGACCTTTGGAAACCAGCCATCTTGGACTCTCGGGGATGACACAAACGGCCACTAGTTGTAAAGTTGGATAAATAATCTGCATTAGGCAAGGAATGCGCCATGACCAGCTATTTTGTAGAGATAATGTGGAGAAAGCGATTCCGGCAGCTGTAATTGAGCCGCAGAACCAAACGGCGTTGTATAAACCTGTGAGTTTCCTTCGCTGTCTGGGATGTGCTGACTCGGCAATCAAAAGCGGCGCAGCGGTTTGCGAAATGCCAACTCCCATACCGGTCACTACTCGGGCGCCGAAGAAAGCCCAAGGGTGTGTCACAGCTGTTTGAACTATAGCTGCAATCATAACTAATAGAGCCCCAATACTAACACATACTCGGCGTCCCATGCGATCGGCAATGTATGAGGCGGGAATGAAGGTAAGGAAAGATCCTAATGAAACGGAGGCAATGATGAGACCTTTGGCACTAGCGTTGAGTCCACTCAAAAAGAACGCGACTTCTCATGATTAGCATGGCAACTTGAGACACCTTGCAAGGAAAGCTCTCACATTCAGGCAGTACAAGTAAGCTGTTGATTTGGCTCGCATTATAGCCGGCTGTAGCTGATGCGGACAACATCAAAGCGATGCCGACGTTCAGCTGGCGCAATCCACGGTTGGTCGAAGTGAACGCCATCTTTTCGGTAATGATGGCGGCCTGAGTGTTAAGCTCTAGCATCTAGCTTTACGGCCTTCCTTTTTATTTTATAAGCTGGCGGACATTTTCTCGGACAATTTTAGACGTCTACATTCCTCGCGATTGCTCTCGCCGATCCTTCCGGGTTAAGGTCACGGTGATGCACTGCAGGATCTGGAATGTAGGGAGAAATTTTTCCCAACGAATCACGAGGTTCATCTTCAAGAGCTTGTACCAAATTGTCAGAAACTGAGGAGCTCCGGGATGACGATATGCAAGGACTTTGCTAGCCAAATACAGGGAATTCACGAAAGCTATAGTAGAGGAATTACCACGCGGCCCTTCGGATTTCAATTATACTTTCCTACCAATGAGCTGGGATATTATGTAGCTATAGATCATCCAGCAGATATCTCTCCTTTCCCTAGGGTTCGGAAGATGTAATTATGTTCCGCGGTGGCCGCCACGGGCTCGAGCATGAAATATTGTCTCCTCACGTGTCCAGTCGTCTGTCATAACCAAATATCCCACGGACAAAAGTCCAACCAAGAGACAAGGGAGAAGATGACACCAAAAATGAGGGGGAAAAGCAAAAACATACAACAGCAGGGATTCGCATGTGGTCACCCACCATACTACTAACCTGCCGGCGTGTGGCTTAAGTACGGCTGAGCGGACGGGAAGCCCTGTTCTCCACACCCTATGGTCGTATGTATCAGGATTCTTAATAATCAGGAATATATGCTGTGCTTAGTAGTTGTTCGAGCCTAGAAATAACGTTAAGATCATCGATTCATCCGTGAGCCTATCGAGAGGGGAAAAAAAAAAAAAGGGGGGGGGGGGGCTTTACATTATATCATTATGATGATGTCTTTGGCACGGTCCTCACCCCTTGTGAATTTAAGCGGAGTCGTTAACCTAGGGATAATCATAATCCAAGCCTAATACTAATGAAATATAGGCTAGCATTATATGTAAAGGCTGCCTGGCATCGTACTTATGATTCATGTGCCATTGGGCAATGTCCAAAAAATTGACTCATGGTTTTACTCTCTCCCGGAGCCTCCCGACTCCAAGGCTTACACAATATATGTTAGCAGTACCTAGGTAGTACTAGATCCGGCTCTGGAGGCTAAGTCGAGGATCACGGACCAACTGTCGAAATGTGATACCGTGACTAGTGCGTAATCTACTAGGAAGCAACTTTGTATTATGCATTTATATTCTGCACCAGGGCATCAACTTCAAGTTAGATGTTCATTTACATAGGTGTAATCGCTTTGTGATTATACAGTACCTTATCCAGTATTTTTAATCTAATCAACTCTCCAATCAAACTAACTCGTTCATTGGAACTTCCGAGGTAAGAGATTTGGAATTGGGTGGCTTATTTGAATCACAGGACAGAGTTCAAATGAAAACTCATTTCTAAATTCCGAAAACAGCAACAGGTTTGTACACATGAACTTCGCACAGTTGCACGGTTCTGTCGGCAAATCACAATATAAAAGAAAACGAAAAGAGCTATCTCTCGAGTAACAAACAAAAATTCAAAATCTTTTTCCACATTTATCATTCGGCCAATTCCCCCGTTTATCGAGTCACATAGAAACTGAACGCCGGATCTTTCATTGCAGGACATTTGCGCAATGCATGCTCGATTTTGCGAGGCCACCCAACATTTTATCGATGGTATCGGGCGGAACCCCTGGCATAGCTTTGCGAGCCATTGATGCTGCTCCCGGTCGCTTTTTGTGCTCTGTTTCCATGGGTTTATCGAAAGATAACTGCATGATTTTCTTATCCATGACCCGTTTCAATTTTCCCATATCGTCAGGACCCAACTGATATTCGTTGTTCATATTGTCCAACTCTTTGTTCATGCAATTCATAAGCATGTCATGCTTCGAGACTGGCGCTGCAGTTATTTCGACAACACACAGGAATCCTAGGAGGAAAGGTTTGAAAAATTGCATGTCGGAAACTGATTGATGGATACTCAGATGGAGTGTTGTTCAGTAATGTTTTCTTCTTACAACTATCGACGGGGACACGAATGCCGTGGTTATATACCATGAACAAGCCTTCCTCCAAAGGGCGTTTTGGTCTCTCCGCCCTACATACATTTATTTCATCATATTTCGTAGGATCTGCGGGTTATGAGGTAAATTATAGCATCATTGCCGTCAAGACGAATTCCAACAGGAATTGAAAACCTGGGGCATTTCGATTAGTCATATGATTTTCCCTAGGGCTCTGCTTCTTCAAAGTATCCCCGCGCGAATAATTAAAGTTCAACTGGCATGAAGACAATGATCATTTCTCTCCATGCGGATGTAACCATGAACCCTTGGACAATTCTTTCAAGCTGCCTCGTATTCACCTCTAGGTAGCCGACGACGCGGAGATTGCATTTCGCATTTTGATCTACATATGATTTCGCCGATAACTGTAGCTCATTGCAGGGGTAGAATTTTGAAGCTACCTATTCAACTCATCTCACTGAAATTTGAGCTAGTTCTCCATGCATAGCGTATGCCAAGACCCCAAGAATGCCCTCCACATTCCGCCCAGCCCTGTGGATGATACCTTGATGAAGCTCACTGCGCTGACAAAGTGAAGACGATTATTTAGGCTCGTGAAAGCCCCCATGCGGGTTAATTTTCCGGGGAACTTCCTCCAATACATTCTGCTCGAATCATTCACCCCTGTGGGGGCGACTGCAAGAATGAGCATCCTTAACTCAGCCCATGCTCCTTGCCAAAATTTCCATCCAACAGAACAGCGAACTAGAAATCTGATGACCAAATCGATGCACCTCATAAAAATATTTCTAGACGACCTAAAGCAATTTATGCTTTGCCCCACCTAGATCAGTAACTTAAGATTTTCGTTCGCTGATGTAATCTGTCCATCTCCAGTGTATCTCCAACGGTTGACATATAGGCTTCCACCATCAGGACATTTTGATGCAGATCCTGCACCATTACAAGTAGCATAAGCCCCAACCAAACTTCCAACAAATGTTCCACTGCCTCCACTAACGAGTTGAGCAGAAGCAATTCCAATCTTCATAGCAGCATGTGGATTGGAGAAAGGCATCGCAGTAAATTCGTAATGAGTCTCGTTCAGCGTCTTGACCTGAAGCCTGATTTTCCCTCCAATCCAGGAATGTGGGACAGGAACAATTTTCGGTGGTTGAGGGTTTCCCGGAATGATGGGAATATTATCCATAGTACTAGCCTCTGTTCTAAAACGAAAATAAAGCCGAGGCGACCGGTGACCATTAGGCGATGAATCTGAATCGAGAAGCACAATCCCAAGATCGATGTGGTTCATTTGGGTCAAAAAGACACTCACTCCGGCTTCTTGGCCGACCGAGCTTGGATCGAAATCCAAATCGACCGAATATGTGAAAAATGTGTCAGTCTGGCGACGGCCGATGAAACCAAGCCCATTCTGTCCACTCAGGAGAGAATTGTCGGGGATTCCCGTCAAATTGCTCCTACTTGAAATAATACGAAGCCCTTTTCGCGTGACCGAAAAGCTGTCTTTTCCAGGAACTCGGAAATGGACAAGATTCCTGGGAATTTGAGAACCAAATTGGAAATCATAGACATCAGGGTCGGAATTGAAGGGGCCCTGGCCTGGGATATTTCGAGTACGCGACGGCAAGGGCCATCCTGTCATTTGGCCTCTCACTGGTTCAAGAGCGGGCCATTGGTCTTTCTCCCAAGTAACTGGGAAAAGGACTGTTTCTCGGCCCATTGGATAGACTTTCCAAGATGGACCGCCTCGGGTTGCCAAGCATATCCCCCACCACCTCCCGTCAGTATCCTGAAAAAGATCGCCATGCCCAACTGTTTGAAAATATTCGTCGGTGCCCCGGTTTGTTAATATCGGGTTATTTTTGTATGACTCATAGGGTCCCTGAATCTTGGTCGATCTGGCGATGCTGATTGAATGATTTAACTCTGTTCCTCCTTCGGCAATGAGAAGATAGTAGAATCCATCTTTTTTGTAGAGATGAGGCCCTTCAGGATATACACCACCAGTGCCATTCCAAATGCTCATGGAGTCGCTCAGATCACCAGTCTTGAGGTCGATTTCTTGAAGAGTTATGCCTGCCATGACAGTATAAGCTTTACCATCATCGTCCCAAAATAGATCCGGATCAATTTCAGATGCATTGAAAGTAACGGCATCGCTCCAGGCAGACTCATCATACGGATTCTTGGAGGTGTATAGAACACCAGTTTCAGCCGGTGCACCGAGATAAACGCATATCACGTAAAAAGTACCATCGTGATAACGGATAGTCGCTGCATAGTGCCCCAGCTGCTGGCCAGTAGTTCCTGCACTGTATCCGGGCAGCTGGCTCTCGCGATTCCATGTATGACTTACAAGCTTCCAACCGAGAAGATCTTTTGAAGCATAAATTGGAAGACCTGGAAAGACATCGAAAGTCGACGTCACACAAAAAAATACATCATCGACCCTAGTGCATGACGGGTCTGAGTGCCAGCCTGGTAAGACCGGGTTCTGGTAGCTGGAGTTTTTCATGGCACTGCAAGGGGCAAGAAGGAACATCAAAAATGACACCCATAAAGTTATTCGCCGATACATAACTGCAGCTTTTGGTAGACACTATTTTGTGAATTGACCCAACCCTTACAAATTCTAGATTTCGGGAGAAGCGACATGTTTATACCATTTGCCAGTGCTGTATGAATCGCTACTCCTCCCAAGGTACTGATGTCACATTGAAGCCCCGGAATTTGAACCCCGCTTTTCGGATAAATTCGTCCAATATTCTGAAATATTGTCAAATTTTGAAATTGCTGCTTAGCGTTAGAACTAGTGTCCTCGATCTACATAAGATGAGCTCGGTGGGTGAAGTGGGGGAAGACGGGAATTAAATGGATGTTCCTCCGGACGGGGAAGGGGCAACATAGGACTCAAACTTGCTGTGCTTCGTATGCAGGGGGTAGCATGGGATAGTATGTAATTGGTCAAACCAATGTGTCATCCTCCTTGAGGAACCTCCATGTTAGATCAAAGAAAACAGCGCGACAGGGATCTCGCGAGGGGCTAGCTGCCAAGGTCACCCCGCTTTAACTCAGCCTAAAGTGCAGCATCCTTTTAATATTTCGTGCTGAGAATCAAGTATTTTTCTTCACTCAGGCTAAGCTTTATACGTCCCCCTTATAACCCAAGGTAATATCTATTGCCTGGCATTGTAATAAATATGTAACTCAAGAATTTTCAGAATGGAAGTGAAATCGATTACCTCTAGACGTAAACCACCCTTTATTTTTGATGTCATTAATGCCATTGCTATGAAAAGTCTTACTGGCGCATTAATGAGCTTTGATTGAACATATTCAGAAATACCGACGACAGATTTGCTGCTTATTCGCAATATGGAAATGATACGTCTGCTGATTCTGACGACTTTCCATAAGAGAGGTTGCAGCCATAGCAATTTATCTACCTTGATTAGCACAGCCTTGTGTGAAATTACGTGGCGCTATTTATATCAAGGAACACTTAATACGATCTTGGATAATCATCTCATGAAATCGCTATTCATATTGGCCGACCTGACAAGCTGGTCATGTCTCTTCGTACACCAATAATCCCGAGGCCTCTATTGCCAGATTAAACCACTTACGTTCATCTGATTTTCAGCATGAACTAGTCAACCAACGGATATTCCCGGAGAAGGATTCTCTTGGCATCTACGCAAGGGGCTAGCTTAGTGCCCTCATCACCGCTTACTGGCTGTCGCTTTTCTTACCCCCCGCAGCATCTCTCAAAAGAGTGCTAGCTCCAGGAGGAGAATGGGCCGGGAGGGGTAAGTAATGTCTCTGCCTGTTTGACAGGTAGATATATCACATCATTTATGTCCGATCAAATGTCATTCGCATTGCGAAACCCTTTTGAAACGATTTGACCATTTAAAAGTTGCAGTGGGACCGAAAATGCTGGATAACCTTCCATCTGGTCTTTTGATGCCTGTTATTGCCCTCAATGGATGGACTTTGGCAATGGAAGTTTGGATGTATGCCGTGAACATACCGATCATCAAAAAGTTGAAGGTCAACAACACCACAACAAAGAGCCAACTTGAAGCTCAGACGCCGCCCGCAGCTCGTTGGAAGAGGGACAATTACAACCATTTGATGGAGCAACCTACCCAGTTCTATGCCATAGCTCTCACTCTGGCGATCGCTCGTCGGGGAAAAAGTGATGATATCGATGGCATCCTTGCTTGGGCATATACTGGAACTCGCATTCTACATAGCCTTGTTCATGCGACCGAGAATAAGCTCATGCTCCGTTTCTCCTTGTTTGCCTTCTCTTCATGTTTGTTGGCCATTATGACGGCAAGGGCAGCGCTTTTAGTCTTTTAGAGATGATCTAGAATGTGCAGACACACTGTTTACTCGTTGCATTGTGTTTGCTGGAAAAGTCCTTGCTGTTGAGGCCTTGGTGTCTCAGGAATCGCGGTTGCCGTGCCGTGCCTTTTGTATCATAGATAGCTTCACTCTCTCCTCCTCTATCTGCTCTCTCTCTCATTCGATATACTCTCCAGAGCTTCTCATCTTCGTGTACGCAAGTCTTGCACCGGTAAATATTTACTCACTTGAGGATCCCGGCATAGAATTGACTGCTCATCAGGTATATACCTTCACTTCTTGAGCTCCCTTGTCGAGGATATGCAGGAAAAGAAATAAAGGAAGCAGATGGAGAGAAAAGCATAATATATTTCTTCTTAACCGCAGCATCGTTAAGAGTATCGAGCTCTTGCAATCTCCTTCTAGCTCTAATACTAGTATTTGTGTCAGATTATCAAATATTGTTTCTGGGTGGCTGGACGATTCCTGTTGTGAACAAATCTTAGATACCACACTGTGATGGCATAATCTTAGCAATAATAAGCTCTGACGAGATCACTAGTGACTGCTTTCAATTTTCAAAGAACCAGACAAGGATTAGTACCGAATCACATGTATGAACATATTCGTGGGCTCCATTCACTCCCACATGAGCGCCAGACAAGGAATTTGGACGCATGTGCCTGGTCGAACTGCCTGACCATCACAAATCTAGACCACGCGATCGGAATCAATATTGAAGCGGCTTTGATTTCCACCCAACGCGAGGGTTTCCGGGGACCCCCTCTGTGAGAAAATGGGCACAGAAGGGGATCCATCTTGTGAACTAGTCCCACTAGATAGGAATAGCCGTCGCCAAAACCCAGAAATTCTCAGCAGAATGGACTCGGTGAGTTCGAAAATGGTATGGAACAGCGGGTCTTGGGTATGCCTCATGGTCCCTAGAGGACATTTCAGAAGGATTCAAGTGGACTACCCGACGAGGTATCCACATTCGTTGCGAGTTCACAAGCAGGTGAGCGGCGAAGATTCTGGTGTGAGCGGGGCCTTTGTATGTCGCCAAGGAATTGCGGGATTTCTGATCAGAATTAATTTGAATAAGGCTGCAATTATAAACTTGAAGATCGCCGAGAAAAAAAAAATCTATGTCCAGTCCATCACGTCGCGATGGCAAAAGCCATCAATGCGATAGAAATTTGCCCCTTCTGCATTGACCCCTGACACACAACACTGTTCACCCTCGATTCTATTTCATATGTCATTTGCCTTTGCCCCTGCGGATGGCGTCCATGGCGCCCATGGAAGACAAGCGAGCCCAGGCACAAGACATCATCCCACGGATCTGACTAGAAATTTGAAAATGGGGATTGGCAGATAGAATGCGCTGATTGGTGTATATCACATCCTGCCCTGCCAAGAGACCACAATGTTTTTTGATTTGTCAAAGCTAATAGCGAGGCTCCACCCTGCTCCAAATATTCCCCACAATACTTCCACATTTACTAAGCAGGTATCCAATCGCGCTGCTTTCATCTTGCCCTGGACCACTCTTCAATAAACCGTGGCGCAATGCAAACTCGACACAAATTAGCCGGCAAACACACAATCCTTTCTGGATGAGGGGAGATTCTATGAAGAGTCTAGAGTGAGTTCGACAACATTGGCATTGCATGTGAAGTCGTATTCAGGACAATGTTGTCTCATCCGAAGAGGGAGGGGTGGAGGGGGAAGGGTGAACGCCCTCTGGGAATTGGGCCTCAGGTCTCAGCCCAAGTCACAAGCCGCTAGTGTTCGGACAAACAACCGGATCGTCCACCGAACTCCTTTGCCGGCCAAGAGGCCCACCGCACTGGATTTGAAGCTGTTCGCCCGTTTAGCCAGCGTCGACTCGTCCACATCGTGAAAAGTTTGATGGAATCCACCCCACAGTATGCGTCTTGTGGCTGGCGAGACGTAGCGAAAATTCCGCCCAGGTACATGGCCGGATTCTCCATTGAGTTACGAAGATAGAATTTTGTCTTACGTCGCTTTCTATACGCCGCTTTCTAGGCACGTCAAATCACCCTTGAGAGTCGGCCTTTGTCTTTCCAAAGAAGAAGCAAAGAGGGTTCAACCACATGGGATCAAGATGTGACCACAAGACCGGTGGCTTTGTCCAACTCAACCCAAGGGCCATACCAGGTACCCCTTACTATCCACTTTTGCAACGCCCTTGGCCAGTCCACTTGTTGCAACAAACACAGTTCAATAGAAAACTGGGGGCTCCACGAATGATGAACTCCACAATGCTTTCACACGCCTCCATCTACCTCCGGGACCACACATACACCAATTACGGTTGTCACCGTTGGATTTCTCTCGTCGACCAGAGGATAAGGTTCACCTCCAATCCTAGCGCCAATCGCCAGACTCATTGCAAGCCACGCTCCACCCAAAATGACCCATGATGGCCTGGCCACACATCAATCCCACGGCGTCGGCCCTTCTGGAACCAACGCCTTACAATTCTATTCGCACACTGACGTACGTACAACCCCGGCGTCACTGCCCATGGATCATTGTCCAGGTACCAGGCACCGTGGATTGTGACTGGATTATGGGTCTTTTCAGTGACGGTGGAGGCGGGCGTGGCGGCGCACCACAAAGCCCTTTTGCGTCTCAGAATAGGTATTTATATCTTCGTTTCGTCCCCCGATTAATGATTCTGTTTCACACCACACTCTCTTTTCGCAAAAAGAACTACACTCTTTTAGTTCCAACCAGGAAGTTTCACACTTCTGTCATTCCTTTATACAGTCGTTCTTGAAACTCTCCAAAAGACACTCTTTATATTTCACAACTTTTCCAGTTGTCCCACAATCTCTACAATCAAAATGCAGTTCACCAAGTCTCTTATGCTGTTGGCAGCTCTCACTACCGGCTCCCTCGCTCGCCCTACCGAGGGTCACGCTCGCCGCCAGACTTCCACCTCCAGTGCCTCTTCCGACTGGACCAGCACCCCGTCAAGCGGTTCCTACTCGACTTCGGGCTTTGGCGCAGTCACCACTGCCTCCGGTAACGGCATTACCTACTCCGGCAACGTCGGCAACCCATACGGCAGCAATATCATCGAGGTCTCCGATTCGGACGCCAGCCAGTACCAGTACGTCGTTCAATTCACCGGCTCCAACACCGATGACTGGACCGTCGCCATCTGGAACAAGTACGGCTCGGACGGCTCCATGGACGGCTGGTACGGCAACGCGGTGAAGACCTTCACCCTCGCCGCCGGCGCCACTACGTACATCGCTTTCGACCAGGACTCTCAGGGTGGCTGGGCCGCTGCTGAGGGATCTACCATCCCCACTGACTCCAACGGTGGCTACGCCTCCACCTGGGGTGAATTCGACTTTGGCTCTTCCGGCAACTCGGCCTGGTCCGGCTTTGACGTCTCTGCCATCGCCGCCCAGAACGCCGGCCTGTCTGTCCAGGGTATGAAGATCTGCGATGCCCTTGGCTCCACTTGCTCGTCTATCACTGCCGATGCTGCCACCGTCGAAAATGCCTACACTACCGCCGAGACTGATATTGGTGGAATCGGTGGCAACCTGTCTGGTGGCGCTGTCCGCCTGGCTGCTACCCTCGACTACAGCAGCTAAACGGGCTGTGTATGGTATGAGAGATGCAATTTTCTTTTTGTTTGCTATGCAGTTTTAAATAGACTTTAGAACGCCTTTTCTTTCAGCGCGCGCGCCGGGGTCGCAGCAATGGAGTATGGTCTAGATCTATACCCAGTTGGTATCTTGTTTTACATTCTTTGTGGATATAGAAACTAAGGCAGGTCCTTTTTTGTTACGTCTTTGTTTCTTATCATGACCAACCAATATACCAGACTGGCTCTTTGAAAAGTTTTCAATCATCCTTATTCCTTAAATAAGTACAGCTCTTTGTTTCATTATTAGAACTTCTTCGAGCAGAATAGGGCTATAATCCCGTTGTGTTGTGGCGCATGACCGCATCATTGCATACGCGGCCGAGCAGTGTCCACTTACCCGTTTAGGCGCTAGTGCGGCGAACTCGTCACTTTTGGATCAGCGGCAAGACCAGGCTTAAATTTATCTTAGATATCGCATGCTATGTATTATATTAGCTAAAATGTATTGTATTTCATCTAAGTTTCAATATCGGTGGTGAGTCGCTTGTTTTGAATTGATGCGTTGCCCGAAGCAGCATCCGAAAAATCGCCGATCATGAGAGGAACAACAGATGCTTACATTGGGAAAGGTAGTTCTCGATGAATTCTTTGTCTGATACAATTCCAGGCCGTAAAATCAATTCTTAGGCAATACAAGTGCTAGATGTCGAAATATCAGTATACCATTTTTGTTCTTGATTCTACAGCAGCTCTTAGGAATCAGGTAGATCGCTTCAGGGCTCAGATATCTAGCTGAATTCCACAACGAGTATTAAGTTAAAAGTTTGTAGTATTCACAGTATGGGTATGTCTTAATGTACAATAAATTCAGAAAAATATCATTAAACCGGCGTGGTCCACCACTGTCGGCCAAACACTGGCATACACTTCACCTGTGGTGGAGGGGTCTTCTGCCATTTCACCATCTCCTCCTCCTTGCTATATTGAGTATGGCCGACAATCTTGTCGACATACCCACGCTTATCCTTTGCATCGCGGGCTCGATCATACTCATATGCAACATTCACCGAAGGTACAGCGAGAACCTTGCCCAGACCCTGACGCCACAGATCCTTGGCGAGTGTCATCGGTTCTCCCATGTAACACTCATCCTTTTCCGAGCTACGGAATCTCACCTTGCCCTCAATGAACGGTGCCGCATCTAGAGTCACCATTCCACCCCAACAGGAATAAACCTGTATCGGGAGAGAGTGATCCCAACGAGATGCGCTGTCGGGGTGGTCGAAGAACATATCATCAGCCAACCAGTGCTGGCTATCATGAGTGACCTCAAAGAAAAGATTCCCCGACATTGAGCGCGAGACCCAGGAATCGTAGAATGAGCCCCCGTTCGCGTTCCAGTCAAAAGCACATGTCATTGTTGCGGACTGTAGAACGCGCTGATGTAATAATTCAAGAATATCTTCCGGGCAAAGCACGATATCGTTGATGAAGAGGATTGTCGGATTCGCGGAAAGTCGACCATTCTTCTTTTTGCCCTCTTCAATTAACGGTTCTAGAGCGAGGTTGCGGAGGTGTGATAATGCCGTGATTCGATTTTCGCCCGAGGCTTTGGGGTCTAAATAACTCCGGGAAAGGAAGTAGGGTACGCCCATGGCGGCAAGCTCGGTCTTTAAACCGGCAAGAATGGCGTATGTTCCATCTGTCGAACGGCCCTCCACAATAGATAGTGCGCAGTACTCTGGTCCCAAATAACGCATTGTCTCGATGATAGTTCCCATAAGCGGAAGGATAATGTGCATGGCCTGATAGAGGTCTAATGCGAAGTAGTATTGGATCGGGGGGGAGGCGGAAGGGGATGGTCGCAGATGTCCATAGCGAGAGTCAATAAATGCAGAGCAGTCAAGTTTCGCCGTGAGATTCATATCGTGATTCATGATGCTGCAGACGAATTCCGAAATATCTTCGTTATTGTAGGTATGTTTCTCGAGCTTTATGGTCGAATGTAACTTTTCTGACACAGGTGCTGGGTCAAAGTCGATGCACTGCGTTTGATTATGTTTTTGGATCGCTTGGTCCATTATTGAGGGAGAGGAGGAGGAGTAGGAGGAGGATGGCAATGCCGGGGCGAGGTTGAGATAGAGCCATACTGTCAAAAGGAGACCTCCCGTGGCTATGACAAGCTGCACAAGGTGTCGTTGAGCAGGTCTCCATTTAATTTTGGAGCCAACCAGGCGAAGGGTGGACTCCATCGGCTGATATTTAGGCCATCGAACCTCGAGGCCTCCCATGTGAACAATCACTTTGCGATGGGGTGCTGGTCAATAGATAGGCAGTAAGAGTATGAAGCTGGGATTCGAAAAGCGAAGGGACCAAAGGGCTGAAAACCAGCGTCAGAAGAACCAGAAATCCTGAAGGAGCGCGAAGGACTCAAAGGTCGAGGAGAAGTGGGAATATAAATCGGGAGGGCCGGAAATCAAAATGATCGACTCATATGAGTGCCAATTATTGCCTTGCGCGGCCATCAGGCTCCGCAATTAGTCGATGAACATTCACTTGCAATCGTAAAAACCAAGACTTTGATTGGTCCCAAATGCCAGTTTGGCTTAGTTTAGACCCGCATTTAGGCTTAGCTCACCTTATCTCTTTCACCTCTGAGCTTTTGTAACCTCGCCGAAATAAGCCAAAATCACGCCCTAAACCTAGCCTGGACTCCAATTAGGCGCCCTATTAAGCCCACAGAGACTACAAAAAAAGTTAATTTATTTACAACGAGTACCCTGGACCACAATATGGCACACGTGGCCCTGGGGTCTCACAATCTGTAAGACATTGTTCCATGTACTCCGCGGGGCGCCCTTTACGACGCAAACGTTTCGCCATCCCAAAGGACCGGCCCGTGAAATTTCCCCACGGCACACATGCAATATGGGAGACTTGTCATTTTTGACTCTTTTTTTATCCCAGCAGCACCTCAGTCAATAGTCAGACTTTCACTCTGTACTGATCGTGGGGTCACATCCTGAGCTGAAAGAAATCGCGATCGCGATCGCGATCGCGATCGCCACCTCTGTCGCCTCTTTGGTGCTAGATAGCACAACGTTCTTTTTCGCACGTACCATTCCACCTCGTGGATCTGCACTGTCGGTGATTTTCGAACATCTAGAAGCAGCAAAGAAAATTTTATCTCCGAAGGAAGAGAGTTTAGTAAGGGTCTGCGGAGTAGAAACTGTGAATGGGGGACTCACTAGTTAGTTAACGTAATTCACATAGAGTCGGCCACACAAGCAAGCCGGCCACCCCAAAACACATAGTAAATGCAATAAAATACAACCTCATATCTCAACAACCATACCCATTTATAATAAGATATTGGTAGTACATAATGTAGATAGTATTTTTAGCCCACTGGCAAAGTATAGAAAAACTACTAGAAGTATTAGAAGAGATATATATATTTCTGTGCCCAATGTCAAAATTACGCAGTATTTTATTGCAAAGCATCAAAATAATTATCTAAATTATTTGAAACTACCTAGGTATGATATATTATTTCACACGCTCAGAAAAGCCTATATTCTAACTTTCAAGTAAATAAAGCGCATGATTGTTGAGATATGACGTTGTAATTTATTGCATTTACTATGTGTTTTGGGGTGGCCGGCTCGCTTGTGTGGCCGACTCGTACATGAATTACGTTAGTTACCCGTTTCGGGTGGGTGAATGCCTGAGGCAATGAGGCCCTCAGCAGAGACAAGTCACACAACCACACAACCACACGATCAATATTTCTGTGGCCGTATTCCGGCGTTGTTGACGACTGTAGTAATTCCCTACATTCGATGATAGGCATAGTACTTGGACCACTGTAGCGAATTGTGAACGATCGGCGTTCATAGGCTATTGGATGACTGGCTGATAGGTGGTCAATCTCGAATGACACATTCACCAAGCCGCAGATATCGCCAATATTCAAGCTTCCATACTTTGAAGGGGATACATCCCCCACTATCTGGCACGTAGGACCATGAGTAGGCTTCGGCATGGCCGCGGTCATGGGGAGCTAACCGCTACCGCTACCGCTACCGCAACTAATCTCCTGCCACCTTAGAAACTGGACAACATTGTCCCATGTGACTTAATATTCAAGGACGCTCTTCTGCATCATGGGAGCTTGCCTTTGTGTAGGATGATGTTGCTGAAAAGAAAAAAAAAATCAAATCAAGATCTAGACTATATGCGGAGGAAGCGTGTTGAACTTCAAACGACCTTTTCAATACCATTCCCAAACTATAAAGTTTTCTCAGAATAGACTTGACCGAAACTTTAACTGGCTGGACAAGATAGAAATTGGCAAAAACACAGCATCCAAAACGGTTGACGGTTTATCCTACCTGAGCGAATGAAGTCTCATATATCCGGCACACTCCTAGAAATCTTCTAATAATTGATCTGTCCCAAGCCTTTCATTGACGAGATTTCCCTTCGACAATCTAACAGGTGAAAGCGCATGATCCCCCTGTTGGGCAACTGTGCTCATTACTTTTACCCGGGAAACACTTTTCGCCCGCATTGCATCTTCCGTTTCCTAAAGATAACAATTGTTAGTTGATTTAATGTTGCTACCTAGGGTATGTAGAAACTACCGCAGCCAACGAGGACATCCCTGATTCCTCTTCTCATTGTGTTGGCATCATCACTAGCGGCTCTGGCTAGGGCGGCAATGGCTGAGACGAGAAGTAGACTGAGGAATCTCATGATTGAATCTGAACTGTTGGGGTTGTGATAGAGAAGGTAGGATAATAGAACGATTTCTTTCTACTGATCATACTTCCAAAACGGCGCTTTTATAGGTTTTATGGAACTGATACTCACGAGATTTTGCCTAATGCGTGCTGCCCCCAGACAGGGCGCTGGGCCAGGGCAACACTTCGAAGTACGACTGATCCTTTCGTCGGTGTGTCGGTATTCAGTGCCAACCAATCTACAAATGTGATGAATTTGGTTACGTAGCTGATACCTACCACGGAAAATCATTTCTAAAGCTGTTAGTAGTTCTGCCGATCCATAACTTTTGCCCCATCGAGTAAGGGGGCCAGCAGAGAAACGCCGTCATCCTGGGCATGGCTGCGTTGAAATCACATAGCCATACGGAGTATATCAGTCAGCCAGTTTATCAGTTGATGTGGAATATAGGACTTGACGTAAAAGCCCCGGATAGTCATCTGTGATTTCTAACTACAAAAAATATCTTTATTATGATGGGGTCCATCTACCCCATGGGGCGAGTTTTTGCCGAGTGCGCTAGTGTCGACAGCCCATTATATGATGGGCTGTCGACACTAGCTGATCCACTTCCTTTTGCTTTACTTACCTCCTTCTATTTTGGCCCCTTTCCCAAGCCCCATGATTGTCGAAAGGATACAGTAGCCGCCAACTATTCATGGGCCAACTATTCAAGGAAAGGGGAATGACTATACTCTGCTCTACGCTCCATCGTTCTCGTCATTGTCTTCTAAAAGTTTTAGATTTTTCTTGTGAAGTATTCTTGATTCCATACGTCTATCAGTAACCGAAGTCGATATCTACTTCACCCCTGATCCTTTTCAGATCAGAGGATGAGGAGCCTCGTGCCAAATGCGTGATTCTCACAGGACTGGGGCTCCTGTTGGATCGCATATTTGCAGTAATAAAACATAAGGGATCAGTAGAACGAATTAACGAGCCAAGCATGTTAACAGAAAGAAAGGACCTGACAATATCCTATCACTCGAGAGCTTCACTTAGAAGTAACGTAATTTATAATGCAATATCACCGCCAATTCCAGTCAAAAAGTTTGTTGTTTCCCGTTTGCTCGTTTCTTGGCACTTGTATTGAAAAGGATAAGGTCAATAGCTATCGAATCCAAGAGCCAGTAAAACTCCTCATACCGCAAATATCTAAGAGTAACTGTAGCAGACACCGATGGGATTGATCTTAAAGCAATCATCGCAGTTGTAGAAATAGCAATCAGGTCCCACATCACAGATACTTGACCAATCTGCACATCCGGGGCTTTTCTTCTCAAGATCAGAGCTTGGTTTGGGGGTCGAAGTAGCAGAAGAATCAGCGTTTTTGTTCGCATTGACTTTGTCCACCTTGGCAGCGTGCTTGCTGCGAAGATCAGCTTCCTGCTCAGTAGTCAACTGGATTTCATCCAGGACCTTTCCTTTGCTGTCAACACTTTGAAGTCGAGATCCTGTATCACTAAGCTGGATCCACCCCCGGGCATCGGGATCTCTGGTGAGGCCCTGTTTTTAATGTTATGTTAGCAAGTCCTCGGATAGGATATACGAAAAGCTTTCTAATTGCACAATAAATCAATAATAATAATATACCTTGATAGCTTCCGCTAGGTCATCATGGCCCTCTAACATAGACCCAAGAGAAGGGGTAATTGCGAGCGCAGCAAGAACAACTTGAACAAATGCGATCTTCATTTTTTTGGACAAGGCCGGAGTGTAGAAGATAAACAAGACGGAAGATACAGTTTCCTGAGATGCTGTGATAAGCGAATAGAGTGATTTCCAATATATCTTTACAAAGGCGAAGGGACAACGCCCACTTCAAATACTCGAAATCTGTAGCTTTAGTATAGAATCATGTTAGATACCAATTCTGAATAATGGCTTCCGATTTAGCCTTGCGCGCCTCGTTGCAACGGTGCAAATGTTCAGATACTAAAATAGCCTCTGGTCAAATGTGAGCGCAATTTGAAAACATTCCGGGTCTCTGGGTGAAAGAATAGAAGCTAAATTGCATGGGGCCAAAATCCTGTGCTTATTGTCATGGGAGGCCTGACCGAAAAAAGGTCAAGATTGGTGCGGTAGCATCTGCAAGGGGCCAAAGGCTCGTATTTCACCCTGAAGATCGGGAATACATAGTAGCAGGAAATGACAAATGGAAATTGAAAAATTCGATGAAACGATGGCATTGTATCCTGGTTTAGGTATACATAATTCGGTAGGTTTCAACTCGCCTTGGATAGGAAACACATACTCATCTTCTGCACAATAATTTATCTTAGCTCCCGCGCAGCTATCGGTCATTTTAGCTTTGGTTGGATGACAATATGGCTCTCTTTGAGTGGACGTGACTCAAGGTGGGGGCTGTAGACCCTGAATTCTCCCCTCTTTTCGCCCCATATCTCCCGCCTTAAGACGGTGCCTGGCCCACTTCCTGCTGCTTCCTGGTACATAACAATATTTTGAGGCTTGATAATCGCTGAAAACTCTCATTTACATATTTCAACATGAACTGCCGTGTAAGCCACCACCAAAGCTGCATGTACCGCCTACAGCTCAGTTGCCCCACTTGACGCGATGTCATCGAGTATCTGATTATAGTGCTAACATATTGGAACCAGGTCGTCCCTGAGTTTGTGAAGCACATGAAGCGTGATGCTTCAGGCGGCGGATTTACCCACCTTGGCAAAGACGGTGTCTTACGTACTATCTCAGGCAACTACGAAGTCCTTGATGCCCGTGGCCTTAGTCCTGAGCAGATCAATGGCTTTCTAGATGTCATGCCAGCTGAGCTAGCACGACGAGAAGACTTTCGTGACGTTGATGGTACAAAAGTGACCACTCAAGAAGGTCTATTTAATCCCGCACCTGGGGATTCTGCCGAGTAAACCAGGGGATAATGAGCAGGAGGACAGGGCAAGACGCGAGGCGGTTGAAGATAATCAAGCTGCCTACGAGAAGTCGAAAGGGAATCAGTAGACGAATTGAGGATAGTGGGGTCAGCATGCAATACGAGAATCGAGAATGAAAGTCAAAACAACTAGGGTCCATTGCACTCCTATCATTGATTAGAACTGAGGAATTTACAAAGGAGACTTTCTTTTTTCGGTCATCCCAAGTAGTTGAGGCTTTCCTATGAAGAGACATAATAGCCCTTCATGCAGTCATCTATGTAGATCAGGGGCGATGTTACGTTATTCAACATAGCCTTCTAGCAAATCTGACGTTACTGATCATTGCGAATCCTGCTTTTAGCCCCTTCCGATGATCTCATACGCTCGTCCAATGAACATTTGAAGAGAAGTTAGGTTTATCTTCTCTCCCACAATATCCCAGTATGCTGCGCGGGCAAGGCGCACTAACTTTGTTAAATTTAGCAGCAAAGTTCTCATGGAGGCAAAAGAGGCAGAATGGCCCTCCTGAATTTGGCCCCAAGTGATTGCCACAGGAAGAATAGTTACATCAAATCGTAGAGAGCCGATAAACAGCGCAGGAAAAGACTGCAATTGGAAATATTCAGTCATCATCTGTTTCAGACTGTCGGATAAGCTTTTGCTGATTTTGGGGCTGGAATGTTCTCGTATTATCTTCATCATGGCTCTTCTCATTGACTAGAAACTACATGTTATTCACAAAAAAAACATCTACTACTCCATCTAATTGAGACATGTAGAGAGGTGGGTATGGCAGTAAGATAAATTATATTTATGGACAAATAATTGGCTTGTGTAGTCAAAGAGCAGATATGCAACGAGGGGCTTTGGGCACTTGACATGTAAAATCTCTATTGGCCCTAAATTCCAGCTGGAAGTGGGTCACCGTAAGCAGCAACCTGGGTGTATAGTCTGCCTTGTCAAGATTCATGTATGTGAGTTTGGTGGCCTATGCATCAAAACGGGCAGGAATACAAGTTACTTTGGTTTCAATTATAAAAGCCCAACATATTTCCGTTGGATCCATTCCCTACGCTCACCATCAAAGCCTTACAAGCACATATTTCAAATTGTGGCTAAATTAACGACTCTGTTTCCGATATTTTCTCAATATACTCAAACATCATGAAGCCCACCATCGTCATCAACTTCATTGCTACCTTTGGCCTTCTCGGCCTCGCCTCGGCGGCCAAACTCTCCCAGGCTGAGGCCGAGTCACTTTGTGGTGACCTCGGTGTCATGGATACCTCAAACCTCCCTGATGGTGTTGATCCCAATGCCGTCCGGACTTGCAAAGAACATCCCGAAGGAAAAGCGGGAAAGACCGTCACTGAGGGCGATTTCCAAGTACGCAGCCTCGAGTCGCGTAGCTGTTGGTTTAAGAACCACCTCGGATGCAGTGCTGGTGGCCATTGTTACAAGTCTTGCGCGCAGCCTGGCTCCGGAGAATGGTGCTGGACGGCTGAGAATAACGGGTTTGGAAACTGGATTGGCTGCTCGACCGTGAGCGATTGCTCTCCCACTGACCAATGTGGCGCTGGCGGTTGCAGCGCATGTGGTTGCAGTTGCTAAGCCAGCCGACAATTTTGAGACTTTGTCTCATGGCTATGCTACTGTCGGAGAGTATATTGCAACCCCTCACTCTTTGCTATCGCTGTGGTGCTCTTGGGCTCGAGCTGGAATACGGCGGAAACCTGGGCGTGATATTGATGTTCCCATGAATGTGTCGCTTTGAATTTCTGGGTAGATACTTTCCAGGATATCATAGTCACTATTGAAACAGACAAGTATAAGTAAGAACATATTTACAAGCATTCTCGAAATCATCTTGACCAATTTACACTAAGACTGTCCTTCATCGCTGCGAAGAGAGAGAGAGAGAGAGCAGCGGCGTAAGCGTCGTAGCCTTATACAATTCGTCCACTCGGCAATCCAACCCTCCTGTAACCATTCCTGATGGTTGTAAACCATATTTCACAAGAATAGGGTCTATTTAAACTGTCCTGTCCGTGGAAAAATACTGCCCATGATGTGACTTAACATACGAGCTGCTCCGAGTCATTCATACAGCCATTATCATGATGATATATATAGTCAATTCGTTTACTAGTACCCTCGCCCGGACTATCTGGCTCAAACCTTGGAATAAGTCCCGAAACATCTTGGTATCTAGGAGAGGTATATTCCTTGAAGTATCGACCAACCTTGGAAAGTGACATCCGATCTTTCAGTTCCAATATTTATCTCAGCAAGGAAATTGTGAGACAAAGCCTGCTAGTGTTGAAGCATTTCGCATATGCCTCAGGCGTCGAGTTCGCCTTTCCGTTTTTGCCCAGGCCTGCTAGATATTTAAGGCGCTTGATAAGCGCAGGATGATCAGTAGTTGTATATCGGAGTATTTTACCTGACCTCTATTGCCTGCCATTATTGACCTTCTAATGGCAGACTAGTAGCTACCTGAAATGGATTGGGGTTGCCAATCTATTTCAGGTAGCTACTAGCCCACCATAAGGAAAACGGAGACCAGGGCGGTCAACAAGGGTTGGAAACTTTTGATGTGCCACTAGTGACTATACTATACTTACCCTTTTCTACCGACCTAAATACCCCGATATGCAACTACTGACCACCCTGCGTTTATCGAGCACCGTAAATATTCTACCCGTCATCTGGGGCCCACATGCATCCACCACTTTCATGGTTCTAAGCTTCCGACGTTCCATAAAATTAGTAGATGTCCTAGATGTCCCACCCACTACCCCTTCTTTTTCTAATCATCCATTGCGAGGGCTTTGGACCTAATATATCCCTCTATTAGGGGATTTCCAGTACATACGACCATAGGGTGTGGAGAACAGGGCTTCCCGTCCGCTCAGCCGTACTTAAGCCACACGCCGGCAGGTTAGTAGTATGGTGGGTGACCACATGCGAATCCCTGCTGTTGTATGTTTTTTTTTTTAGTTCTTTATTATCAAAAAATGAACAGTAGATAGAGAATAAGGATTTCTGACCCTCCTAAGAGAAGTAGGTATCAGAGATTTGAAAAAGCCGCCATCCTAAATAGCTTCCTTTCTCAACAAATAATTGCCACCGCTCCTAGTACCAAGTACGCACTTTCGGTCGTACGTTTTGTTTTCCGGTCTTACAGATCCTATTTCTCGCAGACCATGGATCAAATCGGATGATTTAGTCGTCGGAATAGCGGCATCTAACTAGGAAGGCGCGTAGACCGAGCCAGGTAGGATACAGATGGAAGGAGCGATCCCGAGGGAGTGCAACTTATCCCTTTCCTCTTCCTCGTGGTAAGTCGAGTACACTTTACTTGCGATCAGACACACATGTACGCGGGGATGAGCCATCAGATAGGAGCTAACTATATAACGATAGGGACAAGAACCCAATCGCCTGGAGAAAGAACTGGGTCAAGGGAAATAAGTCCAAAGAAGAGATCAGTGGCTTCACCGATGCCGAACTCGGGATTTATGGGGCCGAATCGGCGAATAGCGAACTCTACAAAGTGGGAGAACACCTTGACGAGGCGAAGCTTCGAGTTAATTAGAACAAGGATCAAACGATCTATGACCTGATCATCCGAATTGAGGAGCTGGAAAGGTCCGGTTCGTTGTATTTTGATAGCAATATTGGCCACCGTGGAGGGCTACACCGGCGCCCAAAGACCCCATCCCCGCGGAGAGCCGGTGGCTAGAACGCCCCTGAGCAGGCTAAGAACCTGTAATTATAATAATTATTATCTTCAGACAAATCAAACTGCCGCAAATGGCTTATGAGTGATCTTCCTCTAAATGAAGCTAGCTGGTAAATACAGTAGGGGTTAATGGGCCACCAGACTCTATATCGCACTGCAAATAAAACCTGACATTAGGAACCTTAGAAACTACCAGTGAGCGTCTCGACTAGGGAGTAGAGAATATTTGAAAACCGAATGGATATTTCAATGAGACGAATATTGAGATAGTACCCGTAACTGCTACCGAGCCGGTTGCCGCTATGGAGTCCCGTACACGGGTGCAATCGTCTCTGTCCAAAAAGTATCAAAGCTTCGACCGTGTCTCACGACTCGGAGGATCTCTTGCAAACTTGTAATGACTAGCTGCGAATGTGTTATTGGTCACTGCAGACACTGTACTGATGTCCAGGGCAAGAGAAAATGACGCAATTAGACCCGCCAAACGACCTTTGGACCCTGGACCAATACATCCAAGGATCTCCAACGCCTCTCTCTGTGTATCTAAAACAGTACCCCCACCAACAGTTCCAACTGGAAGACTCGGAAGGTATGTTGATACACCCAGCTCCTTGGTTTCATCATTGAATTCAGTAGCCAAGTGGCTCCACGCTGATTCCGCAATGCTCCCAGCATCTTGACCACACGCAATAAACATTGCCGCAATCACATTCACCTGATTGATATTATAGCCCAGCTGCCCGGTTCGCGTAGCAGCCTCCTTGCTATTTTGGATAAGTTGATATAGGTCCCAAGTTGAAATCCCTAGAACTTTCTGGCAAGCTTCCGGTGTGACCGTCCCCCATGCCATGACAGCCACGCCACGCGATTGGAGGATGTTTCTCCAAGAGAGAGATTTTTCCGCAGCCAATTGGCCCTCAATAGTGACTTTTTGAAGTTTCACAACACGGGCATTGTTTGATGCTGCGAAACGATCACATGCTTTCTCGGTGGCGAATGTAGCCATGTTCTGGCCCACGGCATTTCCACAATAGTATTCAAACAAGACGTGAACGGTGCTACCGATGAGTTGAGGCTCAATTCTGAGAAGTTTGGCGTGTTTGCTGGTAGATTGTGCAGCGTCTCGAAATTCGGAGAAGAGGCTTGGTACCAAGTCGTAGAATGATATGGCATCCCCCGGTGAAGAAAACCAGAAGACGGGGCCTCTCGTCATGGTCTCTCGGAGTACTTTGAATTGAACACCACCACTAGCATTGAAGACCTTGCATCCACGTGAGCAGCTCGCGACAAGTGTAGCTTCACTAGTTGCCAATGGGGCATGGAATACGCCATCTGTTCCATCGGTGCCCTTGACGTTCAGAGGGCCGGCAATTCCAACAGGGACTTTGACCGAGCCGACGCAATTTTCGATCTTGGCTTTTTTGATGGTATCTTCATCTTGATTGATGTATTTGAGTTTGGACGCAATACCGCCGAGTGAATCCATCTTTATAGTTGGCAAGGTAGGCAAACGTTTGATTGTGCTTCGGAAAGGAATTTCAGTAAGTTGTCGGAAGTCTTGAAGGATGGATTAGCAAAATTTATAAACAAACTGGGCAAGTGGCCTCCCGTCGATGACGGAGAGTGCTCCACACCTCCCATCCCACTCAATCCCCACCCTCCTCCCGTGAGATGCTTCCTGGGAGAATACCGCTGGCATTGCCATCCAGGATATCTGTTCCGTCAAGCTCTTCGAGAGTGACAAGGTTTCTGCCTTCTTCGAAATTCAAGATTAGTGCATGATAAACCTATGCAGCAATGATCTGGAAGTCGCAACGTACTTGCATAAATCTTATCTCGTATTATTTACGGTAGGAGGCGTGACGATCTTCGCTAGGTAACCGAACACATGCCTTGGCATTCACCTGATGTTTTTTTCATGCTGTTTTTTTTTCGCCACTTAACTATATTTGAGTTGAAGTGAAAACTTTGCCATGTAATCTTCAGCGCCGAATTCTAATACTGTATCACGCAACGTAATAAGAGAGGTTGAAGTTGTAGAATAATGATGGAGTATTGAACTTCGGCGTGAGGAAGCAGATGCATGGTGCCTTCAGCGACTTCATGATTTGTAGATTGGAGTGGAAGCTATTTCCGGAGAACTCTATTGCACCGACCCCACCATGACGTGTAGGTGGAGCGAAGAGGAGGGAAAGGTGGAACATCGTGGGAAAGTATACGAATGTTATCGTTTAACTGGGTTTTAATTCAGGTTTGTGCGGCTTAGTACGGCCTGCGAAGGGCAACTACGCTGACCGTCCGAGAGGTCGCCCGTAACCAGTTTGGCGACGCGCGCATGTATTAGGAGCGGAGGCGAGCGAAAAATATGGCGTAAGCGGTATAGATAGTGTGAGCAGCATAGGGACTTACACATAGCAGCTGTGTCCAAATTTGTAGCTGAACACTAATTAGTAATTTTAGGATACTGATGTTACAGGTAGAAACTTTATTGAGCCGGTTGTCGCTATGGAGCATCGCAGGTTTTCATGCTTAATTCCGTCACACCGACATTTAAATGCAATTGAAGTTTTGGCGCAAAATAGGATAATAAACTCTATTTACGGCTCGTGGTAGCGCAGAGTGACCTGAGAGCTTATTGTCAATTCTAATGCGTCAGGGATGGTGGCGTGTGGAATGATGATCAATATCCCGTATCAGATTTGAGATTTCTAGCGGGTACCCTAAATGGGATGCGAAGGAGAGAAGCGATAGAAAGTGGCTATCGGAGAGAAGAGTGAGGAGAAAGAGCGGCGCTATATACGTCGCAGTATATACGGAAGGCTCAACACCTCCGATGGGTATCTGTTTACAGGTCAGTAGCGGCTTCCAGTAGACCTTCATTTGTTGTAGTTTCAAGTTGTAATTTGTATAGTTTTTTTCTCCTGAGTCAACATATATTCTTTATTACTAGGTCCTTGTTCTTTGTCCTTTGACTAATAAATAGCTATTTAACTCCAGTCTCATCTTTTTCGTTCCCTCTCTCTTCGTCTGATCATTGCATATTATCCAGTAGCCTTTTCGTGCTCCCATGCTATCCATTGACTCACGTCACTATTTCTTTCTCTTTGGGTTTCTTTTTCTATATTTATAAACATCATTTGTTCCCTGGTGCCATCATCAGATTCTGGCCCCTAATAGTTGACGGGTTGTCAGAATCCGTCGTTGATCGAGACAAGGCAAAGTATTGTAGATGGAAGTAAACAAATCAAATCGCGCGCAGCCCATGGCAACCACCAAAGAGCCACCCAGGCCATCACCTCTATACCTACTACTAGTACTGCTAGGCGTTTCCCATGCACTTCGCCTTCCCACTCACTCCGCTCCGCATTTGTCTGCCCTACTTCTCACTTCTAGTCATTCCTTACTGCTCCAGTCTACTTACCTCCCACGACAAATTTAGAACACAAAAATGGCGTCGGCAAAGGATAAGCCTAATATCCTGCTCCTTTCCCTCTCATGCCTAGAATATTTTGATGACGTTTACAAACCACTTATCAGCCGCCTCCTCGATATCTCATACCTCACACGAGTGAAGACAACCTCCACCGCGCTTAAGGCAATCGATAGCACAAACTTCAAGGCAGTCATCGTGACAGATGAAGGCCTCGCAGACCCCGAAAACCGAGTAGTTTTGGTCAAGCTGAAAGACTACATCGAGAGCAGGGGACTGGCCATCGTCGGCCTACGTTTTTCAAACTTTATTCGCCTAGATCGCTTCAAAGTATTCTTCAAAGCATTCGGTCTTACCTGGGTACCAGGTAACTATCACGCCAAGACCATCTGCTTTGTTCCTTCGAATGCCTACCCCAGGTTCCTAAGACCTGCTTCGTTACCTGGACAGCGTACTGTCAATGTTCGCCACGTGCAGAATCCTAGACCGCACGAGAAAATATTTGTCCCTATTCCCGACGCCAAGAGAGATAACGACGCTGAGGCAGGGCGAGTGGTCAATTCAGAATCTGCCGTTACAGGAGCAAGAATTGGACACGACGATTTAGTTTACTGTGGAGATGTTAATGGAGGTGTCGGTTCAGCGCGTTTGATTTTAGCGCTCTGTGGATTTTTAACCCACCTGCTGGCTCTACAAGCCCAGCCAGATGGATCTTGATTCTTTTCGTCTGTCTTTTATTATAGAAAGGATGGCAGTGGGTTTCAAAATCTTCGGTGGACTTACAAATATCCTTCTGTATCCCTCTTTCTCTCTCTACTGGCTTTGTCTTCCTTCTATCTCTATTGGCTTCTTCCTGAGCTTTGACATCGCCAATGTCAATACCATGCTTGCTATCTCATATCTCATATCTTTTATTCAAATTTGACGGTGAGCTCTAAAATCAACCCCCCCTGCTGCCTTGCCTATTTCACGAAGGTCTTGCGTAGACTGAAAGATCCAAATCTCGATTCTGATTATCTCCCCGCCAATCAGAAAGGAGATCAAGCGGACAATATAAATCTGAGTCTTCCCATAAACTATCAGATACCAAATAGTAGATAGTAAGTTACAAATTCAGTTCTGATCCTCTGACTAGCGGGTACAGCCAAGCCATTTCCAAGATTTGAGCACAAGGTCCTCTATACCGGCACGCATTCCAAGATTGAGTTATACCGAGCTGAGTATGTGTGTATCTCCACAATCCTGAGACCCGCCTTTTCCAAGAGAGTATGCCACTGTTCAGTAGTCCGTTCCAATGACGCGAGCGAGGACATCATAGCCATATCGACTTGTGTTGCATGCCAATGGACCCCAGAATTCGGCAGAACCATTTCGTCAATAAGAATGGCGGAGTCGGGTCCCAGTGCAGAAATGGTATTCTTCAGTATTATCAATGCTTTCTCGTCGGCCCAATCGTGCAGAATACTGCGGAAGTAGTAGAATCGAGCCCCTGTTTATTCCCCCTTATTAGAGTCAAATTTTCTCGCAGAAAATATCTCAAAGCAGGAACGTTTGGATTGATTACCTTTGACCACTTGGGGCTGGAAAAAGTCAAACACGACAGTTATGACGCCTTCGAATGGTATAACGTTCGGGATAACTATTTCCATATCCTCCACAATTATGTCATTTTCGATGTCGGGCAGTCGCTTTTTCAGAGCCACGCTTTGATGACCGATATTTCCTCCGACATCCACAAATAAGGCTTGGTCCGGGCTCAAGTTCTTGGATTTATCTTCGATCGGAAATACATCGAACCATCGACGCATCCCACGTTGTTCTGCCTCCATGAACTTGTTAAAATGAACAAACAGTTCCGGTTTCGTCTGGGCCCAGACAAATGCCGGTTTATCAGTGTTGAAAGCCTGTTGTAAAGGTGTGTTGACCGAACTTGTAATGTCTTGATATTTGTTCTTTGCCAAAAAGTCCGGAAGAGCGAAGATTGGAGGAGCAACGATGTTCACACTAGCAAAATTAAGGAATAAGAAAAAAAAGGATATTCAGTATCAAGGAACTTTGTGAAGATGAGAACTTACTTGTGGTATATGGCGCTACCAATACCTTCGTCACTCAGAGATCTAGTAATATTATTACCGGTGAATGTGTTGTCTGCAGTCTCCTTGATTGTGCCGACCGACGCGAGATAGCGTAAAACGCGGGCTTCCAGCTTAATATTAGCAATGGACTTCAAACTCTGCCACGAGTCTATAGTGGTCGCTTGATCCGTAAATCAATGTCTCACCTAAAAGCGTCGGTGCTGCATTTGTCTTGGCAGCCAGTTCATCTAAATTGAGTGGATGATCACTTTCGGCGAGGATTTTGAAGATGTTCAAGTCCAGACCGACTCGAACCAAGGCAGGTTGAAGATGCTGTGCTCAAAAGTCAGAACGATCTTCAATGAAAGCCATTTTTACATACCAGATATGAAATCCTTTGCATTGTATCCTGCGGCGTTTCAAGAGACAAGGCAAGATCGCGAAGTCCATCAAGAATCTTCCTCCGACTGCCCTCGTCCGCGTCATGTGCTAGCGATTTGATCTGATCAATGATATTCTCCATTTCGATAGTTAAAATCGAGCTTTTTTAGGAGGCGTGAGGTTGGTTTTCATCAGGCTTTGGGAAGATGGGGGGGTTGAAAGAAAATATACCAGAATCATCATCTTTGTGGCATAAATCGAATATTTATATTCGAAAAATATACATGGATTGATTATACGAGCATGACCAACCTGTCGGTGAATGTTAGAATTCTCTTCATATTGTCAAAAGTTCCGAGGGCCAATAGAGGAAGTGTATCAATGAATAAATATTCCGCCTTATATTTGATTGGACATTAATCAGTTAAGAAAAGCTGACCATTCCCTATTTTGTGGTTTTCCGACTGTCTGTTGGTCTTCCAGCCTCCCCCGAGGATAATAAGCGCTAATAATTCGACGAATGATATTTTAATAATGCACCTCCTGTCTGACATTCCCCTCATTCCGCGATCTGATCCCCGTGAGATAGATATTTATGTCCTAATTAGTGAGAATCTGTGAAGTGCGAATGCAGTAGAGCTCAGCCGCAGTGGTGGAGTTCTTGATATATTAATGCGAAATGCTCGAACCAAAATTCCGCCCGGGCATTAAGCAGAAAATTGGAAGTGTAATTATGGAGCTTTTCTATATGCATTAAGGTGTATCAACGCATGCCCTAAAAGGTGAGCTACATAGTACCAAACAGTGAGATTAGTGGCGCAATTGAGCAAGGTGTTGTCGCCGCAACGTCTCGAGGCTGATTGGTGAGCGATGGAGTTGCGGTAATTTTTACCGAGTTGTCCACCAAGAAGATGAACGCACAAAATTTCTGAAGCCGAAAAGTGATATGTTTCTTTTTAACTGGAATATATTTTGAACACATGTAATTTTGCTGGATTGGTAAGTTACAAGGCGAACAAGGATGAGCAAGACATGGCAGGTTTAGCCGAGTGGCCACGTGATTGATGCCTAGTGCTACCGTTGTCGCCTAAGCGAGTGTCAACTTGAACAACTTATGCTTTCTTCTACAGGTAAACATGCCAATGTCCTTCCTTCGACATCAACTCAGCCATGCCGCAGGTAAACACCACTCCACAACAAATACTTGACATTGAAGACGCCCTAGTGTCTGACGAGAACCCTGCCCGTGATGGCGCTCTTGACTACGAGCGCTGTGCTAGACTACACAACTACTTAGTCGCGTATGGTTGGATGGCTCGTCACGAACGAGACACACCCGACCTTGATGCACTAGCCAGCGAAGAGTGGTTCTTTCAGGAGGCAGAAGAGGATATAGCAGCTATTCGGAGCCGCCTCATTACTCCGCTTAACTCGTTCCTGGATTCAATCTATGATCCCAACCCAGATTTCTTCTACTGGGTTAATCGTCTTGAGATGATGCTTTGTGACGAATATTTCATCTATGACGATAACAGTGAGATGGAAGAAGACAAAGAGCGATTTGTTTTGATTTATGGGACTCAGTGCGGTCTGGGCTCGCATAATCTGGGCGTTATTTACGACCAGCAGCGTCATCTGGCGTCATTCCCTATGACTATCGAGAATTCGGACAGCGTGGAGCCTGTAGATGAGCATGAAGAGATGTGGTTTCCGCTAGAAACTATTCTGACCCATTGGATATATATGCTTCGGATTGGTAAAATAGTTGCAGGATTTCCAGAAGGGAGTTTATGTGGTGATACGGGCCTCCCAACAAATCGATCACAATTTGGTATATGGTCATGGCTCCCTTACTGCGATCTCCAAGTTGAAAGCACAATAGCTGCGATGGAGCGCTACTCGGCTGTAGTCGAATCTCGAATGTCTCCTGATTCACTTCTGCCGATGAGTTCTTGCACACCACTCTTTACTGATACAGAACTGGATGCAGCTGGCGTGCCACGGGATTGCTTCATTCGCACATTCTTGACGCGGGTTAAAACTCCACGTTTCACGTTTATCGCGCCTGGACTAGAGGTTCCGCACGATAAGGAGGGGTTTATAAGGCGCCAGACGTTTACCAATATGGGTATACCCCTTGAAAAGGATTGTATTCCAGGCGTCTTAATATTTGCAGCCCCGGATAGGCTGGTAAATGTTAATCACGAAATCCATGGCCTATTCTCTGTCGCACATGAGGATTTGAAGCTGGGAAACCCTATTCCAACTGGACTCTACAGTGAGCCTGTACGTCGGAGCAATTATGATATGGAGGAGGCGGGGTTCCATATCGTGCTTCCATTCGGATTACGACGGGCGAGAATGAGTGATTACAGACTAGTTACCGATGGCATATTTGAATATACCAAGGGCTCATTCACGAATCTCTTTCAACATGGCTACTTCCATTCATTTGGGGGCGAACGGCGAGCGCAGAGATTGGAGAATTTGTTTGATCGGTGGAAGGTGATGGTTGAAAGTGGTATATGGACAGTGGGTGAAAATGGTGTGGAGGGAGGAATCGACAAATTCAGAGAGGCAGATAGAGATGACGGGCTTGAATATTCTATCGCACCAAGCTGGTGATTTGATTCATAATTATGCGTTAGAACCTGCCGGAGTGTGGCTTAAGTAAGGCTGTGAGGACGGGAAGCGCTGTCTCTCAACTATCTGCATGTACCAGGGTTGGCCACTAGAAGAGATTGAACGAGCTATTATCGGTGTATTCTCTGCCAGTTGACTGGAAGTTTATTTGAGGAAACTGGGTGGAAAGAAGGCAAGGTCTATTAAATTAGTCATTACGAATTCCTATATTCGAATTATTACCAGTACTATGCCATCTAACTTAACAGTCACAGTAGCTTGCGCGTGGATATGACCTACGATCTTTATAAACAAATTTGGCAGGTTGAATAGAATTTCTAGATGATCTATGTTCGGTACAACAAAGTACCCTGCCTGCTAATGCAAGTAAGTTGAATCGAGTCACGCTGTCATAGTTATAACCGGTATTTACACCGAATAAAATGCAGAGGTGCCCTAGCCATTCAATTCTCACTCAAACATCAAAGTAGCAGAAAGCGCTAAGCTTAGAACCGAAAGGCACATTCTTATCTTCGTGGCCACAACTGGGCACGCCATCATCGTTGTTGTAGTCCGTATCTCCATACTCAAATTTAATAGTGCAGCCTTTGTCACCACTAGCCGCGTTGTAGCACCCAGTGACATTGGTAGGCGAGCTGAGGTCATGTCCCGAGAAGAGGCAGTTGGTGCAGAAGGGGTCCTCGGAGGTACACTGGTCGGGTTCGGCCTCGACCTTAGTGCCCTGGGCATTGAAATATAAGCCGGAGTTTTGTGTACTATCGCCTCCTTCGCCTTCACCAACGGCACCGCCAGTGACAGGGAGAGCTTGAGTATCACAGGTAAGGATGAACTGAGAGTTGCCGGACTTGTCTTCGGGATCACGGCGAGCCAGGACATTCAAGTTGGCTGTATCGGCTGGGATGGCGCTGGTTTCGGCAAGGCCTATGAAAGCGGCTGCGAGTGCGATGTTGAACTTCATTTTTGGGAAATTGATGGTGAAAAAGGATAATTGGCTGATTAAGAGACTGATTCTGTTCAGATTTTCCAGGGCAATCAGAGGCGCTTTATACTTGACGATGAGATATTGTCTCCATATAATATGGAGTATATGTACCCAAAACAAATGAAACATAATTCAAATTTCATTTCTGTATAGTTAAATTTCGGAACAATGACGACATTGGCCTTTTTGGCCGCACGGGGATGGACAAGTCGGCATATGCAAAGATCTATTCTGGCAACAAGTTTATGACATCAAGCTCCAAGAAAATCTCGAGAATATCACCCTCACGGCAAATCTCTCAAATAGATACAGTGGCGTTGCAAAAGTTTGGAAACCCATATTGCCCACCAGTATCGACCTTTTGATTGGAAACTAGTTGCTACCTAAGAAAGGACAGATAGGACAATTATTCCATCTTGGCCTCTTGGGTAGCTACTACTCCGCGATTAGAAGGCGGAGGAGAACAAGTCAACAAGGAGTTTCAAACTTTTGCAACGCCACTGTATAATGCGGGACTCGGGATTCATGGCGAGATCATCATGTATCCAATAGCTATTTTTACTAAAGTCCATTACCCTCTTCGCAGTACATAGGAAAGATGTTGTGATGGAAGATACAAATGAATCAAATAGATTGAGTATACGCTTTTCTACTCCAATTGGCTACACTGGCTTCAAGTTCCATGGAGCACTTGGTCTAAATCGGTATTTTCCCTGAAGCAGGACTAATGATCCTGTTCCGGTTTCATTGTTGAATAACAAAGCCCCGGGTGCTTGTGGGCCCCCTAAAATGCAGATCGATCAGGCAACATGGGGAAAAAAACAAGCCGAGGAACGATTTCCCGCATATTCGGGGAGCGACATTGCTTGATTATTGGAATACCTCTTGGCTTTAACGATTTATTGAGTGTGAGATGACCTTATTTCGGCCACCTTTCAAATTATGTTCCATTTGCGCAATACCAAGCTACGCCAAGAAAACACCCATGATGAGACTGTGGTCATATAATCAGTTGGGGAAGTTTTTCATATGATTTTGCTGTGGGACTAGAAATATTGGTTAAGTGTAGATCGTAGGTCAGGGAAACAGGGAAATGGCATAGGGTCTCTAGGTTTCACGCTCGTCTATCTGAATGTGCAAAGATATACCCACTATTTAGCTGCCAATGCGGACAAACAAAAGCATAACCATACGATTAATTAGATACGGCCCCATGGGGCCCTTGGGCGGAAACTTTGGTGCATGGCAGAACCTGGGGGCCAATTTTTGCCGGTAAACCCGAAATCCATAGCGACTGCTCTATCATGACGTCGTTTATTGATCTTCATCTATATTTAGAATTTTTGAGTGATTGACGAGATTGGTACCTAACGGCTAGCGAGGCTCTTGGAAATTATCTTAAGGCGGGCAGTGGGTGATATCTTGGCCATGCTGCTGAGGCTGGTATGTCATGCCGCCTTTTGTCGAGATAGCTGCTTATCTTCATATCTTTACCACGATCTACCTACACCCTACCACCATTCATCAATATCATCACGACCATCACCTCCATCCCCACTCCTTGTTTACATGCACATGCTGCCTGCGTGCACACCAGGCGTATATCATGCAGGCATCACCTGGGCATGCATGTATCCCGCCTTTTTCTGCAAAATAAATATGATTTTTTCACATAGCAGCGAGGCTCAACCTTTATATTGTGTACTCATATTTGGCATCAATCATTTAATAGTAGGGACTAGTGTCTTTTCAAATTCAAGATTATTTCCAGCACCTCAATCCGTACATCTTCTTTCCATTTTTCATGCGTACAAACAACTGGATTCGAATTAGTATCGCTTCCGTTGAATCATCTTGCAATTCAAAATGTTTCTTTATCCAATAAAAGAACTTTCCATAGGGAGATTTATAGTAAGGAAGGCGCTATGGCTCGGTAATGTCACAGAATTACGGAAATTTAACTCCGTCCGGCATATTCGCTCCCCGATGTGCGAAAAACGGTTTCTCCGATGCCGATGCCGAATCGGGTGATTAATTTTGTACACTTTGCATTCATCTACATTTACTCTCAATCAATTCAATTCAAGCTTGCTCTCCTATTTTAAGTTTACCATCTCATACCGAACTCTTTCGTTGAATCCGGTGGGATTCCTGATCTCGATATTCTGGGGTGCGTCTGCACCCTGTGCACCTTCCCACCAGGGCACACAGTTCAGTCAATCACCATCTCAGACCAAGTGAGCGACTCGAAGACTAAGAATCAACCCAAGGCGTCCCTGAACTGAGCAACATATCCAAAATGGACCCCCGTCCAGGCATTGATTCCCGTGCAGACAGCTCTGTTATGCTTCCCAGCGGTCAGTTAGTTTGTGGCCCGCATCGACTGGTCGTCTGCAGCCTCTGCCATGAGGACCACATCCTCCCCGAACAAACCTCCCTCCGCAGAAATGGCTTGAGTAACGCTCCTATCAGATGCCTTGGCTACAGACCGACCGCCAAGCTTATCCTCCCAGAAACCTTCGTTCCACCAAATCAAGAAGATACCCCGGAGACACTGTTCAAGGCTCAGCACGTTAGCATGAGTCCGCCCATAGTCCGAAATGTGCGCCAATCCATCAATGAACAGCACCTGATCTACATAGCCGGTGTGTGCCCAGGAAATGGCCAAACAAACCCGAAAGCAGGCTGCGCATACGTGTTTGCTCCTGTGTTGAAGAGAATCGTCCGACCTTACGCATATGTCTCCTTCCGACTGGAGAACAAAGGTCCGACTGGAGAGTACCATTCACAAACTAAGGAGCGTGCGGATCTTCGTGCCGTGATTGGTGCGTTGAGATTCCGGTGCTGGAAGGGAATGGAGAATTGTTCTAGTCTCGTCATCGCAACCGATTCCACTTACGTGGTTGAGGGCATCACGTCCTGGGTTATCGACTGGTTGAACAATGGGTGGACAACTCAAGCGAATACCCCGGTAAAGAATCAAGACCTCTGGAAATATCTTCTCATGGAACTGGAAAACTGCTGGCTGGCGAGCGGAATGCGTGTTCAGCTCTGGCACATCAGCACAGTAGACAACTGGGTGGCCAACCGCGTGGCCAAAGAAGCTGTGAATGAGCGTGGGGAAACTGATTTCATTCATGATATTGGTCCGCTTTCGGAACTTTAAGAACATGAAGGGCGTTAGCGTCAGGGAACACATTACGGTTCTATGAAGGGAGGGTCTATCATGGAGTCGGAACGGTCTACAATGTACAATATGCTCGTGTTGAGAATAACCATTCTTCATTAGCACGATATCATCAACATACTACCATGTTCAAGTAACCAGTGGATTGAAAAGCCTCTATAAACCACCAGTGTAATTCTCTGAAGAGGATCCTATGAATACTACGGTATCGAATATTTTGTAGACATTAGAGCATCACCCAGGGCTTACTGGGCGTGTGTAAACTTTCAACCGATGATACCAACAGGAAAACTTAGACATCGCGACTTTGACTTCGCATTTCTTTCCCTTTATTCGCCTCTTCGGTCTCATCCAATGGAGCCAATTGGTGATCTCTGAACTTCCTCACAGGGACACCCTCGTGGAAAAGTCGATCCACCTCTTCAAGAGATTTCCCTTGACAATCCGGAACACATAAATATGTAAAAACACACGCACACACTGCAATACTCCCAAAGATAAATCCAACTTTGGAGTGCAGACCCGCATAGCCGTCATCAAGTAGGTATGGAATCGAAAATGTCACCGCGAAATTGACCGCAATGTTTGTGAGAGAAGACACACGCTGAGAATGATCACGAAGCGACAAAGCCGGTAGCTCCGTGATAACCACATACGTGAGTGGTCCCCAGCCCAGTCCGAACCCAGCTCCAAAGATCGCCATCATAGCTGCTATCGCGGTGCTTTCAGAGAAGGTCACCGGACTCGCTGTTCCTAGGCCACCCATTGTAAATAGCGCCACGGCTTGGATGCCTGCGCCTGCTATGAAAAGCTTTCGCCGACCGACTTTGTCGCTCAAAAGGTTCGAAATGAGACATGCCGCCGTGGTGATACAGCTTGTGATGATTGCGAAGTTGTAAGGGTTGACTGTGCCGAGCGATTTCACGAAGATAGCACCGTACTGACTCGAGAAGGCCTGGCCGGTGGCTTGCTGGAAAAAGCTAATGGCGATAACGATCAGAGTGCGTTTTAAGTTTGTCTCGCCGAACAACTCTTTGAAATGACCTTTTTCGGGCACGATGTCAAGTCCAATTTTCAAGGAGGCCAATTCATTCGCGATCGCTTCGCTCGTCATCGTTCCATGGCGGAGGCGTTTTAGGGATTGTTCGGCTTCATCGGGGCGGTGTTGAAGAAGAAGCCAGCGGGGGGACTTGGAAATAGCTATTAGTATGCCATCTTTGTTTTAATTTCAGGGGGATGATACCTCTGGGATTAACCAAATCATAGACAGAATCACGCAAGGGATCACGTAGAAAAGACCAAATGGTATTCTCCAGGATTTGTTGCCTTCCAAGGTACTGGTTCCTCTGCAAATACTGTTGATAATAATTCCTCCTATCTATACGTCGAGGTCGATTAGTGTGTGCTTCGCGCGTCACGTTCTGTATGAAACTCACACCGATGGCCAGTTGATATGTTCCCACCACAAATCCGCGGACCGGAGCTGGTACAACCTCTGACTGATAGACAGGTACAACTGATAGCTCCATGCCGACATAAACGTCTAAGTCAGGATTAGCACGAAGCCAAGGGATGTTGGGCCGAAGTCATACAATTCAAGATTCGCGCCGCGAGAATCTGCCCTTTGCTCTGGGAGGTCACCGTAATTGTAGCCGTTACAAGAGCATAGCAGCTCATGGAAAATATACAGAGGCGACGCCCATATCTCCGACTGATAAGGCTTCCGATTAATAACCCTGTAAAAACCGTCAGTTTCATTCCAATCACTTCGAAATTCATGTTCTTAACCCACCCAAGGCAAAGCCGATATAGTTCAGACTATTCAGCAGCGACAGATAATAGGCCGGAATAGCATATGCCCCCGTTTGAGGGTTGTATTCGCCGAATTGTTTCGTGAAAGCAGTCATCGACTGTGTCGTTGCGAAAGCTTGATTGTCGAATCCATAGTTGAGCTGGGAGATAGCAACTAGCGTGCACGACAACGCCAGCGTTCGATTGAAATGTTTTGTAATCGCCGAAATCGACATGATGGATTCCACAAATGCGTATCCTCTGCCGATTCACCATGGACCAGGGCGACCCCTGGCTTTTGAGAACGACATTTCATCTCTGCTTCGTGAAGCTGGACCTGCTAAGCCATCTCCTCAAGCGGAGTCTATATGGCGAATGACCGACTGCCGTATCCATATCCCGGTTATCGGTCACCGAGAGCCGTCCATGTTTCTGGCAGGGCGTTTTTAGTGCCAAGTCGACGCGAAAACGCGGGGAAAATAATCAACAAGAACCTCATCTGATGTGGAGACACCGTTGACGTGGGGCCAATGAGGGGTACTTGGGATTCCGCCATAAATAAGGACCATGTTCTCATCCGTCTGGCCATGATCCTTCTTTCGAAGGGGGTTGAGTAAATCCTTGGATTGTTGGAATGATGGGAATATCTCGCGACAAAATGGCGGAGGATGCGGCCAAGAAACAAACATGTTTGCAATGTAGAAAGCGAAAGGTGAGGTCTAATGGCACATCTCAATGTCAACAATTGCCAACATTCATATCAGGTCCGCTGTGACGGGAAAATACCAAGTTGTTCCAACTGTAGCAGACTCAACTTTTCCTGCATATTTGTACCATCGCAGAATACACCAAGCGATATTTCCAGTCACACGGCGCATGGCGCAAATGAACACTCCCAAGCACAAGCAGCAACAAGCTCACGAAATGGATATACGATTGGCGGGATCGAAAGGCGCCGTGGCCTCAAAGCTTGTCGACCTTGTCGCGTCTCAAAGTCGCGGTGTAGTGGTGGCTGGCCGAAATGTCGCCATTGCGAGCAAAGAGGTTTGGACTGCCAGTACCTGCCCAGCAAGCGAAGAAAGGGTGCGATAGACCCAGGGCAAGTGCAGCCGTTTTACACTGCCAAAGTTCCTCCACGACACATGCTCTCTGACATCTGTTTTCCCACAAGCGGAGATGCTCCTGATATAACTCAGCTCGCCGAAGGTCAGAATGAACTATCACGGCCAGTCATGTCCTTGACAAAATCAAATCCAAAGCCAAATTCGAACTTCAACTTGAACTTGAATTTGAGCCTGGACTTACCAGGAAACAAGATTTTTCTCGAATCTCACGTCAACGCCTACCTCGAATATTTCAATCCTATTCCGGCGTACAGCTTCGTCCACAAAGCCTCCTTCCTCCGGAACTTTCATCACAATAAACTCGATTCAATATTCCTTCGCTGTGTCTGTGGAATCGCCTCGCGCTTCCTTCAAAGAAGTAGTCCACGCCAGGACTACGCGTCTGAATGGCTGAAGGAGGTCGAAGGGCAGGTGTGGCCTAGAATAGCCGAAATGAAAATAGAAAATCTACAAATTCTCTTGCTTCTCATCTGCTGGTACTCACTCGATCGGAAGATCTCGAATATGTGGACATCTTCGGCCATGGCAGCAAGAATCGCCTATGGGATGCGTTTGAATTATGAGAGTACCGATCCGATGCCCTTCGTTTCCAAAGAGGTTCGACGTCGCATTATGTGGTCCATCTTCATGTTGGACAAATTCTACTCTGGGGGGTTTGCAGAATTGACCCTTTGCAAGGCGAGCACGATGCATCTCAATTTGCCATGCGAGGAAAGAAATTTCGAGCTAGATATCCCTACCGCTACGGCAACCTTGACACCCACTTCTCCTCCAGGGACATTGGAGGATGGAATAGGCTTGATGGGTCATATGCCTAGACTTGTCAAAATACGCCACGAAGTTCTGGAGTAAGTCGACACAACCAAATCAACGCGTTTGTGGCCTCGGGAACTAATGATTGAAAAAATACATTGATAGGGTCACGAAGCAAATCATCTCTTCGAAAGAAAGTCCCTACGCAGCGAAGAAAATCATCCAAGCCCTCGACGCGAATCTCCTCGATTTCGCCCACTCTCTACCAACCCATCTCCAAAATAACAAACGCAACCTACTCTCTCGTGCCTACATGACAGAGCTAACGGGCTATATAACCCTGCATTCTCTCTGGATACAATGTCACTGTGACTTGTACCGAATGATGATTCCAGGGATTCGTGAATCAGTGCCGGAAATCATCCAGCGCGATGTCCCATTCGACTATGCGGAGGAGTGTAGGGAACTATGCCTACAATATGCGATCGACATGTGCAGACTTTGGTCCGATACACTGTTAGAGTGTGATATGTCCAGGATCACTGACCAGTCACTTGGTATTTATGCATACCAGTGCGCAAATATACTGGTTAGGTTGTGGGACTTGGATGCCGATAGCTCACTACGCGACTATTTGATGATTCTTTCGAATTTCTTGGAAAGGCTGACCGATATTTATCAGATTGTTGCAGAAATCGTATGTTTCTTTTTTCTCTTCTCGGTCACTAACGCTGTTTGTTGTTACATTACTGAAACAATCCTAGCAATTTGAGATAAATGGCTTTATCGACAGTCTTGATGTTGTTACCAATTTCTACGCGACACGAAGTGACGACCTTTTCTCCCAGTCGCTTACTGAAATCTGGAGATCTTCTCTCAAGCAGCAAAGTACCCAGGAAGGACAGACGACGTCCAAGTTTTCACTATTAGAGTTTCTACAGCAGCAGAATATGTCCGATGGGTCGGAGGAATATTCAGACACAGTTGAGCCTTCCGGCGGAGGTCCAGCAAACCCGGATATTCGAGCTGATGAAGGTCTCCGCTTGGATGTCGGCATAGCTTCGGTTGAACAAACCGAGGAACTAAGCAACGATTTTTGGTCGACATCTCTAAGCATGGATTTTGAAAGCTATGATACGCGTGTGGATCCCTTCTGTCGGATGTTCGATGATTGGGCTTTGGTGGAACCATAGATAGGTAACGCGAACGATAAACGCCACTTGGTCGGTGCCTTATTTTCAAATCATGCTGGATATGTACTTGAGAAAGCTCCGCTCGATTATTTCCAGAGACTGGGAGTGGAATGACATTGGTGGCTTGCCCAGGTGTTTGAATGAAAATCTAGGCGGTACTGCAGTTTGTATCGAGATATTTCCCGATAAGAAGAAAAGAAGTTTAAAGACTCGTGTTAGACATTCACATAACAATTTACTATAGACACATTTCATTACCGACAATCATGAATCGCTAACTAACCCGAAGAAACTGAAATGTCTGCAATCTCACATAATTCTCGTAGCACACATAATTTGGTATAATCATCCATCATCCATCACCGCCCTACTTCTTGCGGGGGCTCATAAGCAGGTTAAACTCCAGGGGCTTGACACTGAAAGCACCATTTGAAGTCAACTTGTAGTTCTTATCCGCAAATTCAAACGAGCACTCCTTGATAATACTAGCCAGAGTGAAGAAAGACCACTGCCAGGCCCAGGTCTTGCCGTAACATTCACGCTTGCCGTTACCAAAGCCCTTCTTTGCAGCCGCGGGGAGATTATCCCACTTCTCGCCGAGAACACGCTCGGGTCTGAACTCCTCCGAATCCTCGCCAAAGACAGCCGGGTCGCGATTCACAGCGTTCAGAATCGCAATCATGGGCTGGTTGTGCGGGATTTGGTACTCGCCGCCGGCGAGCATGATGGGGGCCTTGCTGTCTGAGGGAATGGGCTCGATGTTGAAACCCGGAGCGGTGGCGGATAGACGGATAGATTCGCGCAGACAGGCCTCGACGTAGTGAAGCTGCTTCAGTTGGTCGAGTTGGATTTCGCCGCTGTCGCCGACGATGCTGTCGATCTCCTCGCAGGCCTTCTTGTTGGCCTCGGGGTTCTTGATTAGGTAGTACAGGGCGTAGGAGAGGAGGTTGGCGGCGGTCGCGGCACCGATGTACATGGAGATGATCTCGTCGATCACCTGGGAGTCCTTGAGCTTCTCGCCGGACTCGGGGTCGGTATTGTTGAGCATGGCATCCAGCAGATCCTTGCGGACCTGGTCGGGGGTCTCCTTGCGGCTTTTCATGATTTCCGCGCAGTATGAGCGCATGTGTTTGATCTGTCCGGAGAACTTGCTCTGATAAAACAGGTTCAGGAGCTTGGGGCGAGTGGGCCGCTTCATCGCCTCCATGGTAGCACCCTCGAATGCATCGACCATTCCGAGGGTCTTCTTTGAGTCCTTGTCCATAGCATAATAGCGCTGGTTGAAGAAGCACTTATTGCAAGATGCCACCAGGATCGCATCCAGGTCCCGAGACGCCAGAACCTTCTGCTTTTGGCTGGAGGACCACTTCTTGGTCAGGTCTGGAACAACCTCCATCATATCCTTGTAAACCTCGTCGGTCGCTTGCTGGGTGACGTAGGGCGCCATGATGCGGTGGGCAATTCCCCAGCTCGACTCCTCATCGTAGGCAGTAAATAGACTGTCGTGCACCGCATCTCGGATTGCAACGACAGGACCGGTCACGCACTTGCGGAAGCGCTTCTGGTCGCAGATTTCCTCGAGAAGAGCGACGCTACCGACGAAAACGATCTGGTGGCCGAGGGCATTGATCTTGAAGATAGGGCCTATAGATCGGTTGGTTAGCTTTGGACCACTATGAGTAGCCTCGGTTGCTTCGAGGAGAGCTCCCTTGCTCTGTCAGTCACTCACCATATTCCTTGGACAGCTTGATCAGCGAGTTCCAGGTTTCGTTGGGGTTGACATCAAAGATGTTACCCAGCAGCGGCACACCGGGGGGGTCCAGGGATCTCGTTCGACATGATGGGTAGTGGGATATCACAATAGTATACAGAAAAACACAACAGGAAAGCGAAGAAAAAGTGACAAAACAGTCAGCTCTGCACGGGAGGGGCGGGGGACCAGTCCTAAAGCCAAACAGAGTCCTCAGCTTTCACACCAATCTTCAGCTGGGTCTCCGATCGACAGATCTCATTTCTGGCCGTCATTGGACACCAGCGGGGAATGGCGCATGTCCAGACTCCATCGTTCACGACCAGTTCGGGACTAGCTGACAAGATCGGCACGATCGCGATGTAATAGCGCAGATTGGCGGTCGCTGATCGAACTGGGATTGGCAATTCAGCAGGCTTTCTGGAGCAAATCTGGCGGAGACCCAGCGCACTACAGCCCGTAGTGCAACCACCGGGAGGCAATGGGGTTCATCCCAATTGTCAGCGTGTGATGCAGAGTTTGTCTGCTTCGGCTCCACGTCGCTTGACCGCTCATCTTGCTCCCTGCGTCATGCTGGTTAGCTTTTTGTTGTTGTTACGCAGAGCGACAGAGCGGGAAGCAAAGCGGAATGCTGCAACTTGTCGACAAATGAATCTCCAGGAAGCTCTGGTGTGAGTAATCCAGCATTTACAGCTGTATTGATTGGCACGGACCCATCAAGCTGGTGGCTGTCATAGCGGGTCGGGTCTATGGTTGCTGGGGATTGACATCATCTTGATGGCCCACAATAGGGCCCTCAGGGGGGTCCCAGTCCCCAGCCTCCTCAGGGCCATGCCGTGCGCAATCCAATCCTGCAGGGATCGCAAAGAATCTCAAGATCATCTAGATTATGACCAATCCGTACAATTATCCGCCGATCCCCGCCGACTTTGTGGATAGCTTCAAGCCTGGTCCTCCCCCGCCTCGAGAGTTGAACCTGGTAACCAGTCAGCCTCCCCTCCCCTGCCTTGCTCTGGCCAGTGACAGCTACAGGGGAGTAAAGGGGAATTGAAAGACTAGAGAATCGTAGCGTATTGACAACTTGTCCCAAAATTCTCTAGGAACACATTCAGACAAGTGGGGTCCACGAGAAATCGACTCTGCTAGCGCTCTTCGCGAGACTCACGTTCATCTCGGTAATGAACGACTGTTGCGCACACATCATCGCTCGCTCGCGGCATGCCCCTTTGTATACCAGGCCACTGAGGCTGATGGTAACCAGATCTGGGTGGTGAGCATTGGACCTAGCGTCCCCGTATATGACACTCATGCGGCCGGTCGCGCGATCCACGTCCAACCCGAGGTTCTGCTTCCCGAGCCGTCGCACACGTTTAGTGGGACTCGTAAAGATCCTCTGCACCGGAGCATCAATCCGCGGCAGTTTTTACCAGCGTCGGAGCTGGAGTTGCTGCGCCGGTTCTCCCCTGCGGCGATTGGGCACGCATGCTAATTTCGGGGTTTCTCATCGTGCTGTTTCGTAATCAGAAGGATATTGAAGCATCCTGGCAGGAAGGGTGTGTCCATTCCTTTGGTCTGCTGCGCTTGGGATATGATGTCGCCGTTCATTATCCCACCGAGGCTGTCGCTGAGAGCGGGAATGCCGTCGTAGATGCACAGGATGGCTCAGCCACGCCTTTGGGGCTTAAGCTGAAGTTTCTCGATGACTGACAAGGTATCACCGTACCAACTCATGCCTTTGTTGACATTGAGACGCCGCAGGATAATATTGCATGTAAAGAATCCAGTTGTTGGGCCAAAACCAGGGCGGCTTTGCCGAAATCCACCACGATGAAATTCAAAGAATACTTCAAGAGGGCATCGAGAGTAACATCTCCACTGGGAAAAAGTATGTGGTTTGTGGAAGAACCAAAGGAGGTAAGCTATTCTGTCTATGGTGGTGGTGGTGTTTGTTCAGCAAGCAAGGTTAACTCGGCAAGTAGAAAGTTGGAAATATCTCAACCACCTTCGATCACCACGTAGTTCCATCCTCGACTTTCCCGCAAACTATCGATCAATACTTCCATTGTGACTTGAAATCGACTGCCTCGAGTCTTGAACCCCCCTCGGGCCTCCAGGATAGTAGGCTGGTGCAAATACTGTGATGCGCTGGACGGCTACTCTGCTTTCGCCATGGCACTCAATACTCTCCCCAGTGAATCAGATGGTAGGGAGAAGGAAGATCAAGAAGAAGAGGCAGAAATTCGACGAGACCTACGCAGAAAGTCTTCGTCGAGGGCTTCGAGTATCTATGGAATCGCAAGCCTCGAACACAGTCCGCTGCCCTGCTTTGGCGCGCGATGTATGTACGATGGGACCGAGATCGGTCTTATGTCTGGGACAACCGACCGATCCAATTTATCGTGCAGTACTGGTGAAGCATTTCGAAACGCCCATTTGTCCTCAGCATTTCGAGCCATCGGACAACGTGTCGGCGCGTGGTGATATTTCCTGGGGGAGTATCAAGGGTGGATTTCTACTGCCACCGGAGATCCGAGATGCTAAGATTATTTGCGAAGGTGATGAATCGACTGCAATTCCTGAGGATGCGCAAACTTGGGACGATGAGTTTGTATGAAACCTTTCACCATGAGATGGATATAGATGGTATATATACTATTCTATCAAATAATAGAGACTACCTTTGAAGACATTTGTCGAGTGTCAGTGGATTTTCAACTTCCGATGTTCAACTAATCTAGATAAACCATACTGATAATAAACTTGAAGGGATGTCGATATCACAAAATGGCTGTTTGTAGCAACCCCTTTATAATTCATATACCATCATATTGGCCTGTTGAGCATATCTCCTTAATATCGAGACCATATCCAGGATAGCACTGTATAACCCATGAAGTGTTTGTCATTCCCTTATGCCATTTTTTGCTTTTGTCTTAAAGTGATAGAGTTTCGGAGATGCTCTCGTTTCGGCCCGGCTTGTTTTTTTCCTCTCATTTCTTTTGGCCTTTGCTGATCTAGTTGACGCAAAAACTCCGCCTTTCCCCTGGGCGGACGGCCAGCCAATAATACAGAATGAGCGTGCATAGTGCAAATGGAATCTTTGAGATCCAGAATTGATCAGTCTGGTGGAGATATGCATTGTCGAAGTAATTACAATTTTACCTCGGTCCATCTATTTAACTCTATCAACGGGCGTCATTTGCATAAAGCTATCAGTCAAGTGGGGGTCCCAACCAACAGATCTCCTAAGACTCGGGATTCATTCCACTTTATTCCCTTCTTTTTCCTTCTTCGGCTCGTCTCAAGTTTTGTTGAGTTCGGGCCGAATCGGGGTTTCAGGGGGAACGGGGATCCCGAAACTGCTGATATGCAAAAACTCTGATTTGTCTATCGAGCTAAGAGCTCCACTAAAATAAAATAAAACCAGGAACACCATTCAATGCAATTCTAGAAGAAATCCACTAACCCAAGGAAAAAATAACCTCGGCTCTTCCCTAATCCAGCCGGCATCAATCTAGAAACAAAAAACCTCATCGCTCAACTTCGTCACCGTACCCGGCTTCTGGAAACCCAGCGCAGCCAAATTCTTTTTAGTCGCACTCACCATCCCCGGGGGTCCACATAGCATGATCTTGGTATCAGGCGAAGCCGCGGGCAATCGCTCTGCCAGAACAGTCTGATCCACATACCCACTACCGTACGCCCAGTCCTTGGGTGGCGCATCAAGCATGTACCACAGCTTGAAGTTCTTAGGATAGCGGCGCGCGAAAGTCTCCAATTCCTCGCGAAGAAGGATATCAGTCTCGGAGCGGTTCGCGTAAATCAAACTGACCTCCGTTGTGTCGGTGTCATTCTCGCAAATCGCCCGAATCAACTGGAACATGGGTGTGATGCCAGTTCCACCAGCCACCATGCCGATTTTGTTGCAAAGGTTTTTGGTATACTTCATTGCGCCCTTGGGGCCCCGGAACTCGACTTCATCGCCGATCGAAAGGCCTGCGAGATATTTGCCGCTAAGAAGACCATCGGGGTAACATTTGACGACTAATTCGATACGGCCGCGGTCGAGGTTGTTAGAGGTAGGAGTGTAGGAGCGAGTCACGGTCTTGCCATCCACTTCGGCTCTGATCGCGACATGCTGGCCAATAGGCAAACCCAAGACGCCCTTTGCTTTGGGCAGAGCGAAGACAAAGCGGTAAACGTTGGATGAGAGCTGATCTTTCTGCACAAGAGGTAGACGCTGGTATTGTTGCGGCTCGAGGAATCCGCGTGTTAAGTGCGGATCAACGCGAATCACTTTTTTCGCCTTGATGCGCGGCGGGTATCGCATGAATCCAGACTCGATCTTGGTGAATCGGCTGGCTTGCTTAGCAAGCATAACACCGATGGAGCCACAGATCACACTTGCAGCGAGAAATCCATTCACGAAGCCGCCTCGAGGCAGACGAAGACCCTTCACTTGGCTGGGAAGTAGGTGGGTAAAATGAGGGAGGTGCATAGCTCCCGGGTTGCAGACAAAGAGCGCTGGAACAAGTGCCAAAGCTCCACCTGCAACTGCGATAGTCCGTAACGAAAATGACGACTTCTTCTCTTCTGTGGCCTTTTGGGAGACCACGCGAACTGCCTTAGGTCGCACGAATTGCTGGGCATCCTTCAGAGTACCGATCAGGTAGGGCTGCATGATTTCACGCGCATCTTCAGAGTGACCAACATCTTCATACTCGGAAGTAGCATCTTGACCACCGACTTCAACAAGTACCTCTGCACCACCGGGGTGATCTTGACAGTACTCTGTGATATCGAAGACTGAAGATAGTCAGTAGAGCTCCGGTCAAAATGGATAAGTTCAATCAAACCTTGTCCGTGGATCACGATCCATGTATCTTTCTTAGTATTATGCGCCGCGATATCCTTTAATGTGTATTCTGGCAGCTCGACTTCGGTCTGCCATTGAGCCTTAGGCTCCTTAATATCTGAAGCAGTCATATCGTTTTGCAGAAGAAAGAAAATCTAGGGCAGTAATCGAGAGAAAGCACCGTACGAGTCGAAGTAATAAAGTGGAACGGCAAACTCGACAGACCTATCTATAATCAAATACTCGGCCAACCGAAACTCGCCGAAAGGAATTATCGTAATTATCTTTGCATAAATCCTCCTTGCCGTTTTTTCCGCTTGTCATTTGTACCTCGGGATTAAAAAGGCCTCAAAATTCTAGACTACGCGGCTCGGACAGCGCCCGCAAACGGGACGGCGTACCGATGCCGATTTCACCGCGAACCCGAAGAACAGCCCCATCCGTTCCCGCTAGGGGAAAGCGTGAAGATATTTGCTTCACTCCAGTGGGCTGATACCGAGTTAACCTTGGACAGAGTGGGGCGAGCCGCGGATGGCCGTTTCCCTATTCAGGAGCTTTGATATTTCAATAGGAGAACCTACTCAATTCATTAGACAGTTATTTAAAGGGCATATATTTCAGTAAATTGACAGATAAAGGCTATGTATTCAATATAACGATCAATGAGAAGCTTTTCAGACGTCTGGCCACAAGAAAAATCCTGCGTTGGCAGGCTGAACTTCCTATTCTCGTTAGTGACAGCGCCGATCGTCACTCCATTCGATAGTGGAGTCAATAGAAAAAGACTGAAACTGCCGAGGCAGGCAACCAGGCTAACAGGATTTCCAATCCAAACTCTAAGGCTCGAGCTACATTTATGAAAATGTCGCAAATTATGCGCGAGAAATTTCTTCGAAATAAGCCGTAGGGTGGTGGAGTCATCGGAGTCAACATTATTGACCCGAAACTGGTGGGCGATGCAATTTCGATATAAATCGGGTGTGTCCGTATGTGCATTTAGTTGGTGTTCTGGCTACTAGTATTCTCTACTTCAATTTGACAGAACAATAGTATGCCTGGAAAATCGTTCCACCTTCTGGGCGAGCCTAGCTCCTCGTCTCAATATGTCGAGCTGGAATCGACATTAGATTTTCAAGGGCTGCAACACTTGATTGCAGGTCAATTTGCCATTGTCGAGCCTAACGGTACGTATTTTGTGTTTCCTCCCAGTAATATTTAGAATATCCACTCACTCCATTCTACAGGCATTGGATTCCAAGCTCAAGACTCAACACTCACAACCGTGACCGAGGTCCTAGCCACCGAGGAGCCCATCGCCGTCAGCATCGATGGCGCGCCAGTCCGCGAGATCCCAGGACCAAAAGGTCTACCCTTTGTGGGCAATTTCTTCGAAATCTACCCCGACCATCTGGGAAACCACCAGCGACTCTTCGACCAGTATGGTCCAATCTTCCAAACAACCAACATGGGTCGCACGATATACCACACCAACGACCCCCAATTGTCCGCCATCGCCTTCTCCGAATCAGACTTCTTTACCAAGAAAATCAACGAATCCCACCCCCTCTACCCAATCAAGAACCAAGAAGCCGGCGTCTTCCTCGGTGACACCGATACGCCAGAATGGCGCGCCGCGCACAAGTTCCTCCCCCCGGCGCTGGGGCCCAAGGCTGTCCGTCACTACGCACCGACCATGCAGGAGACTGTTGAGGATGCGTTTGGCGTTTTTGACGAGCTGGATGAGCAGGGTGAGGCTTGGAATGTGTATCAATATATGCTGAAGCTGGGATCGCAGGCTGTGGGAAAACTTGTTTTGGGAATTGATTTCAAACACTTCACCTCTCCTAATGCCCCGCCTCACGAATTGGTCTACCGCATTGCGGAGTCATTAACTTTGAACAAAAAGGTTGCTGCGTGGGGTAATTGGTACGCGAAGATGCCGTTCGGTGACCCGAAGAAGCTGCGGGATGCTAGATGGCGCATTATCGAGATGGTCGACGAGTCGATTCAAAATGCCTCGCGTGGTGGTGTTGAAGATCTGCCCCTTCAAGATGCTGCCTTGAAAGCGACCAACATGGTTGGTAAGTATACCAATTTGACTCTACGCTTTTTTTCATTTAACTCCAACGCTAACTTTTTCTCTCTAGACTACGCCATTCGCGCTACAGACAATAAGGGCGAAAAGCTCCCAAAAGCGAGCCTAATGTCCGCGCTCGTCGTAGCCACAGGCGCCGGCTTCACAACAACCTCCTCTCTCCTCTCCTGGCTCATCTACTCCGTAGTAAACTACGAAGGGATGCAAGAGCGCCTCTTACAAGAACTAATCGACAACGACATCGACGCCAGCACCCAGATAACGGCAGATATCACCGACAAACTCACCTTCATGGACCACTTCATCAAAGAGACCCAACGTCGTCACAACCCCTCCTACCAACCTGGCCGCACCGCAAAGGTCGACATGATCCTCCCAGGTGGCTACAAGCTTCCCGCAGAGTCAATCGTCATTCCGGCCCTACACCACGTCCATAATAACCCAGCTATCTGGGACAATCCCGCCCGCTTTGATCCCGATCGTTGGGATACGGAGGCAGTGAAGAATCGCCATAAGGCGGCGTATATTCCCTTTGCTGCGGGGCCGCGTATGTGCATCGGTTTCAACTTTGCACTGCAGGAGGTTAAGGTGTTTTTGCCAAAGCTGTTGTATAGGTATAAGTTTACTCAGGAGCAGTTTGGAACTGTCGAGTATGATCCTATGTTTCAGTTGATTCGGCCTAATAATTTGTACGTGCGTGCTGAGCGTCGGGTGAAGTGGCCTCCAAAGTCGGAGTAGATGGTCCTTCGTCGAGGTGGTGGTGACGAAAAGAGATATACAATCTTTCAAATAGCCAATGATTCTATTCTATTTTCTTTTCTTCTCCCCAGTTCATACGCTCCCTCCGAAAGATTTGCGATGAGTAGAATGAATCCTCCTTCCGCTCGAGGAGGCGAAAATGATATACCACGCCTACTCTTCACCCTGTGCCCGACGAAATTCCTCCGCCCAAGGAAAATTCTCACATCGTGAGCCATCCTCCCTAAGCCGAACAGTCGATGGCGCATACACACCATTCAACATCCAGGGCGTATCATCATGTTTTAGCGGAAGTTTGCGCATTCGCATAGGACAAAGAGAATAAGTAGCAACCGCAAGCCGACCAGTCGAGCGGTATAGTCTCATAGCATCAGTAATAAAATTTTGATACTGCATATACCAAGGCTCGTTGAATAAGTACTCCTTCCACTGCTCAAGGGGCCATGGGTTCTGCATCGCCACACTGATGATCTCGTGATTCTTCGTTGAGGGTGAAAGTCCGTACTTAGCGCAGAATTCGGATGACACCGTGTCGTTCATGTGTGCCTTCCAGTGCCAGACCATTGTGAATTCTGTTGCGAGGAATGTTTGCTCCGGGCGAATGCGGGCTAGACAATATTCTAGCATGCTTCGGTGGCCGTCAAATGTCATCATGTGTGGGTGTATATCAACGCCGTCGAGTTCTGGAGTGACAGCGATGAAATGCAGGAATCTTTCTATTTCTGATGTGTGTTTGGAGGGGAGGTCGAGTCTGTTCAGAGCTCCCATGTACAACCGTGTCTTCATTGTGTCGTCGTGTTTCTGACGGAATTCAATGACAGCCCGGGCCATCGTTTCGTAAAATACATTCAGGTGCTCATTCTTCTGGTCCAATTTTGCCTCAATGAATGGTTCGTTGCCGATGACTAGGATATCGACTTTGCCTAGGACGAGAGGAAGCAAACGATCCAAGACGTTCAATTCAGCAGCTAATTCCGAGCTGCCTGATGCTGGAAAATCAAGACTCGTGTAATTCCATTTCAGGCTAAGGATGGCATTGAACCCGGCATCTATCGCCCGGAATAGGGCTTTCATGTTAGGGTCTTGGTCTTGGTGGTGGCTGTCGATCTGATGCATGTCGATGAAGCCGCGGATCCACTTGGCGTTGACGCGTCTCAGTTCGTCATGCTTAATCCAGATCAATTTCTCGTTGTAATTGGCCCCGAGAGCCCCGCATGAGCGTGCTGTCGCCATGCTCGCATCGATAACCCGGACAGGTTGATGAAGTGAAGATGAAACAACCCCGCAAAGATCGGCTTTGCTGGTTTCTGGTCTGGGTGGGTTCGTGGAGTTGGTGGTCCAATCATGTAAACTGTGGTACGCGGCGCATGAATGGGGGCAATTGTTAGGATGGAAGAAGGATATGGTGTTTAAAACTATACCATGGTAACTTACATTGGATAGAGTTGATTAGGGTGGCAAATGTGGCTGCTTTTTCTTTAAAAGGTCATTTCAATTCGGGTGTATTAGACACATCTATCATTCAACTTTCCATCACAGTGCAATTCACGGCTTTATTGTATCAAAAAAAAGCATACACACAATACACTAGAACCGCGGCTCTGGAAATTTAAGGTTCGGTTCTACTGGGGGAAAATATTGATCTTGTATAGGAATCTTAAAGATGGTAACGAAGAAAAATTGTCTCACCTGGTATCTATTAGCATTTTCGAGAACGTAAATTCGATATAGGGCCTGTTTGAACTATTTTACGCACAGAGGCGGCAACTGAATTTTGCTCTTTTCTTTTTGTTTTCTTTTTTGTTTTTCTTTTTTTCTTGAATCCTTCTTGCCCCGCTCTTTCTGGGGGCGAGAAACAAATAAGGCGGACTTTGAAGCCCAACGCACCTCGGCGCTCAAAGCTATTTCCTTTGACTGTCCATCTGTTTCTTCTACTCCCTTCTGTACACATCTAAAAAGGGTATTTGTATTTCATAGGCTCACCTAATCTCACTCCTCAAATAAAACTTATGCTTATTCCTAAAGTGGTAAGCCCATCTCACCTTCAGTTTCGCGCTAGTAAGTGGACCCTGTGATAGTTCACCAAAGCCTTGAAGCAGTACAAAATAGGCGACTAGCCCAAAAATGACGCATAAAAGCTCAAATGGCCCCCAAGGAGTAATCTTTCCTCCTCATGGCTTTGAATTGCGTTTCCGAGTTTCTGGTTTTAGTTCCGAGTCCTACTTGGCCCCCTGGCGGATTCCACTAGGCACCCACATTAACAACCAGTCACAATGACTCTACCAACAGCCCCCCTCCAGGCAAAAGAATAACACAAAGGTAACCCTGGATCGGCAAAGGCTATGGCAATCAAGCTTCATTTCCTTTCTTGGCGTGTCACGACCCTCGACCCTGGTCTCTGACAGTGCAACCTTGCGGGGATATTCCTACCGTCATCATATCACCATAAGCAACATCAGCATCACCACCACATTCTTTTTTTTCATAGCATGCACTCACCCCCACCGATGTCGCTACATTCGATTCCGGAAGACGAAGCCCTTCCATTGATGGATCCGATGGATCTGGAGGATCCGATCCGTGCCCGGAATCATCGATCATGCAGGTCTTGGTCTTCTCGGTCCAGGGTCAGATCCAAGATGACCAGCTGTGATATGCGGGCGTGGCTTCAAATGAAAACACTCAGGATATTGAGTCTGAGATTATTCTGGGCCGTTGTGATGGTTCTGTACGTCTTCTCTCGATGAACCGAGCCTCGATAACTATCCACATCCCCATATCTCTATCCTCATCCCCATATCTCTATCCTCATCAGCACTATACGCGATACGCATGCAATGCAAAGAAATAAATACTAATATCTCAACAGCGGTCTGACTACTCTTTTCACCCTAGCATACGACAATATCACCTTCTTCATCTCAACCCACGAAGACACTCCCACCAACCCCAGACACAGACCATCCCTCTTCACGAACTACTTCACCCACGGCGTCAAACCAGTACCCTGCCATTCGCACAACGACTACTGGAGACGAGTACCTCTCTATTCAGCCCTCTCAGCCGGCTGCACAAGCGTGGAAGCCGACATATGGCTAGAAAACGACATACTTCGTGTCGGCCATACGCAACACACAATCCTCCGCGGACAAACACTAAACAGCCTGTATCTGAATCCGCTACTGGAAATGCTAAAACAGCATAATCCCCACCTAAACGGATTAGTCCCGGTCTCCACATCGCCATTGGCAATGGCTCAAGCATCAGAATCGACTCCAGAATCACAATCAGCACCAGCATCAGAATCCGCCCCAGCATCAGATCAACCTTCAGATCTAACCTCATCCTACGCCGACGCCCACACTCACATCCCCGCTCACCCTCCAAAAGAAATAATCGGCATATTTTCGACAAACCCAACCCAGACCCTCGTCCTCCTTATCGACTTCAAAAGCGGCGAACACCAGTGGGAACACCTCATGGATGCCCTCCGCCCACTCCGAGAAAGCGGTTATCTCAGCCACACCACCACCAATTCCAGCTCCGAAACCGAGATAATTACCCGCCCCATCACGATCGTAGCAACAGGCTCAGCCCCCTACCATCGCATCCTCTCGAATCCACACAAAGACATATTCTACGACGCCCCGCTGGACAGCCTCTCCACAACACCCACATCTTCAATCCGAACCCCCTACTCCTGGCAAAATAGTTACTACGCCTCCGTCAATTTCCACCGCTCAATCGGGTCATTGCCACTAGCTCGACTTTCGCAGGCCCAGTTGGCGAAACTGAGGGATCAGATCCGGGGTGCGCATGAGCGGGGCTTGAAAGTTAGATACTGGGGGACGCCTGGGTGGCCGGTGGGGTTGAGGAATTATGTTTGGCGGGTTCTTGTTCGTGAGGGGGGTTGATATGCTCAATGTTGATGATCTTCGTGCGGCGACTAGGGTTGATTGGGCGAGGGATAGTTGGTGGTGACCAGGGGAAGGGGGAGTTTATTGTTAGCGAGTTAGCGAGATGCTGATAAAATGAAATGAATATGACATATCGTTTTGAAGTTTAATTTGTTCTCTCTCTATATGATGGATAGACCTGTGCATCTGGGACCCATGGGAGTAAAATATATATAGAAGTAGTGGTGTAGGAACCTTATAGGTACGCAGATATATATTTTTACAAGAGTTGTACAAAATATAAAAAATACTTATTTAGGTTAGATAAAAATTATACGCTAGCTGTATATGGTTAGCGTACTCCCATGGGAATGGGAATCCCATGCACACTGTGGGTCTGTCTTCGACCACTCCAAGCTACGTAAAAACAACTGAGCACTGACAACTGAGCAGCATGTCTAAAATAATCTCAGATATTCGCTGGCTTTTAAAACCTGGTCGAAATTTCATGGGTATGCATCTTCGGGGGGAGAAGGCACTTCGAGTCTATTAGTAAACAGACCTGAGCAGATACTATATACCCCACCGGCAAAAAGTAGTGAGCTAAATATAAGCACTAGGAGCTGACGTGATCGTAGCAGATATTAGGATTACTGTGGCATGAATTATGATTGTAGTTATCGAGATAATGATTAAAAGTATGCTCTGACGCTTTGTTCAAACAGTGGTGTTATAATACATACTGGTGTTTCAAGCACCTCGGAAGGGAATATTCTTCACCAAGAATGGCGGTGATCTCTTTGGGTAGACTAAAATATTGATTACATTATAGCAAATTTACCAGGGCCTTAAAAACACCATAGGTAGAAAAAGATTCAAGATAGAATATTATTATTAAATTCGACTAAAATAAAACTTCAAGGTCCTTCGCTATTCTCTCATTATCGCCATATTTGTGCGCTTTTCGTTTATCATCGCTAAGGCCTCCAAGGTTTCCTGGATTAAACCCGGCTCAAGAGTTCGGTCCAGGCGTATAATTATCCGCAAAGTCCGAACTATCATCATACTCCGATCTGGGAAGCTCTTTAATGAACTCCTTCTCTATGAGCTTTGTCACATTCAACTCGGTTGCGAACTGCGTTCCCATTCCCGGCTGCTCGAACCACGGAGCGATAGGACCCAGTTCGACATCCAGCTCTTTAATGATCTGATAAACATGATAACTGTATGGGAAGTTGCCATCACTGTTATTCAGGTTGCGAGGTGGAAGAGCTCTCTCGATATACGGGGCACCCAACGGACTGAAGAAAGTGCCACTTGCGCCTCCAAATCGGTCAATCTTTCGGCCAACAGGCAAAGTCACATTTGCCTTGATAGGATTGCCATTGGCATTGAGGACGAACCCATCGCCTGGCGGGTAGTGGTAGGATCCATTGGGCCAGGTCCATTTTGCGAGGAACTCGTATGGGCACAGATCGCCAAATCGATAGTAGGTGGCCAGTTCGGTTGACAGTGGGAATTGTCGCGGAAGCTGGACCGGGCCTAGCATTTCGTCTCCACATACATACGAGGCGTTGGAGAAAGTGATGTTCAGGCACGGGTCTGGGTAGCACCGAGCGGGATAAGATGGTTCCTGTCGGGAAAGAAAAGTGGAATTACTTGTTAGACGTATATTCAGGCTGAGATTTGGATGAATGTCTTTGCGTGAAATACCTTGACATTGCCCGGGGATCCAGCTTGCCACGCGTGGGCAGGAGCCACGGTTGCAATGAGCAGTAGAGAACTAACGACACTCTCGAAGTGCATCTTGACAGAGGGGGTTTCTCAACGCTGAGAAACTAATATTCTATACCTAGCAGGCACATCGTCCTTGATGGGCGTCTAGTTCTAGCATTTATACGCGCTGAACATGCAGTCTATAGCAGACGGAACTTTTGAATAGGCATGTTCTTTATCGAGGGTTAGAATTCTCGACATGCTATATTAATATCCCTACGGCGAATTTCAAGTAGTTTGATTTGCTGAGAGTGCCTTCCTTTTAGTATGAAATGCAAGCCAGATGAATGTTGTAGCGCCACAAGTTCAGAGCTAAGATGTAAGGAGAATTTTAGTATTGGCGGAAAGCTTCAAATTTTGAGAGAGAAACTAACCCGCATCCCTTGATACCATAATGTGCCATATAACCTTCAGGGCAGCAATATGATTGTTTGGGTTTGCACCGGCCTCAGAAATGTTTGAGCTAAAGCAAGGGGTCATTGGGTAACATTTCCGAATAGTTTTGCTGCCACTGATTCGTGGGATCCCGAAAATATTTCAAGAATGTAAGCTCAATACACTTTGAGGCCAAAGGTATGCCCTACTCCTCTATGTCAAGTCAATAATAGTGAAAACTGTTGTAAATTAATAAGGTAATGGATTTTGAGTAGAGTCAAAAACGCTCAGTGAGGAATGGACGTCTGTTCCAGAAATTAGTCAAACGTTTCTTCAAGCGCCTCAGTCGTCACACGAACCATTCTCTTCCGAGCCTCCAAATAACAAGTCGCCATTGGGAAAGATTGAGTCAAATGACTTTGTTTGGTTTGGCACCAGCCTAGATTAGCCGTTCAACCATGGGCTCTGGAGTTCTAGAGGCTCTCGGAGGCTGCGGGTACCCCACGGGACCCTGGAAAATGTGAGCACTAATAGTCAATGATCGTTCCAGCCCAGCACAATTTCAATATGGTCCTTGCAAGCGAGGATGACGGACTTTGACTGGATAATAGAGGGTTGTAGTATGAAGGGAGAAAATATTTATCTATCCCCAGAACACGGGCGAGCACTGTCAAAATCACACTTATTCCTCAGGACGTCCCAAAACCAAGGCGATTCTAATAGTGAATTTCAACATGACATTCTACATAAAACTATACTTTGCCATTGCTTTATTGCTCAGTATTTCCTCTGCACAGGGTCCTCCCCCGGCCAATATCCGCTGCCACTCAGACTGGATTCAAGACGACAACGTCGGCGGCACATGTAAATGCGAGTTAGGAGATCTCACAGGATGTTCCAAAAGTGATCTGGGAACATGCAACGGCAGGGATCTTTCATCCTCCAGCGAGCTCATGCCTGGTCACGAAACCGAAGGCTGCACCGAAGCCAATGCCGGCTGCGACTCCTGTTTTCTCTGGTTTGACAAAGTGTGCAATTGCCTGAAAGATGGCTGTCCCGATAGTCCCAGCACCCATTCATGGATCCGGTTACCCGATGGGAAAATTACTAGCAAGAAACGAATGGCAGGGATCTTGGAACTTTCGTCGGAAGAGCCTTGGGAATGGGGTCAGAGCATTGCGACCTCAGAGGAGGCTCTGGTGATCAACTCTGTTAAAGCGCGGAAGCAGGAGCAGATCCACATGCATGTTTGTGAGGCGAGGAAAGGAAAGCCCGGTGGCGTTAGAGAGCTTCTGGGGGGCTTGCAGAAATCGGACTATGCCACGCTGAAGCAGGTGAAGAATCAAGATGATTGGTGGTGTCGGGTTCAGAGCTCCCCGAACACCCATATCACTAATGTGATTAGTGATATCAAATCGAAAGTTACGAAGAATCCCGGCTGTAGTAATTTGATAGGTGCTGCAGTGTTGACGGATACTAATGGTTTCAAATGGGTGTGTCTTACTACAGGACTTGGCTCTACCCAGGGACAGTTCTGTGCGGCTAATGAAGGTTGAGATGGTGCGGAATTGGGCTGTGCTCATTGGGTTCAATGCATTTGATTTTATCTTATTATTTTCAACGTTGCGGGTCACCATTGCTTTTGTAACGAGAAAATCAAGCTTACGAGGTGGGCAAGAGTAAGGCAGGATTTTGTTTGAAACAGTCACTCAGCTTAAAAGCATTAATAGCTAGTTGAAGTAGCTAGTTGTTACAGAATGAACGGCCTTAGGGGCCATACAAAATTGGTAATAGCTACTACCAATAGCCAGATACGATAGGAGTCAGCCCCTCCCAGGGCGAGTCCGACCCCCCCCCCCTCAAGTTGAGTTACACACCATAAATTCGCCGGGTCGTTATAATATTTGATGGATTATTATATAACATATTTCCCATTCAAATTTCCTCCATGTAAAACCAATCGCAGGTCGTTAACCTCGTGCATGTAGTTACTGATGTACTTATTTATAGAACAAGCTTGAACTCCGGGTTCCGATCATCAGCATATCCAGCATACTGATCATACTTGCCATTCCGCTTATCGCGATTCACCTTGGCGCAATAGAGCACATTGAAAAGAATCCTAAAAAGAAAGAAGATCAGTCAGTATTTAATATATTCATACAAATCATCGACCGTTTCTTTTCAACTGGGTATCGGGAGCAAAGCAACTTACATAAACCATGCAAAAACCAACAAGCCAAGAATAATAGTATGACCGCGGTGATACAGCGGCTTGTCTTTAGCGGGATAATTGAACGCTAAATTGAACTTGTTAGAAAATGAAATTTCCGCAGCAAACCCTGAAAGTTGACTAGCCCCTTGTAGGTAAACTTACTAGCAACAAATCCGCCGCAATTAGCAATAGCCAACTGCATCGCTGACGTCGTAGCCCGCTTATAGTGACCGGCTGAATTGTTCGACATCCAGACCAAAATGCACGGCACGCTTGCGTACATGCCTGTCGCCATCATAAAAGTCATGCCATACTGGACCTTCGGGTTGCTGGTATTGGCGATAACGGCGTATCCAATTATAGCGATGGGGAGGGAGAAAAGCATGATTACGCCACGCAGTTTGAGACGGTCGGAGAGGAATGCGACAAAGACTGAAAAGTGAGTATATGCAGATAACCGATGATTAGAAAGGGGGATATGGATGGGCTTACCTGTCAAAACGGCGGCCACCGCGTAGGGAATCACAGACCACAACTGCACTTCGTTGGCGTTTTTGGCAAAGTTCATACCTTCAATGATGGTGGGTAACTAAGGAAGTTGGAAGTTAGCATTCTTATATTCTTGACTACCTTTAGTCCAGGGGGAAGGTAAATAGTGAATGGGTGTCATACAAACAGGCCAAAGGAGTACAGCCCAGACAAAATCGCGAAATATGCCGATGCCGAGAGCCACAGCTGCGGCTCCAGGATACCGCGGCGCACTTCTGACCATCTAAACTTATCGTTCTCGCCGGAAAGTGTTCTGCGGGTGTTGTGTTAGCAGTAGCCCAGTCTAGCTTCGTCTTGCAAGGGGACTGGGGACTGGGGACTGGATAAACCCGAGTCAATTAACTCAACTTACCCATCTGCCGTCGGGGGGCTATCCAAGAGCAAGCGGTCTCGTCCGAAATCCTTCTCCTCTTCGGTCAAGAAGGAGGCTGTCTCGATGCTATTGGGGAGAACCAAGGAGCTCAGTACACCACAGGCGAAAGTCTTGTAGAATTGTTAGCCGGACATTTTTATCGGAGAATTTGACGCTGTCGGGCACTTACCAGAAGCCCCTCAATAATCATAATCCATCGCCAACCCTCCAGTCCTCCTCGAGGACCGATTTCGGATAACCCACGAGCAAGAAGACCTAACAGTAGTTAAAAATTAGTATAATAGTCCCATCAGGTCAATGTACAGTGGACGAAGCATACCTCCAAAGGCCCCCGACAATGAAGCCGCCGTATAGAAAAGACCAATGCGCAAAGCCAAATCCCCGCGCCTGTAAAAACTTGACAGATAAAGGACCTGTACACGACGATGTCAGACTCGATCCCGAACGGTGTAACCTTTCAAGGTAAAAGTAGTTAAAGAAGTTAAAGCAAGGCATACCATTCCTGGAAGCAAACCACCCTCCGCAATGCCAAGCAAGGCCCGAACCGCGGTGAATTGAGCGAAATTCTGTACAAAGCCGAGACACATGGTGATGATGCCCCATAGCGCAGTCAAAAATGGTAGCCAGATTTTCGGCGACGCTTTCTTCAGTACGAGATTACTCGGCAGTTCACTAGAGTCCCCCAGGGAGTCCAAGTCAGTAATGCGCTCAACGATGACCAGCTAGGGGGGAGGCGGGCGACAAAGACACGCGGGAGGATAACCTACCTGCACACATAAGTGAGATAAAACACGGTCAAGCCAATATCGTACTGGTGATCGGTAATATTGATATCATCCTCCAGACCATAGATCTTCGAATTTCCGACATTGGTTCGATCTAGAAATGAACATAGAAAGAGCAAGGCCAACATTGGGAGAATCCTAATTGATGCGTAGCTCCTGTTAGCACGGTCGCTGTCGCAAAGAATAGGGGGCTGGGATTAGAACTGGGACTAAGCTGACATACCGCGTATCCAGTTTCACCAGAATCGACCGGCTTAATTTGGACTGGTGGGCATCGTCTCCAAAACGATTCAACGGGGTTTCCTTAGCCTCTTCCAGCATTAAGCTCACTGGTTTTGGCTCCATCGTGTTGTGTGGTGTGGTTCAATCTGGTCTGATCTCGTCTGTGCTGGGGGAGATGCAGAATGCAGAATGCAGGTGTACAGGGGGGGGGAAAGGAAAGCAGGAGGGAAGAAGCGCGACGTGAGACGGAGGCAAGATAAAGGCCCTGGAGATTAATACCACTCGGGATTCAATTCTAGGGGCCGAATTTAGCGAATAGACAGACAAAGTTCAGCCCCAACTTCTTTAATTTGTTGAGCCAAGCCTAATTCCCCGCACTTTTTCCCCAGATCTTTTTTCTTGGTTTAAGCTTGACTCGGGTGAACTGCATTACGAATATTACCAGCGGGGGTGACGTGTATCCTTGGTATTTTTTGGGTATTTTTGGTCACACTCTTACCCGCGGTCGGAGTTCACTTCTACAGCCGAGGCTCCTTCTCTTTCCGCTTCTTCCCTCTTCAACCTCTTTCCACCTCATCTCCCAAGACTCTTCCCCCAAGACATTCCCCTCCTCCTCCACCACCATCATGTCGAAGCTATCTGCCGGCCTCAAGGCCCTCATCAATAGCCCAGCTGCCCGCCCTCATACTGTCCCCGCCCCCCAAGAATATCACCGCCATCTACCAGGACATCCAGCAATCCGCCAAGGCCAATAATGTGTCGCAACCCTCATGGCTAGCCCTGTCAGTAAGTACACCCTTGCCTTAGCCAATTGCATTGCAATGCCAAGTCCAATACTAACAATACCTCAGACAGCAGCAACAATGACCATGAACTCCCCCCGAATCCCTTGCCGCCCTCTTCACTCTCGCATCCACCTCCACCACCACGCCCACAGACCTCGAAATCGCCGAACTAATGCGCGAAGTCGGTCTCAAATGCATAAGTTTCAACGGCATCCCCCGAACAATAAACAGTTTAAACGCCTTTAAAACAAGCCTCCCCGAGACAATCGCCGATAACCTCTCTAAAACCCCCACCCGCACACCCACACCAGAAAACATAACGTCCATCAAAGACCGCGGCCACACCCTGTGGGACTCAATCTATCGCCCCTTCGAGAAAAAGCTCTACAATCGCCTCGCAGATTCACACCCCGATTTGCCTGTCATTATTCTGAATAGTCACTACGGCGCTTTACTCTCGGACCCCGCGGAGCGTGCCGCTAGCACCAGCGCCAGCAGCAGTGCGGGCCGTGTGCTCACTTCTATCGTTGCCATTGCATGTTTGCGCGCGCAGTCGGGTGTGGCGCCGCAGGTTCTTTCGCATGTTTTTGGACTGCGGAAGGCGCTGGAGGATGGTTCTTGGACGAGTGATGTTGAGAGTGAGCAGGGGGCGCGGTGGTTGGCGAGTGATGAGGGGAATGAGTGGATTCTGAATAGTGTTGATAAGATTGTTAAGGCTATTGGGCAGGGGCAGGGGTCGAACTTTGCTCCTATGGCGAAGTTGTAGTCTGCTGTGCTGTGCTATGCTGTGCTGGGCTGTGCTGTGTATATACTGTAGATATTTAGATATGCCCTGCTGTACATAGTGGGTTTTGGATATAACTACTTCCGTCTACCTATTAACTACACTACGTTGGTTATTTTATAAGGTTTCTTGTGTAGTACTAGCAGTGCTACCGTAGCCAATGAAAGAGCTGACAATAAATCCCACTGGTGTAGGTACAACTTCGAGTAACTTCAAGTTCTCCACTTCACAATGGCCTAATTAGAACCAGTGTAACTAATGAAGTTGCTATATTTCACAAGTAGTATAAGAAGAAGACAATCTCGCGGCTATCCCTCTGTCGAGACCCTTTGCATAGTACGGTTTGAGAACTTGAAAGACCAGTCCTCCATCCAATACTAAAAACCTCCCCATCATTCAATTCAATTCAAACTCCACCCGAAAATGTCCATGAAAGAATACGCCTACCCAGGCTTCGGCAAAGCCCACCAAAAAAGCTACCGCTTTTCCTCCGCCGTCCGAACTGGAGATTTTATCCACTGCACAGGTCAGGGTGAGTCGATGCTGCGCTGCGTTCAGTTAGCGCAGACTATTTTATCTCTATCATACCATACCTCATCAAAGTCAAGGTAATGGTAATTACTCACTTAAATTCCAAACCATAGGTGGCTTCCACGACTCAACAGGCAACGAATCGCCCGACCTCACCGACGCAGCCCAAATAGACCAAGCCTTTAAAAATATCGATACGACCTTAAGACATGCCGGCGGCGCAAGATGGTCACAGGTCTATAGGGTGAATTCGTTCCATATATCGCTCGACGACGAAGCGATCCAGGCCATGGTTCGTAATTTCAAAGAGTGGATGCCGGATAATTATCCCACTTGGATTGTTTTGCAGGTTTGTCGGCTGGGGGATCCGAGGATGAGGGCTGAGATTGAGGTTTCGGCTTTTGATCCTGTTGGGAGGAGGGGGGAGGGAACTAATAGCAGGTAGCAGTTGGTAGCTATGTGCTAATTACAAGTAGATGCAAGAGCTATGTCTCTGATAAATTGGGTATTGATTTTGTATTCAAGTGCTACCAGTAGTATCATATAACTAGATAAGAGGATACTAGTACGGGCTCGCAGCACCTCACTACGGACCATATAAATCAGCAAGAACATTAACATGAGCTATAGGTACTGTTATAGTTATATTGATAATGGCTACAGCTTTCTTGGGTTATGCTTTACCATATAGATAAATATGTTTATAAGTTGCTACAGTTAGTACTAACTTAACAAGTGCTATACCTTGAATAGGTCAAGATGTAGTTGAATTTATTTAAGGATTTTTTTTCTGTTAATAATGCAACATTAGTTAGATTATTTGCATTGCACTTTTTATTACCATTTGAGTTAGCTACGTTAGTAGTAACGTACTTAATAGCATACAACAAAAATCTATGGAGATGATCGAGAAGGAGAGCGGGAACAAAGTTAGCGTATATAGGATCCAGGCTGGGTATTTCCCGAATGCCAGTATTCCAGCGGAAACAGCGAATGCTATATCTGCGGTAGTAAAGGGAAACTGAAACGACGTGAGGGCCCTAGTTTGATGAATTTCTATTTTTTGGATAAAAAGAAACGCCGTTAAGGAAATCCTATCCAAAGTTCCAGTGCTTGTTAATATATCAAGATGTACCAGTCAAAGATGACATCTAATATGATTATGATCATTGGAGTTGTCCAACTCGCTTGCATTGCCTGTAACCGACGTTAGCGTAGTTAACTCAAAGAAATCTAACCCCTGCATCCTTGGCGCGTTACTTGGAAAATTTCGCTTCCCTATTTTCTCCGATCCGAGAATGTTTGAATAAGAACGACGAACAGCCAAGGCATAATCACTCCAGCACCTCGAATTTCTTCGTATTTGGAAAGATGGCAGCCCCGTCTGACGATAGTGGCCTTCTCTGCCTTCCCGTGGAACTCATTTCAATTATATGCTCTTATTTTCCCAACTCTGGCATTAAATCTCTTCGCCTTGCTTGCACTAAGATCAAAGAAATTGCTCAGTTACGGTTGACTCGTGTGTTTCTATCTGCCAACCCGATAAATATCAGAGTCTTCCGCGCGGTCGCAGATCACGACCAATTTCGCAGCCAAATAACCGAGATTATATACGATGATGCACACTTTCCACCCTTTCCGGAACCAGATATCTACGAGATGGAGGAAATCATGCAGATGGATGACCCTGAAGCCGGATTGATTGATGACGAAGAGGGTTGTCCTCATTGGTTTGTCAAAGTTTGCCTGGAGAATCTCACAAATATGAAATACCGAAAGAATTTTGATTTAGACCGTCCAGGTCATATTCTGCGCGCACGTCAAGCCAATGCGCAACCGCCTCTTCGCATATGCTGGCAATATTATCAGAATATACACATGCAACAGTCTGATACGATGAAATTGAAAAGGGACGAGGAAGCTTTCATCTACGGTTTGAAGCAGTTCCCTTCTCTTAAGCGGGTGACTATCACAACAGCCACACATGGCCATCTTTACGAGCCGCTATATGAAACGCCCATGATCCGGGCATTTCCTTACGGTTTAAACTATCCCATTCCACGAGGGTGGCCAGGAGGGAGAGGGGAGATTTCCTACACACCTGCAGAATCATGGGAGGAAATGAACGAAGCTGAAAAGGAGCAATGGCACGGATTCCGCATGATCACGAGGGTATTAGCTCAAGAGAAGTCGCCTAGTCTTCTTGAACTAGTGATCGATACCAATCGACTTTCTGGCATGGGGCTGAACTGCACAATGTTCAACTCACCCAGTGATAATTTAGGATCTCCTTGCGATGAGTACGTCAATTTGGCGACGGTTCTTACCAATCCTGGAATCCGGCGCCTTGAACTCCCTTTGGTCATAGGAGGGCAAGAATACCGAGGATGGGCGGCTTTTCGGAGCGGTTACCTCTATCGGATGCTAAGTAGTGCCACTGAACTGGAATATTTCAGTTTTTCTACAACAGTAGACAATAACGCTGGGGGAGAGTACACCATGGAACATTTTATTCCACTGCAAAGCATTTTACCCATCACTAGCTGGCACAAGCTGAGACATTTCCATTTATCGACATTGATTGTGGCTCAATACGACATCATGGAAGCACTTACCATTTTATCTGCGAATCTTCAAACCATTTCGTTGAATTTCTTGCAATTCTTGAAAGATCAAGGAAATTATCGCTCACTGCTCAGTGAGATACGTGACAAAATGAAATGGCACGAGCGAGATTTCGCTTCCAGGCCAAGACTTTCTATTGGTATCTCTCCATACGGCATCGTGGCACCGGGTAGAGCAATTTGGGTTGATCAAGATATAAAAGAATTCCTGTACAATGGTGGAGAGAACCCTTTCAAGTGGGACAACCTTCCTAATCAGGTGGACTATGGTACAGGCATATACAAAGACGATTTTGATGAGGACTATGAGCGACCGAACGTTAGCTACACAATTTGATACGATTGGGATTAACAAGCTTAAAGTGCCCACCTGGAACAATAATATCTCTCCCAGAATAGCAATGCCCATTAAAATAACAACCAAATGTAACGTCCCACTTGTAGCACAGATATAATGTGAAAGCACAAATCAATCCCTCTTCAACTTCCCCGCAATCCTAGACCTAGGACACACTAAACCATATAGATCAACTCTTGCAGTATACTCAGGGCCCTACTTTTGGCAAAGACAGATGCTTACAAGATTATGTTATAGACCGTGTGCTTCCGAGGGTTTGGGTGCTGCGCGCTCGCTGTAGCATTGTTGGAATCTTCTATGGAAATGCAAAGAACTCATTGAGTATATTATTGACAAATATTCTCTTGTTCAAGTCGCATGGCTTCGTTTTCAAGTTAATAGAATGTGCAAAGCAACCACGGAATGAGGACATCTCAAGCAATCGACCTATAACCAGATGCGGAAAAATTAAAGTTTGTCCACCATGAACCTTGGACGCATCGCGCTGGGAAAAGGTTTATCTCAAAATATAATCCAATCATTGATATTAGCCAATACTTGTTGTCGACGGATCTGCCTTCCGACAATTTATTTTAGTAACAATAAACAATGAACCCTGGGCCCTAGCGTCGCCCAAATACAGGGTGGCAAGTTCCGCCAGCCTGTCGCCAAGCCTAGTTATGAGCCAAGAGATAAACTACCAGAGCCCCAAATAACATCCTTATTATGAGAATTGTCAGATAAGATCAAGAACGTCAATTGAATTTCAGTACCAGCGGAAACCGTGTTATTCGCCGCTGCATTATTTTAATTTTAGCAATACAAAGTTCCAGCTCGCGTATCGACAAACTACCCTCCACAAAATTAATAATTAAAGTCGAAAAGAAATCAGAAAAAAGTCAGGAAGTTCCCCAGGGCAGGCAAGCCCTATTCTGCGATGTTGTCGAGGCTACTCAATGGCAATCTCTCACATGGACATCTGTAAGAGAAAATGTTAGAACTCATACAAGAACTTCAAATGATCCGAACAGGATTAGAAAAGAGGATTTCCTACCGCAGCGTGGGGGCTTGTTATCGTCCCTAGCCCACCATCCTTGCGAATTCTGGTACCAATTCCTAGAAAAATAGATTTAGTAAAACACAGTGCAGCAAGTCAAGAAGATAAGAAGCACATACTGGTATTTGCAGACGGGTGCAAAGGTGTCGCCGACCTTGGCCTGACCAACTGTGTTACTGGAATCACAAGGATACTTATGCCACCAGAAGGGCTTCTTTATCTTGCACCAATCCTGAGGACCTTGATGGTTACCTCCCCAGTTCTTGCCTCCGTTATTCCAGTTGCCTCCTCGTTCTTCCAGGGAAGAGTCAGGGTCGGCGACTGGGCTGGCCAAGGCCACTTGGGCAGCCAGGGGAAGAAGGGCAGTGAGGATGAAGACGGGGGACTTCATGATGAATCAATGGAAGGTATTGTTTGAAATAGTGAGTATTTGATGTTTGGATTGATCTGGTCACTGAAGGATGATGAAAAAAAGCTGTAGATGTTGGATTCGAGAGGCTTTAAGTATTAGTGTGTGGATACTTTCTCTTTCTATTTTCTGATCTAAAAAAACATGCTTCGATGGATGTAAGTGTCATCAAGTGAGCTATAGTATGCCCGTATTCTCGACAAAAAGACATGAAGCTCTTCCTTGATTCAATTATTCCATGGTCGTGAATGGCAACATGATAAAATTATCGCAGTTTAGGTGATCTAGCCGCTTGAAGACTCATTCCCGATCAGGAAAGCTCAATAGCTACCATAGCATAAGGTTTGATCCGACGGCATAGATGTGGCTCTAGACCAAGGGAATTATACACTGCGAGCTCTTTGTGGCGGAGAGCCCCCGGTTCGAGATCTCCGACTAAGTGGTTCTCAATTTGGATTCGTCGGGTTCTAGGGGAAACAGGAGAGAAAAGAAGCGAGAGCGAGAGCGAGGATGAGGGCGAGGGCGAGGTATCACAAGATTGGATACTGGAGGAAGAACTGCTTGGTAGACAGAAAATGGATGCTATTTTTGTTCATAGCTGAACGAGTCAGAACTGTTTTCCGCTGGCGATGGCGGGCTTGGCATACATCCGGGCTTGGCAGACGTAACGACCACAGAGTCAACTGATCAGCTCGCCATACGGGCTTGTCAACCTAAGATTGATTTCTTGTTCCACTGGTGCTATTTATTCATCCATGGTATTGCTGTGGGTGAAATCCTGTAGGCTTGTTTGAGTTTGAGACATGGTCAACTCCTATCCCTGTTTACAAAAACGCCGACTCGGGAATATTCACTCAGCCTCCTCATGAGAGGAAAAGGTTAAGAAACAATGAAAGAGTGTAGGTGGTGACGCCAAGTACCAGGAATATTACTGCTACGTGGAGGCAGGACGAGCAGAATATGAAGAAAATCAATGACACAAGGACTGTAGGAACCGAAAAAAGACCGTGAGAAGTGTGTATTCGCATTGGCAACTGTTGCTGCGGGAGGCGTTTTATGTCTCGTCACGATAGTAATCTCTGAGTTCATGGATCCCCGGGGCCCAGTATCGCCATTTACTACTTTGGTACTATGTACTATCTACTAGTAACTACTAAATATACCTTAAAATGCAGGGAATCCTGAGTCTTATTCCCACTTCCTACTATCCACCATATATCATTGCAAATACATAACAACCATTCATTGCAAGAGAACCTTAGAATCAAAAAATAATATAGCACAAAACCAAGGCCTAAACCAGAACAAAAAGACATTCTCCCAGAAACACACATCAAAACCACAACCCAAACTTCAACCTTAAACCCCAAATCAAACCCCCGTCAACTTCCTCGCAATCCTCCCCCCAAATCCCCCTCTTCTTACCACCATCCCCATCTCTCTCCAACCGCGAATGAATCGGCCCATCACTATAATCACTCTTCGCACTCTCATTCTGAAACTGTAGCTGTAGACCCTGCGCTTCTCCCCGCTCCCCCGAGTCCTTGTACCGCATTTTTTGTGCTTGCTTTTGTGCTCGTGGTAAACCATCCCCACCCCCATCCTCATTCAAACTTTCAACCCCGATTCCATTTTCATTTCCAAAAGCGTCTTCTTCGCGACTTTCATGCTCACGCGCTTGTCGCTCTAGACCCCTCCGCTCGCCTAGCATACTCGTGCCCGCGGGTCCTGGGGCTAGCATTGTTTGATCGAACATGGCTGCCCACTGCAGAGCAACGGAACGAAAGTGTGGGGAATGCGAGTGGGGGGCGGGGTGATTTGAAAAGGTTCAAGTTCAAGCTTAATATAGCCCGGGGATAGATGGATGTTTGGTACTCTCACTCGTAATCATAGGCCTCAAGAGGAGTGGTTCGGGTTTCCTTTCTCTTGGAATAGTTGTTGTTGGATACTAGTATGTTTGCAGATAGTTCATTCGGGATATATACATTTCGAGATAAGTCCAAGTCCAAGTCCAACAAGATGAAGTTCGATTCAATGGGACACCCAGAGCATCCAAGTCCGGGATTGTCGGGATTGGTGTATTGGGAGCGATGACGTCGAACGACAAGGCTGGGTGAGTCTTGTGGACATCTAAAAGAGCGGTTCATCTCCACCGCCGCTGTAACAGCCACCAATCATGCATCGCATCCGCATAGGGTATACATACATACAGTACCCTCGTATGTATTAACTACAGCAGGGTTGTCAATGCAATGCAATGCCTACCTAAAACGTAAATTCCGCATTCGCGAAATCTGGCCAATCCCAACTAAGCATATCATCAAAGGGGACATCAGGAATCGAGGCTCCAAACGCACTCCCGCCCGCACGATTCACCGCGTCGATGATTTGGTCATCTGACATTGCGGAGAACTGAAGTGGTTCGGTCCAGAGATCGGTTGGTGGTAGTGATTGTGATTGTGCTGGGTGTGATGGGATAGTGGGTAGGGATGATGGTGGGCCTTGGTTTTGACCCTGGCCCTGGGCATTGACATTGGCATTAGCATTATCATTACCATCAAGGCCTCTGTTTGACGGCGATAGAATCGATTCATTTAAATCCATCCGGTGATGCTCTGCACCGTGACGATTCTGCGAAAGCGGAAGCGTAGGACCCCTCCTTATAAGTTCTCTCAAAAAACGACCATATAAAACCGAAGCACCATTTCGATGATTCGGCGTCGCACCAATACGTTCAAGTACACCGGCCGTTTCTTCAATGAGTGTTCTCACGCTGGGGGCGAGACTGGACTGACTATCACCGGGCGTGACGCTGAGACTGAGCGCCGAACAAGCCGCGAAGGAAATCATGATGACGGTATTATTTGGCATTGATTTTAGTCGGGATTCGCCTTGGATTGCGGCTCGGAGGACATTTAATGCGGAAGATAGACCTGCTGCGCGGAAAAACCGCTTTACTGCTGTTGGGGCTGTTGGGTGGTTGATTACGCCGCCGTAGGTTGAGAGTTGGGTGTGTGTTACTAGGATTTCGACGTAGGGGGGGGAGAGAGCGGGCTGTAGATGATGTCAGTTGTGATAGGTATGTTGGGAGGAAAGATTTCCTACCGCCGTCTTCACTGATCGCTATGGCCCAAGTCGTGAACCATTGTTCGTAGAAATTTTCAATAGTGGTTTTTATTCTGTGGTGGGTTAGCAAGGTCAAATCAGAAGATTGTCAGGCCAGATGGTATGGCACATACGCGTGGGCAGCCTCGGAGCCGGTATCACCAGTTCTATAGCTATCGCAACTTGATTTGACTTTTCGAAATAGTTCATCCTATATGAATTAGCCAGCTGCATTTCATTGCATTGCATTGCATTGTAAAACAGGAAACCTACCAAATCCCGCCGTAATATAGCCATAGAATTCATCGGGCCATCCCGTCGATCCGCAATATCAGACCGATACCACATATCGCAATTCTCAATCAGCGCCGTCGGCGGAACCGTATAGCTTCTCCCTCTAGCAAGACAGACACTGCACGCATTATTAGCATCCATCAGCCAGCCAAATCAGAACTCCACTCCACTCCACTCGAATTCAATGCAGTCCATTCAGAATACATACCCCCTCTCAACAACAAAAAGCGCAATCCAAGCCCTCTCTCTCCTCCTCAACAACCTTCTCCCCCACTCCGACCCAGGCTCAACATCATCAAACCCATCCATAAGCAACGCACGCTTAGCATCAATACAATCCGCCCTCGCGAGCTGGAAAATAAGATCACTTCCAAAACTCGACGAAGGCGTAACGATCTTATTAAGCGACAGGTCGAGGGCAACAGTCAATGCCATTGCAATATACGCGCACGTGTCGTCGTCACCGAGGCGGTCCCCGGGTGCCATCCAGGGTACGTTTACCATGAAAGCTAGAACGATCTCGACGGAACGGTGTCGGTGGGTCATTACGCGGTTCGCAAGCCATTTTACGTGGCGGGAGAGTCGTTTTGATAGGGCGCTTGCGGATGGGAGGAATAGAGCTGCGCCGGCCATTATCGATGTGAATAGGAAGGATGATTGGGTGCGGACGAAGTGGGCTGTGTGGACGAGGGGATCTAGGCCCCATCTTGTGTGTGCGAGATGTTGGTAGAAGCTGTGGAGGGAGGAGAAGGTTAATTGGGGTGGGACTGGAGGTGGGTTGACCCTAGGGGCAAGCATCGGCAAGCATCCTCACGGGGAAAACAACGCAAAGTAAGAAGCCAGCGATAAAACTTACAAAGAGAATAAAGACTCCGACTCATCAAATGTAACAAGACCCAACTCCACCGGATCCAAATCATCCCCTACATCCAGATTTGCTCGGGCAGGTACGAAGAAGGATTTAGCACTCTGTTCGCGCCGATCAAGCTCCGCATCAAAATCCCGGCTCTGGTCCCGACCCCGACCTCTGTCCCTGTCCCTGACCCCCGGGTCCACGGCAAGACCAATACCCTCTTGTGGTAAAGATAAAGACAAGGGAGCTGATATCAAGGGTAAGGGTGGCGACTTGGGCATATGCCGTACCCCAACAGGCGAGAGCTGCAAATCCGATGCCCGCGCTAAAAGCTGTAGCGGATTCTCCGCATCATCTAGCGCAAGATTCTCCTCTGGGGCTTCGCGTGGTGACGGAGAGGAGATGTGCGGGTGAAGGTCTCGATCTCGTTCCAGATCTGATGAGAATGCTTCAGATTCTCCTTCCCCGGTCCCGGCCCCGGACCCGAGCCTGCCGTGCTCTGGTGAGTGACTCAACTGACCCTGGAAGCGCGAGAGTAGCTCCTGGAGTCCAGAGATAGCGCGTTGAGCCTCATCTGCTGAGCTAGTGGATGAGTCGAGTTTTGGGCGTTTAATCGCTTGCTCGATCTGGTGGATTGCTTTTTCCAGGCCTTTTCGTTTGCTGGGGGTATATATTAGCGAATGTTCCAAGGTTCTATTCATGGTCAAGTTCATGTTCATATTCATGCTCATATTCATATTCATATTATATATTCCATGCCATGTCCACGAAATTACAAGAGACTTGAATGATCAACAGGGCTTGAATAAATCACCACTCCACTCACTTCTTAACACCCTTCTGGCGACCCAAGTGGTGGTTCGGCACGACACAGTCAACATTAGACTGGCGACATTTCTCGCAGCGGGCGTGGCTGGAGGGCCTATTGCAGCGGATTTTACTGCGGCGACAATTGAGACAGGCCGGTTGTTTGGTTTGGGAGGCCTGCTCGTCCATATTGGCCCCAGTGGTTGGTTGCCGAGGGCGACTCGGTAGTTGAGGATGAGATGAGATGAGATGGATGAGTTGTGGAGATTCGAGGAGTGCCCCAGGTATGGGGACTAGTGATTACCGGGGAGTACTTGCCTGATGTAACATAATCTGCTCCCCCCAAACAACAGCCCAGCCGGGCTAGCTCAATCGGTAGAGCGTGAGACTCTTAATCTCAAGGTTGGGGGTTCGACCCCCCCCGTTCGGCTATTCCTACAAACCTTACCTGAGATATCTTTTTGCCGGCACTGCTGGCATTCGTCCTTTTTTCTCTTTTTTTTTAGTGCCATTAAGATAGAGTCACTAGTAGTATTATCTAGTGGTAATAATCAGTATATTTTCCTTCTATTCCTTAGGAGAGTGCATACTGGAACAAATTAGACTTGGAGGGTATCTTGAACTGTGACGCCTCTGATGGCCGATGCCTCTTGATCACTGATCGAAGAAACCCGGCCACGACCTCGAAGAGACAGCTGTATTCATATGGGAGGAGTTTTAGGTCATGATTACCACCTCCAGCATTAGAAGAGCCCTTATCGCCAAAGGCTGGTCTAGAAAGACTGCCAGAGACGGACTAGAGAACAAAATCTCAGCATACTTTCCGTCTTGCGGTCATCGAAACTCCCACTACAGTGGATGCTCCGTCGGTCAAGCAATCTAGACTATTCCACTGAGACTAGAAGTTCGACTTGTCCGTGGAATACATACCATGTTCCTTTAACCGGTGGCAATTGCAATTCAGCACATGACGTAGGGATTTATGCCCCGTTTCAGCCAGGTATCCAACTAAACCCGGGGAAGTTTTAAAAGTCCGCCGGGAACTGTCTTTCAACCAGAAAACCTTTTGTTTCGCGGTTAGTCACTTTGGAACTTGAAACCTGAGAATGTCCTCCACAATGCCCAACGTAGTCCAGCTCGGTGATACTTATCACATTGAAGGGTAAGCAACTTAATATTCTGATGACTATAGTATGCCTCCAGTATGCCCATTTTATATACAGACGTCCGCGAGAGGACTTCAAGATTGTGAATGTCTACCATCCATCCAATATTCCAGGGAAAGCCGTCGTTATCATCTCGATCGATATGGTTCCTAACGCAGCTACACCTCCGCATACGCACTCGGGCGCAGCAGCTATTGCAATGATGATTGATGGTGTTGTGTTAAATCAAATGAATTGCGATGAACCCATCGTCTCCCAGAAAGGAGAAATGTGGTATGAAGCCCCCGGCTGTCATCACGTTCGATCGGAGAACAATGGATCGGAAGGAGCTAAGTTCCTGGCGGTTCTCATTATTGACGATCAAGTTATCAAGGATGGGTTGCACAATATTATTGTTTTAGACGCTGACCGGGAGGGTACTGCCGCATGAAAATCGCGACTACTATCCTTAGGATGTATGTTACTAGCGCAGAACCTCGCCAATTGGTGCTTCATATCGCTGCTTATTCTTCTCTGGCTATACGTCATTGTCGGATAATTCAACAGGAACGTTCGTCTCATCATTAAGGCGCCATCTTACTTTTGAGTATTCAATAAGAGGTCGAAAATAATCTTGCCTCGGACACGGCCACTATCCAAACGTTCGTATGCGTTTTGAAATTGCTCCAAGGGCCAGACACTGTCAACAATAGGCCGGCATTTGCCCTTTTCCACCAACTTTGTAATTTCTGCCAAATCTGCACCGGATGGATCCATGATGAAGAAAATAGCTCTCACGTCAGAAACTTCGCACCTCACGGGTCGTCTGTCTTCCGGCGGCTGATTGATACTAATGATCACACTATTGTCACGGAGACACCACCAGGCATCTTCAAGTGATTGCCCGCCAACACAGTCAACAATTACGTCGACTTTGTTCAATGGGTTCTGACCCCACTCGGCAATCTTTATCGAGTGATAGTTCAGCACTTGCTTTGCTCCTAGAGAGTGGACGTGGTCTAGGTTATCTGGTCCGCAAGTACCGACCACTTCCGCCCCCGTTTGACTTGCAATCTGGACGACCCAGATCCCAACCCCCCCCTGAAGCCCCAGTCACCAAGATGCGTTTACCCTTCCAGTTCGGGCTATCAAAGTTTCCGACTCCGGCATGCTTGAACAGAGCTTGCCATGCCGTTTCCGCAGCGAGTGGCACTGCCGAGGATTCCGCCCAACTCAGATTGCAGGGGCGACCAGCTAATTCATCTGTAGTGACAATTGCGTAGTCACGAGCGCATCCAGGGCGGTAATAGCTCGTGCGAGCGTACACCTCGTCTCTTACCTTGAATGGAGAGCCTTCTGGGGTGCTCACGACGACCCCTGCAACATCGTCACAGGTGATAATTTCTTTCCCAGGAATGTCACCAAAACTGGGCCATAGGCGTTCTCCTGCACAAGGAGCGGCAGCATAAACACGGATTAAATGTTCCCCCTTATCAAAATTCGGTATTGGCAGAGGGCGCTCGACAAGGGTGATAGTTTTTGAGGTGGGGTCTGCCTGCAGCAGAGCGCGTACGGTAGATGGGAGAGTGTTTATCGACATCGTTCACCGGAGGGGTATCTACTTTTGCTTTTAAGGACGATGACAACCGTTGGATATTTCGGATTTGAGGGAAATCGAACGATTCATGCGCCTTTTCGAGTAAGTTGTCCTTTCAGCGAGAGTCAACAATTTATTGTTTATGAGCAAATGCATCCTGACATCATAATTAACATCTCTTGCTGTCCACTGTTACCCTTAGCCAGTAGAGAAATCACTAACGGGGACGATGACATGTGCAGTTCAAGGGAACATGACTCCGCCACAATAGAACATGACTGGTCACAAGATTGGCTATTCTGGATGTGTAGCCCGTTTGTACTGTATAAGCTTCAGAAAAGAGAAGCAAAGTTCTTGGTGACTAATTGGTAGGTAACCTCTTTGACAATGGGCCAAGTATGTGGGGTTTCTTTGGTCTCACGAAAATCAATGATGCTGTGGCCCTATCGGGCCGTGTTATGCGGCTTTCAGACCCGTGCATCCTATTAGTTCCCGGGTATTAGCCCCATCTTAAAATAGTCTAATCATTATCTTTGCCCCAGATCGCCTCTCTATGCAGGGCTTTTGAGCCGTTCAGTCTATAGCAGCATGGGTAAGTAATGCGCATCTAACGTATGCATGTATGCGCTGTCACTCGTAAACTGCAGGGTTTTGAGAGGCTGTACAACTAACTGGAAAGAAGTCGCAAGAGTGGAGGTATAGTTTACTGATTGAAAACTACTGTACTACGAGTATTATAGAGTAACACCTGGGCATGGACCGTCTATTATGGCACAAATGCAAGCTTACTATTAGTACTAGTACATACTTGAGAAATTATCCTATATTTCCAAGTACTCAGAATCACATTACCCACACCATTGGCATTGATAACTTCAAATTGATACTTCTTAAAGTAGATCTCTCCAAATATTCATTAATATTAGACAGCTCCAAGGAGCTATAAACCACTGGCATATAAACATGAGACTTCCAGACCCTCAACATTCACTCCACTTAACGAGAATGAGCCTGTCCAACTTCCCCCTGGCCCCCACTCTCACCACCCAGTGCGCCAGATGCCTCCGGTACAACCGCTCTAGGCAAAGGCTGCAAACCCTGCTGACCCTGACCCTGATGAACCGGGACCTGAGTCTGAACCTGCCCCATCTCCGGAGCCGGACCTCCCACATGAACAGGACCCCTCGCACTACCCGGCAAACTCTGACTACCGTTCGACCTCAAACTCGCCTCAGCCCCCCAACAACGGCGCAGGATGAACCCCATCCGCATTCCCATACCCATACCCACCCCAAGCATAACCAGGCCTCTTAGAAACCCTAACCTGTGGCGGCGCGGGACCCAAAACAGTAGGATACTTATATCTAAACCCCCAAACCCAAAACAGGGCAAACTTTTTCCAAAATCCCATCTTCTCCCACCTCTCTTTCAAAATAGCCGCATCATCCACCGACCGCGCCCGATACCCCTTTCTAAACCCCCACAGACAACATAATGACAGCGGGAGAATGGTCATCGCCCAACAAACAGGTAATCCTCGACGAGTCTGCCAGCCGAGCATTAGACGACGGAATCGAATGAATGCTTCAAGAATTCCGGCTAGGAACCAGATTCCTATCCAGCCTAGGGTACTGATTAGGACGATTGCTAGGAGACTGATCCCGCTGTAGTATTTCCCGTTCCATTCGTCGTATTCGCCCCAGTAACCGTAATAATCGTATGGGTATGAAGAACTGGTGCCGGAGCCAGAGTCAGAATTTGATCCAGAGGAAGTGCCAGGGGTAAAAGTAGTAGAACCAGGCCCGGAGCTCAGGCCCGTATTGGGATCGTACCTATCGGTAGTGGAATCGGTGCCGTCGGCGTAGGAGGAGTGATAGTAACAATTGGCCCCGGCTCCATAAAGACTAGAGGGGTAATTTCGATTGCGCAGTGAGGCGAGTGAGGTAGCGGGGACCTGGGTGGGTTCTACCCAGACTTGATCGTATGTGTAAGTCGTCGGTTGAAAGGCAATGCTCGTATCAACGGACAATGAGACAGAAGTCCGGGTTCTGGGCAACAGGGCGGAAAGTGTAGCGGGCAGAGCGCTCAATGTTGCGGCTGTCGTAGTTGTCCATGTAGATGAGCAGCCTGTGGGCGCGGTGTAGGTCAAATCGACTACGAAGACGGTTGTATGTTTTGAATCCGAACTGTAGTAATCGTCATAATAGCCGGCGTTGAAGTCTATGGCTGTGCCGACGCCAGAGGGGTATAGTTTTTCGACTGCGGTGATGGTGTCGCCGTAGTATGTGTTTGTTTGGGTTATTGTTGACAGGGCTTCGGGGAGGGAAGTTACTGTTGGAATGATTGCTTCGATGGACGTGGTTGTTTTTGTTATGTAGTCTTCGTTTGAGTCGTAGGCGAGCTGCGTTATGGGGACGACTTGGTTTGCTTCGGTGATTATCCAGGGTGCGGCGTGAACGAGTGGAGACCAGCCAACTTGGAGTAGGAGGCTGGTAAGAACGAGGGACTTGAACGAGTGTGTGGATATCATCTTTGCGTCTTGGAACTCGATTGCTCAGCTTGAGCCTCGAGACGAGTGATTCTTCCCCTGCAGAGAAGGGTCAAGGAGTGTGGCTGCTGCCATGGTTTTATGTGGTCGGTGGCGTGCAAGGTAAATTTTGCTTAGGACTATTTTAGTATGCGTTTTACGGAGTAGCAGATAGCAATTTCAGGGTCACTGCATGCTAGTCTCGCCGTGAGGCGCTTGTCGACCCCTTTTTTCGTCGACTAGAGCAGGGTCCAAGAGGCTCTAGTCGTGGGGCTAGTCGAATTGGGAGAAATCTAAGACAAACTAGCATCGATGGGGAATGGTGGAGATTGCGATTTGGGGCGAGGAGTTGCTGATTGGATGGGAGGAGATGGAAGGATTCCCTTGGGCAGGAATAGAGTCTAGTAGAGGGTAGAGTAGAGCAGAGAGGAGGAGAGTAAAAGAGAAGAGAAAGAAAAGAGTGTGCAGTGGGGGATAATACCAGAGCATAGAGTATCACAGATTATCGTCATATATGGTATAATAGTATCATAGTGAGCAGTGTAGAATAAACCAATACCCTCGCTAATTCTAACAGTCACTCAATTATGGACAAAACAGCCGAGCAAATCAAAGCAATCCAAACCAACGGAATAAATTCGGGCACTCCCCGAGCCCCGCTGGTTTCTATCTGCTAACGATCCGATCTATCTCTAATTAAGGCACAATGCCCGAAGAGGCGAGTTTGCCTCTGAGTCGGTACTACTAGTAGTACATATCTGCAACTATGAACAGATTCCAATGCATAGACTATTGACAAAGGGTCCACGAAAATAAATCACTCATATCTTTACAGTAAACTTCTAATACATTCGGTAGATGACCGAGTATACTCTACTCCCCCAACCGCCCAGAAGTAGAGAAGCACTTACTCTTAGAGAAGACCAGTCCATAAACACCTATAGACTACTTGAACCTATCAAGACATCGATAAGAAAAGCAAAGAACAATCCTGTGCAGGGCGTAACTTCGTAAAAACCACCACCTTATACCACACCACACACCTCGTGGCCGACACTAATTAGCAGCCCGCAAGGCCCTCAACCTCGCCCCAAGCCCATCCTCAACCTCCGCCGGCTGCTGCTGCGCCTGCGCCTGTTCCTTCCCCTTAACCTCCGCATTAGGAACCTCCGTATCCTGCTCCAATGCAATCCTCATATCAACACCGGCCTCATCAGCAAGTTGCTCCATCATCCGATCAACCTCATGCTGACCCTCAGCCCCATACTCCTGTAAACTAACACCCTGCGCAACGTCCTCAATCGCACTACTAGCAATCTTAAAGTCTTCACTCCGGGCCAAGAAATTATTCGCATGCGAGACAAGATGTTCCAGATTCACGCTCTTGCTCGCCGCGTCCAGGCCCCGACTCGCCAGGGCGAGGGTTCGTGATGTGTCCCGTGTTGATTGGGCGGCTTTGAGTTCGTTGATTATTACGTCTGCGCGCGCGGCTTCGGATTTCAGGGTTACTTGGCGGCGCTTTTCGCGGACGGCGCTGGAGGCGTGGATGCGGGCGATTTGGAATTCGCGGTTTTTCATGGCGCGGTCGGCTTTGGCTTTTTCGGATTTGAAGGTTGATTCGGCGCGGGCGGCTTCTTTTTTGAGGCGGTTTGAGTGGAGCTGGGGGTTGGGTTAGTAAATGGGTTGGTCATTGTGGTGAGGGTAGGCTGGTGGAGGGGGGGTGTGATGTGAAGGCTGGATCTGCGGTGCAGCGGGGTGGGGAGGAGGGGGGTGTGTACCTTGACATTGGTGCGGGCTTCGAAGATGGGATCTTTGCGGACCATGATTGCGGTGTGAGGGGCGTGAGGAGAAGAGAGAGAGGGAAGAGAGAGGGTGAGGCTGGAGTGTAGAGTGTAGGGTGAAGTGTAGTGTTGATGTCTCGTGTCTCAAGGCGAAGTGCGGAGGCTGAGCAATTCCGAAGTGGCAACGTCACTGACCGCATTCGTTAGCGTAGGCAGATACAACACAGTCCAGTGGTAGTATGGCTCGAGAATTATTTCAGAATTATTAGAATTATTGTAGAATAACGGCGATGATATTCTAATTACTATACTCGAATCTCAGTTCGGTTCTTTCTCGACTTGTTTTCACCCGCAGAATGCCTACAGATCTAGTCGTACTGGTTGATATTGCCTATTCCAGACACTAATAATGGAAAATCCAACAACATCTGTGATTTTAATCAATGATACAACTATCAAATACTAAGCAAGGGATAGATCTAGACTCTTACTTAGCACTTCCAACTTGGGTACTACATAGCCGGACCTGGGTGGGTACCTTGACCACGATACGAGGATGGACCTCATAGACAAAGGAGATGCCTCCTCCCCAGACCCCGTGCACACCCGGAAACTGGCGTTGAATTTCCTTCATGAGTGCAAAGATAACCCGAGAGAGGAATAGAGGAAGAAAGAAGGTGAAAGGGGGGACTCTGGACCGCAGGGGTAGGGTCATGTGATCATGTATCAAGTTGTCTCTCGTGGGAATCGACCAACTTCTTTCCTTCCCTGGGTCGGAGGAAATATTTTGGTAAATCAAGTACGGAGTACTGCAGGGGGGATTACAGTTACATTTACAACTACAATTTAGAGATCTGTTGGTGTTTGTTGAAATATTGAGATTGATCGGCAAAGCCATAAAACCAGCCATAAGCCATAGTATAGTATACATTTAACCCAATTGCTTACCCACTCTCGATAAAGACTCGAGGGGGGGAACGCCGAAAACTCCGTGTCCGTACCTTTCCATGTCCATTGCTTCGTCGCCGTCCGGAGCGTTCGCGCTCACTTTCACTTTCACGCTGCTGTCGCTGACCACTCAGTCTATCAATAGCCCAGATCATAGTCAACAACGACTCCCACCGCGGTCGGCCCTCCGGGGCGTTAACATCATCAGCCAACCGGGTCCGTGTCTGGTCAGATGTAAACTGCTCGCTAACCGCTAGCTGCAATGCTCTGCCCGTCGCATCTCGAAGTGGACGCGCCAAGGCTGGGCTGCACGCTAGCAGTCGGGCAAGTAGGTTCATCCGAAAGACCGGTCGATTGGTCGACGACGTTGACGCCGTCAAGGGTGACGACAGACTCGGGGTCGAAATCAACCAATGAATCAAAGGGGAAAGAACTGAGATCTGAGACTCCGTCGAGAGCGCCAAAGGCGAACCCGTCTTCAGGGAATGAAGGATTAGACTCAGCGGCGCTGTCACCGTGGAATAGGCGGCGGAAGTCATCGTCAGAAAGAGGAGCTGCAACATCGTGATGCGAGTGAGTGAGGTCGAAGAGGGGGAGGGCGGCGCCACTACCTTCGAGGCTACCAACGGACACTGCAGGTCGCACAACATCGCGGCAGGATGTTGTGTCGCGTCGGAGGCCTCAGCCAGCGTGGAGGGTTGGAGGGTGGGGGAGTAATCGAGAGTGGAGGTGGCGGGGGTAGGGAAGGGGATGCGTTCCATTTGGATGTCCTCGCCTTCTTGTTTGAAGAGGGTAGGTGTGAGAGTGGGAGATTCGGTGATGGCGGGAGGAGGGGAGGTGGCTTTGTTGGAGATGGGTGTTGTGCTGCGAGAGCCTCGGACTTCGGCGGATAGTTGAGCGACTTGTTGGGATAGTCGGTTGTTCTCAACCTCCATCTGGGTTAACCTTGAAAGAAGGAATTGGTTTTGTTCTTCCATTCGGATCTTCTCGGTCTCCAGCTTCTCCATTTCTAGACGCTTGCGCTCGCGGGATGTTTGGGCCGCGGCGCGATTCCTGAGTACGCGCTCGATGCGGCGTTGCTCTTTCTCGTCGTCTGTCTTGGCTCGTTTCCTGGGGATGTTAGTGGGGCTGGTCTGGGGCAGTGGTGTGACAGGATGATTGAGCATACCTTGGGGGAAGGTTGGTCTTGGGAGTAGGAAGTTCCTGACCCCAGGACTTTCTCTTCTTTGTGGTCTTCTTATCATCTTCCTCCTTGATCTCGACATCGTCATCCTCGCACTCGGGCTCGGGTGAGTCGTCGAAGGTGTCTGCGGGGGAGACGGTCAAGGGGAAGTCTGATGGTGAACCGGGGAGGTCCATCGGGTTTATCGTGTCTGTCATAATGTGTGTGTGTGTGTGGTGAATGTTGATGTGTGTGGGTGTGAAGGTATAGTGGATGGTGGCCGGTGCCGTGTGTGGAGGGACAAGATCAGAACCGACAGGACGAGGGCGATCAAATCAAGTCAAATCGAGATCAGATAGAGTCAGGCCACGTCTACACGGTCGACCCCATATGAGTCAGCGGGGGAAAAGGACAGATTGTTCATAAGTTGGGTGGGTGGATGAAAGCGGACGTGGGAGTGTTTAAGTAGAGGCCACTTGTCAAGAGTGACCAAGTCACGGGATTGCCCCCCTGGACTCCCTCTCCCCCTCTGTCTCTGCCAACTCCCTGCCAACTCCCTGTGTCGTAACCCCCTTTGACCCCTGGAACATCCCCCATTCGCCAAGTGGGCCCCCGTTTCAGCTACTTCAACGCTCAGCCTCGCTATGAATAGCTCTTGGCCCCAGGCCCCCCGGCCCCCAAGCAGATCGGTACGAGTATGATCAGCACTAACAACGGTATTCTCGCACTCTACTGCAAGGCTTCCTACAATACACTTCATGGATACGGAGTACATAAGAGTCTACTCTGCCCTCACTCTCATTTGACTCGCTTTGTTCTCCAGAATGTGGTTCACACGCAATGGCGTACTCGTACCCCCGCCTGGACCAAGTGGGCCGGTCCTACGTTGCGCATCTCTCGGAAGAATGTCTCCCGTCGCCACACGCCCCTCCTGCACATTAAGGAGTCGAGTCTGGAATCTGGAATGTCTGGCTAGCATCCCATTGGCCCTGCATACACTGGATATTGCCTCGCCCCAGACACTCGCACTTGACTGCGTTGTTCAGTCCTAGGCCCCCCAATCCAATCCCCCAAACAAGGCTGTCGATCCATCATCACTTCAGCTGGCACTCCTTCACTCACCCACTGGATTCTGCAGTGTACTCGTCTTGTAGCACAGTATACATACATATGCAAACGACTCGTAGACTCGATCAATCATCCCCTGCCCGCACTCCCTGGGCACACCACACCATTCTGTCGCCATTGGACGCGGCCGGGCTCCACAGGGGCCGCGCACCGGAGTCCGTGTCCGTATTACGTTCCTTGACTGGTCGCACGGATAGATTCTCCAGACTTCCGTGGATCATTGTAGAATGGTTTAGAATGCTCGTACTCCGTGCTCCTCTTCACCCTGAGGGTCCCCCTCCCCTACCCCTGCAAGCACGGAGTCACGGAGTCTACGGAGTATCTAATTCGAGTAAGTCTCATTAGTGGCATTGTTAGCGGCTTCTAGAAACAGGGGGCCGGCTCTAGTACGGAGAACAGGAGATGAAAAACTACCGAGGACTCCGTCGCAGTGCGTACGTACGAACGATATTCCGTTTCACCATTTCGCCATGTTTGATCGTCACGTAGCATCCCTCCCCTGAAGATCCGTACTTTTGTCTTGACCTTCTTTGGTAAACGCTATGTACCTGGCATGCGAAAGTGGGTACCGGAGAAATTATTTAGAGGGAAGACTGTCGTGATTCGTGATTCGCGATTCCGTGATTGTCTGCTGCATTGACGAGTTCGAATTCGAGTCCGAGTCTGCAGTGTAAGTCAATATTATGTATGATGTGCTTTGGTGCCTGCAGTAGCACCTGGCAGTAATGACTAGTCTGATGAAGTGCCGCGGGTGCGGAAATTGTGGGGCAGAGGAGATTACTTAGAACAAAGTACTCCGTAGACAGACCTGGAAGTAATATAATCCGTACTTCATATCCGTGCATCCACAAAAGTACATTGGTTGGATAACATGATTCTGATTATGCGACATCACAAAGGGGCGGGGCGGTGGTTGTCCCGGGCATTGATTGTGTACGAAGTACCCATCTATGCAGCGCAGTACGGAGTACTTCCCTACTAATTGCAATCAAATCTTGAATGGAATGAGGACTCTGCATGAAGGTACTCCGTACAGGTACAGATACTCCGTTCAAAAGCAATTATCCTAGTAAATGAGCGCTATTACGAATTATTGGATAGTAACTAAGTCGTCAAAATCAATTACTAGTACTACTAGTAGCTATGACACAATAATAGGTTGTTCGAGAATACTATTTACTACTAGACATCGACTATAAATATGGCGTTATTCAGATATGGTGCGACTGTACCCGCGGCCGTATCGGCCATGTCGATAGCTTCTGCAATTCTTCTTATTCGACTCTTTGTCCGATTCATCCAATAGGGCGACTAAGACCCGTTTAGTCAATTTTATTCGCTATGTGGTGTTTTGTATCAAGTTCACCTGATTGATAAAAACATTTTTATCTCCTTGACAAGAATATTGAATATACAGGGCCGCTCGAAATTAGCTTCACCTTGAAATTATTTTTCTAGCTTTCATGAACTCTATCTTGCATATGATTATAGGTTAGACGACCCTTTCTAGGAATTTAGAGGTATTCCATTACAATTGTAACTGAACAGATAAAAACAGCCATCTTATTCTGTTGTATAGGCTTTTTGTTTTGTTGAACAAACCCCTTACAAACAAACCAAACAAATGCAGGCGGTCAGCTTCTGTAACCCCTTGTGATCTCTTTGGTCTGGTTTCATTTCATTATATTTGATTTTTGCAAGAATAAATTACATTGAAATAACACAAACACAAAAGAAAATAAAACAAAGAAAGCGATATAACAGTCTGAGGAAACTCAACCTTGTAATGGAGGACAGCCCTTTATCAACCACCGCGAACATATCCGGGATCCTCACGTTCCTTGCCGCCGTCTTCACTTTCGTCTATGTTCGCTACAACACTCTCCAAAATGGCCATGTTGAAATGAATGACATATATGAATCCGTCAAAGCCACGATCGAAGAGACTCGTCTGATGGAGAGCCAGATTGAGATTCAGCCAGGCTTTGAAAAAGTGCGAGAAATCTTCCACAAACTCTGGCGAACTGAGATCAGCATTATGATCGAGCTCGCTAAAGCCATTGGAGGTGATGCACTAGCCCATAAAGTCCGTGGACAGACAAGCATCGAGCCTGATTCGCACTATAATGTCTTCAAGTGGTTGTACAAGGACGAGGTGGATTATGAGCTGGGTCAAGAGCGCTGGGTTAAGGGAATCCCTCTTCTTGCTGTTGCTCTAACAACTGTGAGACTTGCTTGGAATCTCGGCGCGACACCAAAGCTACTACGGTGGTATATGGTGCGAGAGAAAGTGATGGAGAAGATCCGGGACAGGGATAATTATAGGTCGCGTTTGCGGTCTCACCAGCTGGCTCTTTTGAACCAGTAGGTATATTTGCCTTTCTACCTGACAAATGGATGGACTGATAGTTGTATTTCGTGTCTAGACAGTTCCGAGCACAGGAGAATTCAATTCGGCGTCTGCGTGATGATAATGAGACTTTGCTGAAATATATGGAAGACATGCGGCTCACCATAGGAAAAATGGTGGAAGCTCAGAGAGTGTCTTCTCATCCCTAAATTGAAACCCCACCAGTCTATACTGTGTAAAGAAGGGCACGATCAAGCCATCAAGGCCTAGACTGAGACGCATCTTCTTTCAAATCCGCAGATGCACTTTCCGATTGGGTGCTTGAGGACTATAGATCTGAGGATTATTGTGGAATATGTCCTCATACAAGCAGTACGTGCAGACTCAATAGTAGGTGGTGACTGAATATATATTCTAGGCATAATTAAAAGTGGCGATTGAGGACAAAACTGACAATTTGTTAGGTTCCAACTTACAATCACACTCTTCAGCTGGAGGAGCTATATACCGACCATAATAAACGCGCAACTATACTAGTCTGGCGGAGACAGGCCCCAATCAGAAAGCCAGCATTGTTAAATAACGTATAGGAAAGCCTTCACCAAACCAATGTTGTCTCTAAACACGTCGTTTTCTCACAGTGGTCACTCCTGTGGATGCTGAGTAGTTGATGGAAGGGAGAAGTCGAATTCAGGCCAGATAACCACACTGACAAGAAAATTGCCTTCTGTTTGCCCTATTTGCACGATCAACGCTCTAGAAGCCCTTGAGACATACCAGATTATTACGATGGCTATTTTTACGCTGTTATTTACAGCCGTACGGGAATACTGCCAAGAAATGGGTTCGAGGGTCGGTTAACCGTAATAGGTAGAGCGCAGTTTCAAAAGATGGACCGAGAAAGAATCTGTGTGTGTAGGTGGTGAATCTGATTTCGATCCATGCTGTATTATAAAGGCCTGGGCATGGATGAAGATGGATCATGTATCACGTGGAACAAAGAGTGCTTACTCTGGCTGCCACCGGAGTACCGACCGACCCAATTTGGCATTGGATTGGTAGTCATTAAATCGGAGACTCGACAAACCTGGTATTCTTCGATCAAGAACATAATTTCAACGAGGGAGTTATTTTCTATGTAATAACACAGTAGATTTAGTAGACTCGGCAAGCATCGATAGGAATGAATATGCGAAGCCGAGACATTACGAGACGGATAACCTCCCCCAAGATCTACAGTCCGGTCCAAAAGACACGGTGCCTAGAAACTAGCCTCCGAATATTTTCATGAGCTAAAGAATGACGAGACCGCTTTTATTCACCTACGAAGAATACCGGTAAATCGAGCTATGCAGGTTAATGTACATTTAGAGTTCTAACTCTCGTATGTCCGTTCTGAATGCCATCTACGCCTCGAACCGCTACAAAGATGGCAAGAAAGAGAACTAGTCAATAAAGAAAAGAAATGTTGAGAGAAATAACAGTCTGAACTTGAAGTTTCACTTCCGATATGTCTTAAATGTCCCCTCCGCCTCGACCGCTAAAAATGACAAAGGAGAAGAGAAAGATGGACAATAAAGACTTGCAAAGAAACAGCAGTAAATGGAATATTTTTTGAAAAGAAAATGTCGAGAAACAACACGAGTGACAACAACTCTGCCAACCAAGATGGAGCGGACATTTACGTTTCGAACTTCAGTACGTACCTGAAGTTGAAACGCTTGAACGTCTTACAAACTGCTCTCCGTCTTGGCCATTTCAGCTGAAAATAGAAAAAGAGATCGTGAAATTCATCAATAACAAGAAACAAGAATAGAAGAATTGTCGAACCCAGTGACTGAACTGCTGGATAACCGGTTTTGGAAGGATTTTCGTCGTTAGCCTCCACCTTTTCAAACTGCCACTCCGTCTTGGCTATTTTGAATGGAAATAGGAAAACAAAGCATGAAGAGCCCCACAAGAACAAGAAACAAGCATGGGAAACAAGTAAAAGAACAAAAACGAAGGGGAGCATGAAAGAAAAATTGTGAAGAACAATTGAAAAAGATTTGGAGAGGAAAAAACTCCTGCACATAAACCTCCCATCCGGACCTTCAAATAAAGGTCATGGAAACCCATATTGACCGCCCCATGTAGGTATTCAAATGAGAAACTAAATGTCAAAGAGAATATCTCCCGCGACCTCTTCCTCTTCACTGAATGAGTGCTTCCGTTTCAGGTCCGTGCGCATGGGAGACATCAAATCTCCAGACAGAAGGGCAGTAACCTCCTTGACCACTGTATCTGCCGCAGACTGCGCCCCTTGGAGGTGAGCGGTACCCGAATTTTCAACCGCTTGAGGGTTGGCGGTACTGGAGTCTTCCTGGTTATCGGTGACATTGACTTCCGCAAATTGTGCGGCGAGTTTGCGCTTCGCCTTCGCAAGAAGGACCCTGGCCGATGCCTTGGTGTATCCGCCTCGTGTGGCGAGAAGGTCGAAATCAACCTGGGGCAAATGTTAGTGGAGTGTTTCTTTCCGGTATTCTGGGGGTAGGCGGGGGAGGGGGGGTTTAGATTGGGAGAGAAAGATGGGACAGTCTGAAATGAAGTCTGAGGATTGTGCTGCATGGTTTGCGTGTTCGAGATGCTTGGGACGCTTCGTTCGGGAGTATGGGGATGGAAAGGGATGGGGGTTTTGAGTGCAAAATGAGTGGTCTTTTGGATTGCGAGAGAGAGGTAAGATAGGTCAAGATGATTCTCGAGTATGGTGTTCGATGCTAATCGCGTTTTCGATGCTTGGTTTGGGGGGTGGGGATGGGGTGGATGTAGGTGAGGACATACCTTGCCAGGAGTACTACATGCGAAAGCGATAATCAAAACCTTTATCTCTGCATCGGAGATGTTGAGCCCTAGGCCCGGGGCCGGTGCGCCTTTCGATCGCTTGCTGGGAGTGCTCATTGTGACTTGAAAGTTGTTGAGAATAGTGCGTGAGAAGTGAAGTGAATGGAGATGGGAAAAAGGAAGAAAGAAGAAATAAGAGAGGAAGACGAATCAAAACAACAACAAATACCACGTCACATCGAACGGAGGCAGTCACTGTGAGTCCTTTCTGGCGGCAGGAGCAATGGGTGAATGTGGATGTGCGTGGGGGTGTGGGGAAGGGGATATGGGGATATAAAGTGGGGATATGAGGTCAGCGCCTGGTTTGTTGACTGTCATTCTCTTGTTCATTTGGAATAAGTGAGAATACACTGACTTTGAGATTATGATGTGGCTGAATTCAAAAAAAAAAGTACTGTAAAAAGATGCTATACGATTTATTTTAAGGTTAGCTAGCGCCGGATCTGCCCGGCGCTTGCAGTTTGGTAAGAGCCGCGATAGTGCTAAAGTTCCCAAGGTGCGCCCCATTGAGGCGCCAACAGAACAACAACGGTGTTTGGAAATTGGTAAATACTTGAACTACTCCACTATTACATACTATAGAATTAATTATGAATTTATGAAGAGTTAATGTCATGAGAAATCTGGGGTAGAATTAAGGTGTAGACTAGTGCATAGTCCGCGCTTAGCTGCACAACCTTGGGAACTCCCTCCACACTTTCTCCCCAAGACAATCCCATTCACGAAAGGGAAATTCCAAGAACACCACGACTCTGCATCATGATCTCTTCCAACAGACTTCACATGTCTGAATACTCATTGAACATTAGACCAGCCATTTGTCTCCGGCAAACTATACAAACCAGTGTCCCTGCGCGAGAACCTCCACTTTCCAGTATGATCACCGAGGACTAAAATCCCCTGTGACCGGACATCCTATTTCCATTCCGAATCCATGGAATTGACCTCCATCGCCGTGGCTCCAGATCTGGCAGTGGGAACAAGCTTTTAGGGTCTGCAGTGTCACGAGGTGACCACGTGCTCTCTTGCCCATCAAACCCCCGAGAGGCTCTCGATATCCTGCAAATACTGCGAAGCAACCCTCGAAGCCGTTTGCCCTCAATAAGAAGTTGAATTCTCGTTGTTGTTTCCCAACTGAATGCTGGCTGGTATCTAAAGGGCATAGGGACAGATACTAGTATGTTTGTCCATGCGCACTCATCGCAACAGTACCCGCACGGTCTGCATTTTCCAACGTCGCAGGATTATCTTCAGAACGAATTGTCGCCATCCTTGTTCCGCAGTCGTCAAGCGTCAATCGCGATTCTGCTCCAACAGACGTCATGTGTCGCGAATGACCTTCAGGTCTTATGGCGGAGTCTAGTCAAGCGTGACTTCCGATAATCTAGAGGATACAGTGAGCATCATACTAGCAAATCATCTGTTAGGTTGAATACGAAATAGAAAGCAAGGTATGAACAGATTTGAAACAAAGTACGAAATAAATCAGTCAATAATTCAGATAGGCATTCAAGCAATATGCGAATCGGTGCCATGTCTCGCGGATTGCCCTCGAGTATATTCGTGTCTTATGTTATTTGCAGCAGAAATCTAGAAGACACCTGAATTTACGGAACCATGAATAAATGTCCAATACTTTTAGTCCATAGAGGCTGTGGGATCTATCGACTCCACTAGTTCCGACACCAGGGGAATTATATGCACAAAGAGAAGAAGAGAGAAAAAAAAGCAAAACAAGAACGCCATTCCATCAATACGTGCTCATGACCAGGTCGTAGGTGGTATATGCAGGGGGGGAAATTTTCATAGAAAGAAACCGCAGCATCAGCGTCAGCGTCAACAGCGTCTTTACATAGTCACATCCATCGTATCATCACCAGCGTCGATAGCATTCTGCGCCTCCGGGTCGGGCATCACAACACCACGACCACGACCAGCGAGCAATTCCCGACGAACCTCAGGACCAATATCCTTGTGTCCCCGGACCAGAAGAAGATCCAGCAGAGCCTCACGCTGATCCTCGGTGATATCGTTGCGGTAACGCTGGGCAAATACGAGCAGAGACTGGTGCCACAGAACGGGGAGCTTATAAGCCTTGGCACTGCCAGGACCATCGCCCATGCTGGTGTCGTTGTCGGTGCGGAAGCGCATGAAGTGGAAGACCAGGGCGTCAATGACCTTGTATGGAAGAGCGTACTTCTTTTCCAGGAAGACTCGGATGAAGGTGTTCACGGCACCGGTGGCTTCCAGCGAGCGCATGGACTGTTCTGCGGCCAGGTCGCACATGCGGAGAAGAGCTGCGGCGGAGTGCAGGACGGGGATGGAGACGCGAGCAATGACGGAGGAGACGATGTGGGCTTCGCGGAGGGAGCAGGTGCCGCTCTGGACGAGGGGGAAGAGCAGACCCTTGAAGAAACAAGCGGGTTTATAAAGAGCTTTGCGCAGGGCGTTGTAGGTGTGGACGTTTAGTTTCTTGGTCTCGTGGATCTCTTCGCGGACTCGTTCCAGGAGGACGGTGGAAATGAACTCTTGCGCCACGTGGGGCTTGGAGGAGATGAAGATGCGGGTTCCGGCGTAGATGGCGTTACCGGTCCAGTTCTCGGGGTGGGTGATGTCGAGAAGGGTCGGCCAGTTTGGCACGGATGGGAGAATCTTGAAGGGCTTGGGGAGGGGTCCGGACTTGTAACGAGAGAGAATCATGCCGACCCTAGTGGGGTGTTAGCTTGAGTCTTCAAAAAGAGGAAAAAAGAGCCTCGCTTCATAACATACTTCTCATAAACTTCCACAGCCTTAGCAGGGATCTGAACAGCATCCTCAGCCAGTCCACCACCCTGGATCTTTGGGCCACCAGTCTCAATGCCGGCCTGTCTGGCTTCGTGCTCAGCAATCTTCTCCAAAATCAAATCGGCAAGGTTGGTAGTCTGGCCAGCAGCATTGGGGTCTCGGGGGTGGAAGATCGGGTCTTCTTCATGGTCGCCTGGCATGAACTTATTGAACAAGTCGAGATCATTGGGATCAACCTCCTACAAACAAGCATTAGCGTCTGCCGCATATCCAAATCGTTTGCATAAATGTTCTCCCTTACAGCGTTCTCCACATCGTCATCAAGCCACTCATCATTCTCATAATTGGCGTTCTCGTCATCAGAAAGAGCCTCCATCTCCTGCTCATCCAATCGGGCATCAAAATCAAAGGCAGGGTTCGGCATGGTCTCGCCTGCACCCTTGGCGCGCTTCGTTTCGGCCTCATCCTCGTCCGCCAATTCCTGACCAATCTGCAAGATCTTGCGGGACATCTTAGCATCGATAAAGCGTTGTCCATTTTCGCCCTCCTCCTCCTCACCCTGCGATCGACTCTTGCCCTTCTTGTTAGACTGGGCCCGGAGTTGCCCCGCGGACGTAATATCTTCCGCCAAAGGGTTGTGGCGGCGGGCCGCGGCGGCGCGCGAGCTGGTGGCCTTGGGCATATTGCAGAATTCCGTCGACTGGGGGAATCTGGGGTAAATCAAAGAAAGCGTCGAGCTTGTACGGCGGTTTACAATGCAATGCTTGATTGCTTGTGGGTAAATTTCTCGGTCACGTGGGTCTAATCAGTAATTTTTTCTTTTTTGCTATCGCGACCGCCTTCCAATTTTAGGCTCACCGCCTCTCGGTCAATTTTCTGCCGCTTTCGATGCCCGCCGCGTTGTTCTTCCTCGCGTTGAACGGAAAGAAAGCAGAACATTCACTCCAATCCAGTCGGTCTTGCTGGTCCCGTCAAGTCTGGTCTTCGATATTTTACGACAAAGTTTGACTTTTATCGGTCAAGGATAGCTTCAGCAAGGAACTTCCCTATCAACTCTCCCCGCAGTGTTCTCCACCATGGCCTCCGCTCAAGCTCCGGGCTCATCTGCACCTTCATCCAATATCAACTCACCTATTATACCTCCCAGCAATGGCCCTCTGCTTAACGGCGCAATCTCTGACCTTAATTCGCGTTCCTCTCCAGCTCCAGGAAGCAACGCATCAGTACAAGGGGATGCCCGTGCAAAGCGGAACAAGCGTGATAGTCGCAAGAAACGCGAAGCCAAAGGCCTCGACCTTGAAAGTGCACCACCACCCAAGAAACGTGCAGCTGCAGCTAGCCTTGCACTCCCCAGCTCAAATCTATCCATTCTCCGTCCTCTCCTGCTCGCCGAACCGCGCTCCTCAGATCGATACCCCCCCACATCCTCGCCAACTGAGCTACGTCACCAAAAAGTCCTCCGACGTGCTCGGCCAGAGCTGGGACTTTTACGAAGTCGTCGATAAGCTCACAAATAAGAACGGCTTCCGCTATTCCTACGCCATTGCCGACCCAGGCTTTCCCCATATTAAATATCGCCAAACGGACGTCCGCCCCTACCATGCCCGATTCAGTTTCGAGGACTCCCCAGCCGCCATATCCTTCTCGCAAGATGCGACGGCGGTAACGACCAGCGATGCGTGGCATACAGCGCGCGCAAATGTGTGCGCGAGAGAGGGAACATACTACTACGAGGCGCGGGTGATAAGTGGCGTTGTCAATGATCCACAGGCCGCTCTTCGACCCGGTGGTCCTGCCTCTTCATCTCGTGGCCATGTCCGGTTAGGATTCGCCCGGCGCGAAGCAGATCTCGACGTCAATGTCGGAGTTGATTGCTACGGATACGGAATTCGAGATGTCAATGGTGAAGTGGTCAATCGGATGCGCTGCGAGTTTTTCTTCCCCAAGGGCGAAGCTATTAACGAAGGCGATGTCATCGGCATGCTCATTACACTACCGCCTTTAGCTACACACAAGAAGATTGTCGAGGGAACCTATGATCCTGCCGTGGATGGAGTTGGAGACGGTGCTGATACCGCCCATCCATCCGCAGCTCCGGCCCCGGTCGCCTCCAATATAATCCGAGACCGCATCCCTTTTCACTATAAGTCTGATTTCTGCTGGCAGCAGTCGAACGTCTTTTCGACCAAACATCTCCGCGACTACGCATTCAACTTGAAGGAGACACCCACCTTTGGTCATCCCTCTCCACTGAACAGTGAAGATGCCTCCCTGCGCACACTTCCAGGCTCCAGCATCACGATCTTCAAAAATGGAGTCAAGATGGGATCTCCATTCAAAGATCTTTATGCATTCCTTCCACCAGCCAGTCGTCTCGCGAACGGTACGAATAACCTCGGCATTGGCGAGCGTGAAAATGCAGACGACGGTATGATCGGCTACTATCCCGCTGTCAGCTGCTACGGCGGTGGCGCAGTCGAATGTCGATTTGAAGGGCCGTGGTGGGTAGGACCACCGGAGAAGACCGAGAACGGCGAGCCCATCCGTCCCATCGGCGAGCGATTCAATGACCAAATTGTCGAAGATGTCGTTGCTGATATCGTGGATGAGCTTGAGGCAATGTTTACATGGGGTGGTGTGGATGGCGATGTCATTGGTAATAACAATACGCCGGATGGAACTGCCTCCGGCGCTGTTGGTGGCTCGGAGGTTCTACAAAATGGTGTTGGGGCTGCACTTGATTCTACAATCCTTGCACCGGAGTCTACCTCGGCGCCTGGTGCTGCGGTGGCTTCTGATTCCGCGGCGAATAGTAACCAGGCTACCCCGGCTGCGATTGCTGATGTCTCTGCGGCTCCGGCGGTAGATGGGACGAGTAATGGGGTAGTTGGGACACCGACTATCGGTGTAGAGATTCCTGTTGCTACACAGGATGAAGATGTCGAGATGACATGAGATGAGAGAAAATGTTTGAATTGCGAGCCAGATTGGCTATTATGTCCTGGGTCATGTCAGGCGAGGCGTTTGGTGTTTATAGTCACATATTCGAAGATATGATACCATTGAATTGAAATATTGGGTTAAGATATCATGGCCATGAGCTCTCATCCAGATCTTGAGGGGAAATACACCAGTATGCGGGTATATCCATTTGAATAGAAATTGTACAGTAGATGGTATCTTTATAGTAATACAAATATATCAAGCAGAGCCAGCCCACCGTCGACCTATATCATCCACGCCCGGTGTTCTGCAATTATTGCTCTCCAAGTCGATTGCCTGCAAGCAACTCCCCAACACTCATAACCAACTCATCATCTCCATACTGACCCACAACCTGAATACCAGCCAACTCATCAGCGCCAGAATCCCGGCTAGACTCCGCCACCGTCACAGGCACAGAAATAGCCGGAAGACCCGCCAAACTAGCCGGCACGGTAAACACATCATTGACATAGGCATCCAAAGGTGAAGACTGGCCAGAATCACCAGTTAGATCCGATAACCGTGGCGGAGACGAAGGTGCAGTAGGACAGACAATCACGTCAACTTCAGCGCCAGCACCAGTACCAGCACCAGCACCAACCGAGTCAGATTGAACAGCTTGCACATCGAATAGAGGATGTTGAACCGAGAAAACGGCATTAAAGTCCCGCTGAACAAGCCTCCGGACACGCTGCGCCTGAATAAAATAATTATCCATAGAATCCGCACTCAAACTAAACGTGCCAAGAAGAATGCGGCGCTGAACCTCCGATCCGAATCCAACACCTCGCGTATTAGAATAAAGAACTCCATCCGGCTGGCCATTTCCATCTGGACCGTCGCCGCGGGTGCCGTAGCGAACTCCGTCGTATTTGGCGAGGTTTGAAGAAGCTTCCGCCGGTGCGAGGACGTAGTATGCAGATAAGGCGTGCTTGGTTGTTGGCAATGAGATCGGATGGATGGTGTGGCCTTGCTTTTGCAGATGTGCGAGAGATAGGAGCCAGGCGGTTCGGACTGAGGGGGGTGAGTTCGGATATGTTATATTCGAGTGGGACGCCGATTCGGAGGGGTTTGGATGTTAGGCGCGTGGAGAGAGTGGAGGTTTGTAATTGGGTGAGAATTCGTGATCGTGAGGATTCGGAGAGACTGGTTGGGTCGCGGGGATCGTGGTGGTTGAGGATGGCTTGGAAATGTGTTAGCTGGTCTAGTTCTGATTTCATGTCGTCGAGTGTAGAGCAGAGCAGAGCAGGGAGCGCATTCTTACAGAAGATGTCTCGAACGGTGGAAGTATTTGTTCCCAAAATCCCAACTGTGTCTAGTGAATTCGCATATGCCACAACGCCCCATCGCGAGATCAGTCCGTATGATGGCTTGAAGCCCACCGTTCCCGTGTATGCAGCGGGCAACCTGACGGAGCCACCAGTATCTGTTCCAATTGCACTGCGCGAGACAGACTATATCAGTAGTAATCCCAACAATTCCAAGGTATGTATGTCCCAACTCACGCATAACATTGCTCTGCAGCAACAGCCACTGCACTCCCACCTGAGCTCCCACCAGCCGATATCTCATGTCCCGCGGAGTCTCGCCGGAGATTCTTCACAGGTCCAAATCGCGAATGAACCGAGTGCGATCCCATTCCAAATTCATCTAGATTGGTCTTTCCAGCAATCACAGCCCCAGCCCCTTCCAATCGCTCTACCACTGTAGCATTGAACGGGCTGGTGAATTTATCGAGAATCCCCGAGGCGCATGTCGTCGGTAGTTGGCGCGTGCAGATATTGTCTTTGATCGAGATCAGGCGGCCATCGATTGCGGATTTAGGAGTTCCTATCATCAAATAAACCCTTGGTTAGTCTATGGTGACGTTTGGTGGAGGTGATTTGGATCATCCGATGCGGTGCGGTACGGTACCTTTCTCGCTGCGCTGGTCTGCTTCCTTCACGCGGTCCAGCCACTTCCCAGAGCGCGACAGTGGGGTGATGAAGGCATTTAAATTGTGGGCATGTTGGTTAGCGAGACATCTCTCCGCTTCGCGTAGCAGGGACATTTAGGCTGAGGGTGTGAGGAGAAGAGGAGAAGAAGAAATGCGGCGTTGCGGGCGGAAGTGAAGATCACCGGTGGCCCGTGCGGAGTGGTTGTATACATCGAAGTGACAAGTAAATATTATTATTAGGAAAATGACATTGAGGCTATAAAAATTAATTTATGAGAAAGTAGAGATATTCTTGGAATACACAAGGCTCTTTAAAAGGGAAAATCCATATTTCTGCTGACAAGCGTTGCTCAATCTCAGCTATGGATATTGTATGACCACCCGCTGACTTGCATGTCTATAATATATTTCACGCTCCTATAGCATTAATTGAGCCTCAGTGACTTTATTTCATTCTTGTAGTTGATATATATCCTGTCATAAGAAACATTGACAAAATAGAGCCACGCTCATTCCACATTCCATAGATACGAAGAACAAAATCATACGTGAACTTTAATAGCGAGGAACAAAATGAAACACAGAGAACAAAGACAGAAACATGGGCAATCCCTGAGTTCCCTTCAATATAACCATTTTGTGTCCCCCGGTTATTTTCTCAGCCATTCAGCAGCTGACTTTGAACGCTCCCATGTCGCGACTCAGCTCGTGCTTCTTCCAATCTTTATCAGCAATGCCGATCTGGTTATCGCATTTGCTGTCACTGTAGATGCGGATGGTACAGCCACGGGCGCTCCAGTCATAGGTAGTACCCTTCTTGTTTGGGGCTTTGGTACAGGCCCTGCTCTTAGTGCCATCCCACTGGCCGCTCTTAGTGGTGAAGATCCAGGCGTTGGTCATGGGGAGAATGGTGACGAGGGCGAGGAGAGCGCTGGCGGAGATCTTCATTTTGAAGGATATAGTAGAGAGCTTGTAAGTTGATTTGGTCAAGGGTGATCTGCTTTGAAAGGCTTTTGGATCAAGATGGTTGAATGAATGATTTGATCTCGGAGGGAAGTTGAAGATATTTATAATTTTGCCTAGATCGAATATGACAACCTTGGAGGACGATTTGAAAAGAGAGTTGGTGGAACTTACTTTGAACTCACATTCAATCCCAATTTGGGAAAAGTACTTCTTGGAATTTCACGCACTCGTATTTCCAGTTCTCTTGTTGCTCGCTGTTTGAAACCAAAAAGGGTTATCCTCGAGTAGAGTTCCCAGGAGCAAACACAAGACCCTCCATCGCCGAGAACACAAAGTGGAGTATCAAAATACGCTGATTGGGCGAGTGGGCTCAGCCAAGGAGTTGTGGGATGAAAAGGTACTGCCAGTCTGTTTGCCCATTTCCTTTGAGATCGAAAGACGGGATGCGGAATGAGGCCAATGCGTTACCCTGCCTGAGAGCAAGGAATGTTGCCAGACTGGGGGTCATTGCCCGAGGTTCTCCGCGAATGTATCAAGGTCTAGGTACTTGGCAGTCTAAATAATGAAACCGACTCTAAATCAGCCTTGCAGATGCAGGTTTGACCTGCGGCCTTGGCCTGATGTGACTGGACCAAGATCGACAGTGGAGCGTCACATAGACCTATCCCGCAATCATATGCATGTGCGATGAGTCGTTCGTCGGGTTTATTAGCCTCCGCGGCTGATTTACCTCCTGCAGCTCGTATTGCGGGGAGGAGCCACAATGTTGCTGCAGGGTTTCACTGCAGGAGTCCGACGGCCCCCTTGGGGGGGCTTTTAGCATCACCAGATGTCTTACATAATTTGAACTCGTCGGTTCTACAGGCTACACCGAGGGAGTACTTTAAGCAGTTTAGCATAGAGTTTCTGTTGTTCTCTAAACCTACAGACTGCTCGCTTTCTTAAGGATTGGAAGAATACGAGTAAAATATATTTCAGTTTTAACCAAAAATTCAGCAAAAAGTTCAAGATAAATATGATATTATATATGAAAACCAAATCCGCAATACAAAGCTCAGAATAAAGAAGGCTAAAGCGTCCTCTCGCAATCGCTCTCTGTGCAGACATCCCAACCGTACCTAGACCCCCAGGCACTGAAGGCATGCACAGCCAACGATAAAATCGATATGGATACGATTCCAGAATACCAACAGCTTAGCGATATCACCATTGGGGTCATTTTCTTCCGTCAGAATCATGGCGGGGCCTCGACATCTACCCCAGGTTACATAACCCCACTCTGTTTCCTCGAGCCTCCTTGCAGTGTCGATAGCATAGGTATCACTATAACCATAACCCCGCAGAGTCAGTCGTCCGACTTGCCACCCGACAATGTTGAATACCTGGGAAATAAAATAGAAAGAACTGACAGGGAAATCGCGAGTGAGCTCCCTTTCCTTGAGCCACTCAGCCTCGAGCCACTTATCGACCTGATGCCACACAAACTGCAATGAATCCATAATCTTCTGGACCTTTTGATGATAGCAATCGCCGGTTTCCTCACCACGTAGGTCATCCCATTCTCTCAAAATCGATATTAGTTGCCTAATATCGTAGATGATTGAATCTGCCTCCTTTTGGTTTAGCCGATCGGCCCAGCCTGAGATCTGATCAACAATTCGCTTACGTTCAGTGATGAATGCTTCGCACGCAGCCTGGTTGGGCTGGGTAGGAGCTGGAGGACGCATGATGGGTATATGGAGGTGGGTGGTCTAAATATGGAATAAGGCCGATGCTGAAGTAACTCGGCCCGAGTGGGCTCGAGCAGATAATAATGCGATGTGATGATGAGATGGATGATAAAACGATATTCGGAGACGGCCAGGCTTAGGGTTCTTATAGCGGGAAGTTCCACAGTAACAAATTAGAGCATGTCTTTGTTCTAACCGGACAATAACCTCGAGAACTGCTAAAACACATTGAAACAATATAAAAATTAACATTGTCTTTGTGTTGAACACTAGTTTCTTTGGCATTAGAAACCATGATAAAGGAGAATCAAATTTATCTTTCTCTCTGAAAGAACTTCTTGTCTTATCATCTTTTGAAAGAATCCTTCGAAGATGCCGTCATTCTACTCTCTAGGAGCGGAAGTGGAGTAAATTCTACGACCGGCAGAATTAACTTCAGGACAACTTACTTCGAGGACAGCTGCTCACGAGCCGAACTACTTTCCAATTAAAATGTATGAGTTAATCTCATTGATTAAGTGGCATGAAATTTTCAAGCATCAAAGGATACCTCTTATGTATAGAAATATAGAGATACGCGGAGATCCTCGCCAGGGCGGCAAACTAATAACACCACCATAGTAGCCAGACACCCTAAGGTTGAACATATCTGTGCCACAATAATGTACATTGAAAATAGTACTAGTACTTATTTATTTTGCTGTTCACTAAGAGATCCTCGTACTTTCTTTCAGTTTCCTATGTTAATTCGCATAACCTAGTATATGTCTGGGACTATTTTCCGATTTTACCTTCTTTAGTTATTGGTCTGAAACAACGATCTGCAATATTCCTTCGTCATTATGCATGAAGACTCGCTGAATATAACCAGTCTTGCTATGATGCCAAGTAAACAAGTGAGTCATTTCTCCTTCGTATCGCGGCTAAGCACGGATATACGAGCTCAATGTATCCGATACCGGCAGGCCGTTCATCCAGCTTTTGGCATATCTTAAATTGACTCCTCAGAAACGCGATTCTGTCTACTTTCTAGATATCACGCACGCAAAAATTCACAATGTTGCAAACCGTGGAAATTTCCGACCTAAATGACAACTCCTCCAACCGCATATTTATCATCGGAGGTGGTATACTCGGCGCTTCCCTCGCTTACTTTCTCTCCAGAGAGGACAATGGCCGCCAAATTGTCCTCATCGATAAATATCTTGATAAGTTATCAGGATCAACCGGCTATGCACCAGGCTTCGTAGGCCAGTACAATGAGTCGCCTGTTCTCACCAGTCTTGCGAAAGATACGGTATCCGAGTACATCAAAGTCCCCGACGGATTCAACGTTGTCGGCGGACTAGAACTCTCGTCAACCCCCAATGGTGTCGAGAATCTGCATCGCCGAAAAGAAGCTGCACAGTCTTCCGGTCTCCCCGCCGAAATTATTTCACCAGAAGTCGCTGCATCATTGGCCCCGGACTTTATCGATGCCAAAAGTGTGAAAGCTGGGCTGCATTTTTCATCGGATGGGACGGCAAATGCTATTCGGATTGTTTCTTATTATATTAGCGAGGCCCAAGCTAAGGGCGTTCGGTTTCTTGAAGAAGAAGTCACTGGTTTCGCAACTGAAGGTCATCAAATGACCACCATCAATTCCTCGAATGGAGATATCGCATTGAATGGTAGCATTGTCATTCTCGCCACGGGTATCTGGACTTCTCCTTTAACAACCGATATTGTTAAATTCCCAGTGCCTATCATCCCCGTTGCACATCCATATACTTTTACCCCTCCCCGACCTCCTCGATCTGGAACACCGTATCCATTTGTCCGCTGGCTAGATCACCACGTCTACGCCAGAGATCATGGCGACCGTGATGGGTTGGGAAGCTATGATCACCCGCCAATGCAGGCGAATCCAACAAAGTCAGCAATGGGGCCATGGCTCGAAAGCTTTGAGCACGTTCTGTCGGAGGCAACCTCACATTTGAAAAATCGCCATCAATTTTTGGTGAAAGGACCTAGTGACGATCCGGACGAGAAGCGCCCTTTCAATGGGATATTTGCAGTGACTCCAGATAATCTCCCTCTCGCCGGAAGAGTCCCAAGTTTATCCAATTTGTGGCTCTGTGCTGCAATTTGGATTACCACTGCAGCTGGAACAGCAAAATTGATATCAAGACAGATTCTCGGGGGAGCTAAACAAAGGAGTTCTGAGGATGATGCTTTGTTGAAGGCCTTAGACCCTGCTCGCTTTCAGAATATTGAGGACGAAATTCTGGTGAAGCAAGCGCTGGCCAGGTACAACGATATCTACAATAGAGATTCGAAGTGAGACCGGGGATAAGAAATGGGTTGCCATGGTAGTATTAGTAGGGGTTGCCAAAGGTGTAAGGTTGATACCTGACACAAGATTGCTACAGTGAGAGGAATTATATTCGAAGTCGCTCTATTTCCATACATAGTGTCGTAGATATTTAGATGGTGTTCTATTTTATAGAATATTCTCCATGTTGGGCTACTTCAGTATCTACTCCAGCAGCTACCTAGTGGGCCAAATTCAATACCTACCTGTGTATGCCCACATTCGAAGGTTTAAAGTAGAAATTCCAAGTTGTTAATAGGGGTCGTGAATATGGCAATACCTTCTAAGTGACCTCGGGCACTAGTATGCCGAGTCATTCCACATCCACCATTTCATTGTTCTCTATAGCCTCGGGTCTTCTCATCTCATCGCCACATTTATGCTGCCATTCCGTCGTATCTAGTTCGTTTAGTTTGTGGTAGGAAATTTCACTCCTAGTAATATATCATCATAGCGTCTATCGGTAGTTCATATTTACTTCATATGAGCAGTGTGGAATTACCGAGCTGGGTATAAACCATCCACCAGCAACTTTCATATACCGAGATCGACGAGAGCAGTAATGTATGATATCGCTTATGAGCTACTAATATTCGCTGATGACATAATTTAATATAACTTGTGATTTTGAAAGTAATTTTTGAAGGGAAGGGCAGAGGTATTCGAATTAAATTCAAAAAGAAACAAATCGTTTTTGTAGCTGCAGACAGACAATGGCCGGTACTAAAGTGATAGATGGGACGTGGCACAATCTAACCTACCCGTATACCAGTAATGGTCATGCAGTACTAGTAGGAGTCTAGGAGCCTGCGAATATGTACATACGCAGGTGCCAGCCTTGCCTATTATTTACTAGCAAGAGCTCTCGGCAGATTTACGCATCGGGGATAGTTTTTACACTTCATAAATCCTGAATTCGAAGAGAGTTCCACGGCAACTTTCCTACTTGGATATGTAAGCTACCACAGGTCGAGAGGCACTGGGGCGCGGCTGTGCAGATCTTTCAAACCACCTCAGGCGGATTTAGGTCGATGAATTTCTCCCCAAATGGGGAAATGCTAGTCACCGCAAGTAATTTGCTTTCGAAATCAGAAGTGCGTCTCTAGACACAATGACGGGAACTGTAAGATTTAGTGTTGAAGGCAATATTCAAGTCTGCCATATTCTCACCCAACGGTCAGTTTGTGGCGGCTTGCAGCCTATGGGGTATTTTGATTTGGGGTGTGACTGCCATATGTTGAGATCAACGTAAGCAGTAAAGTATGATATTTCAATAGATAGTTACTTAAAAATGAATTATTCATATATTCATTCATAATCATAGTTCTTTTTGCGCCCTATCAGACCTTCTCCACAGCTGTTGTTCCAGGCTTTTCAGCATCTCCACGAGGTAATTCCGTCAAATCAACCTTAGCACTCCAACCCATCCACCATCGTCCAGCGAATAACTCCTCCATTCTTTCCATCGGAATTTCCTTGGTTTCCGGTGCCATTAACCCCAGCAATATGAGCCCAATCGCACAAACTATCGACCAAAATATGTACGCCCCGTATATATCCAGTGAAACAAACATATTCGGCGTTACCCGCACCACAGCAAATTGAAAGAACCAGTGCAAAGTCATATTGCTCGCATAGCAAACGCTACGGATACGAGTTGGGTAGATTTCTGTGCCATATAGGTACTGCACTGTACATAGACCAATCGACCAGCCGATGGCGTAGATGAAGACCGAGGCGATGGCCGCATCGGATGCAGGATTATTCCCTCCGTTCTGGAACACGGACATGTAGATGGACATGTAGATGTGGGCTATGCACTGGAGGCTAATTCCAGTTAACATGCAGCGTCGTCGGCCGATCCTGTCAACGAGTCCCCATGTGAAAACCATGGTAAAGACTAGTTTGACAATACCGTAGGCACCCGAGGTTATGAGCGAGGTATTGCCTCCAGCTACTCCTGCGTAGGTAAATATCTAGATATTAAAAAAAGGGTTTCAAATGTTAGGAAACCAGGCGTATCACTTTTCAATGGGATGGATAGAATGGGCTTACACACCTCCGGGATGTAGTAAGTGATGCCGTTACCCCCGCTCCATTGGGCAACCGTTTGCATGAGTGCACCTAGGATAAACCGCTTCCGATAACTTTCAGTGGTTGCGATCTCTTTGATAATTTTCGAAATTGAAACATCGCCAACATTTTGGTCCGTCATCTGTATCTGTTCTTTGATGTCTCGGTACTCATGCGACACAACCAAGGCATCACCCGCGGATGAACGTCGAAGAAGTGTGAGGGCTGCTAGTGCCTCTTCGTCTCTTTCTTTGGATGCGAGCCATCGAGGGGTATCTGATAAGAAAAAGGAACCGAGGAACGCGACACCGACGGGGATTAGAGGGATTCCTTGTACGAGACGGTACTGAGCCGCACTGAGCGCCATTGTAGAGTTGACACCATAGTTGACGAAGAAGCCTGCAAAATCTCGTTAGTTGGCTCTTGGGAAGACTTTCGGGAGGAAGAAAGAACAACCGATTGTAAGGAACGAAAGCAAAACCACCATGTACATGCTGACAACAGTTCCTCTGGACTTCGCCAGTGCAATTTCAGAGAGATACAGTGGTGCGACGACAGTCAGGCCACCTGCACCGAGACCTCCCCAGATCCGTGCAAAAAGCATCAAGCCTATGATGCCCGAGGAAAAGATTTGCATCAACGTCCCACTAGCCCACAGTAATATGAATAGTTGCCATGATCGAAGTCGACCAAGTCTGTCTGTAATTACCAAGGCCAGCAACGAACCAAATCCTGCTCCCAGCACACCAAACGAGGATATATTTGCTTTGCGATCAGCTAGACCGCTCGGATTGTCTTCCCAGTGATCGGCAATGAGGTTGAAGTCTTTCTTGAACGAATCTAAACCAATGGAGGCACTGAATCCGCCCTCATCGTAGCCTGCAAAAGTATTAACATCTGATAGTAATACGGAAGACATCGGCTTGTTGGCTTGCCTTTTGGTATTCCTCCAGCGGCGATGATGATAATTGTGAATACGTAGTAAGCGTTAAGCTTCTTCAACTTGAACATGGTTCCGATTTGAACGCGGTATTCAAGAAGTGGCCTGATACTACGCCATTTCCTAAGTGAGATGGAAGGAAAGGCACTTATAGTTTTTTTGAATTGGAACAATACACCCCATACCCCGGAATTACCCCGCTACCCCGTAGCGAAGTGAAATGGAAGTGACAAAATGTGGCCAGTCTCTACTCGGAAGTTGGCCGAGGTATAGATAACAATTCTATATTTCTCTTGACCGTGGAGACGTAAAATGAAGGGAATGAAACTTGGCCAGTATATGCTCGGAAGTTGACCGAGATATAGAAAATAATTCAACATTTCTTTTACCCGTGGAGACGTAAGCTGAAAGGAATGAAATTTGACGAGTCTCTGCTCGGAAGTTCACCGAAACTGCACATAATCGAATTGTTTTCTATATCTCGGTCAACTTCCGAATAGCTGGCTAATTTGGCAGACCTTCATCTTCACAAATCCTTAGGATATCAAGCGTCACCAGCAATGTACATTTGCTGAGAAATTGACATTGGATGTCATACTTGTTCTGATTTTTTTTTGGAACACTAGATTGGATACGAAGCTAGTATCAAATTGACGATGCAGAATGTTTTGACTCGTCAAAGAGCCTGGTAAGATATCTCAGGGGAATTTCCCATGGACGAGTGCCCAACCCATCTTTTTCTTTCCTTCCTGATACACTTCCCGTGCTTGTCACACTCTTGTCTGCTCCAACTCACCCTCTTGTATCAAGTGCAATGATTTCTCTACAGATGTACCGATTCGTCAGAACTGTTAATCAGGACATTTCTCGTCTTGTTCAGTCGCTGTTACACTTTTTATCTTTACAACAAGATAAACCGCAAGTTAGCACAGGTCATACTAAAACGGGATTTCCCTTCAATCGGATTCCCCCCGACTCTTGGGACAGCCATATGCATGTAGTAAGTGATCATATATGAAGGGCCATCCCTAAAGCAAAGAAATGGAATTTGAATGAACTCAGCGCTTGGAAATCAAATGCAACACTGATTCCTGGCAAAACTTTAGACCGACCCAGTCAAGTACACCCTCGCCAAGGGCGCACAATACATGCCCCAAACGCACCTTCTCTCTGAAGCGCTGAAGTTCGAGAAATCACTGGGCCTCCGCAATGTCGTCCTCGTACAGCCTTCAATCTACGGAACTGACAACACATGCATGCTAGACGCACTTCGCGCACTGGGACCAAATCACGGGCGTGCGGTAGTGGCCTTTGACCCGGAGACAATTGACCCCTCAACCTTGCAATATTGGCATCAGTTGGGGGTTAGGGGAGTCCGTGTCAATACGCAATCCATCGGAAAGCACATGAGGGAGGAGGAGATGGTGACCATATTACACAGATATGCAGATATAATAAGGCCGTACAATTGGGTTTTACAGCTGTACGTGCCGCTTGATGCTGTCATTATCTTGGAGAAGGTCGTACCGAAGCTGGGAGTTACCGTTTGTTTGGATCATTTTGGATCACCGGCTTTAAATGGCCGCTTGAACTTTGGAGACCCGTACAGTCTTCCTGGTTTTCAATCGCTGGTCAATCTACTACTACAGGGCACCACATACGTCAAGCTTTCCGCACCTTACAGGATATGTCAGGATGAGGCTTGGAAGGATTTAGAACCGGTTGCAAAAGAGTTGGTGAGAGTCGCCGGCATGAGTCGGGCAGTGTTCGCTAGCGATTGGCCGCATACTCGGTTTGAGGGGTTGGATATCAAGCCATACATTGAGGCGCTGATAGAATGGTGCGGGAATGATGATGCTTTGCTCGAGAGGGTTTTCAAAGGCAATGCTGAGACTTTATGGGGAGTATGACCCCGAAGTCAGGCACATTAGAGCTACAGAATATATCAATTTAATACAAGGAATTACTAGCGCCACCTGGAGCATGAAAGAAACGTGCTTGATATCCTGTTTTGACCGAAGCTAGCACCGGCGATTCCCACACCCTTCGAGTTCTACTGTGAATTAACTCTAGGTAAAAAAGCCATTGCGCGTAATACCATATTTCCACGAAGATCCTATTGTATAGTGATTTTACATACACTGGATTCCACGGTTTTCTCTCTCTTCTTGTGTTAAATCCCTCTACGCTTTCAAATAATTCGAAATCTGGCTAACCAGGCATATTGAGCTTAGTGGCGTTTCGAACCATGGAGAGCCGGACTTGAACTTTCCAAGATCTTAGGAACTATGCACTCGTAGCTCTGTATTTCTTCTCGGTCAACTTCCGAGCTGTGCATCTGTCCTAATACATCGTGCACTGTCCGTCTGGGATGTAGATAAGAAAGCAGTGTAACGAACAGGCGTTGTTACTATTGTCGTTGATGCCCTACGCCTGTGGCATCCACCAAGGCATCCACGCCTACACCTGTATGAATAGCTTCTGTCCTAGCTTCCTCCTTCTCTCCTCAAGCTATTACTTTCGCTCGTACCGCTACTACATTATTGCATCCTATGATACGTCTTACTTTAATCTGTGAGTTTCTGAGCATCCTCACAAGCAGAAGAAAGCTCATATTCTTTGAATACTCCCATTCTTTCAATCAACCGATATCAATTCAGAAGAGCAATGATGGAAAGAACACAGAAGTTAAATCAAGGCAGTCCACCAGCTGTCAGTACAAAACTTCTGGCAGGTGGCATTGCGGGGGCCTCAGAGACGATTATAACTGTAAGCGACTTATTCCGGGAGAGCTGGATTCACACTCCTTCCAGGCCATTAAATCAGCTGATATTCTGACACCTAGTATCCCTTTGAGCTCCTCAAAACCAAACGCCAGCTTCCTGAAAATGGTATATCCTCACGCCCATCATCCTTCTCCCTTCTCCGTTCAACCATCAGCACACAGGGTTTACCTGGACTATACGCCGGTTGTACCGCTCTGGCAAGCAGCAACGCCCTGAAATCTTCTATCCGGTTCTTTGCATTTTCCAGCAGTAAAGAGTGGCTCAATACGTTCGGGACCTTCAACGCAACTACAGCAACGCTGTTATCTGGTATCACGGCTGGGATTGCGGAATCGGTTCTTGTTGTCACGCCAGCGGAAGCACTGAAGACGAGAATGATCGAGGCAGGCAAAGCCAGGACAGGAACCGGGGACTCGGGAATGGCCGGCACGATACGACAAATTCTGAAAAATGAGGGCGCTGGTGCTTTCTGGAGAGGCACGGCACCAGTGGTGGGTAAACAGGCTATGAATTCTGCCGTGCGCTTTACGACCTTTGAGATACTGGAGGGCGAAGTAGCGAGGCGATGGCCTGAATTTGCCGGGAGAGTCAGCACAACATTAGCGATAGGGGCTCTCAGCGGAATCGCTACGGTGTACGTACCCAATGCACCGCTTCCCTACATTCCTGGGAAGCCGAACTTTCTCCACTGACAAGAGACAGGTATGCCTCCATGCCATTCGATAGTATCAAAACGCGCCTTCAAAGTGCTAGAACTGAGTACAATGGTATGGTTGACTGCGCGGCCAAGATTGCGGAGAGAGAGGGGATTTGTGCCTTTTGGAGAGGTACAACACCACGTCTGATGCGTTTAATGGTAAGCGACTTCGTACCCAGTACCTGTCTTCCGACTAACCTGAGTTCTGTCATAGCTTTCGAGTGGTATAACATTCACAGTGTACGCACAGGTCGTTCAATTTGTGAGCTCCGATTCACGGAACATCATGCGCGTGTGAAAGGTATATAATATGATGTTCCAACTTATTCCATTTAGTAAACTTGATCATCACTGATTCCAAAAGCCGCATCAATGGGGGTAAGAAATTGGAATGCTTCAAGGGTCTCATCAGATATAGTAAATTCTTCATGATCGGTTTCCTGAATGACTGGATCGGGGTACTCCAAATACCCTGGCCGATGACCTGTATGATTGGACTCTGGAGATAAAAATTCATTTTGAGTTTTCACTTGCACTGTGACATTCACAGTTTCGTCTTCGTCGTTCGTGGACACAATGGGGAGTATGTCCGGTCTTATTTTTGACAATGAGTCGGTTATAAGACCCAGTGCGCTCTCAACAACTATAGTGGACGTTAATAAAGTTCCCGTGAATAAACAATATGGTAGTCAAACCTGGATTTGAAACGCTGAGTCGCTCCAAGGCACTTATACAAAACCTGAGCCGTGTCAAAGTCTGCGCATCCGGACGTGAGGCAGCCTGAATCTGGAGGAGAAAAATGGATGCTGCGGTATAGATGCTATAAGATAAAGAGAGAACAGTATATTCAAACCCGAAGGATTGACAGAAGAGGTCATAGATTGTAACGATTGACGTTGCAGACGATATGCACTCCAGAAGATGATGCGCATTCGCTCGGGGTCGATTACCGTTCATCGAATCCCTTTGGAACAGCATCGGCCGATACAGCAGGATCTTGAAAACATGGTATAGGCAGCTGGGATAGATTAGAATAGCGCTGTATTGATGGCATGGTGACTTTACTTCAAAGTGACAATGTGATTAGGAGGACAGTATTGCGGAAGGTTTTCCGTATCGATTTTTAGGACGTTTGGAAGATCTTCCCACCACCTGAGGTAGTCAATAATTAGAAATTCAGAAAAGAGATATCGATTATGTTCACTCACTGTTTCAGGGAATGCTTTTCACTCTGTAAACAAGCCCTCGCCTCCGCATCGGTGTGCGGCTTTGTCGGGTCATAAATGTGAATAAGAATCTCATTAAAAATGATAGAAAGCCGACACATCCATCTGAAACAAGTGACAGAGTTCGCCATAGTTGGTGGGTATTCTGAGCCTTCAGGATACGCGACCCCATGAGGGGACCAGAGTTCATTCTCTGCAGAATCGTCCACTAAGGAGACGTGGTACATTAGCGATCCTTATGATTCTCGCAAAACTCCCAAGAAATGTCTTCAAACACCTGGCCTAGCATTTCCTGGCGCAAGGGATATACTGACATGTTATCTGGTCGGGGCTGATGCCCGAATGCTGCAGCATCGGGGTTCTACCCAAGTATAAACTGACCATCTTGTCCCAGAAGTAACAACTCCAGAAAAGTCGCTGTCGGATTTCGACGTCCTCATCTTCAAGGTTTAGTTCCAACTGGCTCCTACCGGTATTGAACGTGATTCCCATATCCTCAATCAGTCGGATTGCCATCCCAGTGTACAGCCAGGCCTGGGTTCGATTTCCGGCGCTACATTCTTGCGCGCTCAATAACAAGAGACTTTGTATGGTTGGTACCTTTGGATGGCCCGTCGAAACTTCAGAGAATACCAGCGAGCGTGCTTGTCTCGAGAAGAGAGCTCCATTATCGTATGGCTCAAGGAGAAGCTGAATTCCCGCGTTATATTTGCACCAACGGGCGGAATGTGAGAGCATGGCATTAAGAAGGGTATGCGAATAATAAGGGCCGAGAACCTCCATATCCCCTGTCTTGCGTTATTCAAAAAAAAAGTAATGGGATTCATGAGGTTCAAACATACGTGTGAAAGCAGGACGGTAGATGAAATTGAACAGGGGTTGTATCCAACACCAGTGAATATTGAGCAAGAACTGGAAAGGTTCCTACCACATAACAAGGTGTCAGTATAGATTACCGGTACGCAATGATGTGACACACTGGAGTTTCCAGAAGCCGTTCTAAAGCACGCTGTTGCCATGCATTGTTGACCAGCTTCTCTTTCCTTCGATTTCCCTCGTCAAGGGTTTCGAAGGCACCCCCGCTTTGCCCGTCAAATGCTTCGTTCAAGTCCGAGCCTGGTAGCTGAAAAAAACTTGTCGCACCATGGTAGGTAATTGCGCCTTTCCTATCGAGTCTCAGCCCGTTTATTGACCTCAAATACGTCCGCTTTGTTGGCGCAGGCGGTAACGCCGCAGCCGTCGACGTGCTTGAGGAAGATTGCTCTGCAGTATTTGACGTAGATTCGTTTGCTTGTGCAATTGAAAGAGCATGCTCTAATGCCTTGACCCTATTTTCAAGCTTCTGGGTATAGGATAATGTGGGGGAAAGCTTGTATTCACAGATTTCACTGCGTCGAGTGCAGCGAACGCAAGTGGGTTTATGTCCATCGCACTTGACCTTCCTCTTTCTGCATTGATCGCAGGAGAAGGCGCTTTTTTTGGTGGCCTTAGCGGAAGACACCGACATGCTAGGATAGTCAAGGTCAAGCGAATATAGAGGATTGTTATTATGAGTTGTGGGAAACCTCGCTGGGAGGAGAGATCAGGTATTTCCCGAAGCCCGGAGCTTACGGTTCCAACTAAAGTAAGAAGGTTCAGGCAAGCGTGCTCGACAATCAAGAAAGCTCGAAGCCGTAACTTTTCAGTGCACAAAATGTATGTGGGAGAAAAGCAGCAAATGGAATTCTCGGAAGACGGCCGAAGCAGTGCACCATCACGTGGGATTAAATGGTAGTCAACGAAGTTAAATCCTTACCTACTAATTGGTTGAATGCACCCCGCATTTCTTTTTCAAACTTGTTCTCTCATGTTTATCCAATATCTCTGAATATACCTGCATCTATGTAGTCGGACATAATCAGGAGGGGAGATTTGTCTCAATGTGGGTCAACCCCCCCCATCTTCTATACTTACTCGTGAGATTTCTCGATCGGGTGAAATCTCACGAGTGTTCTAAATCTCTAAAAAAAAAATCGCCGGAACTATATATCTTTCTGTCACAAAGAGCTCTAGAATAGTCACTGGCGTGTCGAGTCCTCATTGTTCAACATAGTCTCGATTCTTCTCATCTTATCACCACCTTTGTGCTATCATTCCATCGCATCTAGTTGGTCTCCTTTATAAGAGCATTTTTCCCCTAGTAATTCCATCATCGTATTGTTTATCGGTAACTAATATTTACTATGCAAGTATGAGCAGTGTGGAATCCCCGAGTGAGTACAAGTCAACCACCAGCAACCATCATATTAATCGAGGTCGACCGCTCTTTCAAGCAGAACATACAAAGAAACATAAATAGAACTTTAGTTAATTGGGATTACCCAAGCCAAGCATTACTGGGGCTTGATGCTGAGTCATATCATATTTCTCTGTTTCAGGCTGTCTTTCACTGGCTACTAAATCAGTGTGTAGACCAGAATTGCTGATAGCTTTTGACTCCTAACTGCCTTTGTTATCACTGCAGTCGTTTTCCAATCCAGCAATATGCACCATATACTGAGTTTCCCAGTCGAAATCATTATTTACGTGTTCGAATCACTTGATGATATTGACGATGCCTTGCATTTTGCGAGATGCTGCAAGTATCTTTATAGTGCTTTCAACCCAATGGGCGTCCGATTGGCGATATTCAGATCCGTTATTGTATGTCCGGACTTTGCTCGAGTTTATTCTTACAGTACATAGTTTGACAATATGGACAGGCACGGGCTTCACATCACGAATATGATGTTGAGCTAAGTCAACGCACGAATCTGTATGGACAATTTTCCGAAGATTTCTATGAGACACTGTCACTTCCTATTGCGGAAAACCCAACCTACCGCAAGTCTCTAGCCTACAAATTTCTAAGCCCTTTGACATGTGGCGATAAAATCCCTGCTGAAATTGTCTGGGATGTGGTCTGTAGGTGGCAAAGAATGCGTGTTCTGTACAATCTCTATTGCAACTCTGCAATCAACGAAGCCTATTCCACTTCCACATTCCCTAAATCCCGAATCGGGTCTAGGAATGGGTTTCAAAGAGATGTCGCGATGACTAGAGAGCCTGCTCTCCAGCCCCCATCTGATCGCATCCTCGCCAGTGTCGAGTAAATGAGCATGAGACAAAGACGCCAGTCCTATCAAATATTTTACATGGCTGTGACGAGACATTGGACCTCTTTGGAAATGCTCTGGCTCGTCAAAACCCAGCCCACCTCAAATGCCGCAGAATTTAATGAGTTCTATTTCCTCGAGGAAAAATGGACTAATAATCCGACGATATCCCTGTCAGTCGGAAATAGAGAGAGATGCCAGAGTATATAATTATAAATAGGCTAGAGCCCTGGAGGAGGTATATATATTAGGAGGACTCGGAGACATACTGGCAGGTCAGGTGATAGCTTACTAGACCGTACACGAACTTGAACAATCCCACACACTATTCGCAGACCATGGAAACAAAATTTCTAGTAATAATCCAGAGCACCTTGCACGAAAACAAAGAGACGCAGGAACACGTCATTCTTTTTCGCCGGTGTTATACAATGAAGTAGTTAGATGCGGCTATTTGCCTTCTCCTTCGGCCCGAGCGAACTCCCCAACGCCGACGTCATCTCCTCCTTCCGCTTCGCCGCTTCTTTTCTTTTTCTCCCTCTCCTCCTCACCCACTCCAACATCCCTTCTTCACCCTACACACACAAACACACACACAATGCTATCGCGCAGCTCCCTCCGAGCTGCCGCCCAAGGCACTCGACAAGCCGGCCTCACTCGCCCTGTCGCCTTCCCCGCGGCCATCAAAGCTCAATGCGCCGCCAACTCCGGCCACAGCTCCACATTGCCCGAGGGCCGCAGACACGTCTCGATGTACGGCTACACGCAGGCCAAGGCATTGATGTATTCAAAATATGGCGAGCCAAAGGATGTTCTTAGGTATGCGCCCTGCACCTCCACCTCTAGCAGCAGTTGCAGTTGCACCTACGCTCCCAATCCAGTCCATACTAACCACCTGGTATGTAGCCTCCACAAACACTCAATCTCAGCGCCCCACGGCTCTCAAGTAAACCTCCGCCTCCTCAGCGCCCCCATGAACCCAGCAGACGTAAACCAAATCCAAGGCGTCTACCCCAGCAAACCCCCCCTTTGAAACCAGCCTCGGCACAAGCATCCCCGCCGCAGTCGGCGGCAACGAAGGCGCCTTCGAAGTCCTATCCGTCGGAGCAAGCGTGAAGAAGTTCCAACCAGGCGACTGGGTAATCATGAAAAAAACCGGCCAAGGAACCTGGCGCACACACGCCCAACTCGATGAATCCCAACTCATCAAAATCGAAAACAAAGAAGGTCTCACCCCTCTCCAAATCGGCACCGTCTCCGTAAACCCAGTCACAGCATACCGAATGATCCGCGATTACTGCTCCTGGGACTGGATGCGGGCCGGCGAGGAGTGGCTTATTCAAAACGGGGCTAATTCCGGCGTTGGTCGAGCGGCTATTCAACTCGGTCGCGAATGGGGTGTGAAGACACTAAATGTTATTCGACAACGTCCTACGCCCGAAGAAACCGAGTCCTTGAAGGCTGAACTAAAGGCCCTCGGTGCTACGGTCGTGATTACTGAGGAAGAAATGCTTTCGGGCAATTTTCGCGATATGGTTCATCAGTTTACGCGTCAGGGTAAAGAGCCTATTCGACTTGCGCTGAATTGCGTTGGTGGTAAGAATGCTACTGCGCTTGCGAAGACGCTTGCGCCGGACTCGCATATGGTTACGTATGGTGCTATGTCGAAACAGCCTGTTGCTTTGCCGAGTGGGTTGTTGATCTTTAAGAATCTTTCTTTTGATGGGTTTTGGGTTAGTCGGTGGGGGGGATAGGAATCCTGAGCTTAAGGAGAATACTATTAAGGATGTTCTTGAACTTACTCGCTCCGGTAAGTTCCAGGATATCCCTGTTGATAATGTTTCTTGGAGCTGGGATAGTGAGGGTCCTGAGCTTGCGGAGAGTGTTCAGGGGACTTTGGGTGGATATCGCTCTGGAAAGGGTGTGTTTACTTTTACTGGTGGTGATTAAATGTTTCATTGCGGTGTTTTGCAGAGTTGAGATGGGACAGTGTAACATAATATCCAATTCGATTAGATGAGCAGCTCTGCCTACTAGTAGTAGCCCTAGGTTAGAACTTGAATGGATGCTTTAATGTAACAAATAGTTATGAATACCGTGCTTATAGATGCTGAAATACAACCCAGTGAACACCAGACTAGAAATTCATGCTCAAATCTATTCTCAATAACTTAATAAGACAAGCGTACATCACTTAATTGCATGGCCAGTTCTTCCCCACCCATTCCAAGACCAAATCCGTCAGCGTCGAGCCTGGCATATAACTCTCGCTCTCCTTAGCAAAGTCAAGATCAAGCTGGGCAAACTTGGCCGCCAGCGTGAGATACGACTGGAGGAATTCAATGTACACCAAGTCTACTGTCTCAGGCGTAGCCGACGAATTTGCAGACAGTGTCGCTTGGAAGACGTTTGGTACACGATAAAAGGAAATGGGGGAGTGTATCGTGTCATCTCCGTCGTGACCGGCATCATCTTGGGTTGTATATCCCGGAACAACTGCACCGGATGGGTTTTCAGCCGACAGGGGTATCTGGCCCGTGCCAGCCATATCTAAACCATGCCATTCATTCGATGGTTCTGGGCTCGCAAGCACACTATCAAGATGTTTGACTTGAGCTGGGGGGCACAAGGCATCAACGCCATCGAACGTCTCCTCCAAGGAGCTTGTCAAAACCTGTGGTTGCTTGTTGAGAACTTCCATAATCAGTTGTACTTTATCGTAAGGAACGTCTTTCACGTATCGAAATTCGTTGGTAAATGGGGAAATGATCCACATGGTATCCTGAGTAAAGGGACCCTTGAAGATGTCGAAGCGGATAGCGCCTGTATTCAGAACGGCTACTGCAGGGCGGTCTCCGTCTCCACGAGACTCATTCTTCAATGTAGCCGGCAAGACCTCCTTCTCTAGCCAAGTATAGATGCTATCATCGTGTGGGTACGGGGCTCGTGACATCCAAAGGTCACGCGGATTACACCCGTGGATCTTGTCCAGGTGGAGGGCACTCCGCGAGTCCGTAATGAGCTGGGATACATTTAGGCCCTTGTCCGTATGGAAAGAGCTTTCGTCAAGACCTGTATGATGGTAGTAGGAGTAGAGGTTGTTATCAATGTATCGTCGCTTGAAGACGGGGCCGGCGGTGGTGCTTGGGTCGTTAGTGGAGGATAGACCATCGATCGACATAAACCCGATGGTCTCCATGAATCGACCGCTGGCGAGAGCGACGGCCTTTGCATCGTACTGGGCATAATCTCGGATATGCTGGTGTCCGCCAAAGAACTGGATCGGAGTGTCCCGTGTCCCCGGGTAGACCGAATCTCGGTGAAGATGGCCTTATACTCTGGGGAATGGGCGGGGACGTGTCCGGCGACGACGAAGAGATCGACCTCTTCGTCGTTAATAGCCTCTTGAAACCAATCTTCTTTGATGGTCTCCTCCACGCGCTGCACGACGGTATTATTATAGTTGCCGGTGAAGTCGAAGAGGAAGCCGAAAGCTACGATACGAATCCCCTGTTGTTTGGTAGTAAATTTCTTATATCGAGAGGCCAGCGGGACCAGCTCTTGGGTCTCCGGGTGAATTATATCGATATTCGAGGCGAGATAGCTACCTCGGAAATTGGGAACGGTGACCTGGAGCTCAGCTTCGGAGGTGTTGTGTTTGTATAGTTCGTGGTTCCCGGAGGTCATCACATCGATATGTTGGTGGCGGAGGATCTCCGAGAGGTAGACCCCTTGTGGTTGAGAAGAATCGTAGAGGCCATTTCCCTCGACTCGGTCCCCGGTATCGACCACTAGCAGATCCCGACCTTGAGCCTCAATCTTTTCCCGCATGCGCTCGGCGAAGGAGATATAGTCGCCCCAGTCCGCCGAAAATGAGGGCCTGTGAGAAGGGTATTAGTGGAGACTACAATGGAGAACCTCCGATAGGCCTACTCCTGCAGATGACCGGCCAGCCAGCCATGAGTATCGGTGGTGTGGAGGAAGTTGAGTTGTCCGAGATGGAGATCGCGTAATGGAGCACGGATGGGGGCGGGCGCGGCAGGTTGAGCGGCGAGCGCCGACGGGAAAAGCAAGGGCAACACCGACCACCACATTGCGGGGGGAAGGGGGTCGGGGAAGTGTAGATGTCGAGGGGACGTAGGTGAGAGCTAGGTGGACAGGGAGAGATAGAAGAGAGGAAAGAACAGAGTGATGTGAGTCTGTGAGTACCGTGACTATACTCGTGACTCGACTCTCGTGACTCTAAGGTACTCAAGGAAGGAGCTATAGCTGTCTCTTCTCTGCTCTCACGGAAGGAGCGTCCGGTGTGCACTACCCGCACCACCACCGACTCCTGCTGACTCAGCGCCCAACATCTTCGGATTTGCTGCCATCGTCAAAGTTTCTCCGGCGCGGCTTCTCATCCTTCCCCAACCAACTTACCTTTTTTGGTCTCACCTCCCTCCACGACTTGGTGCTTTCGACCTTTGCGGACTTTTCAATTGTCCCTTCCGCACCTTCAACTCCTTCGATTTCTACTTCTCATCCCTCCATTCCTCCCACCTTCGCCATGGTCGCTCCCCGAGTTTTCCGCCCTGCGGCCCGTCTGCTTTCTTCGCGCCTCTCCACCCCTCTGCGCCCGGCTTTCACCCAGACCGCTTGCGCTCCCTCAATTCTGCGCTCTCGTGGATATGCCTCCGAGTCCGAGTCCGGTGTCAAGCAGGTCACCGTCCGTGATGCCCTGAACGAGGCTCTCGCCGAGGAGCTCGAGGCCAACCAGAAGACTTTCATCTTGGGAGAGGAGGTCGCACAGTACAACGGAGCGTAAGGGCCCCTTATCATTGGAGATGAAGAGATATTCGAGAATGCTTGGTTTGGAATTGTCCGCTGACATTGAGCTTTCCCGCAGTTACAAGGTGACGCGAGGTCTTCTGGACCGCTTCGGCGAGAAGCGGGTCATTGATACCCCCATCACTGAGGCTGGTTTCTGTGGTATCGCCGTTGGTGCTGCCCTGGCTGGTCTGCACCCCATTGTGAGTTGAATAAGATCCCCGGGGAAATGCAATTGCGATCCACTCGCGATGGGTGGATCGCGGAACATAACGGGCAACAAGCTAACGGGTTGACACCCCTCTAGTGCGAGTTCATGACCTTCAACTTCGCCATGCAGGCCATCGATCAGATTATCAACTCCGCCGCCAAGACTCACTACATGTCCGGTGGTATCCAGCCTTGCAACGTCACTTTCCGTGGTCCCAACGGTTTTGCCGCCGGTGTCGCCGCTCAGCACTCCCAGGATTACTCTGCCTGGTACGGCAGCATCCCCGGTCTGAAGGTTGTCTCCCCCTGGAGCTCCGAGGATGCCAAGGGTCTGCTTAAGGCTGCTATCCGTGACCCCAACCCCGTTGTTGTCCTGGAGAACGAGTAAGTGTTGAGCCCAAAACAATCCCGAAACGAAAACATTTCCCGAAGATCGGCGCCCGGCGCACGGGCAGCATCGGGAACAACCCGAACAAAGCAACAACTTTAACTAACCTCTTTTTTCCCGCTCAGGCTTATGTACGGCCAGGCTTTCCCTATGAGCGAGGCCGCTCAGAAGAACGACTTCGTCGTGCCCATCGGTAAGGCCAAGATCGAGCGCCCCGGAAGCGACCTCACCATCGTCTCCGTCTCCCGCTGCGTCGGCCAGTCCCTCGCTGCCGCCAGCGAGCTGAAGCAGAAGTACGGCGTTGACGCCGAGGTCATCAACCTGCGCTCCATCAAGCCCCTGGACGTTGAGACCATCATCGCCTCCCTGAAGAAGACCGGCCGCCTCATGGTCGTCGAGTCCGGCTACCCCATGTACGGTGTCGCCTCGGAGATCATGGCTCTGTCCATGGAGTACGGCTTCGACTACCTGACCGCCCCCGCCGCCCGTGTCACCGGTGCTGAGGTTCCCACCCCTTACGCCCAGGGTCTCGAGGATATGGCCTTCCCCCAGAATGACACCATTGTCAACCAGGCTGCCAAGATCCTGCGTTTGTAAGTGGAGTGAGTCGAGCGAGCGTGAGCGAGCGTGAGCAAGTGTGAGCAATAATAAAACCAAACCATTGTGCCTAGTACCCTTTTTTTCATCTGTCCCATTTTCTTGTTCCCTATATCGTTGTTTCCATCATGTCGTTATTTTCATACTCGCCCTAGGCAGATTCTTGGAAAGCTATGTATCATTACATTATACCTTTCACAGGTCTGCGTCTTGTTCAGGTTCTTTTTACAGCGTAAATTGCGGGGTCGGGTGGAGTGGAGGACTGGCCTGCGATTGTTAGATTGATAGACATTGGAATTCAGTCGTGATATCTTTGAGCTATAGGACAGGACCACATGAGTAGATTGTAGACGGAGAAATTTACAGTGTAGCCGTAAGCGTAAACCAGTGAATCCGAAGCCAGTCTCCAAGATTCCTAACGCCGGAACAATGCTGATGAAATGTAAACAGAAAGAGAATGATCGTGGTCGTGAATGTGATTGTGGCCGTGATCCCAGCTAGCTCTCCCTTCCCTTATCACTGGAATTGTCTCCGATGTTGACATCATGCCAAGGATCTCATCTCAGAAATCTTCTTGACTTGAAAAAATTCTTTACTCCAGCCTTCTGGTGTGGTCATGGTCACCAAGTAAATGATCCCATCGTGGAGACGTGAGGGATGCCAGGGCATCCGAGTCTGTCTTGATACTCTCTGCAACGGTAATAAGACGGGCGAATTTCTTCTCAACAAACTCGGACAGTGGTGCTCGAGACGAGACGAGACGAGACGAAGCACCTGTATCTCCAATTTTGCATGCAGAGGATATAGCAGCCAATGGGATACCGCAGCAGGGCATTCTTCATCAAACTCGCCAGCCATGGGAGTCATGACTGCCCATTGAATGAATATTCAATAGTGTTCTGTCCTATCCACCGAGTCCGACCAATCGAGTCAAACGATATCGAGATTCCTCAAATCAGGCCAGACCTCAGCTCCAGCAGATAATGAGTGTCTGTAACTTTGACAGAACAGAACAAAACCCTCGCTGCTCATGACAGAGCCTTAACCTCTTTCCCACTCACACCCACACCTCCACAATCACCAAAACACCCTGTCGGCCGTCTCGGATCATAATACCCCCCACCATCCAGATCCCGCGCATACTCCTCATCAGTATCGCTCTCGACATCATCGCGAACGAGTTTGGACCCTGTAGTCGTAGCCGTAGCCGTAGGCGCAGCTTTCACAGCCTCTTTTCCAGTCTGCCCATCAATCCCGGCTTCGGTATTCATATTCCCATCATCATCCCCATCATCACCGAGAACATTCCTCTTAACCGGTCCCGATCCCGTTCCCGATCCCGATCCCGTTGCAGAAGACCCCTTAACTGACGCGAACGAACTCTTAAACCCACCTTTCTTAAACCCGCCCCCGCCAGCGCCAGATTTCGCTTTCGCCTTCTGCGCAAAAGAAACAGCTTCAGCTCCACCTCCACCCCCGGCTCCTCCGCCGGTGGTGGTTGTGGGTGTGGGCGTATCAATAACCCTCAATCCAGCCTCGGCATCAGCCTTCCTCTCCGCGCGCCGTGCTTTCTCCGCAGCATTGGGGTCGCGGGAAAGTTGTTTTAGATCTTGGAGGCGTTTTCGGTGTTGGTGGTCGTAGGAGCCGATGTGGGCTTCGTATTCTGGGTGGCGGGAGTAGGACTTTGAGCAGAGGGTACAGGTAAATGAGCTTAGTGCTGATCGGGCGGATTCTGTCTGTGTAGTTGTTAGTGAGGGGGTTGATTTGTGGTGGTGGAGGGAGGGTATAGTACCTTTGGGGCGGGATTTGTGAATCCTCGCTGGGTTGGGTTGGTTGTTAGAAAAAGATGGAACTGGGTGGATGAGGGGGAGTTTGAGGTACCGGTGGCATTTTGAAGGTTTGCTCTTTCTTTTTCTTGAGGAGGTGGAGGTGGTGAAGTTGAAGATGAAGATGGAGGTGAAGTCAAGGGTAGCTCATCTCAGCCAATCAGAGAAAGCGGGTTGCCCGTGACGGCCTTCCCCAACTTTTTCCCTTTTTTGCTTGTTTCCTCCACTTCAACTTTGACTTCCACTCAACAATGCCCTGATAGTCGACGATTCTCCTTGTTTCTTTCTGTTTTTTATCTTTCCTAATTGTCACGAACATAAAAGCAATACAAATATCACATCCACATCTACATCCATCATGACTTCCCTCTCCAAACCAATGGACAGCGACGCCAAATCCATCATCTCAATGCAAGAACTGGACCCTTTACCCGTGGACGACTCAACCTCCGACCTGGAGAACCTGGAGAGCGGCGAATACACTCCCAAAATCGTGGATGAATCACCCACACGCACCTGCGGTCTTTCCTCAACATTGGGCCTCCGTCCCCATCGTTGGGATGCATTGTGTACGATTTCCAGCCAGCCTATCCCAAGTACAATTACAATTACAATTACAATTACTAACTGACTCCCAGTATCCGGTCTCCAACGATACTCTACATACCCCCCAACAGCCTTCTTCATCCTCCACTTCGCAAATACATCCCTAATCCCACTCCTCACCCAATCCATCCCCGCTAGCGAGCCCTACCTCCTCCTCACGCGACCAATCTACCAAGCACCAGGCCTAGAACATCTCGTCCTCACCCTGCCCGTGCTGGCACACATCGGCTCCGGAATCGCACTCCGCAATATCCGCGCCACACGGAGAGCCCGTTTATACGGTGCTGAAACCCGTGCCCAGCGTGATCTTCTGCGCTGGTGGCCGCGCACCTCTCTACAAGCGAAAACTGGATTTCTTATCACGCCGCTGATCGGTCTACATGCGCTAGTCAATCGCGCCACGCCTTTGATGGTGGAGGGTGGTAGTTCGGGCGTGGGCCTGGGATATGTTGCGCATGGTATTGCGCGGAGTCGGATCTTTTGGAATGTGTTTTATCTTGTTTTTGTGGCGGCGAGTGTGTGGCATTTTGTTGGTGGGTGGGCGACTTGGTTAGGGTGGAGAGTTACTACTGTGCGCAGGGAGCGGGGTTCGAAGGGTTCTTTGGAGGGGTATCTTGGATATTCGGAGAGCCAGGGTCGGGTTAAGAGGCAGCGGAAGATTTGGTGGGTTGTTAATGGGGTGGCGGCTGTTGGAGCTGCTCTTTGGATTGCGGGTGCGTTGGGGATTGTTGGGCGTGCGGGTGAAGGTGCTGGGTGGGAGGCGAAGGGGTGGAATGAGGTTTATAGCCAAGTTCCACTGATTGGGCAGTGGTTGTGATGTATACTAGTACTCTATTATTATAATCCTAATACATACATACTATTCTATAAAAAATATCTACTTAATACTTATATCGAGTGTATACTTCTACTTCCACTTCTGCTAGTCCCACTTGGTCCGTGCGGAATCTTTTTTCGCCGACGCCGCCAACTTCTTTTTCTGTCGCATTCATTCATGACGCGCTTGTACCAGTCGCTCTTCGCTGCAATCCCAAGATGCCAATTTACTACTAGTGCTACTTGTACTCGCTCAATCTCACACCTCAATTCCAATACCGTCTTCCACCGCCTCGGTGCTGCACCCTTCAGCAACTCCGCCAGAGCCATGGAGCCCTCAACCACAACCACAGCCACAGCACCCACCCCTCTGCAAAGCAAGCTCGTGGAATTCCGCGGCGCAGAGTACAATGTCATCAAGGAGGGTCTGGCCCATATTCTAAACCCTCCTTCACAAGAAGCCGCCTCCAAGGCTACTCGAAGAGACCTCAAGACCGAAGACGAGTCGCAGTCCGTCTTTTACAACCCCATCCAGCAATTCAACCGTGACCTCAGTGTTCTGGCCATTCGCGCTTTCAGTGAACATGTCGTTGATCTGAAGAAGCAGAAACATGACCTGAAGGCCAAGAAGCGCACTGCGAATGGTGGGTCAAAGGGCCAGAAGCGAAAACGTGAGGATGAGGGGGATCAGAACCAGTCAAATAAAAAGGGAGAAGTTGCTGAAAAGTCGGAGACAGAGAATCCGAATGAACAAGTGGAAGTCGATGTCGATGTCGAGGCCGTCGGTGCTACTGCTGCTCCTACTGCCACTGCCACTGCCACTCCCACGAATGGAAAGCAAGAAGACTCTACCACCACACCATCCCACCAATTCACCATCCTAGACGCCCTCTCCGCAACAGGCCTCCGTGCCCTACGCTACGCCTCCGAAATCCCCCTTGCAACTAAGATCGTCGGCAACGACCTCTCCCCCTCAGCAATCCAGTCCATGAAAACAAACATCGACTACAACGAGCTGGGAAACCGCATTCAACCCAACCTAGGCGACGCACGCGCCTACATGTACACCCTCGGCCCAACCGAACGATTCGACGTAATCGATCTAGACCCCTACGGCACAGCCTCGCCCTTCATGGACGCCGCAGTCCAAGGCGTCAAAGACGGCGGTCTGTTGTGTGTTACCTGCACGGACGCGGGAGTCTGGGCTTCGACGGGGTACGCAGAGAAAGCCTTCTCTCTGTACGGTGGTGTGCCCATCAAGGGCTCACACTCTCATGAAGGTGGTCTGAGACTTATCCTAAACGGTCTCGCCATGTCTGCTGCCAAGTATGGACTTTCTATTGAACCACTACTTTCACTAAGTATCGACTTCTATGCCCGGACTTTCGTGCGTGTATCTCGATCGCCGGCGCAGGTCAAGTTCGTCGCGGGTAATACCTTGCTGCACTATAATTGTGATTCAGGCTGCGGGGCCTGGAGCAATCAATACCTCGCTTCGACGAAACATAAGCTCGATAAAAGAGGTAACCCCATGAGCTACCATAGTCTGGCCCAAGCACCGACTGCAGGACCGCACTGCGAGCACTGCGGTTTCAAGACTCATCTCGCCGGTCCGATGTGGGGAGGTCGTTTACACAATCCGCAATTCATTCAGCGGATCTTGTCAATCCTGCCAACGCTGGATAAGGAGGTTTATCAAACTGTTCCCCGGCTTGAGGGTATGCTTACCACGGCCTTGGAAGAGGATTTGGATCTTACACCATCATCTATCAAACCTGCCCAACCTTCGTCAGAGATGACAGAATCCCAATCCCAAGCCCAATCTTCTTCAGAATACCCCTCCATAATCGCCAAAATGGACCCCTCCCTCCGCGACCAATACCCATTCTACTTCATCCTCGGCGCGCTCTCAAAAGCCCTCCACTGCCAAACACCACCCATCGACGAATTCCGCGGCGCAATCCACTCAATCGGATACAGAAGCACGCGCTCACACGCAAAGCCGAATTCAATCCGCACCGACGCCCCTTGGTCTGTTATTTGGGAAATTATGCGCGAGTGGGTTCGTCAGCATGCTCCCGTTAAGGAAGGGTCTATTAAACCGGGGACTCCTGGTGCGGGGTTGATGAGGATGGATCGGGGGAGATTCAGTAATGGCAGTGGCAATGGCAATGGCGGAGCTGAGGCTGAGGGCAGTGCCGAAGCTAGCGCTTGGCTAGCTCGTCTCAAAACAGACCTCCTTTCCGATATCGAGTCCGGTCGAGATATTTCTGATCTCGTTACGAAGGTTGAAGCTTCGCTTTATCGATCGGGTCCTGAGACATGCGCACCACCAGCAGCAAGAGAAGAAACAGGATGGTCCTGCTGTGCCAAAGGCAAAGACTGCCGCAACTGCAACGCAACCACACCCGAGTACCCTGGACATCCGCTTCGATGCACAGTTAGGTCGGGACTCTTCGGTTTCACATACTCATAAGCGATTGGTGAGGTATCAGATTAATCCGCGGGCGAATTGGGGGCCGTTGAATCGGGCTTCTTGATTGATTGAGTTGAGTTGAGTTGAGTTGAGTTGATTGGGTGGGGTGGGGTGCGATTGGGGATATGTTAGATGTGGTGTTATTTTCATTTTATTTTGTTTTTGGTGTATATATGAAAAGAATTTGTGTCACTGTTTACAATCAAGTTTATACTTCCAAGGTTTCCGAGGTTTGGGTAACTCGGTCCGGTCCGGTCCAGTGCAGACCAGTCCTGTGCTTGAGGTGTAGTTAACTTTGACTTTACTAGCACTGGCATGCTTATGTATGTACTAGTACGTTACTAGTAACTTGAACATAGCTCACCCGGTCCACTGGCATCCATCCTTAACAGCCTGAGCCTGAGCCTGAGTCTGAGTCTGAGTCAGAATAACTTGAACCATAGGATCAACCTTCATATAGTTAGTACTCCAATCTTCAAGTTCCTTTCTCCTGTACCTACTCACCTCAGTGAACCAACCAAAAATATTACTGACTTGAAGTTACTTCAAGTTGCTAGTTATACGAAATCAACTTGAACTTGAGCCTACCTAGCACATGTGTAACCTTCAAGTTGGAAGCCCAAATGAAAATACTGGACTCTACCACTACCTAGACACTACTACAGTGCTACAGATACTACTGGAATAAAGTTGAGATAAACATGAGTAAAAAGAATCTTGAAAAGAATTAAACATATCATTACTCCCACTATAAACATAAACACCACATCACACCAAGGGAACTAACGAAGCCAGGAGACGAAACTGGCCCGGCCCGAATTGAATCTAGAAACAAAAAAAGATGAAAATGAAAATGAAATCACAAAGGTGCAACATGAAACATGAAAAAGACAAACATAAGTCACAGAGTCATCACGTCTCAAAAGTCAAGTAAATGGAATGGGGATGGGAGGGGAGGCGGGTTAATGACAAAATGCCCACCTACTTTCGTAGTGGCAATGGCATCATCTATATGCGAACAGAACAGAACAGGGGGCATACAATGCAACGCAATCTAATCTCACAGTCACAAGCCTAGCTCAACCTAAGCTAAGCTGGCCTAAAACTGCGAAACAGCAACAGCAACAGCCTGCGAATCACTGTGGCTGATACTAACATTAATCGACTTGACACCAGCAGCCTTAGCAGCAGCAGCAGCCTGACCATGAAGTTCAACAACCGGTGCACCGGTAGCATCAACTCCAATCTCAATATCCTTCAACGCAGCACCAGCACCCTGGCTAGAAACACCAAGGGACTTGAAAACAGCCTCCTTAGCGCTCCAGCGACCAGCGAACGAGGACTGAGGAGACGCGGCCTTGCGACAGTACGCTTGTTCGGTTGGGGTGAAGTTTCGCTCAACGAAAGTCTCATTGTCGATGTTCACCGCGTCGATGTTCTCAACGTCGACGCCGACTTTGGAATTCTCGGTTGCGTGGGCTTTGGCTAGGGATTCGACCATTTGGGCGGTTTGGGCACTTTCTTCGGTCTTGGGGGCTGTGGTTGCGTACTTCAGTTCGGAAGTCTTCTTGTCGACGCTGACGCGGTAGTCTGGGTTGAGGAAGATCTTGCTTTGCTGGTCATCTTCGTAGGGGGGCCTTGGACTTGGCGACGAAGATGGAGTTGTTGATCAGGCCGTTGTGGAAGTAGCGGTAGGCCTTCTTTTGACGGGCTTCGACCTTGGACTTGTAGGATGCGTATTGGGCTGCGTCGAGAGTGGCGTACAGGTACTTGGGGTGGATACCGATGACCTGGGCGCCCTTTTGACCGAAACCGAAGGAAGTCACGCTGAACGCCTTGACGCCGTCGGTTTGGATGCTGCGGCTGGGATAGACGATGTAGTCGAATTTCTCCATCACTTTGTCCACGTTGTCGGCGTTGCGGTTACCGGGGACGAGACCGGATTCCAGGACTTGGAGACAGCCGTTGAACATCCAGGCTCCGGCTGCACCCTTGGGGTGACCGGTGAGGTACTTCTGGAAGATACCCATGACGGCGTTACCCTTCTTGCGGCCGAGGTGCTTGAGTTGTTGGCAGATGACGTCGGACTCGTTCTTGTCGTTGGCGACGGTGGATGTACCGTGGAAGGAGGCAACGTCAATGTCGTCGACGGTCAGACCCCAGGTAGCAAGGGCACCGCGGAGAGGAGCGATGCGCGAATCCTGCTTCCAGAAGTTGTTGCCCAGGCTGAACTGAGCGTCCTTCTCTTGGCGGATGGCTTCGCGCTCGATGTGCTGGGCGCGCTCTTGCAGGTACTCGGACTCGTTGAAGGTCTCGTCGCCCTGGGCCTTCATGGCCTCGGCCTCCTCGCGGAGGTAGAGCAATTCAGACTCCTGCCATTCCTTGATCTGCTTCTTGCGCAGATCCATCTGGCGACGACGGTACTTGATGTCCAGCAGAGGCGAAGGGAACTTGCCGGGGTTCTCACGGGCAGTGGTGAGGACACCCTGGCCGGGAGCGGGGACGGAGCGGCCAATCTTGTCAGTGGCGGTGGTGGTCAGGGCAATGATACCGTGGATGGGGACACCCATGTCCAGAGCGAGCTGGGCGGTCATGATCAGTTGCATACCGCAACCCTGGGACTCCATGAAGCCGGCACGAGTGGTGGTGGTAGGACGCGACATCTCCTGGGGAGTACGGCCGTGAGCGAACTCATCCTCGGCATTGCTGGTAGCCTTCATGTTGGCGAACTCGTAAGAGCCCTCCTCTTGGAAGTCATCGAAACCACCAACGAAGCAGACACGAGCCTTGCCCTCGACGATGGTTTCGTAACCAATGTCAACGGACTCGACAGCAGTGGCGCAGGCACCGACGGGGGTCTTGATGGGACCGGTGGAAGACAGCAGCAGCATGTTCACCCAGGCGCTCATCGTGTTGATGAAAGACTCCTGCAGGATATCCTTCTGCAGAGGCTTGTCCAGGTAACGATCCTTGTACATACCGCGCAGAGCGTGGGTACCACCGATACCGGAACCAATGCAGTTACCAACCTCAGACAGGTGGACGTACTTGTAGAACTCGTACGGGTCGGTGATACCAGCGGACAGCATGGACTCGGCGGTACACACCAGGACGAACAGGGTGACGGGGTCGACCTGCTCGATGATATCATCGGGGATACCGTAGCGGCTAGCATCCCAGCCGGTGGGGACCTGGCCAGCGACCAGGCGGTCGAACTGCAGAGCCTTGGGGATGAGCAGGTTGGCGCCCTTGCGAAGACGGACAGTGAATTCGCCAGAGTCGGGGATCTCGAAGATCTCGACCTTGTCGCCGTGCTCACGCTTGAACTCCTCGGCAGTCTCCTTGGAGGCCTCGAAGGGCTCGAGGTCCTCCTGGATGACGATCTCCTGCAGCAGTTGCTTCTTCTTGGGGTCGTAACCCTTGAACAGCTCGGGCTCGATCAGACGAATACCGGTGTGCTCGAGAATGTACTTCTCGTACTTGGGCTTGACATCCTTGTCGTCGACGGGATCACCGGTCTTGGCGTCAACCCAGCCGGAGTAGGCCTTGCCCTTGAGGGGACCGTTATGGTGCTTGATCAGACCCATGATCCAGGCCATCTCAACGCAGCCCTCCAGGGAGAACTTGCCGCTGGACTCCATCTCCCAACGGGTACGGGAGTTACCCCAAGGACCGACCTCGGAGAAACCAGTGACGACAACAACCTTGTCCAAGTTGACCATACCCTTGAGAGACTCGTTGATGGGCTTGATCTCCTCCCAGTCGGGAAGCTTGGGGAACTCGAACTTGATGTTGGCACGGGGCTCGGCAACGACCTTCTTGTACAGAACGCCGCTGTCCTCGCCGTTGACAACCTTGTGCTCGATGGCGGTCTCCTTGATGACAGCCTGGCGGACATCGCTGGTCTCCATGATGTCGGTGCGCAGCTTGGTCATCAATCCCTTGAGGTCGGGGATGAACTGCAGACCACCGTTCAGGTCGGCCCAAACGGGGTCGAGCTGGCAGAGGTTGACAACGGCAGGGGACATCAGACCCAGAAGGTTGAACGCCATCTCCTGCTGAGAGAAGGTGCGGACACCAAGCTTCTCAACACCCTCGGCAACCATGTTGTTACCACTCATCAGACCAGTACCACGGGTCCAGCCAATGACCGCACCGCAAATGGTGAGGTAGTTGCCCCAGTTCTCCGAGTACCAACGGTTGAACAGGGTCTCCAGAGCCAGCTTGGACTCGGAGTATAGACCATCGTTACCAAAGGTACCGTGGTTGGGGGACAGAGGCAGGACGACCTGGGCGGGACGAGTCTCGAAGCCGTGAGCCTGCTTCTGGGTCTTGACGGAACCCAGCATGCGGAGCAGGTTGGTCAACATGATACGGTGAGCCAGCTCAGACTTGGAATCGATGTTGTCAATCTCGCGTCCGTTCTCGGGGATGGCAGCGAAGGGAACAACAAAGTCGAGATCCCAGCCGAGACCCTTCTTGGTGTCGTAGATGTAGTCGACAAGGGCCTCGACATCCTGCTTGCTACCCTGGTTGAAGGGCACAACAACAAGCTGGGAGCCGCGGCCACCGTAACGGGCGTACATGGCCTGGTAGTACTCGGTCACCTCACGAGAGAATCGGCTGGTGGTAACGATAACCTTGGCGCCACCACTGATGAGACCCTGCAGGACCTCAGCACCAATGGAACCAGCACCAGCGCCAGTCATGAGGACATTCTTGCCCTGGAAGGTGAGACCTCCAGAGGCGGCGGACTCGAGAACGTTCAGGTAGATACCGGTAAGCTTCTTGCTGTAGTCCCAGCTGTCTCCGCTCTTCTTCTTCAGGTGTAGGAAGGGAATGGTCTCGACCTTGCCGGGGTTGAGAGGACGCTTGATGCCCGACTTGTTGCCACCCTCCTGGGGCATGATCTGGCTCTCGTTCATGTTCAAAGCGTGCAGGACGTCCTTGTACAGCGCATCGAACTGGAGTTGGGAAGACTTGGAGAGATGATGTTGCTTGCGGATGAGCTTGTAAACGCTCTTCAGGTCATTCTGCACCTTGTTGCGGTTGCTGTACTCGGAGATGGGACCACCGTCAGCCATCTGCTTGACGTAGTGCTCCAGCTTACGGGCACTGGACCGGGACACCTCCTTGTAGCCGATGGTACCCTTGGAGTCGATGGTCGTCTCGGGGCCGGTAGGGACATTGACATCCTTGTAGACGGGGGGGCACATTCATGACCTCCTTGCAGTTCTCGATGAGTTGCTGGCCCAGCTCCTTGGCCAATTGGTAGGTCTCGCCGCGCTCGGTGGGGCAGTTGTCAATGTGGTACTGCATAAAGTCGAGGAGAAGAGGGTTGGAGCGGTTCATGATGCCAATGCAACGGCTGACAATTTCACGATCCACCACTTGGAGGCGACCGAAAATGATATCGTAGTACATGCTCAGGGCGTCCTGACGAGCCCAGTTCCAAGAGGAGTCGTAGACACGAGCCTTGAGGGGATTGAAGGAGGGCTCAATGCCGGAGGCGTAGAAATCACCGTGCTCGGCCTGCCACAGGTCGATTTGTGATTGCAGAGCCTTCTGGGTTTCTTGAGAGGTAATGAAAGCCTTGTCACCGGCACGCAGGTCCATCTTCAAGTAACGGGCGATCACCTCGAGCTGCTGCTTGAACAGAGCCCGTTGATCCTTGGTCAGAGCATCAATGGCAGCGGGGTCCATCATCATACCGCCGCCACCACCACCGGCGTCAGCACCGGCAGCAGGAGTGGACAGGTTGATACCAGCGCTGGCGGCGTATTTGTTGGTGACATCGTCGAGGAAGGCCTTGGCATCGGCCTCTGAGCCAAGACGGGAGGCCGGCTCCATTGTAATGGCAAGCAGGAGGACACCGTCCTGACGACCAGTGCCCAGACCCCAGCGGGTTTCCAAGTATTTGCGCACAGCTGTGATATTGAAGCCACCGGGCATCTTTGAGGAGACGGTTCGGGCAATGAGGGAGGAGGATTGCTTGCCCAATTGGCCGTTGAAAGTGGCCTGCATGGCGGCACCAAGCTCATCGAGGGGAGTGTCCTCGGGCTTCTCGGGAGTTGAGCCGAATTCCTTGCCCAGATCACCCAGGATTTCATTTTGTAATGTAGATTTACCTAGAGCGGGAGATCGACGTTAGCGGGGGTTCATTGGGGTATGCCATTGCATGTGATTTACTCACCTCCAACGAGATCTTTAATAGCTTTTGTCAATGGCACATCGGCCAGACCCTTCTTCAGCTTCTGAGCCACGAGAGATCGCAGAATGTCGACGGCAGTGACGGGAGCATCTTCGACAGCGGCGGCGGGACCGGCACTGGGAGCTGCAGCTGCAGCTGCAACTGGAGCAGCGGCGGGAGCTGAACCACCGGAAGCAGGGGCGGCATCCGCAGCGGGAGTGGGCTCGGGTTCGTCCTCTACGGGATCGACATCGTAGTAGATCTCCTTGGCGTCCTTGTTGTAACAGAGGATTTGACGTTGCACGGAGGTCGCGGCATCGTAAGCCTCATACTTGGAGGCGAGTGTGCGGCGGGCCATTCCACCGAGGGTATCTGCGGGACCAATCTCAACAATGCGCTCAGTGCGCTGTTCGGCGAGGACGACATCTTGGGTTTCAATCCATCGGACGGGGGAGGCGAATTGGTAGGCGAGCAGCTCCACCAACAAGGTGTGTGCCAGCTCCTGCTCAATCTCAGGACGCATAATGGTGTGAGAGAGGGGGTATCGTTGAGGGAGAGAGGGAGGGAGGAGATATATTAAGTTGTTGTAAGTGTAGGACCAGCGTCCTAGGATGGCGCGACGGGGGGGGGGAGATGGTGTCGCAGTCGGGGACAATTGCAGGTGTTTAATAGAAGGAACCCCCAAAAGAAGAGAATAGGGAAATTAAAAAGTTGACAAGTAATGACAATGAGGAGAAGGGAAGAGGAGAGGGGAGGTGGAGGAGGAGGAGGAGGAGTGTCAAGGCAGGACTGGAGGTTGACCCGATGGGGATGGGAAGCAAAAAAAAAAAAAGGTGGGAGTTGATAGTCGGTAATACAAATACAGGTACGATGGGTGTGGTGTGGTGTGGTGTGGTGTGGTGGTGGGCAGTAGTTAGGCGGTGGGCAGTAACCAGTAACCAGTGGTGGTACTGGTGGTGGGCGGTAAGTACAGCAAGTATGTACTGGGGATAGTGACAGTTGAGTAATCAAATCAACAGTTACTGGTGGTAACCCAATAAGCTATTGTTACTACAAAGTCCGGCATTCGGCCGGATGTTGAGTATGTATGGCCGAGTACTGTGCCTGATTCTACAGTAATAGAGTACTAGTACTAGTACTACAGTAGCACTAGAGTAGACTCTATACTCTCCACTCTCCACTCTCCATAAAATACATACTGTAACAATCCCAACGCCCCAGCGTCCCACTAAAAACGAAGATTACCAACAAACTCGTTGAATTCGGCGGGGCCACGCTAGTCCGTTTTGGGTGATTCAACTGATCTTTTTTTTGTTGCTTCCTTCACCACCTCCACCATCGCTGGCCCTGCCGACTTTGACTACTTCCCTCTGTCGTCCCTCCTCCACCTCCACCTCCTCCTCCTCTACCTCCCCCTCTTCAGTTCTTGCTTTTTACTTTACTTAATCTTATTTCGTGTCAATTGAGATATCTAGAGGTACCTACTCCTTCCTCTCCACCACCGCACCGCAGCTGCTGACTACCACCACAGTCAATTGACCACGACTCCCGATAGAGATAGAGGGAATTTACGACTGCACATACATTTAACACCTCCTCCGACTCCTCTTCTCCTTCTCACCACTGCCACCCCCCACCACCACCATGTACGGCACATCCACCGGCCCCCAGACCGGTATCAATACCCCCCGCTCCTCCCAGTCACTGCGCCCCCTCATCCTGTCGCATGGCTCTCTCGAATTCTCTTTCCTCGTTCCTACTTCCGTTCACTTTCATGCCTCCCAGTTGAAGGACGGCTTCGCCACATCATTACCCGAACCCACAGATGAATTGGCCCAGGACGATGAGCCCTCCTCCGTCGCCGAATTGGTCGCCCGCTACATTGGTCATGTTGCCCGCGAAGTCGAAGCCGGAGAGGATGATACCCAGGGCAGCTATGATGAGGTTCTCAAGCTGGTCCTGAATGAGTTCGAGCGTGCTTTTATGCGCGGCAACGACGTTCACGCCGTCGCCGCTGCTCTCCCCGGTATCGTCGAGAAGAAAAACCAGGTCGTCGAGGCCTATTACGCCGGACGTGCCGCCGCCGGCCGGCCCACAAAGCCCTACGATTCGGCTCTCTTCCGTGCTGCCTCTGACGAGGCCGCCGGTATCTACACCGTCTTCGGTGGTCAGGGTAACATTGAGGAGTACTTTGACGAGCTGCGCGCTGTTTATACTACTTACCCTTCCTTCGTCGAGGACCTCATTGTCTCCTCCGCAGAGCTCCTGCAATCTCTCTCTCGGGATCCCGAGGCCAGCAAGCAGTACCCTAAGGGTCTGGATATTATCCGCTGGCTCCAGGACCGCGATGCCCAACCCGATACCGACTACCTGGTCTCCGCCCCCGTCAGTCTTCCTCTGATCGGTTTGGTCCAGCTGGCTCACTACACTGTCACCTGCAAGGTGCTGGGTCGCCAGCCCGGCGATCTGCTGGAGCGTATCCGAGGAACTACTGGTCACTCGCAAGGCGTTGTGACTGCGGCCGCTATTGCTACGGCCACCAGCTGGGAGTCCTTCGCCCAGGCTTCCCGCAATGCTCTGACCATGCTCTTCTGGATCGGTCTACGCAGTCAACAGGCCTACCCCCGTACATCCATTGCCCCCTCTGTCCTGCAGGACTCGATCGAGAATGGCGAGGGTACCCCCACCCCCATGCTTTCAATCCGTGACCTGTCCCGCGCCCAGGTCCAGGAGCACATTGATGCCACCAACCAGCACTTGCCCGAGGACCGCCACATCGCCATCTCCCTGGTCAACAGTGCTCGCAACTTCGTTGTCACCGGTCCTCCCATCTCTCTCTACGGTCTGAACCTCCGTCTCCGCAAGGTCAGGGCCCCCACCGGTCTCGACCAGAACCGTGTTCCCTTCACTGAGCGCAAGGTTCGCTTCGTCAACCGTTTCCTCCCCATCACCGCCCCCTTCCACAGCCAGTACCTCACCTCTGCCTATGAGCGTATCCTGGAGGACCTCGAGGATGTCGATATGCCCGCCAAGTCCCTCGTCATCCCCGTTTTCCACACCAAGACTGGCGATGACCTGCGCCAGCTGGGCGATGAGAGCGCCGTCCCCGCTCTGGTTCGCATGATCACTCATGATCCTGTCAACTGGGAGCAGGCCACCGTCTTCCCCAGTGCCACTCACATCGTTGACTTCGGCCCTGGTGGCATTTCCGGTCTCGGTGTTCTGACCAACCGCAACAAGGATGGTACCGGTGTCCGTGTCATTCTGGCTGGCGAGATGGATGGTACCAACGCCGAGGTCGGCTACAAGCCTGAGCTGTTCGACCGTGATGAGCACTCCGTCAAGTATGCCACCGACTGGGTGAAGGAGCATGGCCCTCGCCTCGTGCAGACTTCCACCGGTCAGACCTACGTCGACACCAAGATGAGTCGCCTGCTCGGTATTCCCCCTGTGATGGTCGCTGGTATGACCCCTACTACTGTCGCCTGGGACTTCGTGGCCGCTACCATGAACGCCGGTTACCACATCGAACTGGGTGGTGGTGGTTACTACAACGCCAAGACAATGACCGAGGCTGTCAACAAGATCGAGAAGGTCATCCCCCCTGGCCGTGGTATCACTATCAACTTGATCTATGTCAACCCCCGTGCCATGGGCTGGCAGATCCCTCTGATCGGTCGCCTGCGCGCTGATGGCGTCCCCATCGAGGGTCTGACTATTGGTGCTGGTGTGCCGTCCATTGAGGTTGCCAACGAGTACATCGAGACTCTGGGTATCAAGCACATTGCTTTCAAGCCCGGCTCCGTCGATGCTATCCAGCAGGTTATCAACATCGCCAAGGCCAACCCCAAGTTCCCCATTCTCCTCCAGTGGACCGGTGGTCGTGGCGGTGGTCACCACTCTTTCGAGGATTTCCACCAGCCCATCCTCCAGATGTACGGCCGTATTCGCAAGCAAGACAACATTGTTCTCGTTGCTGGCAGTGGTTTTGGTGGCGCTGAGGACACTTACCCTTACCTCTCCGGTACCTGGTCCGGCAAGTTCGGCTACCCTGCCATGCCCTTCGATGGTTGTCTCTTCGCTTCCCGTGTGATGGTCGCCAAGGAGGCCCACACTTCCAAGAACGCCAAGAAGGCGATCGTCGATGCCCCCGGTGTTGACGATGAGGAGTGGGAGAAGACCTACAAGGGCGCCACTGGTGGTGTTATCACCGTTCTCTCCGAGATGGGCGAGCCTATCCACAAGCTCGCTACTCGTGGTGTTCTGTTTTGGCAGGAGATGGACCAGAAGATCTTCAAGCTTGACAAGGCCAAGCGTGTTCCTGAGCTGAAGAAGCAGCGCAACTACATCATCAAGAAGCTCAACGATGATTTCCACAAGGTGTGGTTCGGCCGCAACGCTGCCAATGAGACCGTCGATCTGGAGGACATGACCTATGCCGAGGTTGTCCACCGTATGGTCGAGCTCATGTACGTTAAGCATGAGTCTCGCTGGATCGACGACTCGCTGAAGCGTCTCACTGGTGACGTCCTCCGCCGTGTTGAGGAGCGTTTCACCACCGCCAACGGCCAGGCTTCACTTCTGCAGAACTACTCCGAGCTGGACACTCCTTACCCCGCTGTTGACAACATTCTTGCTGCCTACCCCGAGGCTGCTTCTCAACTGATCAACGCTCAGGATGTGCAGCACTTCCTTCTGCTTTGCCAGCGCCGTGGTCAGAAGCCCGTCCCCTTCGTCCCCGTTCTGGATGAGAACTTCGAGTACTTCTTCAAGAAGGACTCTCTCTGGCAGAGCGAGGATCTCGAGGCTGTTGTTGACCAGGATGTCGGCCGTACCTGTATTCTGCAGGGTCCTATGGCCGCTCACTTCTCCAAGATCATGGATGAGCCTGTTCAGGACATTCTTGATGGCGTCCACAACGGTCACATCGCTGGCCTGCTTCGTGATGTCTACGGTGGCGACAAGTCCAAGATCCCCGTGATCGAGTACTTCGGTGGCAGACTGTCCAACCCTGACGATGAGCCCGAGCTGGATGGCCTCACTGTCTCTGAGGAGCCCAACAAGCTCAGCTTCCGTCTGTCCGCTTCTCCCTCTGCTGTCCTCCCCGATGACGACCAGTGGCTGCGTCTCCTCGCCGGCGATTCCTACTCCTGGCGTCACGCTCTCTTCCTGGCCGATGTCTACGTCCAGGGCCACCGTTTCCAGACCAACCCCATGAAGCGCATCGTTGCCCCCACCGGCGGCCTCTACGTCGAGATCACCAACCCCAACACTCCTGCCAAGACTGTCATCACCGTCCGTGAGCCCTACCAGTCTGGCAAGCTCGTCAAGACCGTTGAGGCCAAGGTGAACGAGAACGGCCAGATCAGTCTGACCCTTTTCGAGGGCCGCACCGCCGAGAATGGCGTTGTTCCCTTGAACTTCCTCTTCACTTACCACCCGGAGACCGGCTACGCCCCCATCCGTGAGGTGATGGGTGACCGCAACGACCGCATCAAGGAGTTCTACTACCGCATCTGGTTCGGCAACAAGGATGTCCCCTTTGACACCCCCACCACTGCCACTTTCAACGGTGGAACCGAGACCATCACCTCGCAGGCTGTTGCCGACTTCGTCCACGCCGTCGGTAACACCGGTGAGGCCTTTGTCGACCGCCCCGGCAAGGAAGTCTACGCTCCCATGGACTTTGCTATTGTTGCTGGCTGGAAGGCCATCACCAAGCCCATCTTCCCCCGTACCATCGACGGTGATCTGCTCAAGCTGGTCCACCTGTCCAACGGCTTCAAGATGGTTCCTGGTGCCCAGCCCCTGAAGGTTGGCGATGTTCTGGACACCACTGCCCAGATCAACGCCGTCATCAACAACGAGTCTGGCAAGATGGTCGAGGTCTGCGGTACCATCAAGCGCGAGGGCAAGGCTATCATGCACGTCACTAGCCAGTTCTTGTACCGTGGTGCCTACACCGACTTTGAGAACACCTTCCAGCGCAAGGAGGAGGTTCCCATGCAGGTTCACCTGGCTACCAGCCGTGACGTTGCCATCCTCCGTTCCAAGGAGTGGTTCCGCGTGGATGAGAGCGACATCGAGCTGCTCGGCCAGACCCTCACTTTCCGTCTGCAGTCTCTGATCCGCTTCAAGAACACCACTGTCTTCAGCAACGTGCAGACCATCGGCCAGGTCCTGGTGGAGCTTCCCACCAAGGAGGTTGTTCAGGTCGCTTCCGTGGAGTACGAGGCCGGTGCCTCCCACGGCAACCCTGTCATCGACTACCTCCAGCGTAACGGTAACTCCATCGAGCAGCCCATCCACTTCGAGAACCCCATCCCGCTCAGTGGCAAGACTGCTCTGGAGCTGCGTGCCCCGGCCTCCAACGAGACCTACGCTCGTGTCTCTGGCGATTACAACCCCATCCACGTGTCGCGTGTCTTCTCCAGCTATGCCAACCTTCCCGGCACCATCACTCACGGCATGTACAGCAGTGCCGCCGTGCGCAGCTTGGTCGAGACTTGGGCTGCCGAGAACAACATCGGTCGTGTCCGTGGCTTCCACGTCTCCCTGGTCGGCATGGTTCTGCCTAACGACATGATCACCGTCAAGCTCCAGCACGTCGGTATGATTGCCGGTCGCAAGCTCATCAAGGTCGAGGCCTTCAACAAGGAGACCGAGGAGAAGGTTCTGGACGGTGAGGCCGAGGTCGAGCAGCCCATTACTTCCTACGTCTTCACTGGTCAAGGTTCCCAGGAGCAGGGCATGGGTATGGAGCTCTATGCCAGCAGCCCCGTCGCCAAGGAGGTCTGGGACCGTGCCGATCGTCACTTCATCGAGAACTACGGTCTCTCCATCATCGACATCGTCAAGAACAACCCCAAGGAGCTCACTGTCTACTTCGGTGGTCCCCGTGGTAAGGCCATCCGCCAGAACTACATCTCGATGACCTTCGAGTCTGTCAACGCCGATGGCTCCATCAAGTCGGAGAAGATCTTCAAGGAGGTCGACGAGACTACCGCCTCGTACACCTACCGCTCTCCTACCGGTCTGCTTTCCGCTACCCAGTTCACCCAGCCCGCCCTCACCCTCATGGAGAAGGCCTCATTCGAGGACATGCGCTCCAAGGGTCTGGTCCAACGCGACAGCAGCTTCGCTGGTCACTCTCTGGGTGAATACTCAGCCCTCGCCGCCCTGGCCGACGTCATGCCCATCGAGTCCTTGGTCTCCGTCGTCTTCTACCGTGGTCTGACAATGCAAGTCGCCGTCGAGCGCGACGAGCAAGGCCGCTCCAACTACTCCATGTGCGCCGTCAACCCCAGCCGTATCTCCAAGACCTTCAACGAGCAAGCCCTCCAATACGTCGTGGAAAACATCTCCGAGACCACCGGCTGGCTCCTCGAGATTGTCAACTACAACGTCGCCAACATGCAATACGTCGCAGCCGGTGACCTCCGTGCCCTAGACTGCTTAACCAACCTACTCAACTTCCTCAAGGCGCAGAACATTGACATCCCCGCCCTGATGGAGAGCATGTCCATCGAAGACGTCAAGGCGCACCTCGTCAGCATTATTCAAGAATGCGTCAAGCAAACCGAGGCCAAGCCCCGCCCCATTAACTTGGAGCGTGGTTTCGCAACCATCCCGCTCAAGGGTATCGATGTGCCCTTCCACAGTACCTTCCTGCGCTCCGGCGTCAAGCCTTTCCGCTCTTTCTTGCTGAAGAAGATCAATAAGACCACTATTGATCCGAGCAAGTTGATCGGCAAGTACATTCCCAATGTCACAGCGCGTCCGTTTGAGATCACGAAGGAGTACTTTGAAGATGTTTACCGTCTGACGAACTCTCCTCGTATCGCTTCTATTCTGGCGAACTGGGACAAGTATGAGGAGGGTGGTGAGTCTGCTGCTCGTGCTTAGGCGAAGCTGGCTTAGCACTGAGTTAGACTTTCGAGAACGTCTGTGATTTTTGTCATTGCATTGCCGATGCCAATACCTAATGTTTGTGTTTTTCTTTTTCTTTTTTCTGTATCTCCCATAGAAAGACCTGTCAATCAGGTCGTGATGTGACATGTCTCTGTTCTGCCTGGTTTTTTGTGGTTTTGGCGCTATTTGCTGTGGCATGTATATCTTTTGATGTTAAGAGTTGAATTCATTTATTTCATTTTATTAGTATTTTCTACTTCATTCTGCTCCAAGTCTTGGTAACTCTAGTACTTCTTTCCAGCGTAATTACTAGTAGTTGTAGGACCTTATGCGTAGTGTCAGTGTATTACTCAACTCAGTAAGACAGCCTGAGATACCGTGATCTGGGCACACTGATATAATATCTCAACCTTGGAAATACTACTGCACTGTATTAGTACCCTTTCCAAGCTACAAGGAAATTTTCCAGGGCTTCATACATTCCAAGGCTTGTATCTGACACTGAACCGAAACTTGAACCGTATTCTATGCTCAACTCGAATATCATTGTGTAACTATGGGATAGGATGCCTCACCAGGTGGGATTCGACAGCAAAAAAATAGGCAGAATACCGGATAAATACAGCGCTAGGCTAAAGAGAGCCAAAAAGTGCGGACGCACAGTTCAAATTCCTGTGTTCTGGGCCGCGGAAGATAGCCGTCAGTAGCTCGCATTAACCCCCCCCTCCCCGTAGTTCTTTATGTTCAATAATTATTGTACCCTCAGATCTTCTCTTCTCATAAAAGGTTACAGGGGCTGGTTCATGTACGAGTAAAGCCCCTTGTTAAAAGCGGCCACTTTTAGTAGATACAGTACGGAGTACGAGTAGTTCGAGAAATCATCTCACTCCCCACTCTTCCATTTATCGTTCACGTTCAATTCGGCGTTACCGATCCTGACTTTTTACCCTGTGGGTCTTGAGGCTTAAATTCCAGGGACTGGCCGGAATGGCCCCTGAAAAGTTGGGGGCTATCAAGTAGCGCGTCCAATTTAGGACTAAAACCTCGCTAACAGCGACGGAGACCGGAAGACGAGTTGGCTAGTAGCCATTTCCTCTAAAATCCGGCAGTGAACTCCGGAGGCTGCTTTCTTTATAACTCCGATTCCCGAGTCCAGACAGATTCCGTTCAAGTTTCTAACCTTCGTCTTTCGTTTCTTTCCAAGGTTATTATTATCGGGGATATTCAAGTTCTTCTTCGTCAATCTTTCACCCTTCCATTATAAATCTTTGCAAATATCCAGCAAAATGGCCCCCGCCACCACGATATTCCGCGTCTTCGCATTATCTGCAGCTTTGAGCCAAGCTGCTGCATCCTTCAGCCTCAACATTTCCGGTCCTAGCTGGGACTATACCACCAAGGACCTGGCAGACACCACTTCCCAGGCATGCAAGGATGCCTACAGCGCCAATATCGACTGTGATGAAACTCTTCTCAAGCTCGTGGCGTCTTTGGACATAAACTTCCACCCGGATAATTCGGACTTGCGACAAACTTGCACCACGACCTGTAAAGACTCACTGGACGATTATGTCAAGAATGTTAAGGCTACTTGTGACAAGGATGGCGATCTAGCCGGTCTTGATAACGGGAGATCTCTTGATTTCTCAGTTCCTGTTTCTACTGTTGGTGAGGTCTTTCAGTATATGTATGGCCGAGGCTGTGCGATGAATGGGTGAGTTTGTGCAGAAACGCAAAATCAAATTGACTACTTTGGCTTTTGGGTGTACTGAGTATGTGCTTACTTTCTTTTTTTTTTTTTTGCAGAACCGATTACTGCTACCCAACCTTCGCCGAAAGCGATAGCTGGGGTAGCGAGGATTTCTCATGCAGCGACAACTGTGCAATGAAGTTCATGCAAAACGCTCACAACCAACCTGGCTCTGGATACTTCTTCTTCTACTTTTCCCTCAGCACCCAGTCCTCGTGGTGGGAAGACGTCTTTGCGGGTGGTTGGAAGACTGTTGTTAAATGCGGCAAGGGTGGAAGTGGAAGCGATGCAAGCTCCGTCAGTTCGAGCGTAAGCTCGTCAAAGACTGATTCTGTTGACCTTTCATCTTCATCTTCAACCAGTCTAATTAATGGCAAATCTGCCGTTTCTGCGACTTCGACTTCGACTGCGACTGTGATGAGTACTAGTACTGCTCCTGCTCATTCGGCTACGGCTACTAGTGGTGCTTCGAGGCTTAGGATTCTCTTCTTTTAGACCTTGGGTGTATATGCTTATCTTGGATGTACTTTTAGGTACTTAGTATAATTAATTATGAAAATATGGATACCAAATTCATTATCCTTATAACAGGCATATCCAAGATCGTATCATGATTCTGGAACTAAGTCTTAGTATCTGTTACTACTACTGCAAGAAAACTATATAACCTTTGCTCTTTTGATCTCATATAGTAGTATATCTTAAACTAAGTAAGCCTTGTATAACTATTCAGAGAAAGACTACTCTATACTAACAGAGTGCTTATGTCACAGGATTTACTACTACCAAATCCGAGTCACCACCACATAGGATCCAGACTTAAAGGTAAGGTAACCCCAGATGATACTAGTAGTCAAACAGATAACTCACTTTGTCCGAATTCAAATTCAAATTCATTTGTTCAAGTTCGTTATGTTGGAACCCTGCGGATCAGCTTGGCTTGCCTAGGTGGTTTAGATCTAGATTTAGATTTAGCACAAATGTATTGGCAATTATCATACATCAGATTCCTGTATTGAATGAAATGAACTTCATTCTATCTTCAGTTCAGTCTAGTCCAGACCAGACCAGACCAGACCCGAAACTCGACAGTATCTCCACTCCATCCTCATTCTGAGCCACCAAGATATCAATCACTATCACTATCCACCTAGATACTCCTGCTCTTTCTTTCTTTCGCTGTGCACTCCTTTACGCATCTTTCCTTCTCTGCTTCTCTTCTTCTCTTCTCCTCGCGCACATCCCACTGAATCAACCCACCCCTCCCGATCCAGGCTTGGTATTGAAACTACTCCCTCCTACCCCTTCCAAGGACCAGGCTGCAACAACCTCGTCTCCTTAACGTAGACACTGACATCCTTGACAATAGCGATAAATCTCCGATGATTCTCCTTACTATCGCCAATGCGAGGTCGGAATTTCCGCAATAGATCACTGCTCTGGATACCCGTTGCCGGAATCGCGGCGTGGATTTCCGCAGGTGTTGGGAAGGGTTGGTTTCCTGGGATAGGTGTTGATCGGCCTGAGTATACGGAGTTAGCAACGTGAGTACAAAATAGACCGGGTGAAACGAAATGCTGGTTCGGAGTTTGGGGGTGGTGTTTACCTCTCGCGCCCTCGGGACTACTAGCCCGACTCCCAGAGAAACTCCGTCCACCAGCAATAGGACTACCAGCGCGTGAACCAACAGGCGTTCCAGTCCTGGATGCACCAGTCCCCGGCGGACTAAGCTTAAGTTTCTTCGGTTTACCGCTCTCACTCATTTCAGCGCCTGAACCGGCCATATCGACGTCACTGCCTGAGCCAGATCCGCCGAGGGGGATATTTCGGACGCGTTTTTTGCCCGCTGCTGCTGCGGTGGGAGAAATTGGTCGCGATGTAGGCTGTGGCGTCGGATGCGAAGAGGCGTGCTTGTTCTTGGCCTTCTTGCGAGATGTGTCTGTTCCACTTGCGTCTGAGCCGTTGGGAGATCCGAGGCGTTTGCGGGATGTGGTTGATTTCTTTAGCGGGTCGGTGTGTTTTGGTCGGCCTGAGGGGGTGTTGTTGCCTTTTGATGAGGCGGAGTCTTTTTGTTGGTTCTTTTCTTCTTCGGCCTTTTTCTTCTCTTCTTCTTTCTGGCGCTCGGTTTCACTGTCGTCGGAGCTCTGGGATATTGTTAGATCAGTCGAGTTACTGGTGTCATTTCAAGCTGGAAATGGAACCGAATCCCCAGGGCAGGGTATTTTCTTACCTCCTCATCAGTGTAAGGATTGACATCCGACCCAGAACTATAATCATAATTCTTCTCACGCTTCTTCAACGCCTTCCGCACCTTCTTACCCTGAACATGACGAGCCTCCTTTTCCCACTTCTCGCGTTTCTCCTCCTCCTCATAATCCTTCTCATTCTTAAGATCAAACACATTCGCCTTGAGCTGATCTTCCTTAATCCGCTTCTCTGCAGCCTTAGTATCCTCATCCTGGTCATTGAACAGATCATCACCATGCTCCTCATCATCCGCAAATCGATCCTCTTCGAAATCCATCTCTCCACCCTCAAGGCCCTCCCGTCCATTCTGAGTCCCCTGCTTGCCAAAGAACACCTTCCGAGACTTCGCATACTGGTCCAGCTGACTCTTCTCCATAATCTCAGCCTGTTTCTCCATAAACCATCTCGGATCCTTGATGCGCTTCGCCATATGTTTCTCAGCCTCTTCAATAGTAAGAGCCTTGAACTGACTCTTCGCACTGAACTTATACCACTTCTCCGCAGGAATCATTCGCACTTTCGCCTGGCCCTGCTGACCTTGACCCTGATCAAACATAAAAACAGCATGTGTCTCCGAAAGCGCAGCCTCATAATTCCCAACCCAAATATTGCGATTATCAAAATCTTCAATATGCCACGGCAAAGCCTCCTCATACCTAACCCTAGCACGCGCCAATTCTTCGGGTGTCATATCACTCTTAAAAACCTGCTGAGTCTTCTGCTTCGGCGCATTAGGCCGCTTAGAAGATCCAGCCGCAGGAGCAATCTGAGCCTGATTCTCTGCGCGCTCTTTATCGCGTAGTGCACGCTTGGCGTCCATGGCTTCTTTGTCGGCTTCTGTGAGCTGTTCGCCGCTTGGTCCGACTAGACGCTCGGGGTTGTGTTCGTGGGATCGGGTGCGTGGGTCGCGTCGGTGTAGGCGGACGGGTCGGGTGAATTGGGACTCGTCGCGTGGATCCACGGGTCGTTTTGCGGCGAATCGGGCGATGTGGTGTTTCATTCCTTCTAGGAAGGCGCGCTTGGTTGTTACGACGGGATAGTCGGTGTAGGTTGTGGAGAGGAGGGGTCCGCTGAAGCCATTTACGGAGTGGTCGCCTTGGAGGGCGGCTGCGTTGGCGTTGGGTGGTATAGCTGACAGGGCAGGATTCTCGGGGTGAGAAGAGGAAGCTTGCGGGTTTTGAGGCCGTGTTGGGAGCGTTTTGATTGATGTTGCGGGTACTTGGCGGAGTGTACCTGGCCGAGATGGTGGTGCGAGGCCACCTGGTGCACCTGTGGCAGCCTTTACTGGTCCTCTTCGCTTTGGGCGGACTAGGGGGTCTGCTTGTCTGGGGCGACGCATTCGCATTGGCGGAGCTCCGTTTGGCCCGGTTGGCGTTCGGCCGTTTGAGGGGTTTGTTGGCGTCGACATGGTGGACGAGGAGAGATTGGTTGGCTTGTGGTATCGTGTTTCTCGATCAAACAGGAGAGCGCATCGGAGAGATGGCGCTGTTGATGAGGGGAAAGGAGAGGAGGGCGCGAGTGAGGTGAGGTGAAGTGAGGTCAGTGACCGATAGTGACTTAGTCATCGGGCTTGGCATCGGGCTTGGACAAAGAGATTATCAGATGGACATCTGGGAACATCATGAGATGAGACACACCTGGGCATCCATGGATTTAATTGAACTTAATGGCTGAATACTCAACAAAATAGTTGCGAGGGCTCTCCTATACTAGACTTCTTTCATTATAATCTCTTTCATAAACTAACAGTTCGTGACATCATTCATTCAGTAGTAGCACACCATTATATACCTGGCGAGTATGAGTACAAACAACTCCTCACTCATCGATCATGATCATAATAATTCCAAGCCCTCAGCTATTGTCCAAATTTCTCCCCAGGCTCCAGGGGCCTATAAGGACAAGCAACCCAATCACAACCCTGTTTATAAATCTCCGTCCCCCACCACTTAAACCCATCAACCCAACCAGGATAAATAAACGCAAAGAAAACAACAATAACCGCAAAAGCCAGACCCGAATCCAACGCCGCAGAAAGCGTCATAGCATACTTCTCCCACCAAGCCGTCCTCCTCCTCCGAATAACATAATTGAACACAAAACACACAAGTGCCCAAATACTAAAATTCAAACCCGTAGCCGGCGGGATCCAACTCAAACTCCCGAAAAGGATGGGGAAATTCACCTTGCGCCAGAAATTCTTTCGACTTCGTCGGCCGAGGATCCACGCTCCTAATGGGGCAATGGCGCCGATCAGGAATGCCCACACGAGTGGGCGGTAGAGGCCATCCGGTCCGAAGAAGCGTTGTGGTCCGACTACACCCCAGAGAATACTTCCGTTGAAGTGGACTCGTGCGATGGGGCAGTTGAAGCCGTTCATTGCTTCTGGTGTGCAGAGGAGTGGAATGTGGGTGAACATCCAGTTCAGGACGCCGATTTGTGTTAGGCTTGATACGAGTGTTGCCATCATTTGGACGCCGAATAGGATTCGGGGCGGGATCTTCATGTAATGGCCGAGTTTTAGGTCGGAGGAGAATTTTATGCCTTGCGCTGAGCTGATGTAGGAATACGTCACGAAGATCATGTTTGCGACTGGTCGGCCCGGGAAAACGATGCCGCAGATCAGTTGGCAGATTAGGTAGAGACTGCTGTGTTGGTTTGTGACGGCCATGATGATGCCGACGGGGATGAAGAAGATGCAGGTTATGCCTAGGGCGAGGAATAGTCCGTACCAGGGTAAGTGCACGGGATAGCTAGAGGAGAAGTTAGTAATATTCAACTGAAAGCCCGAAAGCCTAAAACCCCTTCGAGACGGGTAACGAAACGTACTGCTCCACGGTAAAAGTTGCGGTGGCAAGCATTGTGACGAGTACAATGAGATACCATGTGATGGGTGCGTCTTTGTAGCGTCTCATAAGACGGCAATGAACATCTTCCATGCCCGGAGGCATCTCTCGATTCACATCTTGAGACGCATCACCCGAGGAATCAAAGTTCCGACGGCCGGGAGGAGGAACTTGTTCTGTTCGCAGAGGTTGGTAGGTCTCCATTCCGGGTATTTCTCGGCGCTCCTCGAATGCTTTGCGTGTTTGTTGCCAAATATCCTTGCCATACCAGCAGATGGTGTGGGTGACCAGAGAGGTTAGGGCAGCGAATTGGACGCCATAAGACAGGACGTATGTGATGGGTAGATATACAGGCGAGTAGTCCGCGTAGGCCTTTTCGTCGAATAGAAAGTCCGGAGTCAAGATCCGGCTCACGTCGTATGGGTGCCCAGTGTTGTCAAATACTGCCGCGGAGAGGATGGGCATATAGGACGAAAAGAGCACATTTTTGTAGTCTGGTAGAACAGTCAGAGATGAAATGAGATGAATACACGCCCGAGCATGTGACATGCGGCATCCAACACTTACACAAAATTGGGGCAAGGGCCCAAATGACAATGACCAAACCGGTCACAATGTTCGCAGCGGCCCACCAAGGCGTTAATAGCGGAGATCCGATGTAGGCAATTTGAGCCCAGTCAAACGTTAACGGAAACATTCCCAGGCCCGATGCAACTCCAAACAGATTCGAAACCACGACATTTTTAGGAGCGAACCAAGTGATCACGTTAAAGTAGCTCAACGCAGGCATCAGTAAACCTGGAACGAAATACCAGAGAAAGGCACCCGTCCAAACGACGACAAAGAACTTGTATCGAGAGATACTCCACCCGTTAGCCTTTTTATTGGCATTCTTGTGCATAGTTGAAAACATCGCAGTTGACATGAGAGTACCGGGCCAAATCATGGCTGATGGCCGAACGAGGAATCGTCTTGTGAGGCCAGCGAATGCGTATCCAAGGACTTGCGTGGAGATGATGAGCAGCAATTGGTATAGGATTGGAACTTCCTGCTGGTAGAATTTGTGTTGTTCCACGATGACCTGTTCACGTATTAGAAAAAGGATACAAAAAACAACCCATATGCATGTATATAATACGAAAAGTGTGAACTTGGGTTAGGGCAGATCTCACATCTGTTGCAAAAGCGAATCCAAAAGAGACATTGCTGCTGATATAAACGCAAGCATGTTCCTTCTCATTCCACCGACCCTGCGCCAACCAAAGACGCATCCTAGATAGCCAATTGATCTCCGGAGCATCAATCTCGCCAGAGAGAAGTTCACGGTGATGCAAAGTTCCATTCTCAAAGACTTCGAGCGGATCACCTGTCCGCTTAAGAACCCCGTCCCAGAATTTACCAAGAGGATGAACGAGGACAAGCGCAATGATCGGTGTAATAGCAACGCTAGGATAGCGAAGAGAGAAAAAGAGATTGGCCGCCGAACCTGTCAGTGAGAAAAGCAGGGAAAGAATCCACATGCGCGGGGTATTGATTGACAGAGTGATATCGTCTGTGGCTGGGACTGTAGCTCGTACTTGGGCGTATGGCGAGTTGTCCGGAGGATCTTCCTCGGTTGATTTGGTATCGTCACCATCCAGGTCTAAGGTATCTTCCTCATCACTCGTAATGTATGGCGAAGAGGCCGGTGTTTCTTGCACCACGGGGTTACCAGGTACCGCCAGGCCCGTCGCAAACGAGTATTTGGAATCGGCGCCCATTCCTACATCGGAGGTTGCTTCGGAAGGTCGACGATTCCTCCTATACCAGCCACTGCTCTTTCGTCGACCGGACGAATGTGATCGTCGGGCTTTGGATCGGCGTCCCTCATTTAAGGTCTCATTTGAGGGCCCACCGGTGCAGCTATCGGAGCTGGTCCGCGAATCCTGAGTCCAATTACGCCTCTGTCTCTCCGACTGGGGGGACGTTCCGGGGTCATCGGAATCCTCTTGCGGGATGCGCACGGCTCCGTATGAGGTCGAGCCCAGCGCGGGCGAGGTGCGGATAAGAGGGGCACGCGACATGAAGCTCCCAATACGCTGAGTGTAGGAGCCGGGGGAGCCGAAGGAGGAGGGAGGGGAGTTTATGGAGTGGTGTGAGTCGTCACATCCATCGTCGAGGGAATCGGGGAGGTCGAGCTGGGGAATGTCGTTTTGGTTTTGGCCTTGGTTATGGCTGTAGTTGGAGTTGGAGTTGTGGTTGTGGTTGACTCGATCCGATTCGGCGGGAAGCGCCTCGCCCCTCGGCGGCGGGGGACAAGACTGCTTCCGCGTCTGCAGCGGAATGGCAGCCGTGATGGGTGATTGAGGGGGGTGTCACTGGAATTGATTCCCCAGAGCTGTGCGCAGGAAAGAGGGATCGCCGTTTCAACTGAAAATGAAGTGGGAGAGAAATCCGGAAGTGGGAGAAGTGGGAGAAAAGGGAAGATAGCGAGGGAGGTGGATTCGCCCCACACCGCCGTAGCAAGAACTATGAACTTGAACATATATACCTAGGTACTCATGAACATTTATATTCATGAATTGGCATGGGTACTACTGGCGAGGTACTTCACAATTGAATGTATATTGCTGTACATTGCTGTACATTGCTGTATTTCATTCTATGGATATCTTATACACTTCTATACTCCTTCTTTTTGCTTAGAATAGCTCCGTCACCTCATTATCTTCATCGACGCGCGGTGCTTCAATCTGCGCTTGTCCACCCTCCTCCTTACCCTCACCCTCCTCGTCACGCATAAGAACTTGCACCAGTCGATCACAAGCTTCCTGCACATTCTCATCATCCACATTCATATGGCACTCTCGAACCACCGGATACACCTTCACTTGGCGCATAAGGTCCCGACCTGCCCGAGTGGTAGTCAAGAGCATGAGAGTCTCCACATGGGTAGTGATGATAGTGGGATCACTATCGCGCTTCTTATCCGGAGGCAACAGCTGCAGATCCGGCAACATGGATAACATATCCTCATCAGAGTACTCCTCCGGACCGGTAATGGGCAGCAGCAAGTAGGGAAGCAGATTAGCCGCGTCCTCGTCGAAAAGCATCGGGTGCGAGTCGATATCGAAAGCGACATTTTTGATGGTGGAGGCGACTCCCTTGCGACGGATATCGCTCTTGTGTTCCGTGAAGACGGTCAGCTTTGTGATAGGTACCACCCCGTCGTACTCTTGGCGGGTGGTGAAGTATTTCCGTCCTTCCTCGGTTTGAGACAGATCGGCGAAGAAGTAGGAGAGGTAGTCGAAGTTGGCATTTTTGTTGAGACCACCCTCGGCGCCCTTGACGAAACAGTCCATGAGTTGGTCGATGGCGTTTGCTGAGGTTGAGACGTTCTCGGGGATGCGGCGCTTTACGGCGAATAGTTTTTGTAGGGCTGAGGATTTGGCCATGTTGGCTAGCAGAGTTGCGAATTCGTCCGCATTGGGTTCCTTGATGCTCTGAACATATGGAATCAAGGTTAGTTAGTGGTTGTGAGAATGCGCGGCGGGGCACGGGCGATGGACGGACCGTTAATTTAAAGAGCAAGGTCTCGATGAATTCGTCATCTTCGGCGAGGACCTTCAGGACTTCCTCGTCGCCGGACAAGTTGATCAGGATTGTTAAGGCATTCTTTGCAATGGGCTGTATAGTAGAAAAGCGCAATCAGTGACTGATTTGCGGGACGGAGACGGAGACGTAGATGGAGACGAAGAGGCACGCACGGTATAGTCCAAGGCTAGGAGCTTCAAGTCACGGACGGGAAGTAATTGGTGACGCTTGAAGAGACTCGGTTGAGCGGTAGAGAAACCGACCAGGTTCTCAGTGGCTAAACGGTGTCAGTTTGGATCCTAGGTGATCATGGTATATGGGGCCAGTCAGGCTTACCAATCCCTCGAATTTGAGTGTTACCGTGGTGTAGGAATTCCACCAGCTAGCAGGGTCAGTTGATGCAGTCAAGCAAGGAGTAATCCAAGCACCGAATGCTCACCTCTTCGAGTTCTGTAGGCATTGTGTTGGGGGATGTGAGTGTGTAGAAGTTAAGAGAAGTGAAGAGTTCAAGCGACAATCTTTTTTTTTTTCTGCCAAAGTGGGGGAACTCCGACGTCACCGCGGGGTTCCATTTGCATCTATGAACAGTACTTTTATTTTATTTTTATATTATATTTATATTATATTTAGTATATTCTAATTATATCTAGTTGTTTGATAGATCAGATATAATCAACTAAATCAATTAAGTTACATTTTTATTCTCTACTCACAATTATCTCTCATCTTTCCATGTCTACTGTCTACCGGGCGGTATACATACTAACCAGGACTACGACTAGAGTAGTCCCCAACTCAACCCCAACTTAAACCTCCCCCGGATTTCCCTTCCCACTTCTCCAGTACACCGTGACTCCCCCCCAATCCTCACTATGGCCACCCCCAATCTAAACGAGATCCACGATACCCTGATCGATCTGGCCTATAAAGCTGGAGATATCATCAACAATGCCCTCCCAGACACAAGCGGTCCGGGATCCAAGAAGAACAGTACGAGGCCCCATCAACAATGACACAAAACAAGAACAAAAACTAATTCCCTCCCCCTCCCCTCCAGGCGCCGATCTAGTAACCCAATACGACCGCGCAGTCGAAACCATGATCTCAACGTCTCTGAAAGAGAAATACCCAGACTATGCGTACGCAGCCCAGCCTAGCCCAGCCCAGCCCAGCCCAACCTACCACTCATATACCCTAACTTACCCGGTTCTGATATACTATCCTCCAGCTTCCACGGCGAAGAAACCTACTCTCCAACAACCCCTCTAACAAACGCACCAACATTCATCGTAGACCCAATCGACGGCACAATAAACTTCATCCACAATTTCCCCCACGCCTGCGTCTCTCTCGGCTTCGCAATCGAAAAGATCCCCACCGTAGGAGTTGTCTACAACCCCTCCACCAAAACCCTCTACTCTGCCATTAAGGGTCAGGGTGCTTTTAAGAATCGGGACCAGCGCCTCCCGCTCCGCAAGGCTGAGCCTCTGACCGGTCTATCAAACGCCCTAGTCGCAATTGAATGGGGCTCAGATCGCAGCGGACCAAACTGGACCGTCAAGACGCGGACTTTTGAAAAATTGGGCTCGAGCAAGGAAAATGGTGGGGCTATGGTGCGGTCTTTTCGGAGTTTGGGAAGTGCGGCGTTGAATATTTGCTCTGTTGCTGAGGGGGTTGTTGATGTTTATTGGGAGGGCGGGTGTTGGGAGTGGGATGTTTGTGCTGGATGGGTTATTTTGAATGAGGCGGGGGGTTTGATTGTTGATGGAAATCCGGGTGGGTGGGAGAATGAGGTGAGTCTTGATGGGAGGAGGTATTTGGTTGTGAGGGGGGGCAGCTGAAAAGGGGCAGAGGGAACTTGTTGAGGAGTTTTGGGGGTTTATCCAGGGAAGGTTGACATATTAAACCTTGGATTGTAATGTGTGAAAAGGGGTGGATGGGAGGGAAGAAAAGAAGGAAGAAGGTCTAGAGAGGGTTGTCTTGTCTTGTATTCTGGTGTGATTAGATTGAGATCTATGGAATTACTATACTATTGTAATACAATAGTATAGCATGGTTCACTCAAGTTACGGTACTAGTATGTCCAGCGATCTGTCTGGGTATCATTATGTACAATCTCTATATTTCCCAACATTCACCCACCCACTCACACTTACACTCACTCACTCACTCACTCGTGGGACTACCAGGCTACGTTGGCCGAAGAGCCGGAGACCAGCGATAGCCCGCATCTTCATCATCTTCATCCAAGCCAGATTCACAACCATTATCCTCGTCGATCTGGCGATCCGTCCAACGCGCCGAGTCCTGACGGGAAACATCCGTATAATGCGAGTGCGCACGTTCGTGTCCGTTTCCATGGATGCTGGCCGTTTTATGAGATGAGTTATCGAAATCATTACTGTTCCCTGCTGGGTCTCCAAAGGTCTCGCTCTCGCATCGTTCGCATGTTGGCGTGAGATCGTCACCCTGGTTGTGGTTGTTGTTGTTGTTGCTTTGGGTTTGGGTTTGGGTCTCCCCCTGGTGTATCTCTGTCTCTGTCTCTTTCTGAGGTGTACCCGCGGTATCCCTTTCGCCAGTCTTGGTCTTATTCTTATCGCACTGCCCTTCAACTTCATCCCCCGAACTCGTCGGTCCCACATTCGGAGACTTAGCACGATCAGAATCCCGATTAAGCGTATCGTCTTTAGAAATAGAAGCGGGACCAAAGTGCGTATCGACGAGGTGTTTCACAACAGGCCATCCATACGCATTAGTGAACATGCGCCGCACAATAATATTATTATGAGCATCTGGTTCCAGACGAACTAGGACCTTGCGCCAGGTTAGATCGCGATGATAGGCTCGGGCGATCTTTTCTTCGACTTTGAGACCACTCTCGCCGGCTTGAGGCTGTTGCTGCTGTTGCTGCTGCTGGCTTTGGGTGCCTAAACTGGTTGATGAGGGAGGAACCGTTTTGGAATTTGAACTTTTGCCGGGTTGTAATGAGCCGAATGCGGTCGTTCGTCGCTTAACTGGCATCGGGGCCGGGATATCATCGGGGTGGTAGATACGATCGTGGAAAATGGTTCGAGACCGTGCGGCAGGATCCAGGATGAATTCGCTCGGAGGTAATGGTGGCATGAGCAAATCTCCTGCAGATTCGAAGAATGTTGTTTTTGGGGGTGTGTAGACCCCGGCGTCTTCTTCGTAGAGGGAGTTGCCCCGGACAGCTGATGGAGATAGCGACTCTTCGGTGTCGAAGGATCCGAGGGTCTGGCTTCGTTTGTAGATCTTCGCATGCTTGCCACTCGGTGTACTGTGTTTGACGTTTGGGGTTGGCTTTGTATCTTTGGTCCGGAATAGGGAGAGGAAACTGCTCAAGGGACCGGAGTTATTCTCAGAGGTGGGTGCAGATGCAGATGCAGATGCAGACTCATGGGCACTGCTATGATGTGAAGGAGGTCTTTGTTGCACGAGGAATTGCTCAGCGCTCGGTGCCGAATTCTCACTATTCACAGCAATTGCTTCGCGGCCTTGCAGCGCAGAAGCCCCATCCCCACCACCACCACCACCAGCAGCTAGCTCCGGCATTTCAGCCGATCGTGCCAATTTAGGCGACGATTTCGAATTCGCTCCTGTCAATTCGGCCCAGCCCCATTCAGCCATAGTTCCCACTATACCATTCCCTCTCCTCGCCTTCTCAACCCGATCAAGACCTCGCCAATCGAGGAAGAGAAGGCAAGAAGTTCGCAGCGGAACGATTCCATCATTGACAACATTCGAATAAAGCGTTCGATGGTGGAATTTCTTCAATACCTCATGCGCAGGTCCACAAGGTAAGATACGCAATAGCGGTTTGGCGCCTGGATCAGATGGTTGGCTTTGATCTTTCCCTGCGTCTGAGCCTCGACCACCAATTATTGCACCCCATCCACTTCGCACTTTAGGTGCTGTCCAGCTGAGTCCGAGATCCTGTCCTGTTCGGCCTACAAGGCCTAGGTCTAGTGCGAAGCGAACATACATCGGATTCTCATTACTGAGACCCAGAAATGGTGTTGCAAGGGCGATGAAGTTGATCGGTTGAATTCGAGTGAAGAATTCAGGTGAGTGTTTTTGAATGTATGCGATTGCGTATGTTTGAATCAGACCACCGAGTGAATGTCCGACGAAACTGATGCTGGTGATTTGATAAGCGTGGTCTTCGCCGTCTAAAGAATCATCTCGGGTTTCGGGCAGTGAGTGAGGCTCCAGGAAAGGCTTGGCTTGTGTCTGGTCTTTGCGAGTGCTGAAAAATGGTTTCGTCTTTGATCCTTTCAGTGGGAAGTATGGTTGGTCCGGATATGTCATGAGTAAGATGTATTTTGCCAGACGTTTTCCGAGATATTGGATTCCACGCTCGGTACGGACGGCATTGCCGGAAAATCCCCTGACAATGACTTGTTCGGCGTCTCCCTCGGAGACACCCGTGTCTTTTTGCTTTTGCTTCTGGGATTTGTTCATGGCGGCGTCAATGCTTTCTTTCAGATATAGCATGTCGGCGCCGAGGTTACTATGCAAGCCATGCGTTAGTACCACCAGATGGATCTTCTTTTTCGGTGGTTTTGAGGCTGGCTTTGAGGCTGGCTTTGAGGTTTCGGGAGCAGTCACATCGAGTTGCTCCAGATTAGACGTAATATCACCGACTTCATCTGTTTCTGTCTTGGTAGGCTGTGACGGCACCGACGGCAGCGGGAGACTATTCCAAAGACTGGCCGTATCATCGACGCGAAGCGTAACAGCTTGTGAAAATATCCCCTTTGTAGGAATCATCTGTTGACCCCTCGTTCCTGGTCCCCATAACTCATTGAATTTACCCGGAGGACCAAGACTGGCCGTCGACGACCCACTACTAGAAAAGAACTCCATGGACTTTGCATCTCGTCCGATCAAAAGATCAAAGTGGACTACAGCACTGTTTGAGAATATGACCTGCGACACGATCTCGATCACCCAGGTTACACTGTCATCCTGTCCAGGCGCAGTCTGGCCTGCGGAGAGAGCATGTGAATCTCCGAAATGGGCCGGGATCTTAATCGTTGCATCCCAATTTCCTCCGGCCTTCAGGTATGGTTCGAATTGGGGGGCCCCCTCGGAGTCCTGCTCGGTATATTTGCAGTTGGGGTCGAATTTGGATGGGTAGCAGGCTGTGTAGAGGGTGTATGGGCCATGGAGATATGCGGCTCGGAGGGGGATTGCGGAGGTATTTTTCACCCGCACGTAGATTTCGGATGGGATGGGGAGGATCGGGTCTGATGCTGGTGTATATGTGAAGGTATATCTGGGAATGGAATTATCAGCTTTGGCTCCTCTGTGTCTGGGTGTATAGGTCTATAGGTCTGGGTCTGTGTCTGGTATTCAAAATGGCTTGGCTTGGGCTTGGCTGCGTAGCGCGCGAAGGGGAATGCGCGACCGCATCAGGACTCAACTCACCTGGCGATTTCTCCGACGCGCACACTGCCAGTCTGATGAACTAACAGCATCTCGGAACCCGAGATAGCCTCTGTGGGAGTCTGGCGCCAACCCGCGAGTGTATGGTAGCGGGATGCGCTTTCAGCGCGGGTGAGGGTCGCTCCTTGATCGGGAGTTTGCGAAGCTGAGTAAGTTCGAGGGGTGATCAGCATCGAATATGGATGCTTCCATGGTATGTGAAGAATAGAATAAGGGGAGCCGGGGAAGGGGTGAGGGTGAGATTGTCAGGAAAGACGGAAGTGTCGGAGTCTCTCGTACTTTCAGGGCAATCGATCTGCCCTCGTGATGCGCGGCCATCCCGCAGTGGATCGACGATGTACAATATGCACTGCCCCTTTTGCTTTACTTTGCAGTGCTTCTTCCACAGTACGAGTATATCCATTGATTCTTGAATGCTAAACTAATCACAACTTGATAACATTCAACAACTCCCGCTCCTCCATACAAAGCTCCATCCACCCATCTTTCTCTACAGCAACAATCTTCCCATCAATACATAATCTCCTCCACCTCTCCTCATCCTCATGAAAATCAATTCGTACCCTTACAACCTCCTGATACATAACAGTCTCCTCGCGAACATGTTGACCACCCTGATACGCCAGCGTCATAAGTCGCATAGCATCTTCCGGAGCCATAGGACCAAAGCGTAGAAATTGCATCTTCCCACCAAGGGCCTCCGAGTCGGGCGATATAAGAAATTCCTTTTCCAGTCTAGGTACTAGAGTTGCTAGCACATACATGTGCTCTTGCTCCGATAATATCGTCTGCTGGATGCCATCAGTAGACTCGGACGGATCTTTCGTCCGAGTCGTGATAGTAATCTGCCCCCGGAACCGATGAGACTCAGACCCATCAGACGGATATAAAAGCTCCTGCGCCGCCATCTTGAACCGCTCTGACCCGAACTTTCGATACGCTGTCGTGTCGCTGTCTGCCACTAGTGCAGCGTGGAGACCCCAACTCGCGACAACGGCGCCATACATGACTTGCTGCGAAGCGGAGACATCGCAAGCATCGGAGGTATCGGAATCAGTAGGCGCGATAGGAATAGACGCCCGCCCATTCCCTTCCTCTGTAACAATCATACTTCCAGGCGAAACCTTCGCCGCAAATACCGGAAGCGACACTGGCTTTCCCTTGAGTAAGGACTTCAAACTCGAAGCCGGACCTGATCGTAGTCCGATAGAACTTGCCATAGCGTTCCCCGTTCCACAAGGGATCAAGGCGATATTAGGGGCCGCCATTCGTTGGACACCATTCGTACTGTCGTATTTGTTTCTGTAAAAAACATCCAGTATATCGATCAGCCCTCCATCACCGGATAAGAGTATAATCGTCTGCTCCACGCCGGCAGAAGCTTGAGGGAGAAACTGCGTCTCGGATAACGAGATGATAGACTGTGCTGACTGCGTTTCATGGGATTGGTAGTTAACGCCTAGTCCGTCTAGCAAAGGTTGGACGAGATCTTTGAAAACGGTTTGTGCGGTGCCGGTGCCGGATCGTGTTGATATCACCACTTGGATGGGCTCTGCCTCGGCGTTTGCACTTTGTTGACTCTTGAGGTGGGTGGGGATCTGCGTCAGGAATGGAGTCAGGGCTGTTGGGAGAGGAGTCGATATGTCGATCTTGCCCAGGTGCATGGGGGCATTCTCCTGGTCTTGAGCTTTCTCTTCTTTGCTTTCGAGAAATAAAATTCGATAACCTGGGCCCGGGCCCTGGCCCTGGGCCTGAAGTGCTGTGTTTGGACTAGATACCACGCAAACGATGTGATCCAGTTCCACCTGGCCTTCATCTCCGCCAGAAGTCCATCTTAAGATATTCCCCTCCACAGAGGCGGCGTCTGCTTCCACATTGTGTTTAGAGGGCATTTTAAAGAGCTTGTTTTGTTTGCATCGAGTGTCGGATCGGATCGTTGGGGGTAGATCGGCGATTTAAATCATGGGATTCCGTGATCCTCGCGGTTGATAAGCGGCGGGGCAACTTGGGCTTCCCCCATGCATCCTGCGCATCCTTTGGGGTACCCCGGTAGATCAATGGAGTGGGGGCTGAAGGTAAGTAATTCCTGCGAGTAATAACTGGATTCAATTGAGTTTTATATTTATAAATTATTTGTTTTTTTTTACTTGGTTCGATTACTTAGAAGGTAATGGAAAGTTAATGAGAAATACCAATACCATAGACCTACCCAACTCTAGCAAGAAGCGCCATCACCACAATCCTCAATCCAAGAAGTAAAAAATACAAATACACAATACAATACAATCAATATGCCATCCGAGCGGAGAACCAGAACCAGAAAGAACGGTAAATATACACATGGTGATACAGAGACCTGTAACATCTGAAACTGAAAGCCATATGTCCAATGTTGTAAAAAAGAAACGTACATTTCTCCTATTCGGAGTGGAGCGGAGTGGTCGAGATAGTTTTAAGGGTGCAATCATGGGCTGCCTTCTTCTTCCTCGCCCTGTGGAGCAATATGCTTGTCGCTGAGATTCACGGCAATAAACGACTTGGGAAGTTTGACTCTGTTGAGAAAGTTAGAAAATATAAACATCATTCTCCTTTTTGCACACAATAACTTACGTGTCAAACTTCGCCTTAAGTGTCTCGATCACCTCTTTCCAGTCTTGATGCGCAGTCAAACTGCGTCGCGGGGCACAGCCAATGGCATGCCTAGAGTCCAATTGCACATCAAGCGGATCAAAAGCGTGGCAGCCAGGGCTGACAGAAATGCGAATGGAGTAAGAGTTAAGATCCGATTCGCTATCGCGCGCCTCGTAAAGCTCAAAGCAGATCTGGGAAAGGTAGTCGAGTTCGGGAATGGCACTGCGGGCAATCTTCGTCTGAATACCACCTTCCAGGATACAGTTCATAAGCGTGTAGATATGAGACTCCTTAGTGAAGTAGAAGAAAGACTTTGCGTCGGGAGATGCTTGGACTTCTTCCAGATCGCGAACGATCTCTTGCAAGAGTGGGAGAGATGTGAGGAGGCCAATTTCGAGTTTCTCGCTGTCGGTGATGCCATATTCTTGCGGTGTCACGTAGTCAAATAACACCTTGGCTAACTTGTATAATTCCCGGAGCTTGGAGAGACGTTCGTCCATCTTGCATTTGGTTGAGCTTGAGCCAGGGAAAAGCTTGAAGTAATGGTCGTAGGAATCATCAAGTGCGCGAAGGTGTGGCAGTGACTCTGGTACATGAAGTCGCTTCTTCAATCCAAGTCGATGGGCAAATGTGTGATTCTCGGAGCGCGATTCGTCACTTGCCTCCTTCTCCTTCTCCTTCTCGCTGGAATCAGAACCGGCCTTCCCATTCCCATTCCCATCAGAAGCCGAGTCGGATTTGGACGAGCCTTTGCCTTTGACACTGCACCGGTCATCATCGTCACGGTCATTGTCAGGTGGCATGAATACCCATTCCAGGAACTGTCGATTGTGAAGAGCATCGAATTTCATGCTATCGTAGAGTTCAGATAGCTTGCTTGGGTCAACCTTCTCCGTGTCGCAGAATTCGGCAAACAGTTTCTCCCATCGCTCTTTGAAAAGTCTCGGGTCCTCTCCTGCACACCAACGTCCCTGGATATTGGAAATCTCAGGGTTTTCGGCGCTCAAATCCTTTTGGCTCGGTTCGTCGGCGTTGTTAACCGACGAGGTAGGAGATTTGGCTGCGTCGGACTCAAGTCTGCTGAAATTGTGACGCATGACGCTTCGGTGGAAGTTCATCAACTCGACAACCGTAGCCAGCACAACAGATGGCTCGGGAATATTGCTGTCTTTGGGCCATGCAAATTGTGAAGGTGCAGATCCTTCTCTCAAGAGAAGCTTAAGCTTCTTCTTAACCTTGTCCATGACATCCTTGGCGGCATTTGAATCATCAAGCAGATCCTTTCGGACCTGTATGAAGTCTTCTGGTAGCTCCTTCTGGTCGAGGAATGAACAGGCCCAGATTTGTGCTATTGGTAATTGTTAGCATAGACATCCTTAGTCGACCATACCATCAAAACCTACCGCTCGTGCTCACTCTCCTTTCCGAGCTTGTGAAGAGGCGGACATTGTTGAGAGCTTCCTTGTTCATCAGCTTGAGATCATCTCGCATGTTCAGACCAAGGTCCTGCGACTGGTAACGTGCAGCATGCGTTGGCTCTCCTCCCCACTTGATAACAAGCTGGAGTTTGTCCAGGATGAGATCGTTCTCTACTGCAGAGAAGCGGGAAAATGTGGGGCCTGAAATAGAATCACTGCGTGTCTGTGACTTCCGCAGTGCCTCGGCTTCTGGTGATTCTCCAGGAATAGGCGAGAGGGGCTCTTCGGTTTCCATTTCGACCGGTGGCGGTGCTGTCGCTTTGGGCGTGCTAGCTGAGGAGTCTTGTTCACGCATTTCTTCTGGTCTGCGCTTCCGGAACATAGGCTTGATCTGGACTTTTGTTCCAGGCCAACCACCCTTCTTATCTAAAGAGGTACGAAGCAGTTTCAGCTTCTCGATGTCCTCTAGTCCTTGTTCCAAGGCGGTCCTGACGGCATCCGAGACACTAGACAACGCGGCAGCACCCTTAATCACCACCTCTTCCTGATGTCCCTTGAGTAGATCCACAAATGGCTGACTATGGAAAGTGAACTTGAACTTTTGCTTCGGGGTACGGTCGGCATGTCGAACCACCGCCACCATTCCCTTGAGTTTCCACGAGTGTTTGGAGGCAGGTGGTGGCGCAAGGGCTTCCTCATTTGTTTGGTGAACCGATATCGCAGGAGACTTTGTGTTGGAAGGGCTGTAACCGCGAGTTTCGGAGTGGCTGTCTCGAGGGGGCAGGCTGCCAAGGTTGGGAACTGGGTCAACGGCCTCCAGGCCAGACGACGATGCGAGCGAAGGTGTGGCAGTCGACGTATCTGATGGGGTTGCTTCCTGCGACCTGGCAAGTCTGGATGTACTCGGGGACTTCAGCAGGGTCTTCAATGCTTGTCGGTGAGAGCCCGCGGTGCTTTTCCTAGAGTGACCCATATCCGGTGATGGAGGCTCCGACGATTCCATTGATCCAAACCTCTTCATTCGATCAACCATGAAAGTATCGCGGAGAATTTTGGCGCACTTATCATAATAGTCGTTGTTATCCTTCACAAAACTCCAGCCATTCACGTCGATGACATAGCTTCTGTCTTCCACACGAAGCATATCAAAGCCGCAGATTCGTTGGCCAAATCCGTTCGATATCTTGGAAGCAATCGCTGCTTCATCCTTGGTCAATTGAGTGATATAACGGATTTCTTTGCCGTGGGTGTTGCGTCGGACCAACCCATCCACAACCGGCGACTTGCGTGTTTCGGCGTGGCAAAAATCAGGGCCAACGGTGTAGGCCTTGACATCTTCGGCATTGTCGACACGCAGGAATTGCTCGTAAAGGTAACTTGTCTCCGTCTCGGTGACTGATCTCGGAACAGAAAGCTCGGGGTCATACTCTGAGCTCTTATTTCCAACCTTGCGGAAAAGCCTACGTCCACCTCCCCCATATTGCTGGTCATTAGGGAAGTAGATGTGAATGTTGTGATCTTCACCATTCACTGGCTTTTCCACAAAAGGTTTGCGGAAGACTTTGCCATCAACCACCAATGCCTCCCCATCCTCGGACATGGACACTTTCTGTGTTCTGGGGGCACCACCTCCTGTTCCATCTTCCGGTCCGTCCAGCTTCACTCCCGTTAATTTGTAGATGTGCTGTGCGAGTTCCGCCGATTCGAGAACAGGACCACCATCACGGTTTACCTCGAGCCTCTTAGGAGTGGGTACTCCCATCTGATCCAAGATCATGAGACATAATCGGCGATCCCACAAGACCTGCTGCATGGGTAAATCATTGACGCAGAATGGCTTGCGGAGCTTGGCGTATGCGATCGCCTTATCGAGGGGGAACCCGTCGGAGAAGAAAGCGATCAAGAAATCACAGACCGGCCAGTTTTCGACGGCTTCGTCAAGGATGACTTTGTCACCGAATACAATGACTTCGAATTCACCTTTGGATTGGAGTCGAGTCAATATATTCTGACTGGGCTTGCTCCGAGCTTTCACATCCAAGGCACAGACTCCAATCCTCCACTTAGGGGGGACCAGCATCCGCCTCACTAATGGAGCTGGCAGCGGTGCTTACAGCAGTACTCCCACTGAATCTTCGAGCGGCCCGACTGGATGATCGGGTCGAGTTGCCGATTAGAGGAGCCGAGCGGGATTCCGAGGCAGAGGCGGCATCGGGCTTGTTGGGCTTTGTTGGGCTTTGCTGTTTAAGCGATGCATCGAGGGTAGAGGAGTCTTTCTGGTCTAAATAGATGGGAGGGACTGGTCGGAGGGTATCTGAGCCCCCTTTTTCTGGCGTTATATTGGTGGAGGTGCCATTGTTGAGGTCATCGGCATCCATGTCGGTAAGGGCAGATTGCGGCGCGGAGGGGCAATGTGGGGGGGGAATCTCTAAGGCGAAGGATGGGACGAAAGGCGGAAATAGAGAGAAGAACGAATGACTCTATACTAGACCAATTACCCTGGAGGTGGAGGGTTACTGGACAAGTAGAGGCATGCGAGAGGAGGAGTGGAAGAATGTAGGAGAGGAAGAGAGGCCGAGGGGAAGAAGAAGAGGCGAATGTCATGCCCGCATTTGATTCTGCGGGAAGATCGCCCTTTCCGGCACGGCAATCATTACTTACACGCACTTGCCACTTTAAAGATACCAGTAGACTGAATTTACTATTAATTACTAATTATGGTAATATCTATACTGAGTAATGGGGTACTTATACTTGTATTTCTTTGTTTAATCTGATAGTATTTATTCTAGTTGGTCTGGTCACGGTGATAGTGATAAATAAATATAGCATCATCTTGATATAAAGATTAGAGAACACTATTAGGCAGTGAAGCTTATAGATTTAGTATCTATACCCTATACCCCATCTAAAATCTATATACTAAGGTACTCTAGATATATTCTCTAATTTACATAGAATATCCTAAGAAATATCACACTACTAAGTGCTGGTATCTGCACTCGCATCAAAGGCGGTCTGGAGCTCTCCGCCGCGGAGGTAGATATTAATACTAGGTGGACTTTAGATGATAAAAAGAGAAGGGTAAGGAATTGTTGCTAAAAAATATAGAACTGTTAATAGTTTAGTATTAAAGCTATCACTCTAGTTTACAGTTCCTCTAGAATCACTCTATCTTATGGCATTGGTGATCACCCCAGGGTGTTTGTACTCCTATGCCTCCTCCGCCGCTGTACGGCAGAACTGGAGGTTCCACTTTTTTTTCTGCTTCAATTTTCCCCGTCGATGATCTGATCTCCAACTCCCCAACTTTTACCCTCGTTTCGCATCTTCGTCCGCAACAATGCCGGCCGTCGCGAATGAGAGACATGACCAGCCTCTAGCAAAGAGGCAAAAGAGAGCCCCCGATGCTCAACTCCGCTCCAAGCCCCGTGGCGGTTCCAAAATCTTCGCGCCTTTCCGGGTATGTCTTGAACTGGCGAGAGGGATTCTCTCAATCTTCTAGCTAACCCTTGATGTTTTCTGTCGAATAAAGACTCTAGGACTCGTCTCGCCGACCCCTGTCCCCTTCACCAGCGTGCGCTTGGGTAAATCAACCTACCAGATCACCACCTCGGTAGGCCACTCGCTGCAAACTTACGACTTGCGCAAAGGCCTGAACCTCGTCTTCCTCACTCGCCCGGAAACCCCAGAGATTATCACCGCGACCTATGCCTGGCAGGATAAGACTTTCGCCGCATGGGGTCATCTTCGACCCCGGTCGTCGGGAGGCATTTGGGTCTTCAAGCGTGGCAAGCGAGTCGCTAGCCTCGACAGCCCGGGTCTCGACGCGCCCATTGAACGATTGATGGTCTTTGGTTCGTGGGTGGTTGGTTGCTGGGCGGGCGGTTTGGAGGTTTGGAAGACTGGCACCTACGAACATTATGCTAGCTTGCGCCCTCGATCTGCCCCGGACGCATCGTCGGCGGAATTGGTTTATACAGGTGCCCTGTGCAACATGCCAACTTACCTCAACAAGATCTTTGTCGGCCGAACTGATGGTGGTATCGATATCTGGAATCTTCGCAGTGGGAAGTTGATTTACACTCTACCGGCGCCGTCTACAGAGGCTGGCCCCGTGACCGCAATGCAGTCCACCCCGGCTCTTTCACTCCTCGCTGTGGCCCATAAGAGCGGCGCCCTGTCAATCCAGAGCGTTGACTCGGGTCAACTGGTTCTCAGTCTGCGGACAGCATCTTCCCGTACTCCAGCCGTAACGTCGATCACTTTCCGAAGCGACGGTCGGGGAGCCGGCCACGATGGTCGACAGGCGGGCGTGATGGCTACAGCAGCTAGTGGAAGTGGTGATATCACAATGTGGGACTTGAACGAGGGTGGTCGTGTGGCTGGTATCCTGCGTGGCGCCCATCGAGTTTCGAGAAGCGAGTCCAGCATGGGCGTAAACCGGGTCGAATTTCTTGACAATCAGCCCGTTCTTGTCTCGACTGGAGATGACAATGCTCTGAAGACTTGGATTTTCGATGAATCTCCATTCTCGCCTACTCCCCGACCTCTTCATTCTCGCGGTGGCCACTCTGGCGCCGTCAGTGCTCTCGACTTCCTGCCCGCGGCCTCAGACGGCTCCGACTCTGGTGGCAAGTGGTTGCTCAGCGCTAGCAAGGACTGCAGCCTCTGGGGTCTCAGTCTGCGGAAGGATAGCCAACATACAGAGATTTCTCAGGGTAACTTAGAAAGCAAGGCGAAGAAACTTGGACCGTCGGGCTCGAGCGCTGTTATGGTGGATGAGCTAAAGGCACCCGAGGTCACTTGTGTGGCTTGCTCGCTGAATCGTGATGGGGGTATGGGAACTAAGTCTTCGGGCCCTATCTGGTCGAACCCGAAGGGAGGAAATGCCGATGCCACCAGTTTAACCGGGTGGGAAAGTGTTGTCACTGGCCACCGAGGAGATAAGTTTGCCAGGACCTGGTTCTGGGGCAAAAAGAAGGCAGGACGTTGGGCTTTTGCTACAAGCGATGGAACTGAAGTCAAGGTATGTGTATTTTGCTACGCTGTTCGGCTGCAGCCTCGGTGTAACTAACTCGAGAAATAGAGCGTCGCAATGTCTCAGTGCGGTACTTTCGCCGTTGTTGGATCCGCAGGAGGCGCTGTTGATATGTTCAACATGCAGTCCGGTATGCACCGCCAGAGCTTCCCATCCCGTTTGCCAAAGTCGGGCTTGGCGAAGCGCAACACAGTCACTCTATCGTCTTTGAGTGCACAGGAGGCCAAGCACACCAAAGCTGTCACCGGTTTGATGATTGACAACCTCAATCGAACCGTGGTCAGTTGTGGTTTGGATGGCAAAGTCAAGGTACGACATCTTCATCTCATACCTCTGCTCCCACCGTACTAACACTCATACCAGTTCTGGGATTTGCTCTCAGGGTCATTAATTGATCAGCTGGATTGGCATCCAATGGCTGCCGTTACGGGACTCCGCTACAGTAAAACAAGCGAGCTGGTCGCCTTCAGCTGCGACGATCTTTCAATTCGCGTGGTCGATCTCGAGACCAGAAAGCTTGTCCGTGAATTCTGGGGATGCGTCGGCCAAGTAAATGATTTCATCTTCTCTAATGACGGTCGCTGGGTCATCGCCGCCTCAATGGATTCCGTGATTCGAGTATGGGACCTGCCAACCGGACATCTCATTGATATTTTCCGCGTGTCCAGTACTTGCACTTCTCTCGCTATGCCCTCTACCGGAGAGTTTCTGGCAACTGCCCATGCAGGAAGCATTGGCGTCAGCCTCTGGAGTAACCGCAGCCTTTTCATGTCGATATCTACCAAGAATCTCGACGAAGATGTTATTGAGGACGTTGGCGTGCCGACCACCTCTGGCGAAAGTGGTGCGGGACTTGTTGAGGCTGCTTTCGTGGACGAGACCGAACAGGACGACACGGAAGGACCTGTGCTCGCTACTGATCAACTGCGCAAGGACATGATGACCCTCAGTCTGGTTCCTCGCAGCAGATGGCAAGGCCTCCTGCACCTTGATTCTATCAAGGTATGTAACAGGATAATATCCCCCAGTTTAAAAGATCGATTTCTAACTAATTGACTACAGGAACGTAATCGTCCCAAGGAAGCTCCCAAGGCCCCCGAAAAGGCCCCTTTCTTCCTGCCATCTCTTCACGGTAAAGACGCGACCTCCTCGCCCAACCCAGCCGCAGTCGCCGCCGACGCCGAATTGGGCTCACTCGTGCAAAGCGCGGAGGCGGAGCGATCCAGAGTCTCGAAGATGAAGTCCGGGTTCATTGGATCTTCTGATTCCCCCATCACGCAGCTCCTGGAGTCTGGTCATGATTCCGGCAACTATGAGCCAATGATCGAGCATCTCAAATCTCTTTCACCTGCCCGAGCTGATCTGGAGATCCGCTCCCTGGACCCGCGTGTGCAGAATGGTTTCTCAGAGCTAGCCGGCTTTGTCGATGCTCTGACCATGCGCTTGAAATCGAGAAGGGACTTTGAATTGGTCAATGCCTGGATGGCTGTTTTCCTGAAGATTCACTCGGATACTGTTGGGCTCTGTGCTCGTCAGGATGAGCCTGAGTACCGTCTGCTGCGGAAGGCTTTGAGCACCTGGGCGAAGGAACAGGAACAGGAAGGGAAGCGTCTGGCTGGATTGGTGGGGTACTGTCGTGGTGTGGTGGGCTTCCTTAGGTCTGCACGCTGAGCTGAGCTGAGCTGAGCTGAGCTGAGCTGAGCCATGTCAAAAGCGAGTTGCAAATTTTTGGACTTAATGGCGTAAATAGAGAAATCTTGTCTTGACGTATTATATTATTGGAAAGGAAATGAATTTACATTTACATATCAGTAATCTCGAAGTAATCCTAACTCCTGCTTCCTTCAAAATCTCTTAAGTAGACTCTTACGAGTAAGTACTAAGCCCTATCCTACGATAATAAATAATTTAACGGAGAAAAATTGGATACGAATACTGGGGATCCTGGATCCTGACTAATCTTCCAATTTTCGATTTCGACGCCAACCACCCCTCTACATGTCGCTTCCCCCGCGTCAATTCATCTGATATGGGTATTTCATATCTCACCAGACATCTGCTGCCATACGCTGAGACCATTTCATTCGGGTCTCGCAATAACACCGAACCCGAACTTTCTTACCAGCAAAATGTCGTAATCGATGGTCCGAGCCTGGTCTACGATGTCTACCATCGCCTGCTCGCCAATATGCACCCAGGCTGTGACATCCTGGACGTCCAGCCGACATGTAACGAGGTCAGCCGTGGGGTTGTGGCCTTTCTTTGTAAACTGGATAAACTGGGCGTTGAAGTGTACAGTTACTCTCTCCTTCTTCTCTGAATCTTTTTCTAAAAGACTACAGACGGGTTCTGGGTTTTGTTGTATCTAACTATTTAACAGAAAAGGAATTTGCTTTGATGGCGCTCTCCCTATTTCAAAGCGCCATACAAGACTATCCCGCGTCGAAAAATCAAGGAAGAAATTGGAGTTATGTCGGCGTCAAGTTTTGCCTCCAAGATCCGGGACCGAGACTCGGCGGGAAATGTCTTCATCGGTCATTTTTGGCCAGATATGGAATACTGGTCGTAGTCTCCCTGCGCGATGGAAAAATCTGCCGGATAATCCTTTCATGGTATCTGCTGTTTTTGAAGATCTTTGCGGTCGTTGGAGTAGGGAGGGGGTTTGGAATGAATTTCAATATCAGCTCGATGTCACTCTTCTTCCACATGAATATCCCTGGAAAAATATTACGGTAATGGTTCCGGGTGAGGCAGATACTGAATGTGCTCGCGTGGCAAAGAGTACTAAATCGGCTATTTTGACGAGTGATTCGGACCTTTTGGTTCATGATCTTGGAGTTGAGGGTTCGGTTGTTTTTCTTAACTCGTTGCAGTTGACCGAGGAGGGTGGGAGTGAGAGTGAGAGTATAGAGGACTCAATTTCAAACTCAACTCAAGCATTGAAATTGAAACTTTGTGGACAGGGCATAACTCCTCACGCTTTATCTCGCCAATTTGGAATTCCCAATATTCAACGCTTTGCCTACGAGCTTCGTGAAGACCCGCACGCCCCTTTCTCTAAGCTTCTCCGCCTGGCTAGAGAATATAAATATGGGGTCGATGAAAAACGCTCTGTTGAATATTGCGATTTTCTTCGCGAGTATGAGTATGGGCCTCGCCCTAGCCTTCATGCAGCAACAACCACAGAGAAAGACTCGGAGGGAAAGCTTTTCACTCTCGGAATGGATCCTAGGGTCTCTGAATTATTCTGGCAATTTGATTCCCCGGATACATATACCCAAGCCTCCCAATACCATGTCTATCTTGGAATTCTCCACGAGGACTCTTCTCGACGCTGTGCTTGGGAGCAAGCTCGGTCTTATCGCTCACTTGGCTATGCCCTACTCAATCTGAGTCGCCCTGCCGCACACCAGTCCCAGACTATCTATGAATTTGTTCGGCGGGGAGGAAGAATTGTCGCGGAGCAGGTCACTCTCGCTGGCGAGAAGACTGTGATTTCTGACCTTGGACACCTCCAAGGACGTCTGGATCTAGCTCGAAGTACCTTTGACCGTCGTGATTCATCGTCAAACTTTTGGTTCTTGTTTGCCCTCTCGGAGGTTTATCAAGAATTATCGAATACAACGACCCCACCAACCGCTAAGCAACTGCAAGGGTTCCTGGGCAAAGGCTTTATGGGCAAAGGCACTGATTGGGAGGATATTCACCTCCTAGCTCAGGTACAGGCTGTTCTGTACTCTCTTCGAATGCTGCAACAACTTATTCAAATTGCGGCAAAGACTTATGATGTCGGGCCCTACCGGACTGTCTTGAAGGACTTGCCTCCCCTATATCTTCTCATGAGGTCACGGCATGATATCGTCCAGGGCTTTTCTGAAAATGAGGGCTGCCGGAAAGTCGTTCATCAGATGGTTAAGACTTATGGCTGAGTAGAACATTTGCCATTGTCATATATCCTATACTGTTCAAATTTACTGAAACTCGGTATCTGGATGAGGAATATCCTAGGTGACAATTCTTTATACGGGTTTCTTTTCTCTCTTCTCTTAAGACACGACTCGTATCTATTGGGCAATTGGATTTATTGCCCCATTGTAGCTTGCTTGGTAGGAAACTGTTGAGCTATGTACAAGAATCGGTGCACGGGAAAGACCCCGTAGTAGCGCTATTTCTGACGCCTGGGAGGTTACCGAAAGATATGAATTCCAGCGAAGAGCCGGTTGGTGCTTTGCTTTTTTGGTTGCAGATGACAGCCATTCTGCCAGAACCGCGAGCGGTTTGAATCGCAATTTGTGACCAGCACAGATATTAAATGTACGCAGTAGCCCACACCACTTGTTTGCACAGACCCCCGACATCCACAGCAGGGGTGGGGGAGAGCCACTGGTACGCCCGAATCGGTTCAGCCGGAGCAAATCCAAGGTTGGAGATTTTCTTTTTGAGTCCAGTTGTGCAAGGGCGGAGCGGCGGGAACGCAATCGGGCGGAGATTTCAAGGAGACTCTTCATCACTTTTCGGGGGCATCGGGGAGACGTTCGATCACGTATTTTCCTCTTGCGACGCTCATAATTGGGGCACCGGGGATTTTGCTGATGAGGATATTAGCGTTTTCTTCTTCTTCTTGGGACCTCGGTCTAGTCGTCGTGCTTTGCACTAGGCGAGCAGATGCTAACTCAAACTTACCGAATTCGTCGCTTGAGATCACGATCGTTTGTCGCCACAATATAGACACGGTGCTTGATGATCCGATCAACGAGGCAGTCATCGGCATATGTACCCTTGTGATCGCACTTGATTCTTTCAAAGCGAGGATCTTTGGCAACGCGCAATGCCAGGCGGTACTTCTGGCCCAGTTTCTCCAACTCGGCAATCACGCAGTCGGTAATGACGGGCGTGCATTTGGCGTAGAGACAGTCCATCATGGTGGGAATGATTTCCAACTTGTGTTGGATGGTATGGGAGATAAAATTGGTATCGACGAGCACGGAGTAGGGGGGTGTCAGGGCGGTGTTATATTGGAAGAAAAGAGACGAAGGAGCCTGGGGTCTAGAAGAGAAGAGAAGAGAGACTGTCAGTTAAATCGCAAGGAAGCAGCGAGGGGAAGGGGGGGGGTGGGAGGGGCCAAACGAACGCTTCGCGGACCAAGTCATCGGATTTGGGCTTTTTCTCTTCCTTGTTCGTGGGTTCCTTTCTGTATAGCTTTGTGTCAGTCGTGATGGGTGAGAGGGAGGCGCAGGAAGCAAAGAAATTTGCGGAGAGGAATCAACGAACAGGCGATTATCACGGAGAGAGATAGCTCTCTTTGCTTGAGCGAACTTGCGCGATTTCTTGTGAACACCCATCGTAGCGAATGTCGTTGGAAGTGAGTACACAGCTAATTTCGCGAACTGACCAAAGCGGTGCAAGTCCGAAAGATTCAAAGATTTTTGTTATCGCCCTATCAGTGCTGACTCAGCGTCTTGGCATGCCCATCCTATGGTTCCCGTATTTACCAGTACCGCCCCGCGGGTACACCAAAGCCATGGATGGTTCGGCACATTCATTGTTTAATAGTCATCTACATTATTCGACGGCTTCTTTTTAGTCCAATTATGTGGGTTATTTCTGGGGAAATTAATACCGGCAACGAAAAAACTTCAAAAACCCATCCCATTGCCCTTAACGCCTGTCACCAAACTCGATCACTCCAATACAGTAGATCTTCTCTACATAACTAACCTATAGAAATTACCTTTGAGGGGCGTATAGAACTTCTCCGAAAAGAAAGATTGGACGGGTTAATTAATTACTCTTCCTCCCATGGTGGAATAACGCTGCCATCTGCACGATGCCGATTCATCGACCTGATGATATCCATAGGTCCCATCCCGGTTCGTTGCATATGCCGGACTAGGCCCTCTGGTCCCTGCTCAATATCATCATACCAATCCTCGCCGTCATAATCTTCATAGTCATCGAAGTCCTCATCCATGTCGCTGTCTAAATCCGGATCGTCTAGATCCAGCATCTTGTATGGATAGATCTGGAAATCGACATTGGATGGCTGGAACAGCTGTTGGTGCTGGATGAAGATTTCTTGCGGAGTCCCCTTGTCTGGTATACGCTGTCCGGGAAGCATAATAGGTTGCGAGACATCCGATGTAAGCACCTTGAACTTCACAAAGTCGGGATAGAGCTTTTTCCGACAATCCTTCGCGATGTTGCGGATCTCCTTTCGAAAAGATAATTCGCAGTCATCGATGGTGAATTCCTTGATACACCTAGGTAATTCCGGATGCAGCGGACAAATGGCGTGTGATATTTGAATTTTTTTGAGGGCAGAGAATTCGCGGAAAGAGCCAATATTGACATGACTGGAGATATGCCGCTCAAGTTCCCGAATATCTCTGGCCATTGTATCTCAATGGTAGTTGAGGCAGAAGGCCTCAAGGGTGTCTTTTTGCAAAAGCATAGCTTCATGGGCCTCTGCGGCATTAAACTCTGCACGCGGGTTTTGAATCGTTATTCTGGCACGCTGCATGCTTGGGACTGACTCGAAGTTCATGTAATTAAACAACTTCAGTCCCCTGCAAGCTTGCATAAGCTTTTGAAGAGCACCGGCGTCGATGTGACATTGGCTGAATATGATATTCTCCAGTGCCAGTGCCCCAGGGGACCAGCTAGATGGAAATGAATCACCATTGAGATCGCCTAGTTCAAAATGCGCAGTCTTGAGTTTCGGGAGAGTAAGGAGCTTTTCATATTGACGGATGGAGTATGCGGTGAACATGTCTTCACATTCAATGGAGAAGGACTTGAGACCGGACAAAAACAATGGGGTTCGGTCAAAGAGATTATCAAACGCTTTGAGGATGGAGGATCTTCCTGCTGCCAGACTCAGATCTGAAAGATTCGGGGTCTTTGCGACTAGAATGGCGGTAAAAATGTCGAGGTCTGTCTCCTCCATGCCCTGAATCCAGATCTGCTCTTGGTCGCCTAAGTCGAGGTCTTGAATTGCACTTTTGAAAAGGGCTTTTTCCTCGACCTTGAGGCTCGTTCCATACGGTAGGCACCGAGTCGTATGAGCTTCACATGGTACGATAGATAAATCCTTTACATGCTTTGCCAGGTCTGGACGTTGACAGATGGTCCTTGCAAAGGATATGACCGAGCTCAGGCGGTCTAGCAGTCCGTCCGTGTAAAAGGAGCGATAAAGAAATGGCTGTGCTGCCTCGCATAAGGTCCGCGAAACAAGGCATAGATTTTGTAGATCGACTTCCTCGTCATGGTCGTCGTCCGTTGCAAGCAAATGCTCAGGGGGCGGGGTATTCTCGCCGATAGAGGACAGGATATGGATAAGGAGCTCATTAGGGAGATCTTGTAAGCTTGGCATTGTCAAGTCTCTAATATTTCTATGAGCCTCAAGGCAGTATATAAGTGCCGCGGTAATTGAAATGATTCACAATCTTTTCATCACTTTATTACAGCAGTCAAAAGCTGTTGTGGGACATATTATGACAAGTCACATGTTTGCAGCCTTAGGCCTCAGTTGACCATCAGCTATGAAATTCAGATATAAGGTCAGCATGGGTCTTAGTAAGTGCTTAATAGGACTCTTAGTTGGCAATCGCTTCTAGTAGGACTCAAGATATAACAAACCGATATTATTAGAGTCATTTACCCCGATCATGTGACCCACAACCATCCGTTCTATCTATACTATAATAACCGTAAGAGCTTATCTCTCTTTTCTTTCTCTAACTTTATTACTTTTTATAATACTATATGAAATGAAATTTATTTTATCCTGAATCCTTACATTATAATAAAGCTTTGTATATTATCTAAAGTTATATAGATCTATATCCCCTATCTAAATACTGTGAGATGGGAATACTTGCTGGCAGTCTGCGTTGGCAGACGGGTCTATTGCAAGAGGACAAAACCACTACACTCGCAGAGTGCATGAGAGTTGTAGACAAAGCGAGACGCTATAGAGGAACGACTAATAAGACATTCGAGTCTTCATGGAAATGCGATATAACGATACCGCAACCTCAGCCTCGGCAGTCTCAGAAAATGACAGAATTATGAACATGATTGTTGTTGAATGTAGAATCTTGTCAAACGAATTATTCATATGTTCACACCATAGGGGGGGGCATACAGCTGAGCGGAGGTAGAAAACCTCGACCTCTGCTAGTATTAATAAGCAATAAAATTAGCGTATTTTGATTTTATTTAGCCCCCAGCCCCTATCTTTTTGACTTAAGTTATGTTTTTCTTTTTTTTTGAAGTAAAAAACTATGTCTTATTATTCTTTTTTTTTCCTATAATCTATCTTCTAAAATAGACTCTCTTCTACTATTATTTCTATCTATTGTTTAATATACTCTATTTAGTAAGGAATATCAGGCCTAGCGTCTATAATATCTATTAATACTATTAGAACTCTTTAGATATTAGGAACGAGAATATAAGGTAAATACTGTAAGAAAAGACTTTAAAAATCTTATTTATAATCTTAAGGTATTTGTTATTATTACATTAATTATTTATAGATTATATATACGGAATATTGTCTAATTATATATTTATTTTAGACTAAAAGTAATTCTAAAGATTAGTTTAAAGATACTGTTAAGAATAATTATTCTGATCAGAGTAGAGAATTAGATAATAATATAGAATCTAATATAGATTATAGTACTAAGCCTTTACTATATAGTCTAGGACTTTATAAAAGTAATATTAATAATTTCTATAGAGCTCTGATTAGTTTAAATAGTTACTATTATATCTTTATAATAACTTATAAGCAGTATTTAGTAATCTCTAACTATCCTATAGTCTTACTAAAAGGTATTCTGTTTATAATTTATCTACTAAAGAGTCTATTTATAGATTTAGATATAAAAACTATAATTTTAAAGAATATTAGTCTAGTCCTTACTAAGCTTAGAATATAAGTAAGTATTCTTTATTTCTATATAAAATATATATTTTCTATATACTAATAGTATTATTTTTAGATTTAATTCCTACTGAATAAAGTTAGTATAGTAAATAAGGTCTTACTCTAACTTTTATAGGCCTATCTTAAGAATAAATATATATATATATTATAAGACTATATGTCTTACTAGGCTCAGGGAAGTACTGGTAGATCAGATGATCCAATAAGAAGCTGTTTGTTGGTAATAGATAGGATGATTGATGTATTGCATGGATGTGTGTTATTAGGATTACAGGAGATTGAGATGCTATTTATCCCTGAGGTTTAGCAGGCCTCAGGCCACCATTATTAGTAATTATGATGGTCATACGACAATAAGTTGTTGTAATGTATTAATTATGATTAGCATCAAATAGTAATTAATTATATAGGTTGCCATAGTTAGCACTATAGTCAATTATATAGGCAGCAGATTAGTTATAGATAGACATCACCAGAACCCACTATAACCCGGACCTAACCCAACCTAACCTAACCCAAAATAGGTTTTGGGTTGAATACTATAACCTATTAATAGGTTTTGGGTTATTACCTATAACCTAAAACCTACCTATAACCTATTTAGGAACCTAGTAGGTATCTATTTTAGTCTTAAATTTTAAATATATAATAATTAATACTATATATATATATATATATATATATAGGATCCTAGTATCTAGATTCTTCTAGAAAAAAAAGAGATAAATTAAGTATTAAAATATACTCTTTTAGACTATCTATATTAATATTTCTAAGCTTGGTAATACTTTTAGTTATAGGTTTACCTTATAATTCCCCTAATCTATATCCTATAAGAAACAAAAGATAATATATTAGTATTATATATAGTAGCTCTTAGGCATCGCCATAACCTATTTTAGGTTGGAGATACTGACCCAAAACCTAACCCAACCCAACCTAAAACCTAATAGGTTAAACCTAATAGCCCAATAGGTACCTATTTTAACCTATTTTTACATAATTTATTTATAATTTTTATATAGTATATTTTAATATTTAATTTATCTCTTTTTTTTTAGAAGAATCTAGATACTAGGATCCTATATATATATATATATATATAGTATTAATTATTATATATTTAAAATTTAAGACTAAAATAGATACCTACTGGGCTCCTAAATAGGTTATAGGTAGGTTTTAGGTTATAGGTGATAACCCAAAACCTATTTTGGGTTAGGTTGGGTTGGGTTGGGTCCGGGTTATAGTGGGTTCTGGCGATGCCTAGTGGCTCTATAAATAGATATCTGATCTAGCTTAGGTTTAATAGGCGTTTTATACTGATCTACGACTAATTTAATCCTAGGTTAAATAGTAGGAGAAAAGAGTATAGTAACTTTAAATTATATACTACTATAAGAAGATATAGGGTTTTAATATATAGAGGTAGGCATCGCCATAACCCATTTTGGGTTGGAGATGCCGACCCAAAACCCAATGGGTTCCCATTTCAACCCATTTTGGCATAATTTATTCATAAATTTTATGTAGTGTATTTTAATACTTAATTTATATCTTTTTTTCTAGAAGGATTTAGATACTAAGATTTTATATAGATATATATATATAGTATTAATCATTATATATTTAAAGTTTAGGACTAAAAAATACAGTAATGAAAGAGTTATTAGAAAAATAAGGCTTTTTGTAAAGATATATATATTACCTAGTAGGGTATACCACTATTTTTACTATAGAGCTCTGTAATTTATTTTATTTTTAAATACACTACTTCTTGGCCTTTTAATTTATAGTATATATATATTAGATATTGAATAATAATAATATTAAATAAAAAACTTAAAATACCTATATATAAGGCCTAAAAACAGCACTAATACATCCTGTATTTAAAAGCTTGGTATGTTTGCCTTGTTTACACTAAAATAGGAACCCACTGGGTTCCCAATTAGGTTTTGGGTTATCACCCATAACCCAAAACCCATCAATGGGTTATGGTATTCGACCCAAAACCCATTTTGGGTTGGGTTGGGTTGGGTTGGGTTGGGTTGGGTTGGGTCCGGGTTATAGTGGGTTCTGGCGATGCCTATATAGAGGGTACTATCTTTTATCCTTAGATATTTAAAAGAGAAGAATCAGAATTATAATAGTTACTATATTATAAGACTAGAGACCTATAACTAGATAAGGGTATTATATAGTAGAGATCAGATTAGACAGTTAGTATATAGACTGATTCTTAAGGAGTTTAAGAATCCTAAGTATTTATAGGATTTTAAATACACTGGGGTTTGGGTAGATATTGATATACAGGTAACTTAAAGAGGATTCGTCTATAAATCAGCCTCGAGATACTGGGGTATTATATACTTCGAATCCTATGACAGAATCAGTATTAGGATAATAGGGATTCAGTGGTATTAGTTCTTTATATTCATAGGACCTCTGGGACCTTTTCGCTTTATAGTTGAATCAGTATTAAATTGATAAGGATTCAGGCGTATTTGTTTTTCGTATGCCTAGGACCTCTAGGGCTTTCGCAGGTGATTTAACGATTACCGATCGAATCGGAAGATTGTTGTATGTGAAGGGCTGTAGTGACAACTGTTTAATTGGGGCTAGGCCTGCATGCTGTTTACAACAATCCCAAGGAAAGGATGTTATCTGTGTGCTGTTCGTCTTGTTTACCCCGGAAGAGGTCACGTTCCAACACGTGATATCAGATCGGGCCTGGGCCCGTTACAGCTGCCTAAGAATAAGCTCTATATCCTTACTCATTGTAATCTTAACTTAAGTAATATTATAGTTAAAAACAGAGCTTTGGCTAGAATACTTAATTAGGAGTTTGCTGTATTTTATTCTGTATAGTACGAGTATATCTCAGCCTCTTGGGGATAGACTAAGGAAGATGCTAAGCAGAAGAAGCTACTCTAAGAGCGTTTTAATGTCTATAGTAATACTTATAATAATACGAAGAATTTCTGGAAGATCTTGTTTCAAATAAGAAAGTACGCAAATTTAGATATAATTGCTACTGATATCGGCAACACCCACCTCGGTCGGTATACTAGACAGGGTATTTATAACAGTTAATACGTATAGAAAAACCCTCACTCCCGATAAGGGGGCGTATAATATATACTGGGTTACCACTACTGATCGCGAAATCTTACAAATGGAGCCTACTATAAGCCTGTTGGCTGACCTGGAACCCAGACCAAGGTATCTCAAGATAAGACGGCACACAATCAACTCTGGGAGTAGACCCAGAAAGAGCTAGAAATGTATCAAGTTATAGAATCCTTGTATAAAGGAGCGATGTCTCCTGTTACCTTATATATATACGTCAGAGTAGCAAGTGTTTAAGTCTGGTTCATTAAACTACAGGAAGGCCAGCTAATTAATGGACAATG